ATGTATAAGAAGTTTGGAAGGTAGAGGGGAAATTGTATTTATATCTGTACGCAACGATTAATCATTGATAACGAAAAACGATTCTGAGCGGAGTTCGGTTATACATGTTTTGTAAAGTCATAATGTTTACGATTTGAAAATAATACATTTCGTACATTTTCCAGTTTTTTTTCTATTTCCTATCAGAAAAAGTGCAGACTTAAAAATCGGAGCAAAATTTCTGGTAGAATAGTTGTTCACAGATAAAAAAAAATAAACATCATTGTAAAACCAATACATGCCTAGCTCCGTTCAGAATCTACAACTAGGTAGGTAATATTAGTTTTAAAAAATATTTCTATCAATATAGGATTCTGAATTTTAACGTTTACATAATGATATTACAATTAATATATTAATTTTATAATATATAGTAATATGCCGATATTTTTAAACGATAATTACCTATACTCTAAGTTTTTAAATTAAACATACAAATTAATGATATTGAATTATTATAATTATTACACTATTTTATTTGTAATAATTTCAATTTTATTTGTGAAGCATTTTTTTTTTGCATTATTCAAAACATGTTTTTTCTGAAAAAAATTTGCCCTATAACAAAATAATTTGAGTGCCACTGCACTATGAGCATGTTAATTACGACTAAAATATCTGAAATATTCTAATATAATTAAGATAAGTGTTTCCCAACATTCACATTGCTGGGAAGACCCAAAGCAGTACGAAGTAAAATTTGTATTTATTAAATTATTTGTATTTTAAAATAATGGGAAGAAATAAAAGTTTAATAATGACCCAGGATTAGGTATCGTCGTATTGATAAAGATTACAAGCGATAGAGCAGTTTACATTTTTGATAAGTGCGGTTATCGGTGACACCTTGGTGACCTTTTTTTTTTTTTGATATTAAAAAACATAATATTACTTCATAGATTATGTAATTTAGATAATCTAAACACTTTCGGCGATTTTCACATTGATTTGTAAATGTAAACATATTATTAAATTTCTAATAGAACTGGCCAGTAAAGTATTAAAAAAAAAATGAATTTAAAATAATATATCCACACTAGTTTTGGTAACTATTATAGTTATATTATATTTTTGGTAACATTATATAAAGAAAACTAGCATTCGTTTTTACCTCATAACAATTTGTAAAATATATCAATGACCTTTAAGTATTCAGTATTCTGTATCACTCAGAATCTATAACCATAATCCGAAATCATGAATCAAAATTAGCTTTAGTAACTCATTGTTACCCTTTGTTATACGTTTTAATTAGGCTAAAATATATTGTCACATAACTTATAAATTGGATAATAATTTTTTTTTTCTAATTGTGATTCAATACATTATAAACTAATAACCGATTAAGTGATCTGTTATATTTTTAAAATATTTAAATTCTAATAATTTTGTCTATAATATAGAACAATATTTTACATTCAAAAGGATATCCGGTATTCTAAAGATATTTATTAAAAAATATTCGAATGGATACCTATTTTGAAAACATTTCATGGAAAAATTCATATAAGTATTCTGAATATAAAACAAAATAAAAACACACCGCCAACTTATTTTAGATTCTGAACACCATGCCACAACGAAAAATTCTTTGTGTTTTGATTTTATTAAAATGTGTGTTATTAACCGTTAAACCGTTTTTTTATTTTACCAAAAATCTTAAATTAAAATGTTGTCTATTTTAAGCATTTTAAGAAGTTCAAGGCCGTTTCTTCAATTTCCATTGAGGTTTTCATAATAATTATGTAAACCGGGAGAAACATAAGAAAAACGAGAAAGTATATACGGCAATATTTATTTCATTATTTTCGACTTAGCGTTTTTGTTTCTTACTCGGTTTAAAATAATTACAATGACCTGATATTTTTACAGAATAATTATATTTAGTTTTTCTAGATTTGATAACATTTTAAAATCCTTCTGGTGAATTTTGAATTATTTATAGGCATTTTCTCGAGTTTCTTTAGTTTTTATTCAATTCTATATGGATAAAATTATTTTGGCCGAGCAGAAATGATTAATGATTTTACATAAGTTCATCGTAAGTTTTAGTATTACCTACACTTAGAGATCAAAAAAAATTAAGCGTTTTAAGTGCAAATTTTAACGAAAACCCTATAAATCACTGCATTTTAAAATATGTTTAAACGACTTTCGCTCAGAATCGTTCGTGAGTATTAATTATCAGTATTAACCCTTAAGAAAATCGAAAAAGATAAAACCTGCTTAAAATACTACTCCAGTCGAATTTCCTTTCAGGAAAGATGCTACACTTGAAAATCGAAACTAAATTTCTGATAAAATAATTATTTACAGATAAAAAAATAAACATCATTGTAAAATCAACAAATTCGCTCAAAATCTAAAACTATGAACTAACGAAATTAAATATTCTCAACAAATAAAACTCAACACATATTTTTTAATCAAATTTTGTCATGAATTTATGCAATGTACCTACTTAAATAACAAACACGATAAACCAAAAATGATACAACAAAACAACGTTTTTTCACGCAAAACGATACAACGATAATAATTAGAATAAATAAAAAGTTATCCTATGAGATGAGAATTTGAAAACGTAGTAGAGGGGAAATTTAATACATGTTCTTCTTTTCTAGACGTGTTAAAATTTTCAACAAATTTAAGCCAAATAATTATAGTTATTTTAATTTTGCGAGTTTTATACGTAATTTTTTTAATATTGTGTGGTAAAATTATTAGACTAAACAGAAATGCATACAAATTTAACAGAAGGTTCGCTAATTCGCTAATTTTTTCGTAAGCAATGGTTTATTGTTGCTTACTGATGTACATTAAATTCCCATCTATATCCTACCTTCCCAACTTCCCACCTACACCAGTGGCTGCACCCGTCCCCATTATCTTACCTTTTTTTTTTTTTTTTTTTACATTCATATAGCAGATCGATCATCAACGTCATGTATTATTATCATCAGTAAAATTAATTTATTATTTTTATTTACTACTAAAAAAAATGAAAATGATTATAATGTTATTTCCTCGCGCCCCTAATAGGCGTCTTTACCACCGGCGGAAAATTGGGCATCTTTTAAGGTAGTAAATTAGGTCGCATATCACTCATCGATGAAGTTAAAAAAAAAACATATGCAATTTTTTGGAAAAGTATTATGATTTTAAACATTTGTTCTAATAAAGTTCGATCTATGAAAAACTCTACAAGTACAGCCTGAAAATAATTGAGAAGTTTTTACTTACCCAAAAAAGGTATTACGAGAACAAACCAAAGTTCATTAAAACATTATTGAAACATAATTATAATATTATGTTATTATGTAATTATACTATTAATAATAGTATAATATATTGAATTCCTAGCATGTTTTTTTTTTTTTTTTTTTTTTTAAAAAAATAACCTATATAATATGGTTATCTCTACAGCAGTTCTGTTTTTACTAATATTAAATGCATAGAATGTATTATCTGTTGATAATTAATATAAACTAAACTGAACGTAAATATTGTATACTTAAAAGATAAAAAAGCAATTGTATTTTATTACGTAGAATTCAGAATAAAATTTAAATTATTATAGTAGAAACAACTGATATGCAATTCAATAAATATAAAAAAAAGAGCTGATAAAAAGAAACTCAAAAATGTAAAATAGGTATAAATAGCTCAAAAAGCAAAAATATTAACACGTATATAAAATTTTAAAATAAAAATTATGTACAAATTTCAGGTCCCTAAAAATATATTAAACAAATTTAAAAAATCTTAATTTTTCCCAGTATTAGAAAAAACTACATGGAAAAGCAAAACAAGATCTGTTTTTGTCCAAAAACCACCAACTAGATCAAATATTCTTTTATGAAAGGTACTATTCTTCATGTTTCGATTAAGATTTCTGGTAGAAAAATTGTTTACACACAACATTTTAAATCGCACGCATCACATATAAAAAAAGAGCTGATACCGGGGATAGATAGGAGCGGTCATTGTTGTGGGTGAGAAATTGAGAAGGTAGGATACAAAAGGTTATTTCATTTATATCTGTAAGCTACGATAAACCGTTGTTTGACGAAAGACGATTCCACGCGCAATTCGGTAATACATAATTTTTGCGATTTTCGTTTAAATTTGATTTCAAAACGCTTATTAAAAAAAAAAAAAGTTGCCTTATTACTAAGTGACCTTATTGCCATTAATTTCCCGAGTTGAAATTAATTGCCATTGCAAGAGCGTGGTCGATTCTAAGGAGTAAGAATTTGACAACTCATGTGATAGGTTCACAAGGGTCATGTACGCATGTCAATTAATTATTATGGTAGTATTTGGTAGATCAACATATACTTTTTTTTTTGCAAATATCTTAACAATTGTTAACGCAATTGTGTATGCATTTTTATAGATTGTAAAAATGTAATATTTTAAAATTAAAACTATTACTTAATTTAGGTAATTGTTAAATGTTATTATGTTGGCAGCCCAAACCATTTTATGTCTCACTTCTATTATTACTACCTATCGGTTTAAATTTGAATGGTGAAATTAACTTTACTGTAATTTATAAGTACTTTATTTTACTACACTCACAATTTGAGTATTACAATGTAATTAAAGTTCAAACAAAAAGTCAGTCAAATAAGTACCATTATTTCTTATTTTTTTTTTCCCCAAGAGCCAATATAATTAATAAACAAATACATCAAATAGTGAAAAAACAATACTTGTTTTACCGAAATTACGAACAATGATCCAAACGAACAATAAACACACGACCAAATAGTAAAAAAATTATATTTTGTAGATTTATTTCGCTATGCATTTGCCTTAGGTCATTAGTTACATTATAATTTAATAATGTAATAACAAAACGTTTTGATATTGATGATAAAAAGGTAGAGACTGTCCGGTGTGGCGACCATCTTAATTCGTGCCGCATGGCCAAACGTAACAACAGGTTGGTCGCCCGAAAAAATCGACACGCAAACACGTTTGTTGCCAAAGACGAAACCAAGATATCTTAGTCCATGACAAACACGACACACAGATATCTATATTCCGTGACACGGTTTTGCATTTTCCAGACAGGTTTGACGACATGTTATCGTTGAAGTACTTTTAACCAACGTGGTATCACAAAACATACGTGTTATGTGGACAATAATATGATTCTTATCAATAACTCCATTATCACCATACCAATAAACACAAATAAATTTAAAAATATTTACGTCGACAACTATTATAAAATCATTAAATATAAAAAAAAAATAATGTAATTTTTCAATTATGCATTGCTACTTACGTAATTACGATTCTTAACCAAATTGTATGTATTTGACAATCACCTAACAAAATTCTTCTTAAGGACTATTTTAGCATTGCTGATGTAAGTAAAAACATTTACTTACCTAAATGAAAAATATATTTACCATAACTAGTTATAATTTATTAGTTTTAATAATTATTGTAAATTGTATACTTTATTAATATATTATTAGAATTATTTAATACTTAATTATTTTTTACTTTAGCTTTCAATATTTAATAATTCAATAATTTAATTATATAGGTATTATTTTTTATTACAAAAAAATCATTAATAACCATATTATTTAATATTAACAATGTTTTACAACTCATTTTGTTTTAGGTATTTATTTTACAGCAACAAACATGACTCTTAGATTTAGAATTATTCAACTCAAACGCAGTAGATTTGCCAAAATAAGTATTGGCACATTTATTATTTTATTATTACTATTTGCTTTATATATACGCTCAGAAAATATACAAAATTCCCGGGAGTCAGCCTTTCCCAGACATTCTAAGTTTTTAAATTCAGTAAGTACCTATGTAGTTAATTTTTTTCTACTTATTTACTTTAACTCATATTTTAAAATTTACATGACTTTTAGATACCAATTTATCATGATAAAATTCTTGGTAATTTCGAATACTTCCCTCCTATTAATAAACCTGGGCCAGGTGAAAATGGTCAACCTCATCATGTACCAAGTGATAGAGAAAATGAAGCATTACAATCTTTATCAGAGTATGGCATGAATATGGCTTGCTCAGACGATATATCACTCAATAGATCAATTCCAGATCTCCGCATGGAAGAGTAATGTTAAACTATAATTAATTTAAATAATAGAAATAAATAATGATATTATAAATATATATTTTTATATAAATATTATCAATATACTTCTAAATCAATTTACTAGTTTTTTTTTTTTATTAGTTTTATTAGTACTTTTATTTCTTCTAGATGTAAATATTGGACATATCCTGAAGTATTGCCACGAACTAGTGTCATAATAGTATTTCATAATGAAGGATGGTCATCTTTATTAAGAACTGTACACAGCATACTTAATAGAACTCCACCTCAATTTTTAGAAGAAATTTTATTAGTTGATGACTTTAGTAATAAAGGTGATTTATAAAATAGGTAATCTTAAAAGTAAAATTTAAACTTAATTATTTAAAAATGTAAATGTTTTCAGAAAATTTAAAAACAAAATTAGAATATTATATTGAAAAATTTAATGGTAAAGTGAAGCTTATAAGAAATACTGAACGAGAAGGACTGATTAGAACACGGTCGAAGGGCGCTTTCAATGCTGTAGGAGAAATAATATTATTTTTGGATGCACATTGTGAAGTTGGATACAATTGGTTACCACCTTTAATTGCTCCTATTGCACGAGACAGGTATTACATATTTTTTTTTTTATAATGTATATGTTCAAATATTTAATTTTATCTGGTTAAATATAAGTCACTATGATCAAAAGGTAATTTAAGTAATTATATTTTGCAAGAATAAAGCACATAGCTTAATACAAATTCTAAAATTAATAGATTTTTTTCACCTTTCACTTTAAACTCATTGGAATATAATATAGAATCTAATGTAATTAATCTTTAAATTTGAATGCTAAAACAAATTTAATAAAATTATATGGACACCTGTTTATTATCTATTCTGATTACACAAAGAAATGAGCTTCTAACTCTATAAATATATATTTTCTTAAAAGTGAGTATCTGCAGCTTTTGAAATTATTTTTTTGAAAGTTATCATGTAAACATAATAATACACAGCTAAACTTTCAATTTTTAATAATTACAACTTTTTTTGTCAAAAGAAAAATTATGACTGTACCAGTGATTGATGGTATTGATCATAATACTTGGGAGTTTCGTCCAGTTTATGGAAAAGATGATTCCTTCCGTGGTATATTTGAATGGGGCATGTTGTATAAAGAGATTGAATTGCCTGCTCAAGAAGAAAAAAAACGAACTTACAAAAGTGAACCTTACAAGTAACATTTTTATTGCATTACATTATATATATATATACCTACGTAATTGTAAATTTAATATTTGTGTGTTATAAAAATTGTCTAGATCACCAACACATGCAGGTGGTCTTTTCGCGATGGATAGAAGTTATTTTCTAGAACTTGGTGCATATGATCCTGGCCTACTTGTTTGGGGAGGAGAAAATTTTGAATTATCATTTAAAGTAATATTGAGAATACAATTTATTAAAAAATTTAATTTTTAAATATTTTTTTATCATTTGTTGATTATTATTATTATATAATATAAATATTGTTATCAATGTATAATACTTATTATGATTTTATTTATGGAATTGTTCATGAATTAGATTTGGCAGTGTGGTGGTAGTATTGAATGGGTACCTTGTTCCCGTGTAGGACATGTTTACCGTGGATTTATGCCTTATAATTTTGGAGAACTTGGCAAAAAAGTCAAAGGGCCTTTAATAACATATGTATGAATTTAATCTATCTTAATATTATTTCAAGTATACTTTTTCAAATATATTATATTTTATGTTATAGAATTACAAACGTGTAATTGAAACATGGTTTGATGATAAACATAAGGAATTTTTTTATACTCGTGAACCATTAGCTCGTTACTTAGATATGGGTGATATAACTAAACAGTTAGAGTTGAAGGATAAACTACAATGTAAAGATTTTTCATGGTTTATGGAAAATGTTGCATACGACGTGTATACAAAATTTCCTGAACTTCCTCCAAATTTACATTGGGGAGAAGTAAGGCATTTATTTTTAAAGTTATGTAAAACATTTAATGTTTGTACATCTTTCATATTTAGTTACGCAATATTGGTAAATCAACTTGCTTAGATACAAGAGGTCGACAACCACCATCATTAGTTGGTTTAGAATTATGTCATGGACAAGGAAATAATCAGGTGAGAAATAATGATAATAGTATAATAATTTTTAGCTATTACTAACTATTACCTAACTAGATATTATAATTAAATATTGAAATTATACAGTTCACCATTAAAACAATAAATGAGACCAATGTCTATTAAAAAAAATCCTAACACTGTAAAATGAATTATTAACCTTTGGTATTATAAAAATTATTATTTTAATTTTACATTTTTTACAGCTTTTTAGGTTAAACACAAAAGGACAACTTGCTGTTGGTGAACGATGTATTGCAGCAGATCGACAAAATGTAAAATTAGTTGCATGTCCATTAGGAACTGTTGATGGCCCATGGCAATATGAATCAGTAAGTATGATTTATAATATATAAACCATTGTATACATAATTACTAAATACAAATACAGTGAAACTTCTAAATAGCGTATACTCTTGATCATCAAAATTGTGTCCACTATTTAGAGAAGACAAATGTTGTGAATTCATAGAGAGTAAATGTGTAATATTGGAACATTTTTGCAAGGTTATATTAAACTACAACATAATAATTAAATATAACTATTAATTATGTAGATTTAATTGTACTTAAATAAATTGGTAATCATTTAATGCACATAAGTACATATAAAACAAAAAGAAATTGATGAAATGCATTCGTAAATATTCAATTCAGTAAGAAAAAAAACTGTCCCCAGCTTTGTAAATTTCATCTTTATATAACACAATATCCGCAGTTTTTTCAACTTGAAACTTTTCTACAATTACCTACATGAAATATAAGTATTTCATTGTTTCGACGAATATCAAGAATTCTTCATTCATTAAATGACAATCACTTTTGATTTAACACTCATTTGAAGAATAAAAGAAATGTGTGTAACTAAATTACAAACAAATTAAAGAATATAAAAAAAATTTGAGCTTTAATTCATTAATTATCTGGGTATTTATTTAGATTTTTTTATATCATATTTTGTTTATGCTAATTTTAAAATTATTACATTTTATTATTTTACAGACTAACAAATTGTTATTGCACACAATAACAAGCAAATGTCTAAGTGTTCATCCGTCATCAAATCAATTAATTTTGACACCATGCGATGGTAATAATGCTAATCAACAATGGGCATTCAAAACAATTATGCCTAAATGGACAAAATAAATTATCAAGAACAATATTGTATTACTACTTAAATTAAAATTCTATATATTTTTTATATTAAAAGTAACAATTTTTCACCATATCTTATTATTATGAACAATTATTAGCATATTTATTTATAAGATATGAAATTGAACAAAAATATTGTTTTACTAATGAACAAATATTTCAGTATTTATTGTAAATGCATTGTTTTAAAATTGTTATTTTCAACTTTCAAATTATATCTGTAATAGTTTTATGTTTACATACTTATATTAAAAACTACTTTTTTTTATAGAATAATATTTATTATGGTATACTTTTTTCTTCCTGTCTGTGTACTTTTCAAAAAAAATACTCCATAAGGAAGACCTTTTTAATTTTCTTTCTCCTCTTTTTATTAGAAGCGAAAATCTGAAAAAAAACTAGTAATATTTACCCAATAAAAGTTTCTATTTTTAACTATTTTGAATAATAGCAGATCTAAAACTTAATTAAATTTTTTAGATGTGGTCGTATAATTTTCAATATATATTTTTGTATTTGAGTTATTTATAGCAATTAAAAATTTTGTAAAAATACAATTTGTTAACACAATCATCTATTTTATGCAGTGGCGTTGAAACCAGCAGTTATGGGTGGTAGTGTATACTTGTTGGGTACCTGAGGCATATTTTTTATTAAATTGGTACGTATGGATTATTAGTTAAGGATGTTGTATAAGAGTTTGTTTTGTAAACGAGGGTGATGGTCTATACAACTTTTTACCTTCCCACCTTAAAACCTTCGGCACCATTGAATAAAACATATTAGGTAACGTTAAAATATCAAGTATTAATAGCAAATATCCATTAAATAATAGAAACAAATCTCACCACTTAACATACAACAGATTTTATTATCCACCTTTATATATTATATAAGGACTATAAATAATCTTTTAATATGTATAATTAAAAATACTTTAACTGGTTTAACATTGATTGTACAATCAAATAGACAATTATTAACAAACTAGATATTGTCCCCAATAATTGTATTAAACTAATTAATTTCTATTTGCTGCTATAAATTTTACACTTTTAACTCTCAACGTTGATTGTTCTTCGTTCCATGTAGATGACCAGTGAGCTTTATCCTTCCAAAAATTTAACATGGCCTAAAATTATTAATAAAATAGTAGTACTAAATATCAAATCAATGCTATTTTAGTTATAATCTGTGTAAAATAAATCAATATATTAACCTTAATTTCAAAGTTTTTCCATGGTTTTAAATGGCCATTAGTTAAACATCCATCTTGGAAGTTTTTCATTCCACCAACTGACATACCAATGGATATATAATACTAAATAAATACAAATTTGAATAGTATTAATTGTATATACATCTTCCAATCATAAGAATAAATTATTTTACTTCAGAACTAAATATATCTTCCAATGATAAATTTGATGTATCCAAATTATTACTCTTTCCATCAATTTTAAATTCAATATTTTGAGGAGTCCAAGATAGAATAAATGTATGATAGTCATCAGACCACCGACTATTTGAGATTAACTTCATCATTTTAGATTTTAAATTATAGTTTTCATCAATTTTCAATCCATATTTTAAAACTGATGAACTTTCATCAGTCCCATTACATTTTAAATCATTATTTCCAAATGACATAGCCAATACTAATTTATTTTGCTCGTTAGATTTACTAACCAATGCTATTTCTAATAAGATAAAAATGTTGAACAATTAGATATCAATGCAACTAAAATAATTTGAATAGGTATTTAATTTGATTGAGCATTAGAATTTTCAATAAAATATTTAGTATAAGTATACCTGATACTATCCAATCTCCTGTTGGTAACTTAGCTACAACTTCGAGTTGTCCGTAAAGGAAAAACAAATTGTGCTTCGTGGTAAGTTTTGCTGAAACTATAGGAGGTATAATATAATAGGAAGAAGCATTCATAGCACATAAAGCAGATTCAGGTTTTGTACACCTAAAACACAATAATTATACTACTAATTTGATTTTTTTAATACAATTATAAATATTTAAAATCATTTATAATTTACCCCTTCAGTACTAAGCAACCTTTTTTAACAAAGTTATCTGATTGAATTGTAGGTTTGATTACTAATTCTCCATTTTTCACGAATGTATTTCTTTCAGTATTATTGTAAATAACAAACTCAAAACCCTATCAATATAACAAATGTATTTATTTTTTTTTTTTTTATATAATTTGAGCTTGTACAATCAAAATGTCTTTAGGATCTATGAACTATATTATATGTATATACAATGATACCTTGATAAGTTACATTGAGTACATTTTAGTACATTGAGTTTATTTTCCTTAGAATATTCTTCATAATGGGAAAATTTGGTTTTTTAAAAATGCTTGAAATTTGATACAAGGATTATCATTAATATTCATTATTTTACTATAAATATTTAAAATTCGAGGTCAAAATTTGTTTTTTTTTTAACAAATATAAAGCTTAAGTTTATATGAAAATCGTAAAATCAGGTCAAATCAAAATATGTTTAGCTAAACTTCTCTCAGAATCATTTTTGATTAACAATGATTTATCATTGAGTACAGATATAAATTAAATAACTCCATATCTATATCACTATAATATATAGTAATATACTCTTACATATAAGGTACCTTCATAACTTCCCTCATATAATAGTGAAAAACCCATTAGAGTTTTTTAAATTTTAAGTAAGTTCCTTATGTTTGTGTATTAAAAACTATTAAAAAAATCAAAAATTACAATAAATGAAATATTCAAATTCTGAAAAAGCATATCTGTTTTGCACTCTTTCAAATAATTTAAATTAGAAACATTTCCAGTTTGATAAAAATAGTAGATTACTTTAGACATAGACATCGGATACTATAACTTTAAATAAACGATGTAATTAAATAAAATATATTTTATTTTATCACATACCGGTTCTTGTGCAATATAGATTTCATGACTCCAAAGTGATTGTAAATTCAAAGTATCAAATTCTTCAATTACTTCTGATGAATTTGGAAGTTCGGGAATATCTAGCACTCCTACAAAAAATATTTATACTTTTTAAATTCTCAAAATTAAATGGGTAATCATCAAAAACTATTTACTGTCGAGATCATATATTTGAATTCTGTCTTCACCACCACAAGTTTTGCCTGAATCACCGACACAAGGTATATCACAATTATTAACATCTACATTTAGGTTATTTTCTGGAGCACGATCCCCACAAAAACAATTTATTCTGAAAAAAATTATAATAACAATAATAATTTCTAAATATTATTTATTAATTAAATAATAAAATATTACCCCATAACTCCAGCAAAATTATACCCTGAATTATAACAAATTGTAGAACATTTATCAGGTATATTAGTATTAATTAATTCAAATTGGATGTTGCCAAATGTATTTTCCTGCTGTATAAAACAACCAACAAGACGATCTTCAGTTGGAAAATCTATTAAAGATTAGATTAATAAATTGAAAATTAATTTTCATTCTAATGTTTCTTAATTTAATAAACAATAACTAATATCTTGTCAAAGGGATATAAGAGTTAATATTCTAGGTACCTAAAACCTAATTAATTTTTTAAAAAATGAATAATATAAAATAATATTACCCATTTAATATTATAACATTAATACACTTGTATCCAAAATTACTCTTCAATATAATCTGTGATAAGTATATAACTAAGAAAGTGTTTTTAAAAATTTATTTATTTTATTAATGAAATTTCTCTTAAAAAGAGGCCTATTAGCCAATCGTCATTTTGAATTTTCATATTGAAATATTTTATATATTTATTTTATTTTAAATTTATAAACTTCAAATATATTTATTGTTTACAATATTTTGTCAGAAGTTAAACAAATTAATATAATATTTAAAATTTAAAACATAAAATCATTTAATTTAATTATTAAAAATTACCATATAATCCAGTCGAAAATACTCCCATTCTCCAACCTCCACCGCAAAACTGATTAGCATCACCTGAACATTTGGTATTGCATTGTTTATCTTCTAGTTTAGTAAATTGTTTGCTTGGTGGTAGGTTTCCACAATAACATTCAGACTTATATGTTACTCCTGAGTAACTATACCCATATTTGAAACAAAGACTTGAACAAAATGCCGGGGTGTTCATAGAAAAAGAGTTAGAGTAACTATTAAATATTCTCTTTTTTTCATTTTCTTCAAAACAACCCAGATATTGATTTCCAATTATATCCGTTCTCCATTCTAGTCCAGTACTGTATACATTCATTGCATTAATACCACCACACATTTCTTGGGATGAGCCAGAACAAGGTATCTTGCACATGTTATCTTCTATTTTAGCTTCATTAGAAGGTTTTATAGAACTGCATAAACATTCTCTTCTGTAAAATGAAATTATTATATTAACAGCGAAGTATTTTTTTTTTCAAAAATAATAATATTTTACATATTTAATTGTCATTCTAAATGATTTAAAATATATGTACATAAATAAAAAAAATATATTACAAATACATTTGTATTATATTTACCTAATGTAACTATTTTTGGATTAGTATTAAGTAAAGCTTAAAAACTTTTAATTGAAAGTCTTCTGAATGTTCTAATAAATAATTTAACAGTTATTAATCTAAATAAATTTACTTACGAAGATACAAGTGATGCGTATGGAAATCTTTTTGCATAACAACTACGTACACAATTTTGAGGGGTAAGGTGAGAATATTCTTTTAACCAACCACTTATTGTAGGATGTCTTTTAAAATTATTGAAGCATCCAATATGTTTCATTGCCATAACCTCACGGTGATCTGTTGTTAATATTTTTTAATGAATATATGAGCATAATAAATGGAAAATTAAATAAAAACAAGTTTTCTATTTATAATACCTGAGTATAAAGTTTTGTAAACACTTGATGACATACTACCACCACAATATTCAGATGGACTACCTTGACACGATGTTTTACAATCGAGAAATTTTTTTTTAAAATTATAATTGGGTTCATTGTTCTTGCATTCACAGACATTTCTATACATTATAATTACACATTTATTATTGTTAAAAATTAATAAATATACATTTTAAATACCCTTTCAGGACAGCGTATTTTAATTGTAGAGTGTTACAAAGATTTATACATCGTTTGGGGCTGTTATTTTTATCCATTTGGAATGATAAATATTTTCCTTTAGGCTTGTTGTCATTGTCTTCAAAGCACCCCAAATACTTCTTTGGTGTATAATCTATTAAACATTATAATATAATAATATTTATATTATTACTATTATACTATTTAGCAAAATTAATAACAACTACCAGTAATTCCCGTTGAATAAATTCCTATCTTCCATCCTCCACCACAAAACTGAGAGCTATCGCCACTACAGACAGAATTACAATTTGTATCTTCTACTTTTGATAATTTAGATGGTTTTTGATTTCCACACCAACATTCTGATCTATAAGTAAATAATTAATTTAGTCATAGGTAATTTGGAAATATTCAAATTAAAAAAAAAAAACAACATGTTCTTCGCCATCAGCAACAGTGCCCACTGTCAGCAGTGAACATAAACTTTTTTTTTTAAATTTGGTCATTTTGAAATTGAATAGAGCCTAGTAATAATATTAAGTAACAAATAGTAGTGCTTGGTATGCTGTCTTGGTTAAGTATAGAAGAAACTTATAGCCTTAAATACATATAGCCTATAGGTTATAGTATTCTGGTTTACATGACAATTAAGTAGATATAGGTTAAATATTTATTTACTATTTTATTTATACATTTATTCAATGCCTTTAGTTTTAAATAACTGTTAGGTTTATATTTATTATGTAAAAAAATATAAATATATATTATTGAATAACATCATTATATAAATTGTATTTTTCAATAAAAATCTATTTTAATAAGTTTCAATCTCTATGATATAAATACTAAGTAACCATCAGTTACGAATCAATATTATGCAAATAAAATATCAGTGAAAAACCAGAGAGAAAAATAATAATTATTATAATTATTTGATATGTACTGTACAACTGCATACAAAATTAAAAGGATTATAACAGATTTATTTATTTATTACCCATATGTAACACCAAAATATAAATATCCCATTTTGAAACATATTTCAGAGCATCTCTCAGGTGTATTATTATTGTAAGGTTGGGCAGGTCCTTTTAATAAACGATTTTCATCATCACCAGGTGTTTCAGAATAGCACCCAAGATAAATTGGTATTGGATAACCCCCATGTCCAATGAAATTGCTAGATTCTGAAAATTAAAAAAAAATACTAATCAAATAAAACATATTCTTATAGCTATATAGGTACATTTTACAATTTATAATAATATGGTCCATACACAAGCAATACAATTCAATATTGTTTTAAATTTAAGAAACACTTGAATACTATATTATTTACTATTCAAAAGTTGTTACTTCATTAAATAATAGAAAAACCACTTTTGAAGTTTGTTTACTATAATCATCATATATTTTTCTCTTTACTCTTCAAATGATATTATTATAATTATCTCAAAATAATAACTCACTCAATTATAGTTATATGGTCCATAATTAATGTTTATATGTCCGTAACTCTAAATTAAAATCTTTCCAGGAATTATATTCTTTCAGTGAACTGTAAATCTGAAGTATTAGTTCAAGGTGAATGTATTGTTCAGAATACTAATAGTTTAGATATCACAACAGTGACGTCACTCTTCATAAGTAATTAACTATTTTATGCAGAAGGAAATGGTCAGAAACCAGGAAATACATTTCGTAAACACCTAAAATGTTTTAATTTTATATCTTCAATTTGATTTATGAAAAAAATAAATGAGTGAAATAACTTCTCATTTTTTGACCACTACTTGACACTGTAGTAAAAAATTGAAATTTATAGGATAGTAAAATTTATATACTGAATGCAACAATAAATCATTGCAAACACAAATTGATTCAAATGTACCAATATTAATCATGTTTTTTTTTTCCTTATAGCCAAGGTAACCCAGAAATAAACAAAAATAAAGCTGATTTACAGACATTTCGTATCAGTTTGTTTAATTTTATAGAAAAACTGTAAAGAATCTGGACACCGGGTGACAAAGCCACATCTTTTAAAGTACAATTTGGAGTATTTTTACTAACTCTTAGGGGTTTCAAATAAAGTACCACCAGGCAGTGCCAGATGGGGAATGTATATATGTTGGCCCACTGAATTTTAGTATTTTTGTATATCCGCACAAATTGATTATTTGCAACCCCCAATTAGTGCGGATATTCGACACTACTGTATATATAAATTCTGATTTTCAGAATTTTTAAGTTTAGTTAAAGACGATACTTTTGTATACATACATTTTCCACAACATTTAAGGAATACAATGTTCCAATACCAACTTTGATTTTTCACATAAAAATTCCATAAATGGATGGGATATTAGATAAAATAGATGTTGGTATTGAAATTTATAATTTCCATCAACTCGTTCACGAGATATTCTACTTTTAAGTTTAGGCTTAAGGGGAGAGTTATAGTGATGAAATGGAGTATAATTTGTGTAGCGGCACAGCGCATTGTATTTGATAGTGCTCTACTACTCTCCCCTGCCTACATTTAAAAGTAGAATATCTCGTAAACGAGTTGATGAAAATATAAAATTGTATTACTAAAATTTTTTTTTATCTAATATTCCATATATTCAAGACATTTTTAATATAAGTTTTCATTTGAAAACTAAAGTTGGTTGATCCTTAAATGTTGTGACAAATATAAGTAGGTGTACGAAAATATTGTCTTAAACACTTGAAAATTCTCAAAATCAAAATAAGCATGCATACATTATTTACCTCTAAAAATGAGAGGAGCATGCTAAATAAATCACCCTGTAGAGAATAATCTAAGTATAGCGTTTATGATTTAATTGTTTACATTAATAAATACATGGGTACATTTTACTATCCATATTTTTGAAAAAATGTAATGAACTTTATATAAAATTAATATTGTTCATTATAATAATAATTATATAAGTGCCTATATAATATACCTATGCAAGTAAGTAAAATTTTATTTGAAAAATTGTCATATACTATTGAGTTACCTACCTAGATTATTAAAAATAGTTATGCAATTAATTAATACTCTGACATCTCAAACTACTTACTTGAACTATCTGTTATGTACGAAGACACTAAATTTGGTGATCCCCCACATGAAGCTGACTGATCTCCTGCACATTTTATTGTACACTCGTGATCAAATTGTCTCATTAATTTTGATATATAATTTTTGCTACAATAACAATTGCTAAAACAATTTATAGTAGGTAAGTATATTAGATAAAAGCGTGGAAATTTAAAATATTCAACAGGTATTTAACCGACTAAATATATAAATATAATTTGTATTTATCATACTCATTTTTAAGATTGAAAAAAACATATTTTTTTTCAGAACAAAATTGTGAACAAGATTGTGGTGATATTTGAGTTAAAATCCTGTTTTCTGGTCCGAGAGATAACAAATTGTCTTCCAAAAAACATCCTAAAAATTGATGACTTGACTTTTGTGTGGCTAAAAATAATAATAAAACACGATTTATTTAAATTTTTAATACACATACTTATTTAAAATACAATATTATGTTATGTAATTTTAGACGTTATATAGAAACACAATCTACCTATGGATACAAATAAACTGAACCATAATAGCTGAAAAAGAAATAGTCTATACATCATTCTAGGGTCAATATCAATACGAACTATTTAACAATGTGAATTCGTGAGCTATAAATGCATACTAATGAATAGTAGGTAGGTAATGGTTTCCTACATAGGTATAAAGGTACGTAATAACAATATATTTACCTTGATTTGCATCAATTGTAAAAACAGGTTTATCAAGATCCCCACTAATTCGAACAGTGGTCATAATTTTCGCATACATAGCTATAAAAGCACCTATACAGTATAAATATAAACACAATTTGATTAAAAAAAAAATATGAATTTTGTTATTTATAATAAATGGATTACAAAAGAACATTTTGTTTGATAATAAATGCCATTTGACACCCTACTTATTAAAACGACAGTATATGTGCCTCTGTAGGTAACGTAATGAAATATACTTGATAGGTATTGCAAAGTAGACAAGTGCCCGCGCACTCTACACAAGAGCTGTGGTAACCTACACGACTCGCAAGGGAACAAAGGGGCACCCCTTAATTAAGCGATCAATCGAGTTGGCGGTTTTCTCAGGAAAAAATACGGGCCATGGGGTGGACAGAACGTTTACATCCGGGCACGGAAACATTAAATACGATATTTAATGAATTTCCCAAATGTCCACGCCGCACAGGCGTAGCGTTACGGTTTTCTGCGGAGCGGAGGCTACGGCCGTAACGTAACAAAATTGTTTACACGGGTAATGTAATGTATGGTACACACCTAGGTAATATAAATATCGGCTCGCGGATGCCGGTGTGGCGTTTCCTCCTCCCACCCCTCTCTTAAAAGTACAACGTTACCAAGAGTCGTATGCGGGAGGGGATTTTGGGAGTCCAACCACCTCGAGAACTCTTGACTCGTGCATTCTGTACCCATTTTTAATTATAGACAACACACCTACCGATGCATGTATGAAGTAAACATATCTCATAAAGTGCAACAAAAACATTTTAACTTGCGTAGGTATTACGCATAATAAAGTACCTACCTGTACACAGTGCGTATCATTTTGTTTATTTATTTCGTAGATTCGGCGTTTCGGAGGGCCATCGTTTGTTGGAAAGTATTTCGTGGGAAATGGGTTTTTCGGAAACGTATTTTGTCGGAAAAATAATTCGTCGGAACAGTTGTGTCTTGTCAGAAAAGTATTTTTTTTAGAACCGTATTTTGTTGGAAAAAAACAATTCCGACCAAATACGGTCCCTACAAAATATTTTACGCCTCCCCCCCCCTCGGCATTTTTGTGCACGTGAAATACATTATTATTTTACAGTGATGTACAGGACGGACCAGGTACGACTAGTTAATTATTGTCATTAAATTATTTGATAAATTTTCGATAAATTTTTTTTTTTTTTTTTTCAACATTTATTCCATTAATAATTTTGTAACTGTCAGTTTGTATTTTTGCGTTCAAAACATGTGTAAATATAAACATTTTGGGATGAGCTTTCGTAAATTGAAAATTTAATTTTGAGTGAAAAGACTCACAACTATTAGTAGTACGTTCTGATGTTGTTTCTCTTGATGCCCAAATGTGTAGATTGAACTTTACTCTTTCGTCAATATAATTTTCAATCAAATAATCACAGTACTTTATTACCCTTTCATCGGCAGTAGAAATTGACATCAAATCCAAAGTAAAGCACTCGCTTACTTCTTCTGGATGCAATAATGGTAAGCCAAACACCCATTTTAGCCAATTGCCTATTTCACTTGATGCATCTTTGTATTCTTTTGATAAGCCTAAAAATTGTAAATTCAAATTTGTGAAACAACGAATCATTTTTTTAATTGAATCCACAGCAAATATAAAGTCTTCATCCTGTACAGTTTTAACTTGACGCTCATTCATTATGAAAATTACTTCTATTTTTTAGGAGTTTCGTATATGATGATCTGCGAGAACGGTATAAATATTGATAAATATTATTAATGTCTGCACTGGTAAATATTTTTGTAACTTCTGAATTATTTAAGAGATGTCTATTTATGATTTTTGAAGGCCTTTCCAATACGTCTTCAGACTTTAAGCTCATTAGAAAATGATTTCTTCGATATAGTTGATGCTAGTTCTTCGTGATGGTATACATGGTGCATACTTTGATTTTTAAACTTTGAACCTACATTAATTTTTGCATTACACATTTTATTTATGCACTGTCATTTGAAAGTATCTCTAAATACTTCACATAATATTTTTTATGATATTTAAAATTACTATACGGAATTAGATAGTCTTTTCGTACACTCGAAATTATAAAAATTGTAATTAATACCCGAGCGAATACGTTTGTCATGGTCGCGACTATGTACCAACCTACCTAAGTTCTACAAAAGTTTGGCGAGATCGACTATGTTGTATAGTTCGGAGTGCTGGATGGTAGCCAGACATACAGAACTGAGTATGAGTGTAGCAGAGATGAAAATACTTAAACGGATGAGTGGAGTGACGAGGGAAGATAGGATAATGGATGAATATATATTAGAAGTTACTTAGTCGCGGCTTCCGTTGTAGACATAATGAGATAAACTAGTCCGAGATGGTTTGTGAGTGCCGTGAGAGGAGAAGAACAAATTGGAAGCAGTAAGAATTTTAACGAAAATGAACGTTGGGAGAAAGGGGAATACCGAAAAACAGATGGTATGAGGACAGCCAGTGTTTTATGTGAGGTAAGAGATTAGATCATGTGAAAGCTTAGGACGAGGTTGGCCAACTCCAAATAGTTGAGATGAAGGCGAAGGAAAAAAAGACAAAAAAAAAAAAAAAAATCGATAATATTACAATAATAAAACTGTTATTTATCTTATTAAGAAAATTACAAAAAAATCAAAACGAACGCCCAATGCAACAACTAGGGAACATTTTCTTCTGAAAAGATGATACCTACACTTAAATTTCACTTCAAGATTTCCGTTAGAAAAACAAAATCGAAAATAATAAAACTTTTACTGCCGTAAATTTAATTTTCCGTAAATCCTTTGAAAAAATTATATTGGTCTTCAAAAATATAATCAATATTCAAAAATTAGAACGAATACAATAAACGCGTACGATTTGAAAAATATATGCAACATGCTTACCTACTTTACTTTTGGTTATTTTAAAAAAACGTCTATGTTAAAAATGATGAGCGTGAAGAAAAGACACATTATGTATTATAATATCTTGTGATTGGAATAATGTCCATAATAAAGAAAGAATATAAACCACCGTGTAAAAATAAAAATCAAAACACGTAGTGGACTCTAGTGGGTTAAAATATAACAAAAATAAAATCTATATTATCACCGTAGATGCAATGAATGCTATCATTAATTACTATCCGTAGAGGTTATGTAATTTTTCACAATAATCTAAGACCGTGATAACAATTCACCAGTAATCAAAAATACAAAAACAAGAACACTGTGTTATTTATATTTTACTTCAGAAACCGCTTTTTTGTAAAAATACCCAAATTATTTTTTGAGAATTATTATTATTCAATAGTCGTATTTATGGTAACTAAAATGCCTGAAGGAGAAACAGAAGTAAGGAATAAAATAATAATTACATTGACTTACATTTTATATTTTCTCGAGATTTGTAATTATATTAGTAATTATACAGATATTTTTACTCTTAATTTTAGCCAGTCTCACTAGTGACTATTAAGGAGCCAGTCGATTTAATTCGTCTCAGTGTCGATGAACGGATATATGTTAAGATGCGTCATGACCGTGAGCTACGTGGCCGTCTACATGTAAGTATTACTAATACTTGTATAGTAAATTTGTTGAAGTACAATTTAGCTAAGATCCTAGTTAGTCTTGGGATGAATTGTATGGTAATTTTCTCAACTTGGAAACCAGTTTAATATAAATTTATTAAAAAATAATATCAAGTTTTTGTAATTCAATAATTGAATAAGAATATGCAGTTGTCAATGAAATCAAATACTAAATTGTAATTATATTTAGTTCTTTATATTTAGTTCTTATATTTAGTTCACTTTTAGTTCTTACTATTAATTGAAAGTAGACTTCATTAAATTGTTGTTTATCCTTTATTAATTTCTATTTTTAATTCATAAACTGCTATTAATGTTTTTATACTAATAATTTTGTTGTGAATTATAATTGTTGTATTGTCTTAAATATTATTATATTGTATTACATTAAGTTAATTAAATAGTTGTATCACAATAGCCATGTTATTTGAATATGCTTTATCTTATTCTCAAGATACTGCTAAATGTAGGTAGGTCACTGTTGATTGTTGTAAGTGTGTGAAGCTATTATTATTATGAAGATATTATTTAGGGTAATTTGGTGGTCTTCTTATCCTTTGCCTTCATCCCAACTATTTGGAGTTGTCCACCCTCGTTTTAACTTCAACTTAACCAGATATTCGACTTACCATACACCAGGTGTCCTATTTTTTTTCTCAACTGCATCCTGCTATTTTTTTTCTTTCCATCTATTTCCTCTTGTGTTTATTTAAATTACAATGTTTATTGTTTCAGATTCCTCTCTTCCCATGACATGCTTAAACTATCTCAATCTATTTTCTCTCATTTTGTCTATTATTAAAGACTTATAGTATTTATCCCTTATCTTATCTTTTCTAGTTACTCCACTTGTCCAACTTAGCATTGGTATCTTGTCCACACTCATTTTCTGTTCTATTTTTCTGTCTTATCACTTAATACAACAAACTATACAACATAGTCAGTCTCGCCATAATTCTGTAGAACTTTACTTTGAGTTTCATTGGAATTCCTTTGTCACATGAAACACTAAACACCAGAAAATTCTCTTCACTTTATCTTTATATATATAATCCTATGTTTCACATGCTCATGAAAGTCATTGTTCTTTGATCAACAGATTTCCTAGGTACTTTAAACTCAACATCACCTATAATTGGTTATTGTTATTAGCTATTGTCCTGTTCTTCCAAACTCATACTCTGCTTTATTTCTACTTTTCTTTAGTCTTATCCCTTTAAGTGTTTCTCTCCATTCCTTAAGATGATGTTATACTCTCATCTATTGTCTCAATCCAACTACCAAATAACATATATAAACAATGCTTATGCAGAATAAATAAAACTAGCTTAATTTTTATTTTTTTGGTTATTTAATAGTTTATAATTCAAAAAACATCAATGACATTCCTTCCAATTGTTCTCTTTAAATTTATATAATAGATACTTTTACGCTAAAATCAAAATGATGCAAGTTTTTAATTATTCTCCACAAGCATTGTTTTTGTATGTTATCCGGTAGTTGGACTGAGACAGCAGATGCGGGTATAATGTCCTCTTAAACCTATTGTTAACTTGTTCCAGATTTTCTCTTATCATCTGCAAAACATTATGCACCGTGATACCTCTTCTTACCTGCTCTTTGTTCTCATACACATTCAATATAAAATAGATAGATAGTTTTCCAAAGTCTTGTTTATAACTCCTCATACTTTGAGAGAATTTTACACTGGCTGTCATTCTAACACAACTCCATTTGTCGCCTCTTACAATAGATACTATCTGGAGTATTCTGATCCCCTCCTACATGGAGATTTGAATGTGCTTTATCATAATAATATTTGTATTTTATTGAAATACTCATTGACATGGTTATGAATATTAGTAGTTTTTATATTATTAATTTAGAACTTCATTGATTTATTTTTTATTACTTAGGCATTTGATCAGCATTTAAATATGGTATTGGGAGAAGCTGAAGAGACTATCACTACAGTTGAAGTTGACGAAGAAACATTTGAAGAAGTATATAAAACTACCAAACGAACTATTCCTATGTTGTTTGTTCGAGGGGATGGTGTTATACTTGTATCTCCTCCATCCGCTACTTCATAATTTAATACACTTATGATTTTTCACATTATACACAATTTAATTTGTATACTTAACTATTTTATTATATTGTGTTTAATACAAGTTACAAATACTAAAATTAATTACCTAGTGTAAGTTTTTAGTTTTTCGTAATATTTTTTAAAATAAATTATAGTTGAATAATTTATTCAAAAATTTAAATTAAGATATTGTTTTTTAACTTTAATGTTCTAATTTCTATTCATATATTTAAAAGTTTTGATAAATGTGTCCAATGAATTCATACATGGGCGGATAGGCCTATCGGGAAATCGGGATTTTCCCCGTAAGCCCCCATCAATACTACACTCAGTCTCCAATGACCCAATCTCAAAAAAATTATAATTTGTATAATACTAGTGTACCAACTGGCGGCTGCACAGTATGCACTAAAATGTATAAACATTGTCATACAGTAAATTAAAAAATTTTGCTGTCCTAGGATAATAGGGACAGGTGCATTATTAACACGCCACTCACCGTACCACCATACAAATGATACTCTATCATTACTCTTCTCCAACTCAAAATTAAAAGTAGAATATCTCATCAACGGATTGATGGAAATCAAAATTTTCAACACTAAAATTTATTTTGACTAATATTCCATTTATTTATGGAATTTTTAATAAAGGTCGTCGTTTGAAAAAGGTAGTGGTTTTACACCAAAAAATAAGGCTGACGAAAAATAATATTAATATAAAATTATAAAGCTCCTTAAATGTTTTAAAAAACAAATTCCAAAGAAAGTTAAAACTTTCCGAGATATTGAGTGTACCCACTTAAATGGTTCACCTTGTATATATGTTTTATTGTGATAAAATAATTACATAGTATGCATTAAATATTTTCTTTAGTAATATTTGTTTAATATTGTGCCTATTTTCCTGTTTTTCCTAAGTTTTTCTCATTTATTTGAAAAAGTTCTGGGAAAATACAAAAGTGACTTTTCTAAAATACATCCCTAGTCAGATTTTTTTTTAAAAAAAGTGCTATCATTGTAAAATGAACCAAAATTGCTGGTTGAAAAGTTGTCTACAGAAAAAAATTGTAATATTTTACTAATATTTTTTCGGTTTTTCACATTTGTTGAAAAAACTCCTAAGAAAATCGAAAAATGATATTCTTTAAGTATTTTCCTACATAGATTTCCTTTCAAAAAAGGTGCTACACTTAGAAAATTGGAGCAAGATGATCTCTGATAGAAAAGTTATCCACAGATAAATAAAATAAAAAAATAAACACCTTTGTCACTTTACTCAGAGTCTAAAGCTGTAATTATTTTAATTCATATATTTTTTTACATTTGATTGTGTAGTATATATATATATGTAACCTAACTTTCTATACATAAATAGGCCCTACCTATATCTATATGAGGCCCTAATAAATATACCCCGGTGAAAAAAAATGTACCTATCCGTCTATGTATCCATAATATTCAAAGTTGAAAATACTAATCGAAAAAATTCTAAATGTGCTTAATAAAATTCGTATTTTAATAATATAATAGTTTTTGAAATCTTGTTTCTTTACTCACTTAATTTCAGAGCAGTAAATTATTATTTATATTTTAGATTTAAGTGTTAAAAATATCACTAAGTCCCATTTAAAATAGTATTCTATGTGCACCCCTTATTTGTTTGTACTTCAACATGAAACATGTGAAGCATTCTTTCTACCTAAAAACATGCATAATGCATAAAAAAAAAAAAAAGTCATTTTAAAATAATCTATTAATGAGCCACCTGAACCCCGCACCTCCCCCAAAAAACTTTTTTAAAGTACTTGTATTAAAATAAATATTTAATATGAAAGTTTTTGTTAAATAATAAATGAAATCAAACTAGTTATTTTAGATACTCAATTTAATCCAGTGTATTGTTCATCTTAACACACCCCTAATGTAGCTAAAATATTAATTTTGCTAATAAGAGGTAATATAATGTACAGAGAAAAAAATCAGTGTTAATGTTTAATTTTTTTTAAGATCAGTTCAACTTGATAGTTGATGTAAATATGATATTTATTAAACATAATATTTCAAAATTGTTTTTTTTAATTTTGTTAAATAATCAAATCTCATTGATAGATATGGTAGGTAACCTATAATATTAATGAAATAGATACCATAATAATAAGTTATTTATAATCTAGGTATTTCTATGAAGTATAGGCTGTACAAGAATTTAATAATATAAAATGTAAATTAGATACATTGATCAGCTGTGCTCTAATTCAACTAGTTCCACAAACCTATATCTAATTATGGCAAAACATGTCGACTAATATATTAATACATAGATATGAGATGGTGACTATAAATTTGAACTCTGAGGTTTTATACAATAGTGAATAAATTATATTATACAAATAAATTTTTTGTTTAATATCATAAATAATAAAATAAACGTTTAAGATACTTAATTATATTTCAGTCTTTCTTTTAGGTCATAATTTTTATTTTTTTTTATTAATTTAAATTTTATTTCTGTCAATTAATATTTTAATTTATTCCTATTGTTTAGTTAGTTGGGCTTTGTATCTACGATAAAACTGGTTTAAATTTAAACCAATTTGAGCGTAAATAGAATTATCGTCATATAAAAACTTGTACATAGTTGAAGACTTTTTTAAAATTGGCTATTTGATTAACGTGTTAAATATTTAAACTATTGTGAATCAAACCTATCGAAGAGCCGAAAGCTCAAATAAAAAAGTGTAATAAATAATATTGTGTAAATTTATGTTTTAGTATTAGTAGAGCATTCGCCCGCCATTATGATTATCTCGTTGTGTTTTTTCTTCCATGACACGTGGGTAGGGCGATGATATTAGTACGCCATTTAACTGCGATCTCGTTTCGGCACAACACCAGTGCGACTGATAATCGATGGTATCGAACGTTTTTCCGCCTTGACTCTGTAGTCCTTGAGCAGTTAATCTGTATCGTGTTTATTGCGCCACGAAAACGCTTCTGCTCTTGTTTGCCTATCTGGTGGAGTCCATCAACCGTTTCGTTTCAGATATCCCGTCGTTATTCCATACATCTTCGTGTCGCCGATCCGTCGACACGACCACAACGATGCTTCTCCGGTGACTGACGTTCAGTGCCTAAATAATCGGCGGCGCCCAAAGACGTGAATCGACTGAATCGCTACTAAATGAACACCGAGGTGAGAGATTGCGACACCTTCATTATAATTAACTAAGTAACTGATAGTGAAATAAATATCTCTCTCGTTACCTCATCAGTCCCTTAATGTGAATTCAACTATATGATAGATATACAATCAACGCCTAGGTAGGGTTTCGTTGAATGTAGGTTTATAAACTAACATTCATTCCAATGTTTATATAAAATTGCCTACCTACTTTTTTTTTTTACTATGAACTTGTTATTATGTCCAAGTATGTCAACAGTTTGTAAAATGTACCTATTTTGTATTCTTTGAATGTTGTAGTTGGCTTTTTGTTTTGGTCAATGCTTCGATACTCTGATGTCTTTATCTACTTGGCTCTAATTTACTACTACATTACTTGGTAAATTCTTATAAATAGTTATTACTCATAATTTATGGCATCAGCTGTCCATTTAGAGGTCTTTGAATTATTATTTTGTATTCATATCATGGGAAACGCCCGATTAAGCATTTTTAACTGATGAGAATTTAATTTTTTAAATGAATTAATATTTCCATTTTCCTTTACAGTATGGTTACAATAACCTAAATAGTTATTTTCACTTTTTGTTTTGACTTTCAACATATTTTTATGGAGTTTTAAAAATAAAACAAATATTTAATTTATGTACTGTAGGTATACATAATTGCATTGTATTGTTTAAGTATAAATATTAAAAAGTAAGCAATCCAAAGTGTTATGAAGTGTGCTGAATTTGATATGATATCAAATTCTATACAATTGTATAATAAGAAAAGTGTACATGTTTTTCGTTACTAAGTTCATATCCAAAAAGTTTTAGACTATACTAACTTAACTTTACCATACTATAATCGATAAAAACTTGTTAAAGTTAACTTAAATGATATTAAAAGCTGTTAGTTGGTGGTATATGGTGGTTAGATCTCATAAAATATGTCAACATAGTACCTTGGTATATACATCTAGGTGTTCTATTGTGTCAATATGTCAGAATTATCAATACAGCTATTTAATTAATTAACACTAAACACTGATTATAATCACCTAAAGAACATATGATTCTAGTTATATTTAACACATATTTTTGATAGTATATAAATAAATATATATATATATATATTTAAGTAGTTACTGTCTTATCTACCTATTTTCATACTTTATTTAACTAGTAATATGAATTATTTGATTTTTATTATTTTTTAACCATTTTTACACCTACTTTTAAAAAATTATGGTTTACATATTTTATGTGAAATGCATATCTTATTACATATCTATGTGAAATGCCATTTAATTAATGTTAACTCATAATAAAATGAATTTATAGAAATAATTATCTTTTAGGCTTATCAGTTGTAAATAGTTTCATTAAGGTCGTTTCTGGGTAGTTTCATATCATGAATTATATGATAACTTGTATTTTTTTTTTCCGATTTTAATACAGAGATTAATAAGTTTTTAGATAAAATTTGTTTAAATAACCTGTTTTTATATTAGTCTATTTTAAATATTATTCATAAAGTTGTATACTAGTATTATATTTATATAATATTAAAATATCAAGTTGTTAAGTTTAATTTTAATACATATATTATGAATAACAGTTATTTTAATTTTCTAGGTATTATTTAATTTTTATAAATTATTAGTTTGTTGAAATTAAAAAAAAATATATCTTTATTTGTGTTATTACTTGGTAGTATTTAATGTCATATACATGCAATGTTAAAATACATTGATGTGAATTTTAAATATGATGTATTTATTATACCATGTGCTTGTCCCCTATCTGTAACAGTTTAACAAATTGCCATTTAAATTGACCCTCAACACTAGTTTCCTTAGTATAGTATCTATATAGTAGATGTAATTGATGAAAATCACGGAAATAAATGTTCTAATAAAATAAAACATAAAGCAGTTAAGTATCATTTCATAACTTGATTAAAATGTACATATTAAATTATTTATTATGCAATTTAAGTTACATGAAATTAGTAGGTAGATTTCAATATTTATTCTCAACTAATTATTACCTAATACAAAATAATATATAGATAACAAATTTGACAATTAAATCATTAGGTAATAAAGTTTATGAGTTATAATATAAATAATCCAAATAATTAAATTAAAAATTTATAATTTTATATTGATAATGTTCCCGTCTATGTAAATATACTTCATCGAGAAAAGTTAAAATATTTCATGTCCATTGACTATAATATTGCTGTGTAATATTTTATAATATGTACTTAATTTTTTTCTAGTAATATTGAAATATTTAAACCAAAATTCTTATAAGTACTTACTATTTTTATTTTGCAGTATACATAAACTATGCCATTACCAAAGCGTGTTGTTGAACCTGTGCATGTAGCACGAAATACAGTCTCTCAAGCAGGGAGTTATGGTGCTACAGGTTCAATACCCAATGAATTAGAAGCTGTTACTAATGGCACTCTTGCCAATACAGTACGTCAACTATCAAGCCTATCTAAACAAGCTGAAGACATGTTTGGAGAACTTGTACGTGAAGCTCATTCGCTTACTGTACGAGTCAACTCATTACAAATTAGGTTAGATAGACTGTCTGTCAACACAAAACAATTAGATAGTACTGGCGAAGAAGGTAGCTAACAAATATTAATTTTTTTTACTATACATTTTTATTCATACATTTAATTTGTAATATATATGTTTTAGTATCTTTACAAGACATTCATATGAGAAAAGCTTTTAAAAGTGCTGTTGTTTTTGACCAACAAGTTCTTTCAAGAGATACAATGCCTGCACCAATGCTTGAAATGTATTCACAATGTGATAAACCACCACCTCTGTATAAACTTAATCCCTACCGGTAATTCAAAATAAATTTATAAATTAGCAATATATTAAACATAAAATTATTATTTTATAGGGAAGATGGTAAGGATGGTATGAAATTCTACACAGACCCAGATTATTTTTTTAATCTATGGAGATTAGAAATGCTAAAAGATACTGAAAAAATGATGCATGATCGAGGAAAAAAAGTATATTTTTACATTTTTGCAATCTATATTAAAACATTTTATTGTTGAATTGCATAATTTATTAATATAATAAATATAAATAAATCAACTGTTATTTTTAATTTATTCATCAGCCTCATAGACCTAAAACAGAAGGTAGTGGAGGTCGTCATAAAAAGAGAGTTAGACAACCACATAGTACAAGAGAACGGCAAAGGCAACTTGCTACACAGCATGGAGAATATTTGATGCCTCAAGACAATTCCCATTATAGGGCACCTCATCAGGTATTTTAATAATATTATACATTTCTTATTTTTTCTTATTTTTTTTTTAATTCAATGAGTAAGGTTCTTAGTTTGACACTAAATGAAAACTGGTGACACTATTTTTCAGTAATTCAATTATGACTCAAACTATTAACTCAAAATAAATAAACAATTTTAATTATTTTTGATAAAAAGTCTGATGTAAATAGACAATTATAAAATAAATTACTTAAATTTTGTTTAGCCTTATGAATATATGGAAGAAAATACAATGATGTTGGGCTTATCCATGAATGATCAACATCGACCATCACGGCCAAATAGTATTGAGTTACGTCGATCTTATGGTCCAGAACAACCTCTTAATCAACAAATTGGAAATAACACGGTAGATGGACGTATTTATAGTCCTCCCCCTATGAGTATAATCGATAGGTAAATTCACATTTATTTTGTAATGTTTTATTAAAGTAGAACATATAAGTTATGTTCTCATTGAAATGCATTACTTATGTTTTTAGTAATAACTATGCTGCACCGATCAGTAGTAATAATATAATATATGATGAATCTAATATGTATAATCATAACACTCAACAAAATAATTACCAATACACTGGTAGCATGGGTGAAGTATTAAGTCCATCAGGTACACCTAGTCGTGGAGGTAGAATAAGGCCATCACAACCACCACCTGCTCCGCCAAGCAATAATAATTCAAACAATAGGCAAGTGAAATATATTTTTATTTTATATTTTATACCTATTTTAACAAATATAAAATAACTTGTTTATTTCTTTAGTACACCCACTGTATCATCAGCCAGCACTCCAACTCGTGGCCGCAGTTTGAGTTCAAATCGTGAAACGTTGCCACCTCCACCACCTCCTCCCGTTGAGAATAACTTGCCTTTTACAGAACCTTTACCTCCACCTCCACCTCCAGTATCTATTAGTCCTCCCATACCATCAGCAAATATCCCACCTCCTCCACCATTACCACCAATGCCTGATCCCCCAGCATTGTTAACTAACGGAGATGTTAAATCACCATCAAAACAGGTAAATAGTAACATTCTTAAATAATTAGAAATATTTAAAATATGTGTAAAATCACACAAATATAAAAAAAAAAAACAATCATAAAGTATTGTAATAGGTTATTTCTGTTTATGACCATTTTTAAAAATCGTCAGATTTATCAGATAATAAAACTTACTATATGTCAATATATATTTTATATTTTTAATATTAAATAATTATGTAAAATTATTAAAAAATAATTATGTAAACATTTTAACACAGAAGTCTCCTCCTAATCACATAATTCAATCAAAACCATTGGTACTCCCTGCTGACTGTAACAATATTAGACAGCTAAATGGTGTTATTAATGATGTAAACACAACCGTAACCAATATCAGCAGCGGCACAGTGAGCGCATTGAAAAAAACACCTGGACCAGGCCATGTAGCTCATTACGATCCACGTAGTGATTTACTCAAGGCTATAAGAGATGGTATGATATTTTTATATTTTATAAATTTTCTATTATTTCTTGGAATTATATGAATTTTTTAATTATTAGAGATATGTAATGCACTTTCAGTGGTTTCAGAATCTTGATACTATAGATAAATTTGAATTAATATTAATTTTTAATTTATTATTATTATTAATATTAAAATCATATAAAACTCAAAAATAAAATAAAATCTAAGACTTATTTTATATAATATTTGTAATAGGTTTTTAGAAATATCTATATATAACATACCATTTACAAAAAAAAAAATTGTGCATAAAATTCCAATTCTTTTTTATTGATGGTATTTAATGTTATTTATTTGTGTTAAGGTGTTGAGCTGAGAAAAGTAGAAAAAATTAAACAAAAAGAAGGAGAACGTAGTAACGCATTACATGATGTCGCTTCAATATTGGCACGTCGCGTAGCTGTTGAAATTTCTGATTCAGATTCTGCATCGGGGAGTGAATATGATAGTGACGGTTGGGCTGAAGATGATAGTAATTTAAAATAACATTATAAATCTTATAAAACATTCCTTCTTGTGCTATTATTTTACCAATAATTTAAAAGTTTCATTTTCATAGCTATTATATTAATTTTGTTTTCTTTGTGTGTATGTGTAAATTAAAAATGTTCAGTTGAATGAATCCAGGTATTCTATTTACTATAATATGCATATCTCTGATGACAGTTTATAGTCAATAAAATCTAATGTCACCATTTAAATAGTTGAGTAAATAAATTTTATTATCAATTAAATTAAGTGGCCCACCTATCTATTAGAGTAATTATTTATATAATCAATGATAATACACATACATAATATATTATAGATTAATATATTTAGAAGTTTTTATTTTATAAAATGAATTAATTAATTTGCAGAATTATCATCATTTAAAATTTTAACAGATATTGCATTTTTTATAAATTTTTTATTTTTTTTTTTTTTTGCAACTCGTATTCCTATATTTCCTAACAACGTACACATTTTAGTGCCAAATAATACCATTTTATTTATACACAATTTTGTTTATTTATTTTTACTAGGTTTATTGTATAAAAGGCACATTCATTATACCCAAGAATTGCCATAAAAAATATAATAAATAATTAACTACATATTATATTAATCATAAAAGAAACATCCATTGGAAAACTAAATACTATTATAATATTCAACTAATTAGTTATTTAAATTTAAACATGATTCATTTTATAATAAATCAAATGAGATTTTAACCAATTTATGGATTACATTTCCGAATTTAAATGGTTTTTAATTTTAATTGCTTTATGATGACTTAGCACATTAAATATAATATATATCCTTTATAATCTGTGTGGTTTTTTGATAAAAAAAATTTTAAAAATTAATTATTTTGTTACACAATGATTTCAATGTTGTTTTTTGTGTACAATATTATTTTAAGTTCTATAATTCTATACAATATATACGACTTACTTACTTTAAATGTTTTCTAGTTATATTGGATTATAACCTAATACATATTCATAATAATATGCATTATTTTTCCAGAGAAAATGCTCAATATTGCTCAATTAGTTTTTCAGATTTATAAATTATTATAAATTTGTTCTGTCTGTAAATAGACCTCTACACTGATACACATACCATAATGTAATATAGTTAAAATTAAACGTGATCATGTTCAACAAAATATACGAAAACCAATTTAGAATATCAATATGTTAAATAAATGTTCCTTTTGTTCAAACATATTCCGTGCCACTGTATATTATTTAGTCTAATTAAAGTACATTTTCAAAAACATTAAACACTACTATTAAGTTGATCATTATTTTTTTTCATGTTTGTTTGAAAACAAGTTAGTATTTGCTAAAACCTCTTTAAAAAAAATATATATAAGAAAAATACAAACCACATAATTAGTTTAAAATTACATCAAAATTATTATCAGTTGAGCAACATTCCAATTCATTCAAAATTGTTTTTTTTACATGTAATCAATTAAAATTATAATAATTATGAATATTACATAAAACTATCTATTCTGATGGAATCCTTCTATTTGCCATCCATAATTATTGTGTGTTCAAAGCGCATATTATTATGCATTGATGTATTATTAACTACATTCATATTATAATGTACTCTACATAATATTATTCATAAGAATATATATGTTATTTATTTTATTTATTCATCTTTTATCATTATTTATTTATATTTTGTTTATGAATTTAAATGTTTAAACGTTATTTGTGCTCGTATATGTATAATTTATATATATAATGTAGATAGAGAGAACAAATTTCAATGTGTATTATGTAAATCCAAAGCTTACTTTTAAATAAATATTCTTAATATATCGTATATATATATATATATATATATATATTACAAAATATACATTTATATTATATTATACAGTAGTAAAAAAAAAAAATAATGTATTATATATTATAATATATATATTTTGTCAATATAATGTATCCATTTTTATCCATCATTTTAACATGCACCAACAATAACTGTGCATTATTACATACATTATTATACTTATTTGTAACCCAAATAAAATCAATGTTTTTATAGACAACATAAATTAGTTTATTATTAACAATAGACACATTTTAATAATCATATGTTAGGTATGTCAGTATAATACTAAATTAAGTTAAATTAGTGTAAAAACTAAATTATTCATTTAAACACTTATAAAACTATTGTCATGATGACCTGCTTAAATGTGTTGTTTTCTTGTAATTAAAAATATAATATTGTACAATTATTAAAAACTGATCTTGACACAATGATTCATTTACAATTTTTAAACAATAAATATTACAAATAACTCTTCAAGTAATAATTTTCATGGGTAATAATGTACCTAATATAGTGATATGCCTAACAGTAGGTAAATTAGAATTCAAGTTAAACATTATATTTGTATTGGTTCTATTACAATGTATAATTTTTATTTTTTCTAAATTTTGCTCCAATTAAAAATTGATGCAAGCTTTTTGTAATTTTTAAGTTTTAGATCTAATCAGTTTTCTAAAGATTTTCCTAGTAACTTGGGGAAAAATTTGAGAAAATGAACATATTTCTATTTATGGCAGTTTTATTATTTTATGTATTTTTTTTCTATTAGAAATCTTATTCCAAATTTCATATGTAGCATAGTTTCTCAGGGAAAATTTTCTTATTATTATTTTCTTACTTATTGGTGTAATAGGCAGATCCTTTGATTTTCTTCATAACTAGACAAAAATATATGAAAAACTAGAAAGTTTTAGGAAATAATAGTGTTATTATTTCTATTTTTCCTTTTGTTGCAATTCAGTTAAAAAGAATTATAAAAACCAGAAATTATCATTTTTATTTACTACATAACAACAAATTTAAGTGTTTTTTTAGAAAAAAATATTCTATTTTAATTGAATATTTTCTACTAAGTGGTTACTAAAGATATTTTCAAAAATCTACTAAATACTACTCAAGTGTGTTTTTACAGATCCCGTGATTATGTATATTAGTCATACGTATTTTATGAACAACATTCAATTCAATTCAATTACTTTAATTGAAAATTAGGAATAACTTTAATGAGTAATTTAAATTTTAGGTAGCACATTGAGTGTTGTAAAAAAAATCTAGGTATGTGTATTTGGTTTTGTAAAAAGTCACTATATAAATTTTGAAGACTTGTTATCATTAAAACTCCTTTATTGTGCTTTTATTACATTCATTTTAGAATACAGATTACCTATTTGGAGTCCATATTCAAAATTTGACAGTAATTTCATTAGATGCGTCCAATACTTTTCTTAGATTTATTACCTTTAAATTCAATATAACTTAATAATCATGATTATATAATACAATATAGTTCTTTCTAAATATTCTAACTCTTGCGCCTAGATGTGATCTATCGATTCTAATGAATATTTCTTTAGTTTATAAATTAGATAGTAAAATTGATGCATTCGATTTATTAGTTATTAATTAGAATCCTATAAGAATCTCTGCTTTTTATACTAACATACAGCACAAATTATTTAAAATATTTCCCTATTCCGTATGTGATAAACTTCAAATGAATTTGGATTTTCTTCTTTTCACCTTTAGTAGTAATATTAAACTCATCTAATATTAATATGTGATACTGGGTAGTACAAAACTACATTATTTTATTTTAGTTTAGTTTTATTATCTTTTATTAAATTATAATCCATACATTTTCTAAGTTGTACTATTGGACCCTGCCATTTTGTCCTTTTTGAATAAATTATTATTTTAATTACACAATTTGGAAGTAGTTTTTTTTAATAGTTTAAGTTAAACTTAAACTGGTGACTATTAGAGAACAATAGTGATAACTAGAGAATTCTGTCACTAGAGTTGTATTTTTCCTAGCTATTTTTTTATTTTATTTTCAATGATTATAAATAAAAAGATTTATTAAATTAGGTAATGTAGTAATTAAAAATTTTGCTAACCTATTAGACGATAGTCAGGAGAACCTTCTAAAAGCATATCCTTGACAACTTTATTTATATATGTATACACATATCATTTTATTTATGTTATTTACTTTTATTAGTGTTAGGGTATTTAAATTTAGTATTTCTTGCGAAAGGTCTATTCTTGATATAGGATGCTTATACAATAATTTATTCTCCTGGCTTTATTTAGAGTCTTTATGGATAAAGTTAAAAAAAGACCATCCTTTCCTTCAAATTTTCAGATCTTTAAAGTTGCTTGAGGTTGCAAACACTGAATTTATCAATAATAGCTGTTTTATATTTTTTAGTTATTTCTCAAAAAGAAATTAAAAATAGTTAGTACAAAAAAAAAGAAATAGATTAATATATTTTTTTTAAAAACAAACAATTTACAAATATTTTTTACGGACTAAATAAGTATACACATTTTTTTTTAAAAAATTAATATTTAGATTATCAAAAAAAAAAACATACTAATAAACAGCTCAGCTTGATAAATGTATTACTTGCGACTTCTAGAAATTATTTTAAAAAATCTAAAAACTTTTACCCAGGTGAACATCATTGGTAGTATTTACATAGTTAATATTAAACACAATATTAAAGATAATATCTTTAATTTCGGTATATAATTTGTATACATTTAATCTATATTTTTGATAGTAATTAAAAATATATCATAAGACACAATAAGACTTAATAGGCTCTATAGAAAGAAAAATGAGTTGGCTACGACATATATAAAGAGATTAAGAGACATAACAAGTCATTGAACTGGACATCAAAAGGTAAGTGTTAACTGCTAGATGTAGTAAAATAAGAAAAGACAAAAATTTAAATTCTGATCTTGTTAGTAATTACAATAATTATTTTCAACTTATTTTATCTAAAATTTAAATATGATAGAGAATTCAAAATTCAGGACAAAAGTGTTGTTTTAAACATTTTGTTCGAGACACTGGTACGTTTGATTCAAATGAGGGGTAGGCCAAAAAAGGGCACACAGGAAACGAAAAAGAGAGAGAACTAAGAGGCTGTATGGTTGAAGAAGGAAGAATTAAAATGATTAATGCGATTTTGAGTAGATTAAAGGAACTAAAAAATATATATTACTTGATCATTATCCAATTATTATACATGATTACAGGAATATTATCCATTGACATCTATATCAACTTATTCAATTTTTATTTTATAGCTAAGGCGTATTTATTTTTATTATTATGTCACATAATAGATATTATAAAATATTTTATTATTTATAGCAAAAAAAACTTTATAATTTTTTTAGCTTGGTATAAATTTAAGTTTCATTTAATTGTCTGATAACAAATATTAATAGTTTCTAAATTTATAATTTCTGTTAAAAAGTTTACAAATGTAGTTTTGTTTTAGTTACAACCCCACAAGGTTTAAATACAAATTTTATTTTTGATGTGCATACATATATATATTATATTACAGTAATAATTATTATTATTACTGTCTATATTTTGTATATTATTGAGAATATTTTTAAAACATTTTTTTTGCAATAATATTTTCTGCTTGACTTGTTTAAATATAAAGTAAAACTATTAATTTAACAATAATATATAGTATATATATTATTTAGTTATAATAATATAAGTTTTCTGGAACACCCATAAATGCTATTATTTTTAAATTTCAATGATAAAGTCCATTTGACTTTAGTGTAAATTTTTTTAATTTTAACTGATGAATCATAATAACTCCAGTACAAATTGAATAGGTTCAAACATTATTTGTATGGGTACAATTAACTTTGAAGTATAATTGAGTTGGCTCGTTGAGACTTTTGCAAATCCTCTAATACATAGGTACATTTAATAAAATATGTGTAATAGTAAAAATAATACTAAATAATACTGATATGTATATGTTTTTTAAATTACAATTTAGTTTCTATTTTAAATTAAGACATCGTTACATGTACCAGTTTTAATAAATATTAAGTTTATTATAAATAAAAAAAATATATATATAAATGTATATTGCTAATGATATTAATTATAACTTTCAATACTAAAGAGCAAAAAAAAAAAAAAAATCAAGGCACTAGATAAACATATTTTTTTTAGCATATGAAAATATACATATGTATGTATAAACGTGACAATAATATTATATAGTTGGTTAATACAATGACAATAATGTATAACTCAGTTTAGTTTTAATACTAATAAAAATAGTATATTACAAAATATATTATGAATAAATTAACAAGAAGCGTACATATAAGTAGATTAAAAAAAAAAAATCAAATTAAAGGAAGAAATTAAATATTGATATAAAAATATGGAAAACATTGAACTTTGAAATGTTTTCCTATTTTCTTTTTTTAAATTTTTACAAAAAAACGAAAAAGGGAAGAAATAGTGTGTGTTTACTCATCTTGTATGTCAAGTTCCATCGGTATAGATGTAGTAAAAGTTGGGGTCTCAAGTTCCTCGTGTTTCTTCATCTTGACATTCTGTAACATGAGGTTCTAGCAAAAATCATATAATTTGAACAAGTGGCATCTACAAGGCGACCGGTATAAGCGTAGTCCCAGTCCACTATGTTTCCATAAAATACAATATGTCCACGATTTGTGAACCAGTTTAACAAGAAAGCAAATACAAAACGTCTGATAACGAAATGTCCATGGAAATTATAGCCAAAGAACAAAACTAATTGTTCGAATTCAGAACTTTTCAAAAACAAAATAAATCTCTTGCACAGTATACACATTTTTATCGGGCAATTTTTCCGTCCAGATACATATTACGTACACTTTTTATAAAATAATGTTCATAGACATTTCGAATAGATTTTATTCTACACCCACTATATAGGACTAGGACGTCAGCCTGGTCGCATATCGTTACAGACCTGTTGTTGTTTATAATGGTTGACGATGTCTTGATCAGCCGGGCAGCTTTGGGTAAATGCGTCCAGTTGGTACATATGTAACATGTAACGCCACAAGTACCTCAGGTCTGTCGGGATTTGGAAGTCCATAAAGTACTTACCTGAACAGGTAATATATACGATAAATTTATTAATACACGACAACATATAAATAATTTTTTTAATTTATACATTTTATATTACGTGTAATATCAACTTACCAGCTACTCTGATATGTTGTAGACGGGGCATCAGCTCACAATCAAAACAGCACATTGTGTCACCTGTCAAAAATCTAGTGTCTTTCTTTTCCAAATGTGAATTTATTTTGCGCAAGTGAGACAATAGACTATTTATGCTCACGTCGTCTTTCTTTAAAAGCATAAGCTTCAGTTTCTGTAAATTTCAATAGTTTTGTATGATTATTATAGTAGGTATAGGTAAGGTAGTAAGCAGGGCTTGGAACCATTATGATTTTTTCGGTTTTGGTTTCGGTTCCGTTAATCGAACACTAAACGATAGTTAATATTAAATTATTTGTTACCACCCATTAGGTACGCCTATTTTATTTTTAAAAGAGACTGTTCGGAAATTACTAAGCATCATTATATTATATTATTATATACATTACAATGTAAATAGGTAAGTGGCAAAAAAGTTTTCTAGATTTTTAGCTAACACATATTGACAAAACTAAATTTTCGATTGTGTATTAATAATCGGCGTTTTATTTATTATTCTGGCGAAAATGTTGAGGGTTTCGTTGTTAACAATTTTCTCTTCGGCTGATGCTTACGAGAGTCTCTTTCCGCATTAAACCGAGTGCACTCGAAGGCACTAGAAACGAATTAACCGAGGAAATGGCAATCAAAAACATATTGCCAGGACATTAAAAAAAACCTATCAAACAAAATGACGCAAAAGGGTCGCGTCGCTACACATGGCGATAAATTACATTAAACGGGCACCTTTTCAACCGCATCTTTTTTGGAATTACCGAAAACTGCGGCGGACCAAACGCGACGCGCAGCGCAGCGCCGAAACGCCGAATATTATTATCGAAAAACATTGATTTATTGAATGGATGGTCAATTTATCAATTGCCATCATAATGTACACCGTATTTCGCCGCGGATACCGTATGCTACTTATTAATTAACATCGGCACCTACCTACTGTTTACACTTTTACACTTGTAATAATTACGATTACGAAGTAATACCTATTCATCTAATCATTTATATTATTTGATATGAATAGGAAACGTCTATGTCACCACGACTCACGACTGTCATACGATACACAAATCGATTATTATTTATTTTATATATTTTTATTTATGTTTATATTGCGTTGAAAACGTTACTATGTGTGTGTGGCGTGTGACTCTAACAATAAAAGTTCGTTTTTTTTTTTTTTTTTAAATAATTAATTAATATTAATATATAATTTATTTATTTAATTACTCACTAACATTAATTTTACATTTATATTTTGAAATAAATTCTCTGTATTAATAGAATATTAATACAATGATGGTTAATGATCAATGATCAATATTTTTGACATAGGTAATTAAGTTATTATAAAGCCCAGACTCTTCGCAGAAAAACTGCAAAGGACTCTGGAAATTTTATTTTGTTTTGAATAGGCTAAAAGAAAAATGTTTTGTTTCTCATAAATTTAACTAGAAAAACATTTGGGCATGATTCTTATTTAGCAACATTTTTTTAAATGTGTGTTTCCGATTGGACAATAAGAATGTAGACAAAGTCGGACGATCTATCTGACAATTAATTTGAATGCGTTACATATATCTGATTTTAACATTCACTCGCGAATAGAGGTGGCTATGGTCTATATTGCACAACGAGTGAAAAGTGTCATCTAGCCATATCGAGAGAAGCCGGCAAAACCTTTAAATTTAAGTATAAGATAGGAGATTTTGATTTTACCAATGAGTTAAGCATTAAAAAAAACACATTTTAAATAAATGTATTTAATATTTTTTGAAAATATTAAATTCGTAGCGTTTTTTTTAAAAAAAGATAAGCGATGCGTAAAACCGAACTTTTTTCATTCTTATTGTACACGCGAAAACAATAATAAAAAAATAAATATAGATTTTAAAAATGGCGCCTGTTAGTTTCAAGTTAGTTGGACATTTCAGAAACCTATATTACAAAACTATTATATTGTATACTATCGAATACTTATTGATTATTAAATATCGTCGGGTACCCAGCAAAACCACGTACATAATTCGGTTTAATTTTGATTTGTTGTATTTGTAACAACTTTTCTACTATTAATTTCGCTTTAATAAAAAATTGTATAGGAACTGTCTTGATTTTTCATGCAGTTTTCTTGCCACAGTTTTATAAAATTTGTTGACATTTACTTTCGAGAAGTTTTACTGGGTAGCCCGACAATATTATAATATTATATTTATCAATAACTCAATACATGGATAAAATGATTAACAAACATATATCTACGTATGGTCATTTTGTTTTATTTCAATTATTAGATTATTATTTTCTGATTTTAAATTCAATCTGTTACACATAATAACAATTATTTTTTCATTTACTGGCAGTATTCTACCTGTTTTAGATACCTAACTTGAAATTTGTTTTCTAATAACCATGAGTATCAACATATGTAGTTTGTAATAAATATTATTTGTTTTAATTTGTCACTAAAATGCTTTTTATGTTTATTTAAAACAAATTACTATATTAACATTAGTTTTTAGTTTTTTGCATTTTACTCATTTGACAAAGGGCCCACATGTTTTAGTATTTATGTTCAGCATATAAATTAGACCTCAGAATATTAAACAATTTAATTATGACGGCTATTAAATTGATTCATAAATTCGATTAATAGAAGTTATTCATATTTCATTTTAATAAACTCTATTCAAACTGAAATTTATACTTATTTTAATAACTGCTGGTGATTACAATTTTGAGTTTTACAATAATTACACGAGTTTGCAAAATAAAGAAATCGGATAGTCGTTGAAAATGCCCAATGAAATATTTATGTCAAATAATGCCTATGATTGTTTTTTTTTTTTTATATTTATATACATACATAAATATAATTACAAAATAATGAAAAATGTGGAGAAATATTCGACTTTATTCGCCCGAATTAAAAAAAAAAATTACTTAGGCCGTGAAATAGGTTTAATACAATGTTTTAAAATTAAACACGTATTGCATTTTTTTTTAAATAACATAATGATAATTTCAAAGAAAAAAGAAAAATTCTATAATTTTAAAATATTTATATTATACGGACACGGTAAACCTTGGTTTTTTTTTTTTTCATAATATCGTGTAATTGGTTAACATTAAAACGATGACGAGTCAATTAAAACATTGACAATTTTACAATAATAATGCTGTTAAATTTTTAACACAATATTATATTTTAATGTATAGACGAAGTGCAGTACAGTGTTGATATTATCGAGTTTGATAATTTAATAAAAAACGACCATACGTTGCGTATGACAACATTAATATCATTTATCAGAAATTGACAAAATTTATATTACAAAACCGTGTATACATAGTGACATTATGTAGGTACTGAAAAAAAATTGCGTTTAATAATATGTAAAAATTTAATTGTATAATGAGGCCCATAATGGGGAGAAGTTATTTGAACAAGTTGAAATAACATAAAGATATTAAATAGGTCGAACGTCATTTTTTAAACATCATAGCTCTCTCTATATGTACTGTACAGGTATACGTGTAGGTACGTGTGTCAGAACGAACGGAGGAATGAATAATCTAAAATGAATGTCGTTTCGAAACAAATCGAGGGCTGTAGTAGACGTTTAAGTAAGTTGTACAAGCATTCTAGATAATTGACGCATTGTTCAAACAGTACCCGTGAAACAATCTTCACAACAGGTTATGGGGAAATAGTGTTTCTATAACCATAAACCAACGATAGACAACTGAGAAAGAAAAAAATAGATGTGATAAGAACTTTTATTGACAGTAAAATTCGCTGAAAGACATAATCATAGTATAGAACAACATTGATTGCTTATTCCGTATAAGGAACTGCACTTGCGCAAACCGCACACGCCAACGAAGTTTTTTTTCATGTAAACTATTTAAACGAAAAGGGAAAATGCAAAACATAATTTATTGTTTTTTTTTTTGTTGTAATTATTATTATAATATAATCAAATACAGTAATCTTTGCGAAAATACCCATTGCGGAAACTCACATAAGTAGGCATAGGTATCGGATGTATAATAGCTGTTTACGTATAAAATATATCGATTTATATTAAAAAAACAAAACAAAACAAACTGATATACTTCGTACGATGAGTGAGCTACTTTTGTAGATGAGAAGTTGGGAAGGTAGAGGGGAAATTTAATGTATATCTGTACGCAAGGATTAAACATTGCTAGCAAAAAACAAATCTGAGTGTTCAGTTGTACATGTTTTGAAAGGCCGTAATATTTACGATTTGAAAATAATACATTCCGTAAATTTTCTCGTTTTTTTTCCATTTATTATGAAAATACCATCACCCCAGTCCAGTTTCCTTTCAGAAAAAGTGACAGACTTGAAAATCGGAGCAAAGATTCTGATAGAAAAGTTGTTCACAGAAAAAATAAAATAAAAATTATTATAACACATTCTTCGATCCGTTCAGAATCTAAAATGACAATATTTCAAGCTATAAACATTGAAAATTTAATAATATTATAATAAAACATGGTAATCGTTTCATCACGATTCAGCGATTATCTCAAAGGATTTTAAGCGAATTTGAGTGTTACTTTTCTTCTAATCGTTAAAGCTTAATTTTAAAATGTGTCCCCCTTTTTTATACCTTTAATGTGTATACACTTTGGATTGAAAAATGAAAACTACCATTTTAAACACAGATTCGAATAGAGTATACTATTCTAAACTGTTTGATATAAATAGGCATATTATAAAATAAACTGTTTATGAGTTCTACAAATCTAGTACATTTAGATTTAAAAAGTGAGTAAGGGTAATAAACTGTATATCAATTTATATATGAATACTCTTTATGTGTTCGTGTAAGATATAAAGGAAGTTGAGGTAAACATTTGAAAATAGCGTTATAATAATAAGCTTAAAACGATTCCATAATAATCGTAAAAAAATCATTCTGGTTCAAATTGACTTAAAATCCTTCGAGATGGCTCGTGGATCATCGATGACATAATCGTTCTGTACATACAGTATAGATACAGACACTTTGCAATAAATTATTGGTTTCAAAGCCAACCCGAGAGGGGGGGGAGAGGAAAAATTTCGAAACATGTGTAGGCGTAGTAGTGTGCGTGTTACTTCTCACGGCTGTACATCGTTAGTTAAGTTTTAAATTTATTATATAAATATCACAAATCAACACAATATATTATATTATTATAATATTAAACTGAACAATAGCACGCGACATCTATTTTAAACTCCATAACGCGAACATTAACTTAAGCTTTAAAACGAATCCCAATCGTTTTTTCGAATCTTTTAGCACAATATCTCTTGTAAAAACGTCCGTAGGAGTTTTTTGTACTTGTTTCAAACATAGCCGTTTGAGTGCGTGAATATAACAACAGTCAAACGGCGTTACGACCGCATATGAAAAAATATTAAATTAAAATCTTATCGCGGGAATTATATTATAATTTGTAAGATATGTGCACGCATGGTATACAATAATTTTCAACAATTTATAGTTATATTGAAAAAAACTGTAGATTATTATGGATGTATAGAAGTAAAATTCCTATATCCATTTGGTATTGCTGCGATTCAGCGATACACGCGATAACCTAACCTATCGCAGCAAAGAAACCCAACAAACTACAATTTAAAATTATTTTTTTTATTTTTTACATCGCACGAGTCATTTCTATAAGCTCTGCTTCTGCAGAATGCGTATTATAATAAAACGTAACGAAATGGAAAGTGAATCGGTCGCGACGGCTTTAACATTTTTTTTTTTTTTTTTACTAAGCTATAATAATAAAATGACATTTAGGGCTGACTATAGTTATAGTTATATACGTACACTGTACAAGTTTTCAATCAGAGTGGCCACTTCTTTATCTTGCACGAATAGATTATATCCACCAGGCACGTTCTTCATAATATGTCTTTCGATTTTTTCATTTTCCAAAACGGCCATTCCGTTGTCTATTAAAATCGGCGGAGGATTTGCATCGAAATTACTCCTGAAAAATATGGAATAAAAAAACGTTAATATTTAAATGCGTTATCAGGCGAATTTGGTTTAAGGAAATCTTTAGAACATAATTTAAAAACTCTGGCATCCAAACGCCATCTATGGCTGACTATACTTATGACTTTCCGGTTCATTATTTCAGTAATCGGTGGTTAAACAGTAAAAAAAGGCTACGTATGCTTCGAAAATTGAAATTGATAAAAAAAGGTCGGTGATTAAATTGAATTCGACGCGATAGTCGGCGAAATTTTCTACAAAACTTGAAAATTGGTTCAGAATATGAGTACACGAAAACTCAACGGCCATTAACTACCCGATGACCATCGCATCTACCGCCGCAGAAGTCTGTCATCCGAATACTGACTGCTTACACAATATTTAAATTTTCGGACGTGTAACTGTCAAAATTCATTACATTTTTTCTGAATGTTATGTTGTTACTTTTCCACGAAAAATCGTAATCCGATCTCCAAGAAAATTTTGTTTAGTTAATGCATTGAGGACATTTTCTAGAAATTGTTTTAATAATTGGAGGAATAAACGAAATAATTTACACAATAACGGTTTCGCTTTTGTTTATTTGTTGTAATTCGATTAAAAACTTAAAATTTGATAGATACCTGAAATTGTCTCAAAATTCTTATACATCAGCTCTTTCTAGGCGTGGTAAAATCTTAAAAACATTATGGTGATTTTTGAGTTTTTTGACAATTATTATAATCTTAACCGACAGCAGTGGAGAATCAATTTATGATCCTCCAGTTATAATTATTAACTATAACCTAACCTATAACCTTATTGTTTACCAACAAGTATTTATCAGTGTCTATTCTGCAGTTCCATTAAAAACTGTTAAAATAATTTTGGTTACATTTTATTAGAACTTTACATTTTCCCCTGTTTCATATATTTGTGAGCTTCGAAAAAACTTCACATTTTTTTTAATGACCATAGAAAAGTATGTAGGCATAACTGAAAAAATAAAATAAAATACTATCAATTTATATTCGAAGACAATAGTCGTATTTCCGAGTATTATCTGTGAGTAATGAGTTACCTATAGGTACGTATTAATTAAACATTATAGTTTGATTATAGTTTAAAATAGGTTACACAAATGTTTTGTTATAGAAGAGAACAATGGATATAATTTTTTTTCTTTATCGCAATATAGCAATAATTTCAAAGAATAAACAATAAGATAAACTGCTATTAATGTACACATTTTTCGTTTTGTGGTTAGAAGATGGTATTATTATTAATCGTAACATCTGTTATACAAAATGTCAATACTGCAATACATATTTTTTTTATTTTTTTTTTAACTTTTAAGTAAATATAATTTAAGTCTGTGGCGTACCCGTGAGGGGAAAGGAGGCATCTAAGGTTGCTTCATCCTCCCATTAGCCGGTATTATAAGTACAAACTATTGAGAATTTAAAAATGATCTATTTATTTATAAAATCAAGTTTAGTTTATATTGACTTTTTTTTTACAAAATTACAATTTTATTGCGATCTAGACGAAATTATACACACTTGACACTCAAAACAAGAGAAAGGTCACTGTTTATACTTTTTATCTTGAAAATGAACCCCCAAAGAGTGGTTGACACAGAATGTTTGGTATTTTTGAAACGCAAACGGACCTTTTTTTGTTAATTTATGCCTTTTGGGTTACTTTGGTGACACGTATGAAAAAAACAAACAGTTATTATCATGTAATTTGATTATCCCGAACATGGGAGCATTCTTTTTAATAGATAAATTACCGATATTATTACTATATTCACTGTGATAAGGATAAAGGAGAGCCCGGGAAATACAGGGTATTTCAGCTAATTACTAATAAAATAATAACCATTGACTAATTTCAACCAAGTACAAATTGCACTACATAATTATATTATTATTTTTTCGGTTTTTTTAGTTAGCCACACACACACAAACTCCAATGATAAATCCTGAGCATACCACTGGAGTAAGTATATTTTTAAACAACTTAGTTTTAAATGGATTATACATCTATAATCATGTAAAAAATTTGATCATTATAATAATTTGAACAACGCAGCTAGGTCACGAAATATAATATTCTGCTGCGTTACTTTTATAATTATATGAAATTATACATTATTTTAATAGTATACAATTAGAAATAAACAGAACAAATAGACAACTATTATAGTGAAATATTAGAATACAATATATTAATAATTATATTTTTTAAATTAAATTATTTTTCAAATTAAAAAAATTAATGGTGAGCTTTATCTGTTTTTATCTATGCCATATTCCGCTGTTTTCGTCCAATATATAAAATATATTATAAAGTAAAAACAAATTCTGATTATAATATTAACACAATAACAAGAATTCGTAATAATCGATTCGAAATAAAAGTTTAAATTAAATAATTATATTTATTAAAAATTAAGTTGTATAATTCCTGTGGCAATTGATGATTCGTAACAATATTCATTATTCATATAATGAAATATTATACTTTGCGAAGAGATATTATCATCTCGAATTCAAAAAAACGTTAATTATTTTCAATTATCTATAATGAAATACACATATATTATAATAATCATCAATATCTGGTGTACATTTGTAATCGCAGTACTGTGCCCATACACATAATTTATGTACAATTTGATTAATCATCCAACTTAAGAAAATAATTAGGTATTTGGAAACCATAATAAATTCATATTTATATTACCAACAATAAATTACCTGAAATCTGGTGGGGGTTTTTGCATGTCTACTGTGGTAACTTTAAGACTGATGGTTTTAAGCTCGGCGAGTAGATATAGATCCATGAAGTATTCTTGGCAAAATAGACATGCTCCCTTTCGGCGTCCATCAATTGTTGATGCCTGAATATAAATGAAAAAAAAAATTATATATTTTATTAATTTTAAAAGTTTATAGTTGTTTTTTGACTCATTTTTTATTAAATTAAATATAATATGTATATTATGCCTAACTTAACCTTCAACTTTGTGTCTATACATGCTTATATGCGATTACAATAATTTTGTATGTATATCATCAGTAATTTAAGCCATACGTAAATTTATATTATTATATGCAAAGTTTAATGGAAAAACTAAAACTACCTATAAGGAAAAACAAAAAATGGCCTCTCCTATGCACCAACAAGATCAAAAATAAAATAAAAAAAGATCTTTCATCGTTTTTTGATTAGAGCAAGATTTTTGGTAGAAAAGCTTACAGATACACACACAAAAAAATAATTTATAATGTTAACCATTTATAATTTTATATTAATAATGAAAAAAATTTGCACCTATAATTAAATAAATTATTATTATTTATTTTTTCACAGAAGGATAATGGTGTATACTATTGTATAAAACCATAATTATATTTACCCTCCGTGTGTAAGTATATTATGTTTAATATGTATTTATAATACTGTACAATGTGCATAGTAATAAAATAATATAATCGAATAGATTTTAAGACAAACAATATTATGACTCAAGTTATTTTACATTAAACATATTGTATTCTCAATACACCTATGAGTCACAACCCGCAAGAATTATGCGAGTATAATAAATATAATATGATGGAAGATTACAATCTACAAAACATGTACGTATAGGTAATTGATTATTAAATTAGAAAAAGGTCAAAATAATGTATAAAACGTCTACATACGTAATTCTGATAAAAATATTCAAGAGTTAAAAATATCACATATAATATATGCACTATTATTTTATATGACCAAATAATAAAACAGTAATTTTACAGAAGTGAAATTTACAAAGTTCAACGATATTATACACATATATTTATTATACAGGTAAATTGGTCGATTAGGATGAAACATTAGTATTGTATAATATTATTACTATATTATTCAATTTGAATACCTATGATGTAAAAAGATAATAATAAATGTTATTTAAATCGGATCGAATGAATAGATAATTATATTTTATGTAATAGATGGTAAATATGGAAGATAATTTTTTTGATTTCCTTGTAGATTTCATAATAATTGGGGAAAAAACGGGAAAGTATACGGCAATAACACGATTTCAATTTTTTTTTATATAGGTTTTATATATATAATAGGTATAACAGTATTTAAATACTTTGAATGTGTATAAATTTAAAAAATCGAATGAAATGTGTAAATGCAGTTTTCGTTTTGTACACACAATTTTAATGCCGAACCAAAACACGTAGTGCAGACTGTGCAATATTTGATAAGTACAAATATTGTGCTGCACCTGCTTCGAGTGGTTAGGTATAACCACTGCATAACCACTGCAGTATATACGAACACGCACAAGTACACAAGATCTTAAATTATGTTACGTCAATTTGTAGAAAACATTATCATTAATTTTTTTTTTTTTTTTTTAATGCGTCTAAATAGGATACAAATCTAATAACAATAACACTATCATAATTTTCCTGGGTTATCCAATTATAGAATATAAGGAAGACAACCTTTAGCGAACAATAAACAAAATGTCCATCAAATATTATGGCCTCTTATTTTATTTTACGGCTTATAGGTCAAATAATATTTTTAGCGAAGTTTTAGTGTCCAGATTGCACATCCCGTAGAGTAATATTTTACTTCTGGGTATCCACTAGAAAATAAATAGTACATTTTTTTTAACAAAATATTATATATTTTATGTGGGAAATCTCTCACTGGTAGTGGGAATGGTAACAAAGGAAAGTCAAAAGTTAATGGTTTCGTTTATATGCTTGTGGAACTTTAAAGTGACGGGGGTATGGAGAATAGTCAATAAAAAATGCCCTAGTATAATAGGTGCAAACTATAATAACTATAATAAGTAAATATATAGTTTATTGCGATATAGTTTGACGGTAACATTTGATTATTATTTTCGAGGAATAATGATGTACGTTTGGGGTATATTGTTATCCGCAGTGCAGTACAATTCAGGGGTAGGTTCTAGTGGCATGTGCTCATAGATTTTTGGTTATTTATAGGTATACTTTATTGCTTAAAAAAAGTAATAGGTTATATATTATTAATGCCCCTACTCTCCGAATTTTTTTCCGGTTACGGTATTCGCGTAAATCGTTAAAAAAAAAGAAAATAATAATAAAAAATATTTCCTCTATAGTTAGTATAATAATTCAATATTAATACTATATTAAATTTTGTTCTAGACGTCGCGGTCGGTAACGGATTATTATATTTTTTTTACATAATCCACCAAAAAGAGGCGGGTTTACTATAATAATAGCCACCGGTTAACCGTGCAGTATATTTCTATAATATTATAGGAAAAATAATAAGTTTTTATAGCTCTAAAAACCTATCGCTATATTATATAGGTACCTAGTTGTGTGTTTGTCTGTGTACCCAGTGGGGGAAGGGGGGGGGGGGTCATGACCTATGAAAGGTAATATTATCGTTGAACACATTCGAATGAAAGCGACAGTTTTTTTTCTTTTAATAAAACAATATCGTAAAGTTCGTTACAAGGCGACCGACTACTTTCACAATATTTCCATACACATCGTGAACGGGTTTTTTTCTTCCTTCAAACCGGTTGTAATAATAATATTACGAGCCTATAATAATATACCTATACCTACAGTGCGAGTATTGTACGCATGAAATTCATAACACGACACAATAATAATATTATTATACATACCTACCTACATACATTTCCGCAGGAATTTACTCACTAAATATTTACGGAGATAAGAGTAATATAATTATTATGTTGTGCAACGTTTTTGGTGTGTCGTGAACAACCGCAGGGCCATTTTTTTTTTTTTTTTACAATAATAAATAATAATATCATGTGCGATATTATACAAATTCAATGCTAAAATATACCTAATATTTATAACATTATACGATAGTAGCGATCAGTGATACTGTAGAAAGAAGTTCAGTTTTCCCAACAAAAACGACGAAATATCACTTTATAGGGTATGGAGCAGTCGTCCGAAAATGATAACGGTTCGAAAGCGTAATTTCTATAACTATATTTAAATTTGTTACATTTGAATATTAACACTACTATTTTAAGATGTAGTATTGGAAGTGTATGGAAGCGATTAAGTTGGACAGAAGGGAAAACGAACAAAGAAGACTTAGAATAGTAAAAAAAAAACAAATATTTATGGATGTGATCATTACAAGGTGTTGGAAAATTGTTGGGCATGCTGTGAGACACTTTGAAGAAGAGCTGCATAAAATAATTATAGTAGGTATATTAGAAGGAAAGAAAATTGCAAGACGTCCCCGAAATGTTTATACATAGAGCAATTTAAAAGAGATGCATGAGTCAAAACTTTTAAGGAATTGAAAAAGCGAAAAGAAAATGCGAACAACCGATTGGAATGGAGAATTTAAGTTGTATATCAACCTAAAGGTTGATAAAAAAAAATAAAAAAAATACTATTACATATATTTTTACATTAAAATACAGTAATATTTATTATAAAATATTATAAATTTAAATATAGGTATAGAAATTATACACTCAGAACGTTGCTGTTCGTTTTAGATCCTGAGTGTAGCGAAGAATTTATTGGTTTTAAAAAGATATTTATTACTTTTTATTTTTTTATGCTGTGTAGAAAAATTCTACCAGAAATATTGTTCCGAAGTATTAAATATAGCACCTTTTCTGAAAGGCAATTTTCCTGGAATGGTACTTAAAAAAGGTAATTTTTTGATTTTCTCAGCAGATTTCCCAATAAATGGGAAAAACATAATAAAAGTGGGAAAATAGATACAATATTAAACAAATATTGATAAAGAAAATATGTAATGCATATTATGTAATATTTTACAATAATGTGACATATTTATAATTATTTATTATTATTATATAATATATATTGTTAACAAAAAGACAATATTCACTGAACTCTGCTCAGAATCGTTTTTCGTTAGTAATGGTTAATAGTTGCATACAGATATACATTCAATTTCTCCTCTGCCTTCCCAACTTTTTATCTAAAACAGTAGCTCATCCACGTGAGAAGCATTTCATTTTTTTTATTAGCTGTTCTTATCATTTTCGAATAATTGTACACATCATGTATGTTAATTTATAACCGAGCCACATTACCGAAATTTTATCATATACCGGATTTGTTGTAATATAGGAGTAGGAATATAATAAAAATGGTTTTTAATCAGCAAAAATTCAATTCAATATGCTGATAAAACCAAAACGTTAGATTATTAAATTTAGATAATTTTTTTTTGTAAAGTACCCGAGTATATTTGGTTGAGTCAGGTTTATTGTTATTATTAGGTAAGTATTTGAGTAATTAAGTTCGAGTAATCAAAAAATACCTATACTTGATGAAAATCCAATGAAAATTGTCTACATAATCATTAACAAAACACAAACGATTTCATTTAAATAATTAAAAAAACAAATGTTGGTTTAAACTTTAAAATAAAAAACTTGATATTGCAACATAGATATTGAAAATGTCCATTGTAGGTACTTTAATTGTTTAAACAAAACGAGCCAAGAGCAGTATGACTTCTAAAGAAAATACAAATGTCTGCCCGTAGTTAAAGTAGAAAGGATATGGGTAATATATTTTGAAGTCATAGTAATAATTAAAATAAATAATACGGGCACATTCAGATAATTAACAGAAAGCAAATAATAATAAATATGACGTAGAAGTGTATTTAAATGGAAAATAACATAAAATCATATATTAATATAATAATAGCCAATTATAGGTAATATAGGTAATTTTTTTTTTAAATTTATGTGTGCCTAATTATATAACAATTATACCTTCTATATGCAATGTACCTATAATAAACTATTATTATAAGCCTAGATTTAAAAAAGACATCCTAGGATAATGGGGACGGATGCAGTCACTGTTATAGATAATTTAATGCATACCTGTAAACAACAATAAACCATTGCTTACGAAAAAACAATTTTGAGCGGAGTTCAGTAAAAAGTGATCAACAATATATATGTCATTTTATAGTAAAATAATTAAATAGGCTTTTTATATATTTTTTTTAATAATATTTGTTTAATATTGTACCAATTTTCCATGTTTTATCTCGATTTTCCACATGCTGGAAAACTCTTGAAAAAATCAAAAAATGACCTCCCCAGCTAAAATACCTCCCCACCATTTTCCTTCAGAAATGGTGCTACACGTAAAAATTCGAACAAGTCTTCTGGGAGAAAAGTTGCACACAGATAGAAAAATAAAATAAATCTTTGTAAAACTATAAGCTTCTTCGCTCCACTCAAAATCTAAAAATCAAAGTGATTATAATTTATAATACACCTATATAATGATTTAAGTGTAATTTTAAATACATTTTTTTTTTCTTAAAATTGTAGTGTTTTTAATAGGCATGTACATTATATACATATTATATATAATTTAACGAAAATATTATCAAGTAGGATGAGCCGATATTAAACATATAATATTATTACTCGTTTACTTCCAAGTCTTATTTCTAGTCCGCAAACAGAAAACAAATGAATCATGGATACAAGAACTTATAATATCCGTGCATGACCATGGGTCATATGTGAGAGAAAGCAAAACATCAAACGGTATTGTGTGACAAGGAGAAAGCAAAATGGGTGCCACGACCCAAACCTAGAACAATATAAGGCACAGCCGATGATGTACACGAATACTAATCTGTGTTTATATAGATACTATACGAGAAATGCTGAACTATACCATACGTATGTTTGCACGAAGTTAATAAACAGACCATATGTCAACCAAGATTTCGAAAAGTCAAACTGAAAATAGAGAAATCAACAGTTGCGATGAGACAAATATTAATGACTATATAATAACCGACCATAAACATAACTACGTGCACGATTATTTACCATTAGTCAAAAAAATAAAAACCAATATGGGATATTCGGATGGGTATTCAAGATAACTGGTTTTACTTTCAAGATAATATACTATGTACATACAAACACTAAAAGTAATAAATAACGCAATTCGTATTCTTTGAACTATTTGTTTTTAGAATCTGAGTGGAGTAAGGAATGTATTAGTTTTACAATAATGTTTATTTTTTCTTTTATCTGTGAACAACTTTTTCACATAAAATCTTAATCTAATTTTCAAATGTGTTACTTTCTTTAAAATTAAACCTTATCTGAGTGGTACTTTAAGAAGGTGGTTTTTTAATTTGTCAAGCGGTTTTCGTAATAATTGGGAAAAGCGAGAAAAACGTATTAAAAATATTAATATTTACGAAATATTTCAATTTTATTTTTAGTTGTAATTCAGTTTAAAATATTCGTAGAGATTTGAAATTTGGACGAAAATTTAAATTTGCCTTTTCTAGACATAGTAATATGTTCAAAACATTTGACCCATTTTTGAGCTATTCGTAAACATTTTAATTTTGCGAGTTTTTTACATAATTTTTTTTTTTGTAAGTACTCTGTGGATAAAATTTTTAGACCAAACAGATATGTTATGCTAATAGAGAATTTTTTTATATAAATTTGAATATCATATTTTGACGATAATTATGATCAAATTGATAAAATCTAATTTCAAAATATGTATAACCGAATTCCGCTTAGAAACGTTTTTCGTTAGAAATGATTAATAGCTGCAGATATACATTAAATTCTCCTCTATATCGTACCTTCCCCACTTTTCACCTACAATAGTGGTCCACCCATCGTGCCAAGCATGTCCGTCATTTTTTTTTTTTTAACGATAAAATTAAATGACTAACAAGACTGATAATTTGGGTCTATCTATTAAAGCATTAAATTAGTTTTGTCGTTTATGTTTAAACGATTTATAGTTATCGTGGTCATTAGTCTTGCAGTGAAGTTACAGTATAATAGTGTTAAATAAAAATATCTATTATTATATAATATTATGATCATATCTATTTTATGAATTGATCGCCAGAAAACCTACCGAAATTTTTACCTACCATCAATTATTATTTTTTTTTTATAAAAAAAAGTGATGAAGTGATCTAATTATTATTATATTTAACATAACACATTATTTAATATTATCGTATTATAAGTTCAAATTAAATTAATTTTATATTTTCTAGTTAATTCGACGTTCGTTTAAATTTAAAAAGATACCGGCAAATCTATAATCGATATAATTTGGCAGTCAGTGAGGTGTGTTTACATAATAATATGAGATTTGAAGTTAAAAATTAGATTTTATTTTACTTGGAAGGACTGAAACCCTTCACGTTCATGCGTATAAATACAAAATATCGCTTTATGCAGCAAAATATTTACGTCATTGATTATCAGAATTTGATCCCAAAATGCGATTTCTTCACTATTAGAAAATTTACAAAAGTTTTGAAATTATCAATACAATTGCGTTATATTTAAACAATTATATTATAACAATTTTAAAATACAAATATATTAGGTTAGTTAGTTAATAAATATAAACAATAGATAGTTATTGATTTAATTACAGTGTAAAATATTGAGAACCATTGCCCACAGTAATGGATTGCGTCGCGGCAGCTTGCCAAGGAATCTGACTAATAATACAGACAGGCTATGAAATAATCTTGCGTTTGCGGTTTTTTTTTTTTTTGATTTTTGAGATTTATTGCTCGTAAGCTATAAAACAAATTCATATAAAATGATGAGTAAAACAACATGTTTTTAGTCCAAATTATTGAATACTTAAAGAAGCTTATGTTTTATATCTTCTTCATTTTACGATCATGGAATGCATATTCTATCACATAATTTTAACGTTTTAACTTGTAAAATAATACAGATTTTAAATTTTCTGCTATTTTATTAGGTAAAATGGGTTTTTAAAGGATATAATATATAAAACGCACAAAAAACTCTATAGTTTGTTGAAAACAATACTGTTAAGACTATTTCTTTAAAATCCAATGACTTCGGCGCCACTAAAAGCATGTCGGTAAAAGTGCGTTATACATTACTATGTATACAACGTTCAATTGTTAATTTGGCGCAGACTTAAATTAGTTTTAAAGGAAGTTTCAAAAATATTGTCTTCATTTTGTAGGTAGAGAGCTTTTTGTATTGGTTATATTTCATTAGTATTAATTTTTGCCCCTGAAATTGTACACGAAATACTCATCGCATACATCATACTATAAGCTACTATCAGCATCACCTTTTATGGCTATTCCCTTCCTCTCATCAATTAAATTTATCGTTTTGGTGTAAAATTACAATCGGCTTTATTACCTATAATATACTATTAAACGTATCTTCAAATCTAATAATCAGATTTTGGTCAAATATGCATCGAACCACCTATAAAGTGTTCTTACGAAAAAAAAAAAAAAACTCAATTGATGCATATTTGCTGGAATTATGTGCGTACTCGTACATACATAAAAATATATACCCAATGAATAATTATACATTTTGTTTTTTGAAGTCAGTTATAAAGAAGTTTTATGTTTTTCCTCCAAATTCGAATGCATTTTCTGCGTTGTTTAAAAATAATGATAAACAGTTCACGTACAATATGAAAATACAGCATTTCGTTTAGTTAATATTTGAATAAAAATATAGATCAAATGTATTTTACTGTATATAGCGTATGTAAAAAAATATCGTACATCATAATACTCGTGTACCTAGTAATATATTATTATTATAACTATTGATACTCGCTTTTCCAATTACCGCCATACACAGATCGAACTGAACTTAAACCGTGTACTTCAAATCTTAACATTTTATTTTAATACAGAATAATAATAACTTATATCAATTCACAGTATACAATTCAGCACTTCATAGAAATACAAGCTAAACAGAACATTATAGTGCACAGACACGCACGACGTTATTAATAAAATACCCCCATTTTGTGTTAGTCGGAAAATAACATGTATGCAAAATGTAAATCTTTAAATAAAAACGTACGCACGTACGTACAGTAGGCATATGGCACAATATAATTATGAGTTAGCGTTAAATAGACTATAAACAGAGATAAATATTGCACTTATAAATATGTAAATAAAAAATTTAAAAAAAAAACTAAATAAAACAACTTAATTAGTGCCTATAAATATTGTTGTAACTAATAATTAAATGCATACAATTTGATCATAAGGAAGGCGACTTTATCATTATACCCAACCCGTAGTGTTGTAAAAAAGTAAAATATTGCGGCTGCAGCGTACCTACGACGAGTGGATAGATTGTGAACTGATAATGATGTAATTTGCTGAGGCCTGCAAATTAAGTATAATATGTGTACAACTGTACACATGCAACTAATGTGTGTAAATAATTCAGTCAATTGTACCAAAAATTCCATGTAGAACTTACCCAGTTAGTAGTGTATGAGTTAACTAACACACGCTATACACGAATTTTCGAATAAAATTGAACTTAACAACTTATCAATGTGTAACAAACATTGGATAATAATAAAACAAACGTTACGGGTAAACTCGATACATTATTATGGCATATATGCGCCTGTAATACCTACGCGTACGTCAAATTGCAATTTATAACCGTGTGATTTAATATTTATTCGATCCCATAAACGTATATACGCTATTATAATATTATTATAGTTTACAACGGGAAAAACAAAGATTAATACTATTTGCCTACGCTAAATTGATATAAAATTGTGTACACGCAAATATTGGGGAAACTTCTCAGTTTCGTCTTTGCATGCCATCGAGATCATAGTGTGACTCGATTCGCATTGTTTGCTGGGCATAACGCATCGGCATCACGTTCAGTATCGAATTGAAACGGCACGGGGTAAATAATTCAGGTAGGAGAAAAAAACGCACGTCAACGGATGATAAACGATCAAACCGTAGCACATTAACAATGAGAGAACACTGCAACCTCGTAGTGACAAACAGTAAATAGATACTATGTTTACCGTGAGAATATACAATAAGCGATGCTGTCCTAGAACGACAAAAATACATGCATAGCAGAGACTGGCGTATAGTATTATTGATATGATAAAATCCAGTTTTTCATAGAACACCAATCTAATTATCTATTTTTGTTTGAAATTCATTTTTTTTTTTTTTTATTAAAAACATTCTTAATAACCGAATGAAATGCTTTCCTTTTCAAACAGTTGACTCGTTATTATTTACTTAATTTTTAATATGCAATTTATATATAAAGATATAATATAATGTAATGAAACCGGAATACTCGGCATATTATAATAATTATGTAGAATACTTATAAAATTACAATATCAAGCAGAGAAAACATGTCTACACTACGAGCACTGACCAGTTTCTTTGAACGAGCGCCTCTCTAAAATATATTTTACATATTACTATTAGTTATTTACCCGGTTATTTATTAAGATGGAAAAATTAAAATTGTCTGTCAAATGTTTTATTCAATTTTTTAAAAAAAGAAGATATTTAGACTAGTATCAGAGTCTATGTAGACACCGATTACATCATACCAGTCATAATAATATATTACACATACCGGTTATTACAGATTTGTAAGGTTTAATTCAAAGGGACCCGAGGATGTTATAATATTTTAGAGTATTTCTCCGGTTTTGTATAAATAATAATATTTAAACCGTTAAAACTATAGGAACGCAAATTTCCAAAACTGGCAAACGTGTACAACTATTGGTTAGTATTCAGGGGCCTAGTGTAATAATGTTCCTATAGTTACACAAGTTAACAATTTAATAGTATTAAAAATCATAAATGTAGAGATTAATAGAATATAACTGGCATCCTATATAGATAAATAGCTAGGTGAGAATGCTGGCGAGATTTTTTTTGATATCTAAAGGGGGCCAAACTTATTCTCAATCTTCTATTTATTAGGTACTCTAGTACAGTGGTCATACTCATAATTCATATCATATTTCATACTTAGTATTATAATAGCATACATAAATAAATAATACTTAGATTTGTAATAAAAACGAATGATTTTTTTTAGAGAAAATTTGAAACTAATATTATAGGGATTTATTTTATAGGCATACATCATAATATAAATTATTATTTTATAAATTCATTTATTTATAGTTTGATTTGTTTATTTTTGAAAACGAGTGGAAAATATTTATTATGTAAAAATCATTATTTTTCAAGCAGCAATTCAAACTGAAATTACGTGATGCCTTGTACATAGGTGTATATCTACTTGACAAGTTTTAAACAATGAATGTTCTAGTGTGGGCACATCAAATTTCATTATATATATGTATATGTTAAAACACTGAGCAATCGGTATTGTAATGTAAATTCTGTTTAACGTGGAACATGAAAATCTCCATAGCCGGATGTATGCTGATACCTATTGTTGCGTGATTAATTGCCGCCTTGACCCAACACACAACACCGGGTCCAATTGTTAAGAATATAGCGATAATTTGTACTAATTACTGAGTGTATAAAATATGTTCCATGAGTTTTGTCAACTATAATGTTATAAAAATATTCAATAATATTAACGTCCAAGGTATATGTAGTTTTACATTTGATAATTTTATATTCTGAGCGCAGCGAGGAATGTAATGGTTTTACAATGATGTTTATTTTTTTTTTATAGTGTGTATAAAAAATCTACCAGAATTATGCTCCGATGTATCAAAATATATTTTCAAAATTTTTAGATTTGTATTAATTGTTAGTAAGTATAGAAATGTACAAAATAATTGACAGTTATTTTTTTTTTTTTTTTTTGAACATGTAAAATGAAATTATTGTAAAATAAAGATTTATATTCAAGACATATATAATAATTTGTTTTTATATATACCCTCAAAACTCCTCTTAAAACTATTTGCAAGTTATAAAATCTAAACAAACGCACCTATACTATTAGTTGTAGTTATACTATAGTAGTTAACATAATTTCGTTATTTTTATTAACGGGCCAATGGAATAGTCGTGAATGATGTCATTGTCTGTTAAGTCTATTATAACTTATAATATTATCATACATGTGTGATGTATATTTATATGATATATTAAATATACAAATCTAAACGCAATGAAATGAAAAAACAACTTCCTAAATATTTATTAAAACTGAGAAACAAACGAGGTGTAATAATAACCATTATGCTTTTTATTATTATACGAGTACTATCATTGATTATATAATCTTATATCAATTGTACTCAATACTTATCTAATTGGTAAAACAAATTATATTATTATTATATTATGTCCCAACAAGGATTTACTAATTTTAACTATGGTGTTAATATGCAGGTATATAATGTATGCACCAAGAGGGCGTAATACTCGGATGTGTTGTCTCCGTCTTACAAACGTATGACATAATTTGCGTTCAGACAACATCGTACCGTTAGTTTTAATAAATTAACCTATTTATTATCAAACTCAAAGATAAGAACATACGTATTATTAAATTATGATATTGCACATACCTATTTATATCTTTCTAAAAAATTGAAATATAATCGATAATAAAAAGCACAAGCATAGCATATTCGTATCTTTAAATGTAATAATAGGTCAATTTACTATAATATTATAACTAACACAATGTTGTCACTGTTGAATGCAAATTTGCTGTCGTACGTTTGTAAGACGGAGACAACACATGTATCATAGTGTATCGCGATAGGGTATGTCTTTTTAATTTGTTTTTTTTTATTATTTCCTATATGAAATCATCTTCGGAGGACACACTCTGTACATACACAGGCACGGGTATAGGTACCTTATACATTTATCGTTAATATTCGGCGGTTTCCACAATAGTATTTTAATTTTAGATAAGAACCTACATAATTGACATCTGCAGCTATTGTTATTATGAATACGTATGTAATACATGTATACGCACGCGTTCGCGCACAGTCACAATCACAAGCATAATAATAAAATATATTAACATAATATACCCAGGTACGATATAGACAGAATATTATTTTAGTGAATATACCCGGTCAAATCAATTGAACTTGAACACTATTATTATTAACATATTGTCCAAAAATTATAGTTTTTTATGTATTCAGTGTAAGATAAAGATCTGACGTCTGAAATAACTTTTGTTCTTTTAATTTTTTTTTAAATAATATTAACATACTTATTTAGGTTTTTGCAGGTGGCTAAAAAAAAACTTTACAACTTATACGTATAACTTTATACTTTACACTTTACGAGGTTCACCATAAATTTTATATAAAATGTAAATAGTACTAAAAAATATTGCGTAAAATAGTAGTTTTTTTACATACCTAAGCATTTTACGTTCAAATCTTGAAAAAATCGTTCAAAATAATTAAAAACACGTTCTTCGATCAGAAAATGGTGACGGATATATCTTAGTTCTGAAAGGGGAAGGGTAAATTTTAAAACCAAAGGTCTAATAGGATAAAATTTCTTAAGTATTATGAGTATTATAGATAAATAATACAGGTGTCCAACGAAGATATACCCATTGTAACACCGGTCGTATATAGCTCCGTGAAACACCCTGTATATAGTTAAGAGTGACGAAAACCTCAAGGAAGGCGATCCACCAATCGAACCCCTCCCCTCAATATTCGCCATTATCATGAAGTAAGAGTCGTTTTTCATTAGAAATAATTTAACGGTGCAAGATATAAATTAAATTTTAATATATTCTACCTTCTTATCACATCAGCTCTTTTTTTAATTTTTAAACTTGACTATAGATATACAAATTCTGATTAATAAGATCAATAAAATATTTCAGGCATATTATTTACATACAATTATTCTATAGCATATATTATTATAATTTATAAGTACGTACATAATTTATCACGTATAATCTATACATTATATCTACGTCATACGACTGTACGAATAGGTTATAACTTACAAATATAGGTACAATACAAAATAGTCACGAAATTCAGATATCAGATTTTTATTTCGCTACAGTCGTGCATTACAATGTTGTGAATACCATGAAATGCAAAACGAATGTTGATAACAGAGATGATACGGTGGATAAAGAGTCCCTCTGCAATAACCTCGTAGAAAAAATATGTCAACACGAATATGGTATATCGCAAGAATGTTGGATTGTTGGTAGTTAAATATAAACAATAGTATAAACTCCAATATCTCCAAGAAACATTAAATGTACCTACTTGGCCACAAATAATGTTTAAATCCCGTTTGTTTTAAATATGCAATAAATTAATGAAAATCTTAAATTCTTTAGTTAACATAAAAAATCCAGATAAAAACAACGGAAATATCTCTTTAAGAATAATTTACAATGGTATTATTAGATCACCAGCCGCAAAGAAAAGGATCGTATATTTTTTCCGCATCGCCCACGTAAAAGTTCGTATCTCTACTCGACCGAAGAGATTAGATGTTGAAAAAGTGAAATGCCTACGACCTATCATTGCAACACGCGATATGTACTTACTTAAATAATAATAATAATCGTTTATTGAATAGGTTAATTTCTGGGTTAATACAAGTAAAATTATTACTATTCATTATTGCTAGTTATTATTACTCAGTGATAAAATGTTAATAATTCCAGGAATGCGTATAGGATTCAGAGTTTCGGACGTAGTTTCGCACCTATACATTATAATAAAAGTAATAATAATAATTATTATTATTATTATTCGAATACAGATACTGAAGTCCAAAACGTTACATAAATTATTAGGTTCAATGTTTTAGTAACAATTTTTAAAATTATAATATTTTGTAATCAGCTAGTACCTATATCCGGACGCATACAAGTACGGGTATTAAATAAAATAAAAATATGCATTAAATAATAATACGAAACCCGTTCGATTCGTGACCGAACATAATAATATTATAATGCGACCGACTGCGTAAGGAATAATATCATTGAATCTACTCGGAACGTATTATACGCAAGTAATAAACACGAAAACGATATGACATAACAGGTTGTTGCGCCAGTCGCCGGTTTTTTTAAATTTTTTAATCTCGATAAACCGTTAATTAATTATTAAAAAAAAATAAAAATGATTATTAAAATGCGGACAATCCTATACACTATGCGTGTAGGTATTGTCAGCACGGACGCCCGGAGGAGGGGGCAAGTCTGCCCCCTCGGACTTCGAAATGTCGAATGTAATTTTATTTCGAGTACACATTGCGGCGGTTGATTTTATCATGCACCTCCGCGATAAATTTCCCCGCGGGCGCCCGGGATTATTATTAAGTGTATAGCGTTTAATCGACGGTGGACAATAACTACAGAGCGAGATGTGAAACGATCGGCGCCCTCCGCGACGGCGGTGGGTCTCGAGCGGCTAGCCCGTATAGGAGGGTTGATTCCTTGCCCGCGTGCGATATAAATAAACTCGAAAACGCAAATATTTACGAGAAAACCGACGCGGTTGTAATGCAATACGCAAATAGTGTCTACTCGACTACGGTATGCATAGGAGGTATACGGGCGCCGCGGCTACCACTCGTGCGTTATTTTAACAGCCGACCGGGCCCGCCGGGTATAAAAAGACAGACAGACGACAGCTGAAAACACTACGGCGGTGGGCGGATGGGCAGGGGCAGTGGTGAGGGGGCGGCGGGGAAACCGCCTGCGCGTGTACCGTCGTAGAATATTATACAGGGTGGACGGGTCAAGGAGGGCGGGGGGCGAGACACATGCAACGAGACCAGCCGCGCCGGGGCAACGACAACGCGCCGCATCCGATACGCGCGCGCCGCCGCTCGGTCGCTACCCGTAGCCGGTTCGCGTTTTCCTCGGTTGCGTACCTGCTGTTATAACGCAGTGTGAAATACGTAGGCACGTAACGTTTTTTTTTTTTTTCCTGTACACCGTGTACGGGTCATAACTACCTATGAGTGTGTGCCATAATATTACACGGCCGGCGACTTTTTTCCCTCCCACCCGATGGCTTTTTTTGTCCTGTTGTTACAATATTACGTCACTGTATACTGTATGTACCGAACATAGCGTTTTCGTTGTAAAAATCCCATAACTGTTGCCCGAGCGAATAAAATACCGGCCAACGACCATTCGCGACAATAATAATTATCCCAACCGGATTGGATCGCCAATTGGACTATCTTTAAAATACATTTTCTGGAGATAAAATTAATATTGTGAACAAATGTATAATGGTTAAAGTGACATTAATAAAAGTTGGAAATATATTTTTATTGTAAAAAAAATTCAATTTAATAATTTATGGGGTTATTTTCTAACCAAGCGGCAGTTACCGGTTACCACGTGTTATGTGTTTTTACTGGATCATAATAATTAATAGTTGTAACTCGTAATAATAACTATTACAATAATACAAATTGTACGAACTAAAATTTAAAATTAGTCGAAGTGTCGTTGTTTTTTTTTTTATGTTTTTATATTATCTCAACATTAAAAAGCACTAAACCGTAGATTATAAATCTTTGTAATTATCCAAAAAAAAAAAAAATTGAACACATTCAATCGTGAATCGTGATAATACATTTTTGGATGTTTTATCAATATAAATGCATGATAACAGCGTTCTTCTAAGATCGTGCTGGCGATATTGGGTGAACTTATCACAATACTTGACAATTTTGGGCGATTTTTCAGCGCTGTCTATTGGTGACGAAACTTTTGAGAACCTTCTAGCAACTCTGATTATTTTACGCGGCTGTATTCGCAGTACGGCATCTAAAATCGTTGAAAGCGGCGGAAATAGGAAATCAGTTGCGGTTTCATGGCTTGGGCGATTTCGAAAAAGTTCGTCGGCCGGCATCGAATATCGCGGCAAAATCGTATAGCCGTCTCGATTTAAATCTATATAGGTTATCGAAATTGTTTCAACTTTAGGTGGACACGCGGAGAAATGAATACAAGACGTGCATTGGGATCGATCAAACAATATTATTAAAAGACGGATTACAGAATAACAGTGTATATACAGTTTATATATATATAAACAACTTTATTAATATAAATATAAATATATAGCGGACTGCTCACTTTGTGAGTCGCCTCACGACACAGTTTGCCGTTCAATACATTCATACATAGCTTATAAACTAGAATAAAATATATATGAATATAATTAAATTAAAATAAAATAAAGATAATAATCAAATAAATAAATAGATAGCAAAATAGAATTACATTATTACAATATTAATGATTAGTAATTAGGAGTATAAATGATAGTTGGTTTATACATAATATTACTAATCGTATTCATTAACAAGCGCGGGGGCTATAAACAATTTCGGAATATATTTTTAGATTGGATAGCAAAACCTAGGAAGTTTCAGAAATCGACAAGACAATTAATATACAATAAATACATCTTCGTGTTTGTCCTTTATGTGCTACTTCATCGTTAATCCGATCGCCATCATAACATATTAAACTTTTGGGAAGTTGTTGAGTACACTAACCGCGAAACTATTGAAATTAACCCCCCCCCCTAATTGAATATCATTGTCTAAAATTCGGTGATTAGGTATGTTTAGTATAAAAACCGAATTGTTTTTGTTTATTTATGGGTTACCTTGGTAACACGAATGAAGAAAAAAAATATTGTCATTAATTTCAATCCCTGTGATGTGCGGATGTCTATAGTAATAGCGTATAATGATAATTTATCGATTAACTTTATTTAGAAACTTTTTTTATTGCACGGACACAGCCGGGCGGGACTGCTGTTTGACAAGCTGCTGCTTGTAATGTACAAAAAATGGCACAGCTGATATCTAATACAGATTGGAGGCTTTCTTTATCTAACTGTAGTTGAAATATTATGCAAACATTTTAATTAATAATAAACTCCGGTGGAAAGATTAGCAAATTAAAGCTGCTATCAAATCTACCGAGGAAATAAATACTTCTATAATACAGATAGGCAGTACTGACAGTGGATATGAGTACGACTTACCTAAATGCGAGCCAAAACGGTATAGAAAATATAACGTGATATTTTAAATTAATGTTATCGGAATTTTTTTTATATAATTATCGAATTCCTATAACGTTTAAACTATTTTAACATACCTAATCCTTTTGTTTTAATTCTACAGAAAACGTTAAATTCAAATTACTGATAGACGTTTTGGTTTTTTAAGTAGGTGACGAAAACTACACGTCCAAATACACGTTTTTATATTCGCGTGACTGTTTACGCTATCCAAATGATTGGTAATTTAATACAATTTATCTGGGACAATTTGTTTTAGTTAGATATCATAATACGTCCAAAGATTCAATAAAGTAGTTCAGATTTTTAATTTTGGTTTTTTAACTAAACACATTCGATAAACACATTTTGTTTAATTTGTATCCAAAACGATATCAGGGCTATTTATCTTTATGTCACGTTACCGAATTTATAACTGTTCAATCCATTACTTTTATATATTAAGTATATAAACTAATAAACTATAGCCTATTACAGGTAATCGATTTAATTATATAGGTACCCAACATATTGAATATTAAGCAAATAAAGCAATCTTTAATTTAAATTTTAGTAAGTATAACTATTTTATTTTAACGCTTATTATTTACACTATTACAATTAAATATATGTGAAGTTCCCAGATAAAATACATTTTTACTAAACGCCATCTTCCTACACAATAGGTATAGAATTTTAAATGTTTACGAGGTCATAGATTTTTTTTGGTAATCCCAAAATATTATATGGGTATTAACTTTGGGTAATACTTAAAAAATATCTAATTTAAATTTTCAAATGTACCATAATGATAGCATGTATTATAACCTTATACCTAAAAAAAATTGAAAAAAGAACATATTTTAAAAAATTCTAAAATTATTGCAAGACGTGAATATTTAATAATTATAATAATAATTGTTTTGGAATTCATTCACGGTCAACAAACCTTGTTATGTCTAGTGTTTGGTATTTCAAAACAAATTCGAAAGACCGGTCAACTTCCCGGATCATAGTAGCAATTGACAGTGGCGTAAAAGGGGTAAATTTAGAAATTCGGCATTAATGCGAAAAACTTAAAGGGGACCTTTTCTATTCGGTTTAAATATAAAATAATACAACTAAATATAGCTAATTTAATAAAACTAAAGGTAAAGGTATGATTTTAATAGTGTAGGTATTTTATATTTTATATTTTTTTTTTAAAGTATTAAATAGGTAAGTAATATGAACTTAAGTAGGTGTATAATTTATTAGCAATTATATACTTGTATCAATTGTTAACGTATAATTTATAAAAGTTGGTATAAGAATATAAAAGATCGTAAACATGTTAATAAGCTGCAAGTTCTGCTTCTCCAGCATTTATGGTCAACAACATTTGTCTAAAAATCATTCTTGTCTTATAGATAACTCTTAATAATTGTTTATTTTTAAAATTACAGTTCAGTAGTAGCCTACAACCGTTAAATCTACGTATTATTAAAAAAATAATAAATAATAAACGTATTTCTGAAAAACTACTACTCATATCATAAATATTCTAGTTATTATTATTGATTTAAAAAATTACGAAAGAATTAACTTATAGTTTTTAATTTTTTTCTATTTCGTTTCTTAATGTTTAAGACACAACGTAATAGGTAATTAATTGAATCAGAAAAGATTTAAGGAAACTAGCAATTGACAAAAGACTAGTGTACCTATCTATTTCTCAAAACAAGGAAAAAATCTCCTTATTTATTATTATTTATTTATTATTTTATGCTAAAGTTCTGAAATTTCAATAAATTATAAATTAAATTTAGCTTGACAAAGCTTACCTATGTGTAAAGGTTTATAGCGATTCTGTATAAATGCTTATCTATAAACCTATATAATATTTGCAATGTATAACTAGGTAAGTACAGCGCATATGTTCAGAATTTCTATTTTTATTTTGGCAATTTATCACAGACTTGATATCGCTATGCATCTACCTACTATTTTCGTGATGATTTGCCCACCCGCTCAAATTGAACGAGGAGATTTTGTCTATCCGTTGAGCATAAATGTGGAGTTTATACCTGTGTTTTGTGTCGTCTTTATTCATATTCGGTTAACCGACTCTTGTTAACAACCGATTACGTCGTAATTTCGTCTATGGTGTTTATTTAACATACCTTGATAATGAGCTCGATTTCCGGCACGTGCCCGTTCTCTTCTTGTCCATTGCCGTTGGCGTGTGGCGGCAGAGGTGCATCTTCATCGGCCATAGTTTGCGCGCGTTTTACAACCGGTAAATAACAAAAATTATTGTGTTGGCGGTGTTGCGAGGCGAACGAGAGTAGATCCCGTTGGAGACACGCACCAGTTCGGTAAAAAAACGTATGAAAATTCGATACGAAAGTATGACTTTCAACACCGAAGAAACGACTGCTCAGCAACCGACCGCATCACTGATTGTCGATTGACGACGGGGGAAAAAGCGTTTGGCATTTGGCTGAATGTGTCCTTGGCATCCGACTATCCGAGACACTTATCATGGTGGAATAAACACTCCGTTCTCTATTCCATGGTTGTGTTACGTATCACGTTACCAGTTACCGCGGTAGCGGTATAAACTATATAACCGTCTGTAGCTAATCAGTCATCAGTGGTTCTTAACGTGCGCGGTACATGGTACGAGGACGTGTCCAACGACACGCCAACATAATCATACTCGGTATAAAGACCAATAAGCAGAGAAAAAAAAAAGGTTCAAATAAGGCAATAACAATCCTATAGTTTTGCGCGAGGTGGCGTCAGCAAGAAATTATCTCAGTGAAGGGACGCTGAAACGAAAAAGGTTTGGAACCCCTGCCTTAGATCATAATAACCTAAAGCTGGTTACACGCGCAGCGGTTTGGCCGCGCGCGGTCGCGGTTTTTATACGCGGCAGATAACCGCTTACAATTAAACATGGGTTATGCAAATGACATGTTCACACAAGCGAAACCGCGCCGCCTATCGGCGCGGATGACCGTCTGCAAATGCTCGTGTTCAATTCCTAGGCAAGACCGCGTCCGTCAGCTATAATTAAACTATGGTTTTCCAATAGACCTGTTTACACAGGCGATTTGATCGCCGCAATCCGCTAGCGATTTTTGAATTACCATTTATGAAAATACCCTTGAAGTGTAAAATTCCTTGTTGAAAAGTGTAGAAAATAATTAATAATTATTCAAGTTTTTTGTAAGTCTGTACTGGTTTTTAATAATAATGTAATAGTAATTATATACCAATTATTAATCGAACCATGTTAAAGACATCCTGAAATATTTTAAAAATTCTTCAGGGCGAGTCCTCAGTGTCATGAAGTTCACTTGAAACTGACCTTCTTTAATTCTTTTCGTATTCATCGGATGTACCTACCCAATAGCGCCTTTTGGATCTTTCCTGTTTTGCAGCATGATTACGCTTATGTAATATATGTGCTACCATCATGGTCTCGACGACGTTTAATAAGTCCAGAATATATAAACATATATAATTTATAACTCTAAACTTGAAAACTAAAATTAAATACAGAGGTCTTACCTCAACCACTTGTTTAACGCAACTGATAATTTACTCCGACTCGCGCCAATATTCACTTTATTTTATGTAAAATTTGATTATTTTTAAATATGGCGCAAAGGAAAACCGCTTAGGTATGTAAACGAACAAAATGCAAAAAACGAAAAATTTTTCGTCATTTGTGAAAAATCGAAAAAAACAGAGGAAAACGCGAAAATGTACGAAATATTATATTAGTAAAATATTACGGTTTTTATTTTCTGTGGACTACTTTTCTACTTACGATTTTGCTCAGATTTACAACAATAGCACTTTTTCTAGAAATAAATCTGACTGGAGAGGTACTTCATGAAGGAAGGTTATTTTTCGATTTTCCCAAGAGTTTTCCCAGAAAATGTGAAAAACCAGGAAAAAACATGGGAAAACTAGGAAAAACGTAGAAAAGTCGGATCAATATAAAATAAATATTATTAAAGAAAATATATAATGCCCATTTAATTATTTTACCATAATATGACATATATATATTGTTGACAAAGTATCACTATCATCTAAACTCCGCGTATTTTATATTATAAAAATCATTTTTTTTTTTTTTTATATATATATATATATTATTATTAAATTATAGTTTATACCTATAAACTATTTATTTAATTGCCAAGGAAAGGAATTATAAAAAAAATAATGATAACTGTTAATTTTTTTCGGGACGAGGAAACCCGTCATGATATTTTGTAGTATTTGTGTATTAAAATGTTTAACCCTCTCCCCTTGATTGAGCTTCAGATATGCCACTGCATATAGCTAACAAATAAAAATGTAAGTAAAACTATGAAAATATCAAATACTTATAAATAGTCTAAACATAGCTACAATCAGTATTGTAGATACGATTATTTCTGGGGGTGGAGGGATAGGTTTAAAGTATATTTATGATTACAAATTAATAATTATTGTAAAGTGTTATTGGTTATTCATATTACACTATAATAATCACGCAAATATACCATAATAGAAGATAATAATACGTAGTGTAAAATAACCATGAATAAAAAATAAAAAAATACAAATACTAAAATTGTTTACTAGGTACGCAATTATTGAATCATTATTTTATTAGAAAAAATAAAATAATAATTAATGCTTTCAGAGTTTCAATTTCAGCTATGTGTAATTTATTATAATATTAATGTATTAACATTATATTATACAAATAATGCAGAAGTATAAAAGGAATATTGTCAAATAATATTCTTACTTTTATAACAAATGAATACACAACAAATACATTTATAATATTTGTCCATAGTTAAATGATGGACATGCACAAATGTAATACATTTATTATACGTGTATCGTGTGACGATAGGTACTAATGTTTGAAACTCAAACAACCAAATTAAATTAATAACAATAAAATGTATAGCATAATACTAAAATATTATACTGATTGCCGATTGACATGAGACCATTTACTTTCGGATTGTCGGCATGTTGTTGTTGGACGCCATAGGCCTTTATCACTGTTTTTATCGATTTTGTAATAATTGTAATTGATTTCCTATTATATAGTATATTATACTATATAAACATTAAGTATACCTAACTCAGTAATAAACTAATTCTGTATTTAGTACACTATAAATACCTTAGTTGCATATATGTATGCAACGATTAATTTTTGCTAAGGAAAAATGATTCTGATAACTGAGTTCGGTTAGGCTGCGGTCATAGTGGCACCGACGTCGGTGAAACTCACCCGATTATTTTAAGTAAAGTAAATATAATACAAGTGGTCCAGTGCCTCCGACCGCATCGGCCGATTACGCCGAAGTCGGTTATCCCTCGGACGAAATTCAATTTCGTTTGTTTATATCGGCCGATTCAGTCGACGTAATCAGTTCAAACACAAATATTATATTTTCATCATGGACTGCGAAAAATTAATACGTTTGATCCATGAAAGAAGGAGCTTATGGGACCATAGCAGTAAATCGTATCATAACAGAGACATCGCAAGACGTCTCTGGGATGAAATCGCTGTATTATTAATAATTCTCCATATTTTTCCCTATCCTTAAAAATGTCATTCGTGTGATACTTTCGCTTTTTTAATAATAAATATTTAATAGCAGGACTTGTTTCCAAACACAAAAATGAGGGGACATCCATTTTATATATTATAACCTGCACTCATTGCATTGAAATGAACAACTATCGGTGAATTTTATCGGCCGACGTCGGTGCCACTGTGACCACAGCCTTATACTAATATACGTTTTGAAAGGCCGTAATATTTACGATTTAAAAATATTAGGTACATTTCGTAAATTTTCCATTTATAATAAAAATCCTGGGAAAATCAAAAAATTACCTCATTAAAGTGCCATCCCAGTCAGATTTAATTCCAGAAAAAGAGCTAAATTTGAAAATCGAAGAAAAATAAAATAAAAATCATTATAAAACCAATACGTTCCTCGTCCACTCAGAATCTAACATTATATAAAAAAGAGATTATATTTAACATAAAATTAGTGCATTCACCCAAATTTAATGGATGTAAGCCAAGGTATATAAAAATACAAATATTTTTGAAGTGTAAGCCAGTTCACTGTAAGTGAACTTGTACGCATTCGGGCTACGTTGAAAAAATGGTCATTTTTTCTTGGGACGCACTCGGGCAAACCCACCCGCTTTTTTCACATTCGTAAGTAACATTAAAAGGAAAAGGTGTAATTAAAATATTGTATTGTACATTTTATTATTATAATAATAATTATATACTATTGTATTTTTTTTTTTTTGTTTTTGAAGGGAAATCTTAAGTAGGATATACGGACCAACTAGAAACCCAAATAATGGAGAGTAGGTATGAACAGATAAAAACTATTCAACAGACCGAATATCCAAAATAGTCTTATATTAGGTATTTGAAATAATTGAATGGGCTCGGCAGTCGGTATGCATGGCGAGCAAAGCAATAACTTATTAATAACGGCTTAACCAATAAGCCAGTTGGAAAGAGGCCACGAGGAAGACTAAGGTAGAGTTTGTTGGACCTGGTGCAGTGATTTGATAAAGATTTATGAATCGGCAAGAATGACTCAGTGGATAGAATCGTTGGAAAGAATTGGTAGAAGGAACATAGCCTATTCGGCTTCCGTTTTACAAAAGCAAAATTCCTAAACGGTTCCAGTTTTTTACAACACAAATATACAAAATGTGCTATATCCATATCGCATATCCGGTTAAATTTTATAAACAAAATTCATAAAATTCGTTTAACAATCCATATAGGCATAAGTATAATGTTTAAAACGTAAAATCCAAACTCTAATCATTTTAATATGTACAATAGAACTTGTTATTGTAAAAAGTAAGATACGACACGGATATTTTCTGCATCGCATCTGTACGTTTTGAGTACAGACATTTCGAGAAATATACCGAAGTGTAGTACTAAAAACCAGAGCCGTTTGGGAATTTACCTACTCGAGCAACCTCTTTCGACGGGAGCCGTTTGAAAATATATAAACAATTGATGGTAATCGACAGCTAGAAACTACAAAACGCCCATAAAGCATGTAAACTGTAAAATAATAAAAAGAAAATTAATTTTTGTAATTTACTTTTAAAGAATTCATTAATTGTCAAAAGAAATTAGGATAAAATTTAAAAAATTTTTAAATAATTTTTATATAAAAATATGTTCATATCTAAGCAGTAGTCTCATTAATTATTAAAAAAATTTAATAGAACGGTGAAGTTATTTCAAGTTACAGATCTTTGTGTTACAGTTCCTATGCATAATTTATTAATCTCTAGGATTTAAGTTGATGTGTGATGTTCTAATTTAATATTAATTATATAATATATTAACGAGTGACATAATTATTGATCTTGACCTCATTTCACATCAAATAATAATCAATAATTATAAATTTAAAAAAAAAATTACCGATAATACTCCAACAGGCCAAAGTTTTGCTTACACAGTTATTTGTGGAAATAATATATATATATATAAATGTTATTTATTTTTTGGAAAATTATTTGTACTTAGGTACCTATACTTTATTATCATACAAGGCAAAATTGTCAAAGTGTAAAACATAAACTGTAACCATGAATACAATTTATAATTTAAATTTAAAAAAAAATGTATCCACAGCATATCAACTGTATTCATAATAAATTTAATTTCTTAATTTTATCCCGGCAAAAAAATCACATGAAGGTAAAAATATGAAATACCTAGAAAAAAAAAAGCCCTAACACTATAATTTTTCTAAATAATATTAATAATAAATATTTTTTGAAAATAGCATTGTTTGTAATAAGAGACACTGCCATTCTAACCAATAAAAGTAATTAGCGAAGAGAGAATAATAATAAAAAAAAAAAAAGGGAAAATGGTATAAAAGTTTTTCCTAATTTAATATTTTTAAATAGATATTTTATCATCAACACCAAATTTTCACCACAAATATAACAAATTATGTTTTTATGTTTTAAACAAATTATACATGTAGAGCGAACCAAGATTTTTCTGAAAAGACAGCACTATCTATATATTATTTTTAATAACGATAAACAATTATAATAAATATATTTATCCAATTATTTTTAAAATTATCTAAAAAATTTAGTCACATGATATGAAACAATTTTTTTTTTTTTGTATGCAATATAAATAACACAATATAAACAATAACATTTTAAATTGCTCTTAGAAAGGTATTTAAAACTTAAATTAAAAATAAAAATAAATATTATTATTTACAAACATACAGCTTATTGTATGAGCCTTAAATACAGAATTTATGAAAATAGACATTTGGAAAAATATTATTTTTATTTTTTCTATATATAATATATAAAAAAATAGTTTGTCAATATTTATTTAAATACATAGGGACTTGATAGATATTTTAATCATTTCCTCCTTTCACTTTTTTGCTCTTTTTAGTAGTTTGTTTTTTTCTTCTTTTTTTTTTATCTTCTTCACTCTCACTAGATGAAGAGTTTGTAGATTCAGAAACACTTCTTCTCTTCCTTTTGACACTTTTATATACTTTAACAATCTTCTTCTTATGGCGTCTTTTATGTTTACGGTCTGAATCAGAACTAGTTTCTTGATTTTTAACTACTTTTACTAGTTTACCTCTTTTATTATAGTATTTAACTACTTTCGTACCATGACTAGAGCTAGAAGTAGAACTAGAACTTGAACTAGTAGTAGATGTGCTTGATGAATCTGAACTAGATGATGAAGAAGAAGACGAAGAAGAACTATAACTTAAACTCCGTTCTCGTTTTTTCTTTTTTAATCCATTTTTAGGCGATTTTTTTTCATCTTTTTTTGTTGTATTTCTAACGCTAATTTCATTTTCATTGTTATTATACTTATCTTTACCTAATTTTTTTGTAGTCTGTAAAATACTATTTTTCTGTTTTGAAAGTCCATTATCTTGATGTTTTTTTAAATTTCTAGCATCATTTTGATCATTATCTCTTTTTTTAACTTCATTATCTCTTCTATCTTTTTCATTTTTATCATTTCTTATATTTCTTCTATCTTTTTCATCTCTATCACTTCTTTTATCCCTGCTGCCTCTATCATTTCTTTTATTCTTTTCATCCCGTTCACTTCTCCTATCTTTTTCATTTCTGTAGCTTTTTCTATCTTTTTCGTCTCTGTAATTTTTTCTTATTTTTTCATCTTTTTCCCGTTTTCTATCTTTATCGTCTCTTTCATTTCTCCTATATTTATTATCTTTTTCACTTTCTCGATTTCTATAATTTCTATCATCTTTTTTGTAACGATCAAGATCATTATAAGATAATTTATCTCTACTATGAGTATTCCTAGTCTCACCATTATCCTTCCTCCTATTTCGATTCTTTGAATAGTGATCACTAATGTTTTTTCCTTCGTCATTTTTATCTTTATATTTTATACCTCGTCCTTTACCTAACCATTGTATTTTAGATACACTTTGGCTGAAATCTACATGAATTCGTCGATCATCAATTAAAACATTATCCATTTTCAAGTAAGCATCTTCGCATGATTTTTGGTTATCAAATTCTACAAAAGCATATTGTAGAGAATTTCCAGACTTTTTATCTCTAATGACTTCACAACTTGAAAAAAAAAAATTATTGATAAGACTAAAAGTTATAACATATCTAAAAATATTTACCTAACAATTTTACCAAATCTGCTGAATATAATTTGCAAATCATCATCGCTGGTAACCGGATTTAATTTACATACAAATAAAACATTTTCAGGAGGTGCTATCTCAGCAGTAGGCAAATCGCCAACTATTTCTAGTATAGTAGCACGAGCTTGAGCTTCCTTTTCTTGTCTTTTTTCTTCCAGCTCCTCAATATTCACATCTTCAGTAATATCTTCATCTGCTCCAATTCTATCACTCTATAAAAAATATAACTATTGATAGTGTTGAAAACAATATATTTAAAAAGTAGAAGTACCTTTAAATATTTATAGTACTTGTTTAGTAAAATCCTACCAGAGTAAAATAAAAATGTAAACCCCTGATACTGTTGTTTTGTTATTATCTTGTCACTAGCCAGTTATAATCAATTATAATTTATTATTACTTTATAATATTGACTATGTTAGATCATATTTATTTTAATCTACTTTAGGTATTGAAAAATTTACAATGTATTGGGAAATTTATAAGCTTTTAACACATGTTAAAGTATCTATTTGAATGTATAGTTTATAGTAGGCTGTCAACTGATGTTTTATATTGAAAACAAAACTTAATAGACAAGATTCATTTGACACAGTACTCTTACATGTTTTTATTATTATATTTTTAACATGATCAATATTATATATAATGGAATATTTTAGACTAGTGGTATGGCAATGATAAACAAGTAGCGTATTTATGTATAATAAATCAAATTATTTAAAAAAAATGTATTTCAAGTCAACACTCATGTATTTTAATTAAATATTTAATAGTTATAATTTAAATTGAAACGGTTGGTGCTTTTGTCAAAAATCTTGTCAACTACGCTTCTTTTGTTCTTCACAACGCCAAACTTCTTATCTTTGCTAATGACAACAAGCTCTATCTGCATATTTCTTTTATTAATGACTATTGTCACTTACAAGACCACCTTCACCTACTAGTAGCCTAGAGATGAATCACTTGATCTTTCTATGAACACCGCTATCTTTATGATATTCACGACCTAGGTTTTATCTTCACACCAACTTTTCTGTCAAACCCTAAAGTTTTTAAGTTTTCTTCTCCAGACCACATGTGATTTCCAATCAACACCCACCCCTCAAGACGCTCTACTGTGCTCTTGTTCAACCTATCATCAAGTATGGATGTGTCATATGGGATCTCCCAACTGCATGTGCAAACTTAACAATTGAAAGAGTGCAGAGACGCTTTCTTCGAGTCCTCATTTTTAGGCTAAACATTCCTCACATGTCCCATGAATACTCACCAATCCAAAGTCTTCACAACTCTCAAGTCTTGCTAACTGCAGACGAGCTTATAATTTGTCTTTCTTCTCAAATTTTTTAATGGAGAAATCTGATTCTCCTAGTCTCCTATCTTAAATCTCCTTCAAAGTTTCCTTCCGATTTACTTGATCTTCTGTCTTTTTCCATATCCCTTTTTCTCCAGCTCATTTCTTAACCAATTCTCCTATTTTACAGCTCATGTGCATTACAAACCATGACCCCTCTTTTTAACTCTGCTATTATTTATTTTACTAACAATTTATTTCTATCCAGAGCCAATCAGTGTTAGTCTTTTTAATTTTAAGTCTTATTGTACAATCACCACTACAGTAATTTTGAGTAAATATTATAATAAATATAATTGGATATTACTGAATATATATATAAAAAAAAAAAAAAAAAAACAGCCTTAAGCTTATGATGATATAAATAATGGTTTTGTTATTATTAGTTAAACAATATTAAGTAGTACCAATACATATAATGAAGCCCGGATTAAGATGATTTTGGGCCAGGGGCTAAACAATTTTAGGGCTCCATAAACATATTCAAAATATTGGTGACTATATAGTACAACCAGCCAAGGCAAGGGGCCCAAAATATTACAATATTCAGGGCCCTGGGGCCATGCCCCCCTTAATCGGGGCCTGCATATAATAGAGTTAAATGGTTATCTGTTTATAAACATGTTAATCGCTAAATGCAATTACCTGAAGTACTTCTAATGGCGGCTCAGGAGATCGATCTGGTATAATGAAATCATCAGGATCAGAATATGGATCTTCCAAAATCACTGTATGTGTTATTCTATTCATGTGTAAAAAGTATTTATTGTTATATAATGCGTTTATTAATCCGTCACATAAATATAATTTTAAATGATTATATTAGAATATTTTAAAATTATAGTTAAAAATAATTTTCTTTATTCATTGAACACTTCCTTCTATTAAATATAAGTTATACTAATATGAATTTTAAATTCTAAGAATAATTGTGCTTTTTATTTTTGTTTTATCTGCCAACAAGTTTTCAATTGAAGAAGACTTGCTCTCAGAGGAGGTTTTTAGTAGTAAGTTGATGCATCGGGAAACATAATTAATTGGTTTTCATTTTGATTTTATCAATATGGTAGGGAGGAGTGAAAAAACAGAAGTATATTTATAATTATTTAAATTTGTTGAGTTATTCAATTGTATAGATGATATTTTGAATTGTATTAAGAGAACAGTAGATGTTATACCTGTATTTACTGTAGCAGTTTATCTAACAATGGAAAACACAGAAAATGTATGTTAAATAAAAACATAAGTTAAAGAGTTATAATGGAAATAATAGGGTTTAAACACAGATAATAAAAATGTAAAGAAAATAATATTTTTGAAAATAGAATATTGCTTTTTTTTCAAAAATATTGTTAAATAGAAAAGTTACAGCCATATTTTTTTAAAATAGCCATACATTTTAATTATCTTTGTTTTATTTATCATTTCACAATGTTACCTGTCAGTTAAGACTAAAATAATAAATTAGGATAAGCCCCCTCCCTTAGACTCCAGAATTTAATTTATAGAAATGCAAAATCATTTGAAGTTAAATTTGTTGATATATTATTTTAATTAAAACAAAAAATATAAATTATTCTGCAATTAATTTAATTAAACAAAAATCCTAAAGTCCATTTAAGAGGATGCCCCACCCAGATTTAATGCTTCAGTCCAACTACAGAGCAACATGCAAAAATAATGCTTACACAGACTGAGTAAAACTAGCTTAATTTTTATTTCATAGTAAAAAAAATCTATGTTGAAATTTATAGAGAAGAATATTTCGGAGGAAACCTTGTTGGGTTTTTGTATTATTCTAAATATACAGATTGATATAAAAGTCACAATAACCTTTTTTTTTTTAGTTTTTTAAGTTTATAATACAAAAAATCAAAACAGCTATGAGATATAAATTTCATAATAGGTACTTTTCTCTAAAATCAAAATTAAGCTAGTTTTAATTAGTCTGTGGCAGTAAATGTGTCTTTTTTCATGTGAAATTATTTACAACTGCATGAAATATTTAACTATATCACCCTAAATTCTACCTCCTAATATCACACCTATAATATGGTGTGAAGTACATGTCATCAGACTTTATATTTAATATATATTACTCTTATTTTATAACTTTATTTAATTAAATTGAAACTATTTATTATAGATTAGATACTAGTAATCAGTAATAAATATATTTACATTATTTTCTAATTGTTATACAAACATAATAAATGTATTCATATTGAATTATTATTTTAAGACAGTTATTATAATGATATGTATTTTTAATTAAATAAAAACTTCAAACCTAATATCTTGATAAGGACGATGTGTAGCATCACAAATTGTTTCATTAAGTTTTAATAATATATCATGGCCTTCAGCAATCTCACCGAAAACAATATGTTCATCTAATGAACAAGTTGTATCTTCACCTAAAGTTATAAAGAACTGTGATCCCACTCTAAAAAATTTAAATAATTTTAAACATTTAAATAATTAAGATAATCAGTATATTTGAAACGTACAAATTATTTCCACAATGAACCATTGACACAAGTCCTGGTCGATCATGTTTGATTTTTGGTTTTTTTTCTCCTTCATAGTACCTTGCTTCTTTACCGGATAAAATTCTAAATATAATTGAAATAAAATAATAACTTTAAATACAACATACAATGTACAATATTTGTTACCCATAAATTGATTCTCCTCCCGATCCAGTACCTGTAGGATCACCTGTCTGAGCCACAAAATTTGATTGTATATGGTGAAAGAGACAAAAGTTGTAATATTTTAATTTGCATAGCTTTAAAAAGTTCTTGCAAGCTGTAAAATGGTTAAAATATATATTTTGGTTGGTACTTTAAATAATATTTATTTGTAAAATTAAATGTATTAATTTTAGGCAAGCATACAACAATTTAAAATAAAAATAAAAATTGATTATGGATTTCTTTGATAAATTTAATTATTCTGATAAATTAATAACTGGTGAGAAGTTGAGAAGATAGGATATAGAGGAGATTTTAATGTATATCTGTATGCAACGATTAATCATTGGTAGCAAAAAACAATTCATAGCGTAGATTAGCTATACATGTTTTAAAAGATCGTGATATTTACGATGTGAAAATAATACATTTTGTAAATTTTCCCGTTTTTCCATTTATTATGAAAAGCCAAGGGAAAATAACAAACCACCTCACTTAAGTACCACCCCAGTCTAGTTTCCATTTAGAAAAAGGGTTGCACTTGAAAATCGACGCAAACTTTCTGGTAAAAAGTTCACAGAAAAAAAAATAAACATCATTGTAAAACCAATACATTCCTCTCTCCACTCAGAAACTAAAATAGTAGATGGAACAGCAAAACTCTAGACAGATATTAACCATGATAAATAGAGGAACTCAATAGAAGTTGTGAAACGCCTTAATGGCCTGAAAGTATAAAAAAAAACAAATAAAAAATTCAACACATTTTTTTTAAATAGAATAAGTAATAACTGTAGATGTTTTTAATTTTATATTCTGGAATTTGATGCACTTTAAATACCTTTCTTAGGAATTGAAGAAAAAACAAGTCCAATAGTTCAAATTGAAGATGTAATCAAAATTTAGAATTTTTTGTTAAATGATCAAATATTAAACACTAGAAAAATTATACAGTTAATCTGATGATATTAAATAAAATTTGAGGGTTTGAATTAAGTTAGTACTTATATAATAGCAATAATTAATGTAAAATAAATTTAAAACAAAAATCTCAACGCTATCAGTTCAATAAAAAAGAGAAATATAATCTTCAAACATTAGGTAACAATCATTGAATTATTTAGCATTTAACAAAGTGAGGTGTGTTTTTGTTATTTTGAAAAAGTAATATAGAATGTGTTTTTTTATTTGGTGTTAAATTACAGAATGAGTCATTAGTAGCAAACTACATATTCTGACCTAATACACTAGGTAGTAACTACCTACTTCTACAACTACTTACTGTGCATCCTATTTCATTATATTTTGAAATATTAATTTATTTGAAAATATTAAATTAAAAATAAATGTGAATTATATTAAACATTGATTATAGGTAAAGATAAATACTTACAATAAGGTCTTTCTTCAGTAAACAAATCAATTGTCAAATCACCAATTGTAGTTTCAAGAATAACAGACATAATTTAAATTTTGGTTGTATATATATTCCTAAATAATAAATAAAATATACGCTTTTGTAGTATAAATTAGAATAAAGTTCAATTTTTATTTAATTTTTTTTTTTTATCGATATAAAAAAAAGATTATGCAGACTATGATGACTAAGTTAGAATTTAGGAGTCATTGAGAAATATTTGTTTTTTAACTTACCATCAAATATTAATAAACAAAAAAAATTATTTGGTGTTTGCAACGTACTCAATTCACATTTCACTTATGCTTAAGAATTAATACGGGGAAATTTTGGAGAAGTAACGTTACGACTCGCATGTGAATGTGATAAAACGCATTGTGCCACTATGCTTTAATACAAAAATTAAACAATAAAGAATTGATGGCGGACTGAACAAATTTTTTAGAGGAGTCAGGACTGCCAATATTACAACGATAATTTTATCTTATCACTGTAGTAGTGAAGTCATATCCACAGATATATACTAATACTAAATAGCCGTCTGCAAATACACCACCACACAATAAGTTGAAACACGTCGTCGTATGCAAAGAATACAACTTGATAAACAATCAATATTTTGATATTAATAATATTGTAAAATTATTATTTAAAAATGAGAACTGAATTTTATTTCTGTTTATTCTTTAATATGTTTTCTAATATTAGACAGAACCACGAATTAATAAAGTATACACATATATATATAAAATCGAATTAAAAACCGAAAAAGAAGTAGGTACGAAAATAACGAAGAGAATATAAGTGGATATAATGGTACATATTGATTATAAAAAGGAATAGTTTTCGTTAATTTTTAACGTTTACTCACAAGGTTTAACTAATCTAATGAGAATTGTTTGCCATAAGAATGTAAATGAACACTTAAATAATTTTTAACAAGTAATGTTATTAAAACTAATTTATGAACTCTTTCTAAAATTTCAACATTTTCGCGACTTAAATCTAAATATAGAATGGTCCAAAGCAAATTTATTAACGACATGACTAATAATTTTTTTTTTCTAAAATTGAAATAATGATATTTGAAAGATAGTTTGTATGGTATAAGAAACTGATTTCAGCCTATTTAAATTGGTTGATACACATAATTACTTGTAATTACTAAACCGCCTTAATTTTTTATGAGAACAAACTGTTTGTGTCGGAGTGGCAAGCTGTAGTCATGAATTTTTAAAATATTGGTTCGATTTGTTTATTTGAAACCTAGTTATAATATTTAAAATTGTAATATTCTTGTTTCAAACCATAACAAATGATAAACTGTGCATACGTAAAAAAGTAGATATTGCTACCTCGTGACTTACAATTTGAAATAACGCAACAAGTAGGCATTTTCATTACGGTAAGGTTCCAAACAAATAAATTACTACAATTCCAATATACAAATGATCATTTATTAAATATAAACAATATCATAATTGTCCAATTTCGCCAATGTAACTGATAACGTTTGTTTACTAGCTTGTACTCTTTGCATATGGCGGCGTGTTTCACTGATAACGAGAAGACGGCTATCTAGTATTAGTATCTGTGGTCATATCTATTAAGACTATAACCACCATAGAAGCACGGACGTATGCGTCCGTGATAATAAGTAAATAAATTATTAAATGTATTATCTAGGTCTATGAGTAGACTCTATCTAACGAATGTTCTCATAAACCATGATTAAATATATCTTTAATCGTGCCATAGACTATAAACATTATCATGTTTGTGGATGTTCCGCTGTGAGAGTTCACTGGTTCCCAAAATGCGTAAAGTTCACTATAAAGGCGGTAAATAGGCAATAAATATTGAGACATGGAAGATTTGAAGACAATTCGAAGGCGTTTAAAAAAATTTAGGTAACTTCTTACATATGTATCGTAGTAATCTGAAAAAGTCAGATTAAATATAGAAGGAAATTCGGGGCACCCCGTTGTATTTCATCGATATAAAACAATATATTACCTATTTAAACAATAGTTTATCGTTGCTTAGAGAAATAAAAAATTAAATAACCTTATGTATTCTACCTTCCCAATTTCTCACTTACAATAGTGGCCGCTTCCATCACCAGTATTAGCTGTTTTTTTGAATTCATCTTATGTTATTATGGACAATTGTAAAGCCTTTATTATTAATTACAAATGTATTAAGGATGTTTATATCCAAAAAAGTATTATCATTGAAATTTCTGAGATTATCAATTAAATCATTAATAGTGTTATTAATTTATATAACATATAACATAATTATAATTTAATGACAATTTTTGTGCTACCTATTATAAGCTATCTCGATCTTTTTCGTTCCTGATTTGATAAAATCTGGTTTGTTCATTCTTGCATACAAGGATATCTGAATTATTTTTCGACATAAATCTGAATCCTTTTTCATTTGCTATTTTTTTCGATTTACCAAATTTACCAAATTTTACATTTTGTTAAACGATCATTGTATGTTATTATATGGGTATATAATTTGTGTAAAATTATTATTAATAATTTAGAGTATTATATAAAACAATTGTTGAAAAAAATATACATTGTTTTGTTATAGGTGATGTAAAAATTAAGTTTATAGAAAGAAATAGACAAATATTTATAAAGTGTTGTTGGTACTTGGCTGGCTAAAGTCAAAGAAGGAATGAAATCTATAAGTACATCTTGTAATTTATAATTATTGTGCGTAATAATAATATTATTTCATATAAATACATTAATTACAAACAATACAAACATTTTTTTTATTTTAAAATATATTTTGTATTTTATTCATAATTTTTATTATACTATAGGTAAGTAATTATACCTATATTATATATTGTCATAATATTTTAATTGTTTTCAGAAAGGTATGACTTTATTAACCTTTATTATAAAATATGTTTTATATTATACTATCAATACTATAGAAGATAATTTTTATTTCAATAAACGATTGACTTTTTTAATCTTAACTCATTTCAATTAATCATTAAAAAGAATACATGTTAATACCAAATTGTATATTCCTTTAATATTTTTCATGAGTTCCTCTATATACATTAAATATGTCTGAGGATTTTAGTGCAATGAATTGGAAATATTTTTTGGATACTATCTGCAGATGTCTAATGAATAGATATATTTGTAGATATATAGATATGGTATTACCTGAGTAGTCTGGGATAAGACATAGTAAGTTGCTAATAATATTCCTTGAATATTTGAGGTTTATTAGTAAATCACATAAATTACAATTCTAAAAGTACAATCATATATTAAGATAAGAATATTAAATGCTATGGGGTACACCTTCAATATAAATATATATTAGTGCAATTTCGTAAATCGAATTGTATATTCCTGAATATTTCGGAATGTTCGGAATATTTAAGATTTTACATATTTTTACCCACTGAGTATCTACCTACATATATGAGTCATGCGAGTAAAAATTATCGATGATTTATTCAATAAAGAGTTCACAGGACAAATTTTTTTGCATATTCGAGACTATATCATGGGTTAGGGAATATTTTCAATGTTAAGCATATTTGTATTAAATTCAATTTTGGTAGGTAGATATAGAAATATTTTTTTTAACAATAGCAATAGATTTTTGAAAATTAAATAGGTATCAAATAGAAATTATAATTTCTGGGTAGGCAACATAGATACAAAATTGACTTTTAGCAATAGAATTTTAAGAATGGGTTAAAAATTAATTTTTAGGAATTGTATAGGCAACTTATTAAAAAAATAAAATTACAATTACAGGAGTTGAGTAGGCAACATTGTACACAAATTTTGGGAACCCCTGGACTATCTTATCAAATATTGCTAACAGAACGTACATTGTCATTAAAATGTATTATTGTTTATCTAGTTTATTTATGTTTACATAAAATATCTATCATTAAAATTAATGTGTTAATGTATAATTGTTTCTCAAACCTATGGCTATGTGTCAGTCGAGATAGAACATGTTACCATTTGTTTGTATGTAATAGTTAATAGCAAGTAACAACATATTAAAATGGATAAAACAAAAAAGACCATCTGTGTTGTGGTCTTAGGTGACATAGGTCGCAGTCCAAGGATGCAATATCATGCTCAGTCGTTCATACGCGAAGGATACAATGTAGATGTTATTGGGTATACTGATAGTCCAATACTTGATGATTTGAAAGAAAATGCTACAATTATCAGTGTTAAAAAACCATTTCCATTTGATGAATGTAAATATTTCTATACTTGAAAAATAATTTATAATTTATTTAATTATTAAAATAGCACATAAATTCTAAGGTAATTCTAATTCTAAATTGTCACATAGTCAATAATATTCATTATTTTGTAGTTGTCTTGTTATACCTATGATCTACATCATTGTGTTTTATAGTTTATTTGATTTTATTTTTGTTTGTGTATTCTACAGATGTGCCGCGAACAGTAGCATTTTTCTTTAAAGTTGTGTGGCAAACTTTGACGTTATTTTGGGCAATTTTAGCAAAACGCAAATCTAATATAGTATTAGTTCAAAATCCGCCTGCAATTCCAACACTTGCAGTATGTTGGTTTTACTGTTTGCTTGTCAATGCAAAATTTATTATTGACTGGCACAATTATGCTTATTCGATACTTGCCTTAACATTAAGCTCTGATGCACCCCTGGTAAAATTGTCTTTGTTATATGAAAAGTTTTTTGGTCAATTAGCCGATACTAATTTATGTGTTACCAAAGCAATGAAAGAAGACCTGGATAAAAATTGGAATATTAAGTATATTAATTTTTAGATTTTTGTATGCATGCAATTTCTTATAGAATAGAATATGTATATTGTATATATATGTGTACTTTAATTCATTATTTTAGAGCAATCACTTTATATGACCGTCCAGGCCCACAGTTTAAAACCATTTCATCAATAGAAAAACATTGTTTACTAGAGAAAATGAATTTAAACAATTTCACTGAGTTATGTGAATCTGGAAAAGTGCAATTGAAACCTGATCGCCCAGGTTTAATTGTGTCCAGTACTAGCTGGACTCCAGATGAAGATTTTTCCATTCTTTTGAAAGCTTTACAAAGTATACATAATATTATATTTTTTCTCCTATTTCATTTTATAAATTGAATTATTTACAGTGCATACAATTTTAAATGAATTCTTTTCCTTCTGATTTATATGTTACCTAAATACTATACTTTAAATTAAACTATTTAGGCATATAAATGGTTTCATACATAGTTGAAAAATATTACTGTCCTTATTTTTATTTGTGTAGCAAAAGTTTAAGAAATTTATTTTATTTTATACCTAATTTAATATGTATTTATAATATAATTGACAGAATATGATGAAAGTGATGATGTGTATCCAAAACTTATTTGTATTATTACTGGAAAAGGCCCATTAAAGTACCATTATCAACAAATAATTTTAAAATTAAAATGGAGAAAAGTTTCAATTCTTACACCTTGGCTTGAAAATAAAGACTATCCACTTATTTTAGGTATAATTTTGTTAATGAATATCCAAAATAAGATAAATAATTTGATTTTTTTTTTCATAAATAATTTCAGCATGTGCTGATCTAGGTGTATGTTTACATGCTTCCTCGAGTGGTCTAGATTTGCCCATGAAAGTAATTGATATGTATGGTGTCGGTTTACCTGTTTGTGCATTTGATTTTAAATGGTAAATTTTCTATAACTACCTTGTAGTTATTAAATGAAGTATTATTTTCATTTAGTTACTGTTATTTATAGTGACTGTTTTAATTTATTACATTATTAAGATTTTGTCAAATACACTATTGTTTCAGCTTAAGTGAATTAGTTCGACATAATGAAAATGGTCTTGTTTTTTCAAATGAAAATCAGCTTGCATTTCATATTATGGAATGGTTTAAAAACTTTCCTTCACAGATTTATGAGAAGAAAACTTTGTTCTGCAAAGAAATCGAAAATTTTCGGTTAGTTGATTGGCACACTAATTGGATGAAGAATGTGCATCCACATTTTTCCAATCTATTTATTTAATCATTTTAATTTGGTTTTATTATTTTAAGTATTTGTATATTATAATATATTTTATATATTGTTTATTTTGTGTTATGTTGGAAACAAGATATGTCTGTATGCAGATTTATCGGAGCATTTATTCCTTAAATACTATGAAATAAAAAAAAAAATTGTTACATTTTCATAAATATATATTTGTTTAAATGTTTATTCTAGATGTGTTGTTTTTTTAAAAATAATACTGAAAATAAAATATTTTATTTTCCTACATTTTTAGTTTTTAGTGTTGCTAAACAAATTTGTGAACAAATAAAGTAATAGTTACATGTAAATGCTGAAAGACATGCTGTAAGAAAATCCTTACTGATTTGTCTTCTTCTTTAGTTCAGTTTACGAAAAGAAAATATAAATATAATATGTCTTTCTATAAGGTATTTTATTTTTACTAAAAGAACATAAAACATAACAAATTAATTAGTATACATATTCCAAGTATGATTTGATTGAACTTTGTTATTTGTGGAATACATAAGGTATACTTATCAAAAATATGGTTAATTACATGATTAAACCAATCATAGCTTTCCTGAAAATCAAATGCTGTTAATAAATAGAAAGTATCATTAAAGGGGTTATTTTATTGCCACTGTGTCATGTAGGTTACTAGGCCCACCACTAGCCGACTGGATAGCCAAAATAGTAGGAGAGACGAAGTTTTGAAATGACCGACGTCAACTTAAAACATTGTCGGTATCACGGGCGGGGGACCCCACTTCACGCCGCACTGGCTAGCCGCTCCGAACTTAGTGCCCTCAAGGTTGAGGAGCCTACCTCAGCTGAAACGTGGTGGATGTGGGACTGGCGCGAGATATTAATCCAAACCACTGCACCTAGTGGGTGATCGGAAACTCATCCCGGTTGCGAGTAAGGTACATGCCCAGAAGGCCCGGGGCCGGTGTTCTCTTCGAAGACTGGACCGGTGGCGGTTTGCCACCATTGCTCCAGCACCACGTCCACCCGCAAGTAGCGTCTAGTGCTAAGACGCGGACGGCCGGCGGTAGGCGTCAGCCACAAAACCCCGGGGACCAGCTGTGTCATGTAGGTATGACGTGCAGATTCTCATGTCCAAGAAAATCAAATTAGTTATGGGTGTCCCAAGGGGTGCTAACAAACAAGTAGGTATTGAGATTTTGTATCATAATAAAATATTGACACTTGTACCAAATAGAAAAATATGTATCGTATTTTTCAAGCATTTTACCAACCGAAAATGTGTTTTCGATAAAAAAAATTATCTATGGCAGGGATTCCCAACCTTTTTATTACCAAGTACCATTTGACATTTTTATGATCAATACACGTATGACCTTATTCTAAAACTAAATTGGCAATCAAATTATTTTATTATTAATTCGTTTATTAAAATTTGTCAATTGTTTGATATTTATAAAAGTTAAACAAATTTTAATTTTTATGTAAATCTCTTAATATTTAAATTACAATTTTTATTTTTAATGTGAAGAAAAATTTCTTCGCATACCACTAGTTGGGAACCGCTGATCTAGGGGATGAACTGTAGAACATTTTCGATGGACGTTTCAAGTAAAACAATATAAGATAGAAAGAACTTATTACATTTATGTATATTAAATTAAAATGGTTGAAGTAAAATAGATAAAATTATCGTAAATTGATAAAACTTTTGTAGGTTATTACTTATTACTTTATTAGTTACTCAGAGCTCATTTTACGTTGTTTTTCTAAATGAAAGCAAATAGGCGGCCATAGTTAAAGTAAACGAATACTTTTTTCACAATAAAGGAAAATATAACCGTGATCAATACAACGCGTATATATATATATATATAAACTGCTGTCTGTGTTATTCATTAAAAGAAAAGAATGATCTAATGTTAAAAGTTCTGACGAAATAGGATACGTGACCTCCAGTCTTTTTTCTCTTGGGTATTTGGTATTTGTAGGTAATGGTTGCTTAAATAAGTACCTATTACAACTTGTACTCAACTTGGATATTTAGTATTTTGTAAAAACAATAATACTTTTGTGCAATTCTTCTATACCTAGCAATACAATTATTGGTACCCACCAATTGACTAAATTTAATTGACTAAATTCTCTACTGTTTGTGATATAGACAAATGCTTATGTAAAAAAATTATCGTTATAAATACATTTATTTACAAACATATCTTTCGTATTTATAAAAATAAAATTAATTCTATTTTTTGCATAAACTGGAATAAAGTGTTAATAAAAAAAATAAAAAAAATCAATGATTGTTCAATACCGACTAGCTGACCAAATTGGTATGTGATTTACTCTAGTTGATTTACATCAATAGAAGTATCATCGATAGTGTATTAGAACTGAAGCGTGTAGTATCTAAAATTAAAAACAGTAGCCCAGTAGCACAGTCAATGTTTAGTAACCTACAAATAGGTACCTACTGATTGTGTAGTTCATGATCAATAGATAGTATACTATTTTAAAATACACATTACGGTATACATACATATATGTGATTTTCCAATTAATAGCACTCTATTTAATAATGTTTTCGAATTTTTAATACTTTTTTCCGATTTTAGATTCTAAGTGAAATGTGAAGCGAGGAATGAATTGGTTTTACAATGTTTATTTTATTTTATTTTATGCTGTACATAAAATTTCTACTAGAAATCTTGCTTCGATTTTCAAGTATAGCACTCATTTTATGATTTTCCAAGCGGTTTTCATAATAATTAGGAAAAAACGTAGACAAAACCGGAAAATTTACGAAAATAATGTTTTTTTTTTGTTATAACTCAGTTAAAAATATTCGTCAAGACTTGAAATTTGGATAGAAAATTGTAAATATTACGGTCTTTTAAAACATATATAATCGATTTCTGCTTAATTAGCAATTTTCGTTAGCAATGATCAATCATTGCCTACAGACTGATAACCCATCGTGCAACATATGTTCGTCTTTTGTTCATATATCTAGTACCTATACCTAAGAAGATACGAAAAATATTAGCAACCCTTTATATACTCTTTAAAAAAATTACTTATTTAAGTATAATAATATATAAATCTACTGTATAATAACTATATATAAATAAGTATCTAATTAAATTCATAGTAGTAAGTAACTACATTTTTTTAATTTTTTTTTAGCGAGAGTGGGAAGAATATTTACATAACAAATTACTTGTATTACCATGCACTGAATATAGCTAGTAAAGGTAATAATTATTGAAGATAACATTGGGATCATAAATATTGGTTGGTCATTGAATTAAAATAGGGTGGTCGAATAGTTTGGGACATCTGTTGAATATTGGACGACTGTCACACGATCTATATAGTTTCTCCCTAAACTCCTGTTAACTTGTTTTAATTATATTAATTATGCGTTTAATTAAAATTAATAATTTTATTTATGTATAATATTTTACATTATACATACCGGTAGGTACCAACCTATAATAGATACTTTAATATTAAATGAATGACTTATACTTTGTTTAAATGGACTTTAAAATGATAAAGCTTGATCATTTTACTGTACATTTTAAACTGATTTGACTTATTTTTGAAAAATATTTATTTAAGTTATTTTAAAATGGGTAGATACCTAAATTAAGTTTTCTGCTTCGCATTTTTTCAAACTTATTTTGACTGTGTTCCTCTAAAAATGTTGAAATAATAAAATAACTACTGTGTATACCTACTGTGAGTATAATAAATAATAAACTCCTGGCTCATATCAGTCACACCGATTTATTAATTATTACTTATTAGCATTTTATATTTAGATAAGAGATGTGGAGTGTTAGGGTAATGATTTTTAATAAGTACCCTCTCAAACCCAATAGCTAATACCTATTTACCCTATACAGTATACTGGCTATACTTCACTTAAGAAAATTTTAAATTTATTTATTATTCATAATAGTAAACGCCAATTAGCTTTTTCCATGATTTTTTTTTAATTGTTAATAAATAATAAACCATTGAGTACTGGTTCAATATTTATATTTGTTATACATCAATAGGACAAAGGACTTGAAGCTCTAAAAAGTTGCTAAATATAGATACACTTAAGGTATTAAAAATATGCATTTATATGAAAAATAAAACAACACAAAAATGTAATTTGAAATTAAAAACAAGATTTTTTTTATTTACATTTATTTTACTTAGGTAGTTAATAGTTACAACTTGCAGATAAATTATTCAATTCTAAAAAATAACAAAACAAGTATTTCAGTTTTAAAATCATTTAACAGTTCAGTACCAAATTTAGGAACATGATTTTTAGATTCTGAGCAGAGCGAGAAATGTATTGGTTTTACACTGATGTTTATTTTTTTCTGTGGCCAACTTTTCTACCAGCAATTTTCCTCCGATTTCCAAGTATAGAACTTTTTCTGAAAATAAATCTAATTAGGGTTGTACTCTAAGGAGGTAATTTTTTGATTTTCCCTGTTTTGTAAATGGGAGGAACGTAAAAAACACCGGGAAATTTACGAAATGTATTATGTTTTAAAATTTTTGTTTTGTTTTGATTCTGTTAAAAATATTTGTAAATTGATGAAGTTTGGACAGAAAACTTATATTTAACTTTTCTAAACATGGTAAAATGTTCAATACATTGTTGCCATTTTTGAGCTATTCGGTAGGTATTCTGTGGATAACATTGTTGAACCAAATAGAAATGCTAGAATATTAAACAGGAGGTTACTTGTAGATCGACTACAAAATATTGAGTGTAATGTAGAATTTTTTTTTATTAAAATTCGAGTATAAAAAGTTTGACGAAAATCGTTTTAGTATAAAATAATGTAGGTATTTTGTGATGTATGACTATTGTATTACATTCAAGTCGGTACAAGTAATTATTATGCAGGTATAATTATTTTACCATAATATAAAAGACATTTATATTGTTGACAAAGAAACACTATTAACCGAACTCCGCTCAAAATAGTTTTTCGATAGTAATGGTAAACCACGTTGCACACAGATATATATATTAAATTTCCTCTCTACCTTCCTAACTTCTCACCTACAACAGTCGATCACCCATTGTGCGAAGTATGTCCGTTTTTTTTTAAATTAAGAAGATTATAATGATTTAACTTTTTTAGGCATGTTGTACATATACAAATAAATAAATTTAAAAATAAAATAAATCGCAAACAGAATACGTAGTTAACTGTTCAGAAACAAAGAACATTATAATGAAAATATATCGATGTATTGATCACGGGTTGTGAGACAAAGAAAAAATTACGTCCGTGAACAGTCAACAACCATATTATACGAATACAAATTAAAAATAATTTTAGTTGTATTATTGAATGATATACAATGCCATTGGGAGAAAATATTGATAAAATTATTAATTTAATAAAATATAACTCAAAAGTTATAAAATAAAAGAATATGCCATAAAAAAATCTCAAAATATGCATTTTCATGTTAAATTACAAATTTTGTAAATTGTTTTCTTCTTCTTCTTCGTCTTCATTCGAACTATTTTGAGTCGGCCACTCTCGTTCGAAATTTGCACCTGACTCGATATCACCCACCTCCAGTAGCGTAACTAGGGGAAGATTTATCGATAAATCACCCCCAGACCTTTTTTTCTTTTTGTAATTTTTTGCTCACGCGTTTTTTCCATAGATAATAGTATAACGATTACAAAGTAAGTACATTGTAGGTATGCATTGTGATACAAATTATTTATAATTATTATAGTTTATAAGATTATATCAGTTTGATAGATAATTTAAATTTTCTTAGGATTTTAATGCCTCTTTAATAATCTAAATACTTCTAAAACTAACTCTTTAAAAGTACACTCTTGGGTAGGTAATTCTTGAATAAGTTTGTTGAATTTTACTTACCAGAGATCGACAAACACGTGTCATTAACTGAGTTAAAATGTGAGGAAAAAAAATGTCTACTAATAATTTAAGTATAAAAACTGCATTAGATCCACTTTTTCTGTGCCATGAAGATTTATAACCCTGTATACATTTTGTTCTCAAGATTTTATGTATACTTCCTGTGTCAATAGCTACTCCTGAAAGAACCTTTTCGAGTATAAACGTATAAAAACCTATTTATGTAATACTATGACGGAAGTATGTAATATGGTTTTAATTTTTAGATGTCATTATTCAACAGTTCAATAATAAATCAAGATTAATTTATGGGTTTCGTATTTTTGTTTTTGTTTTAGGTTAGACTTAATGGATTGTCTTCGTTATTAATTAATAGACATATTAAATTAAATGTTGAGGAAATTATTGATGAACTGGGAAAAAAGCCAAAAAAACTGGAATTATTATTGTAATACATTTTTTTTTTATTATTTAAATTAGTATCCAAAGTGAGGCCCAGTAAGACCTATAGTGGTAGAAGAGCGGTAGAAGAGCATTGTTATATGCACCATTCCACTCAATTATGTCATACGATTATAGACTCAAATAGTATTAGGTATATAGTTCTAATGTCTTTGGAAGTTAATATCTCACGTAGATCTTTCATTATGTATATTATCTTTTTTAATTTATTTGTAATGGATGTAATCTGGTTTATCCATTTCATACTGGAGCACATTTCGATGCCTAAGTACTTACAATTTTTGACAACGCTAACCGAATTACAATCACCACATTCCATTATATTATAATTATATTCGTCGTGGATTTTTATATCATGTATGGTTGGTAAAGTTTGTTCAAATAGTGAGTGGAGTAAAATAGTTGATTTATTGAAATTTAGAAGTAGACTATTATCACAATACAATATAATTAATTTTAATTTATGAGATTATAAATGTTTAATGTTATAAATGTGACCTATAATTTTTTTTTTTTTATAATGACAAATATTCACATTATACCTACATACACTGGCTTTTTTCTATCATTCTCAATCGCATCCAATTGGACGCAACCTTTCACAATTTTTTAAGTCAATATATTATTTTAAGTCATGCTCGATTATTATTTTCTTATCTAAATCGTACCTACTAATAAAGAAAACTATGTACTAATTTAAGTAAGTTAAAATATTTTTATGTAAAAGAGTGTGAATAAATTTGAACTTTTATGCGATATTTATTTTAATCTCCATTACCCTGTAATTAATATGTATTTGTTGACATGCTATGAGTCGTAAATTCAGCTACATATTTTGTGTTAGTTAGTAAGTTTAAGTTTCCTGAGTTATTATGCTTGTGCATGTCAGATTTGTGATATGTTCAACTTCAGATCAATTAATTATATTTATAAATTCGTTCATATCTATTTGTTTATACCATTATTATTAATTAATTAATTAATACTACATTAATACTATTTTACTACGTTTTGTTTAAATGTTATAACTTGAGTGATGTACTAATGTATGACTAATAATTACAAGTAGGTGGGTATAGTCAGACATTTTATATAATTCTAGAGAGGGCTGATATTTTAAAATACTTTTGTGCATTTCAAAGCCACTTTTGCTCAAATAAATAGTTTTAGTTCGCAGTAATATTAAAGATCACCAACACGATGAAGACAATGATGAAAAAAAATGAACCGTAAAAATTGTGTACAGCTGCTAAACGTAAACCTATCAAAAAAATGTATGTGAAAACTAATTAAAATAATTCGAAAAGAATTGTCAAACACCAAAGACTCCCGGGTATGTCCATCTACATTTTATAAATCCTTTTCGAAAATCCATATATCGGAACCTATGCAAAACTTTCCTTACAGTTCCATCATCGATAACTAATGTTATTAGAAAGTTGAAGCTGCTAGTATTGACAATAAATCTAAAAAAATATTATTTACATAATACAATACATTCAGGCGCGAATTCAGAGGGAGTTTGTTGCTATCTAGTTAAAATAAATATTATACCTATACACAATGCACATATATATTTTTCAAAAGGCCGGGCATGTTTCTATGAATCTGCCAAATGTTATTATGAAGATATTTACAGAAATAAATTTGTGGGAAAATAAATGGACCAAAATTTAAAACAATCCACAAATTTCAATTGAAGCATTAGAACACTGCAGTGAATTTTTGCCCAACATCAAAATATTTCTTCACATTTTTGCCATGTTATCAGTTTCCACAGCCACAGCGGAAAGATCTTTCTCAATTTTAAGAAGATTAAAAAATCACTTACGGTTCATCATATCTGAAGTACGTCTAAACTGTTTGGTTATATTAAATACACACAAACAGATAGTGATAGATATAAACCAAGTTATAACTACTCTTGAGCGAAAAAAAAGGACGGAGTTAGAAGATTGGTCAAAATGACCAAATCATATTTTTATTTTTATTTTTAATTATAATGACTATAATTGAAATACAATTTTTCATTTAAATATATTTTTTTTTTTTATTACAGAGACAATTCTATTTTAATAATATAAATTCGTTTTAGATGTGTGTTTTAGCATTTCCACTAATGGTTATCTTTTTAAATATTAAGCACATTAATTCATTAGGACTAAAAAAAATGTCATACTATCAGGATGGTGTATACAAAGTTTCATACCTTAACCCATACTATAATTCCACAATAGCGCCCTCTATAAAAAAAAATCCTAGATCTACCACAATAATGATTGCATTATAATTATAATATATTTAATAATTATTATTTCTCTAGGGCAATACAGAAACTCTTTTAGTCGATTGTAAATTCATGCATTCTCCAAAAAAATTGTATTCTGCAATACACAAAACATGGTTAAGCAAGAAGCCACTACGATCCACTACGGTCTTTTTTTCTATGTGAACAATTTTTCTACCAACAATTTTGTTCTAATTTATAATGACAGTAATGTTTCCAAAAGAAAATTCCGACTGAAGAGTTACTTTAGGGTGGTCATTTTTCGATTTCCACTAGAGTTTTCCAGGGAAATGTGAAAAACTGGGATAAAACATGGGAAAACCGGGAAAAACTTAGGAAAACTGAGAAAATCGATACAAAATTAAACAAATATTATTAAAGAAAATATAAAAAGCCTATTGAATTATTTTATTATAAAATGACATTGTTAACAATGCATCACTATCAATTGAACTCTGCTTAGAATCGTTTTTTCGTAAACAATGGTTTATCGTTGCTTACCGGTATGCATTAAATTACCTATAACAGTGGCTGCACTCGTCCCCATTATCCTAAGACGTCTTTTTAATATTTATAATAGTAACCACTGACAACTAAATAATTTTAGAAGGACTAATTTCCCTGTTTATACGTTTTGAATGGCTTAGATTCCTCAGGCCTCGTCACAATTTCTGTCAATATAGATACGTACATATTTTTCTCAATTACATGTTTTTCTATCTCCTTAAATGGCTTAAAAACCCACCATTCTTGATAGTTGATGCAATTAATAAATATATCAACAAAGAAATTGATATACAAAAAGATACATAATTAGGTAGTCTTTACTCTTGACAGAGTAATAATTTTAATTTTAGTTTTTTTTTAATTACACAAAATAAATGTTTTCAACTGAGTTTTATAAAAATGTATACTGAAACATTTATAGAACCTAATACAATTTCGTTCGCTTATTAAATTTAATATATTTATGAACTGTTAAGTTAAGCATGTTACCTATTAAGGATTCGTTATACAGACTTTAATATGATAAAATTTATTCATCAACATTAATTATAAATCAAAATGCTTATTCAAATTCAAAACTAGATTTGCATATATATATATATATATATATATATATATATATACATATATTATATTATATATTTTAAATTATACGTAGGTACTTATAGTTTTTCTAATACTATATTATGTTCTATTTTAGTACTGCATAAGAAAAAGAGTCCCAATCTAGTTTTACCATATTACAGTGGAAATAAAACACAGTTTACGAACCCTTTTTCATTTTAATAAATAATATTATTTATTTTATATTGTGAGTTTAGCAAAGAATGTATTGGTTTTACAAAGATGTTTTTATTATTTTAGTTTTTTTTTTATTTGAACACTTTTTCTACTACAGATATACATTAAATTCCCGTCTGTATCCAGACCTACCCAACCCTACCTACCCTATCTACCTTCCCAACTTGTCACCTACGCCAGTGACTGCGCCCATATGAGAAGTATGTCCGTCCTTTTCAATATGGTTTGCTTACGAATTATGGAACTGTTTTAGTGTCAACTGAACCATATTTTTCCTAAAATAGTTTCGTGTAAAAAAACGTTATTTTTAAAAATACGTAGATTGATCGTTTTTCTTATCAGTATTTCAATTATTTTTCCTCATTTAAATATGTTAATTAAATACCTACATAATCTTTTTTGTGTTTAAAACGGTGATTGATTTTCAAACCATAATAAGTAGGTACCTAAAATGATGTATTACTTTAAGGTAATCATATTAGAATACAAAGCTTTCCGTATACACTATAATTACAAAATTATTCTATAGGCACTATTCAATAAAACAACAATATGTTTTTTTCATTTTTCATGTAATCTGTAAATACCCGCCTACATACTCAGACTTTAACATAAAAACAATCCTTTTTAAGATACTATAAAACTCCCATAATTAAATAACGTATTCGGATTTGGGGCACGATAAATGTTCAACATATTTCAACTGTCTTCGTTTGAAAATGTTTTCACTTAGAGTGATTTAAATCTCAAAGCCGCACCAGTATGAACTATATAAAGTGCTTACCGTCACTACATAACATGGTCTATATGTATAAGTTCTAGCGTGCCACTAGTCGGAAAAGTTAGTGATGTGTTTTCATTATATAGTGTATATTGACATGTTGTGCATTAAACCGACTCCTATGTATCTGCCAATCTTAAATGCATATAAAATAGCAACCTAAATTTTAGCATAATTAATATTTGTATTAATATAATATTATTTTCGAAATTCGTGTAAAACAGTAATTTAAGCCTCCAATTGATTTTTTTTATAAAGATATAACGATAAAAAGCTAACAGTACCAACTTGAAAATGTATGATATATATGATAATTTATTAGCTTATACTTGATATATCGGTACGCAATTACAAAAAATTGTAACGAAAAACGATTTTGAGCGAAATTTGGTCAAACATTAATTGATTGACTAACAAAAATTGAGCATCGTATTAATTATTATAACCTATAAAATAAATTACAATATTGTTTGAGTTTTTCGTCTCAGATATTCGAGCAGTATAAGCCAAAAGATTTTTATCTATATAAATCGAAATATACCGATTTTTATGATTATCATTGAAATTTGAATTTTAAACGTTCATAATAAAAATGTCTACATATACCTTAATTTTTTTTTACCACTACAATTCAGTATGAAGAACCTCGTCTTAAATTTGAAATTTCTGTGTAATTTTAGTGAATCAACAAAATTATATATCTAAAATACGTAAAACTTAATTAAATTAAAAAAAAAAAAAAACAAAAAATATCAAATATCTAAAAATAACTCAAAATTAGTTTTAATGATACCTCCCAACTTAAAACATTCATGCTGCGAAGTGAATTTTTCCACGTTTGTTATAAATGATTTTATTCATCACCGCCTGCTATATTTTATGTAGGAACACAAAAAGTCGATAAAACATTACATTACGATTATAGTTACTAAATATTTTATTATTTAACACGAGTACGCGTTTACAATATAGGCAAACAATTAGGTATCTATACTGTTACCACGATATTGCCAATATTATGGTTAGATATACCAGACATAATACGATAGCCGATAGGTACAGTCATACAGCTGCTATGGTATCATTTTAAGCAATAATATTTACAATTTTTAACGAATTACGAAACGAATTGTGTAGGTAATGATCATGTACAACGTAAAAAAATCCGTCCCCACCACAAGAGAGAGCAGCAACAACACGCGTCGACCGGCAGCGGTGGTGGCAGCAGACCGACCGGCCGGCCGGCTGGCGGGAGTCACGTTTCACGACTCGTGGGACTAACAACTGTTGTTTTACGTCGCGGTTTGCGTTTCCAGTGAAATGTAGCTTGTCGAAAACAGTCCATCAACCGAACATAATAATAATAATAAAAATATATACATATATTTACCTACATATTATTCACTCGGTCCGTACTCTGTTGTTTTTAAAATCGAGAAAAAGAAGAAAAAAGAAAGTGCGTTTTTAAATTTTTTTTTTTTTATCCAAATACGTTCGGCAGTGTCGAGTATAATAGTCGTAATAATTTTATTCCGTCATAATATACCTGATTATATTATCATATTAATACCTGACTATCTAATATTTGCTGCAGTTGTGAAAACGATCGTTGGATCGCCGATGAAACGCGTTACGGTTCATTCGGTTTCGTAGATTTTTTGTCGAACACAATATCATACACCGGAGAAAAACACTGGCCAGGTGAGTGTGGATTGGGGGACGGTCGGCGGGCATGTGGGAACGGAATCGCGGATAGATCATCGCTGTTTATAGTACCTACTCACCTATAGAATCCACCAATACGTACGACTCGTATACGTATAGTTTTTGAAGCGCTGAAGGCCGTTTAGGTGCTATTATAATCGGTGTTCACTGTTATAGGAATGCGTGTTGTAGGACGTCGCGGACATTCACGTTTATCTATACCTATAGGTGCTTAAATATGAATACATTTGTAAACCACCGTAGGTATACGTACACCGAAACTGTACGGATTCCGAACTACACCGTCTATTGTTAGGGTTGTCTGTGTGTGTGTGTGTGTGTGTATGTGTGAGTGTGTCAAAAGGGTCCTTTCCAACAGCGAAAGGCAATGGGTCCTATATATTTCTATAGTTGCACATTCAGTCGTGGATCAATGCATCACGAAAGTGATGATGACAAACATCGTTATTATATATATATATATATATATATTTATATTAAAGACCAGAATAAAAATAGTCCGGTGTCTTTTATTTACCGGGAGACGAACGTGATTCGTTTTGAATATGATTTATTATTATAAATATTATAATAATACAATATACTTTTCAGAAATAAACTCTTCTAGTAATTTTGAGCGAATCGATTGTCATTGAAATTATTGAAATTATTTCATATACATACAGCTAGAATAAGTACCAGTGGCCCTACAAGGATTTATTTTCGGAGGGGGTTTTATGAGTTTGAAAAAAATTGATTTCGGATGATGGTTGGTAGGGTAGAAGGGGTAAGGTTTAATTAGGTTTATGAGTAAAATCTTTAAATTGTTTAACTTTCATTTAAAGACAACGCATATTGGAATACAATTTAGACTAATATTGGTTATGTAATTAAATATACTTTAGTCATAAATACAAGATGGGTCATTTAAACCTTCGGGATATTTTTGGGTAATAATTTTTAAAAAAACACATATTATTAATTTTGAATCATTTTTCGTTTATTTTAGAGAAGGAAATTTGTTCTGATTACTTTTTAAAAATAATATTGCGTAAATGGTCGTCTTCAGAGTGAATGACTTAATGTGCTCATTTTTCGGCATTTCTGTCACTTTTCGAAATGTTTCAGGCTGAATAGCGGCCATTTCTGTCATATATTATCTTTAACGCTTCTAGGATTCGGGGTTTCTTGATATAAAATCTAGACTTTTAATAACCCCACAGTAAAATGTCTGTAGGCGTTAAGTCGGGTGATCGCGGAAGCCAATCGAAATCACCATTTTTTGAAATTAAGCGTCCGAGGAATAAAAGACGCAAAAAGGAATCGTGACCCGAGCTGTATGAGCTGTGGCGCCGTCTTGTTGAAACTAATATTTGTTCATGTCGTTATCAATCAAAAATGGAATCGAAATATCCGTTATCATGGCCTGATAGCGCTATTCATTGATGGATACGGCTGCTCCAGTATCTCTCCTTCGAAAAGAAACTACCCAATGATTATTTTTGCAAAGCAAAAATAATTGGCCCAAAAAGTCACGCGTTAATTGTTAAGAAGTTGTTAGTGGATAAATTGAGGGTTTTCATCGGCGTAGAACCCACAATTTTGTTTATTAACGACCCCATTCATTTCGAAAAGTGATGGGAAATACTGAAAAATGAGCACATTACGTCATTTGCTCTGAAGGCGACCATTTAAACAATATTATTTTTAAAAAGTAATCAGAACAAATTTCCAAAATCAACAAAAAATAAATAATTTGTGTTTTTTTAAAAAAATTATTACCAAAGATTTCTTGATGATTTTCTATTGGCGCAATATTTATGGTAAAACACATAAGAGTTATAAATAATGAAATCATTGGGCCGTAATTTGATAGAAATCGTGTATTTCTGTAACTGAGATTATTTATCCCAGTGAAATTTTACCCGATAAATATTTTAAAGGAGGTAAATATTTTCTAGAAATAATTTACTGGGGGAGGTAAAATTTCACCCGGTAAATAATCGCGGGTACATCGGGACACTATGTTGCCGTAAATTTTAATTATTTGGTTTTTCTCAATTATTACGAAAACTGATTTGAATATCGAAAAACGGTTTACTCTGTCAGTGGCAAAATATTATATGGAACACAATCGATCTCTTGTGATTTTTGGATTGGTGCAATATTTCTGGTAGAAACATAATAAAAACAATGAAAACAGTAACGCACTGTAAATATTTGCCGTTTTACCTATAGTTTTCTGTCGGGATTTTCCCAATTATTTTGAAAACCCCTTGGAAAATCAAAAATATTACATCCCTAATGTTGCAACGAGAGAAAATGATTTCAGAAAAGGTACTATAGTCTACACTACTTCGGAGCACGAAAACGCAAGGGCGTCTCCAGACCTTAACTACGGGGGTGAGGGGTGCGAAACAATTAAATTGAATATTAATGATTGATAAGAAAAAAAGACGGATATACTTCGTCACGATAGGTGGACCACTGTTATAGATGAGAAGTTGAAAAGGTAGGATATTATGGGAAATTTAATGTAAACCTATGCCTAAGCAAATTTAAGTATTGTCAACAAAAAACGATTCTGAGTGGAGATCGCTTAAAAGTATTGCTTAGGGATGTCTTTGGATTAATTCCATGAAGGAAACAATTTTTACTCTTGAATACCACCGCTTCGGTCAACAAAAACTTAAAACCTTTATGTCTGATATCATTTTAACTTAAATTAGTTTAGAAAACTGCAGATACATTCTACAAATGCAATAAAATCGTTAAATTTAGGTTAATTTTTTTTTTACATTTAATAAATAATAATTAAAATTATAAATGAATAATAAAAATAAATCCAAAATACTTTTATTTTAATCCGCATTTTGTAAGCAGTTTGATTAACAATATTTTCTATAATAATGTTTTTATTTCGATGAAAATTTAAAAGTGATAAGTCTCTGCTCAAAAATTTATTTTTAACACAAAGTACGATTTTTAATGAACCTCATGTTGAATTCTCATGCATTTCTTTTTAGTCTGATAATTTTATTCATAAAGTAGGTGGATAAAAATTACGTACAAAATTCGCTAAATTAGAAAATTTCAATAAAATGTCGTCTAAAAAAGAAAAAAAACCACTAATAGATATCTTTTAAAAACATGATTTTTCATAACCCCCCTAGAAAAATGTTGAAAATCCGCTACTGTAAATATAAATAAATATGTTAGTAAATTAAAATCTCGTTGTCTATAAGCTTTGTATTACAAAATATGTTCACTTTGAAAATATAGGTGATTAGCTTGACGAAATGTCTAGAAATTTATGAAAAAAAAAATTCTACCTCGTTTCAATTTTGTAAAATGTGTAAATTTTTTTTTTTATAAATTATAGTTCTATAATTAAAATATTTATATAATTTATAATTTTCATAAGGTACGAGAATATTATTTATGATTATGGAGTATGACACTTCGTCTAACATTGTAACATAACATTAAAAATAAAATGAATTTATGAATTTAGTAATGATTATCATTTTAATAAATGTTATTTTTTGAAAAATCGTAAAAAAAAGCCCTTAAAAATTATAAAAACATACAAATGCTTACAAATTAAAAATACCTAAATATATACAAATTCTAAAGGCCTTCTCCTTCCCTCCACTTACCGCAAATTTAAATCAGTAACAATAAATTTGAACGTATACGAAATTATTAAACAAAAATTGCATCACTTGCAGAACAAGTGTTAGTGTTTTTAACATAATTTAGTTGTAGTCAATTTTGTTCACCACTTTTTGGGTTATTTATCATGTTACTTACGGTCGTCTAACGAAAACAAAAGTAACTTAATTATGTTGATGAAATATAATTTATCAAGATGCCTAATGTATTCATTTCACATGAAGATATCTGTATTATCAGTTAATGATTTATCATTTTATTAATCATCATTTCTCATTTTATACACTTAAAAAGTATATAATATTAATGTAATTTATTATATCATTATGTACTTATACCTAGCTATAATGTATAATAAAAGAACATTTTATAAATTCAATAAATGATAAATAGTACGAGTACTAATAATGGCGGACAAAAGGTACCTACGTATTATTTAAAATGATTTTGCCGACATTTCCATTATAAAATACGAAAATAAATATAATAATTATGTACGAATGTACCATGTATCTACTTATAAGACGAGTTTGTTTTCAAAAATGATTTCTTAATATCTAAGTTAGGCATCAATAATATTGTATAATTGTATTATTTGAAATGAAAAAGCCATCATATAGTTACTTAAAGGATTGAAAAAATATTGATTTTTTCAACATTACTACGTTGTTTCATTACAGCTACAGTATATAATATAAGTTCTGTCGAGTGGTCGAAACCGTCAATGTATTCTTTGATTTTCTACATACTTTTATTAATGTATTTACATTAAAATTCATTAAATCATCTACTATAATAATTATAGTAGATAATTATGATAACATTCATTTTTAATTTACATGTGATACTCATAAGTCATAAATAATAATAATATAATAGCGACTAATAATTTTTAGGCATCATGTGTTTATTTTAATATTATAATATGTTACCGGACAGTCAGGATTTCAGGATGAACTTGTTTGTCCTAGCGCCTTTAGGCTAAACTAATTTTTTCGAACTTAGAACAATGAATATTTTGAAATTTTTAAAGAAACATTAAATTGATTATTGGTTATCTATATCCTTCGCTAAAAAGTAACTAAATGAATTTCGAAATTAAAAGACTAAAGCTAATTTTATCTCGTTTATGTATAAATGTATTATAATATTTTCATAAAAATTTCGCTTTTAATAAGCGATTTCATTTTTTAATAAAATGAAAACTTGTAGTCTGTATGCGTATGAAATGCTACTTGTATAGACATTAATGGGAATAACTTTTTTGGAAACGGTTTGTTGTTATTAGTAATTAATTAATTAAAATATTCCTCAAAAAGTACTCATATATTGACATTGTGTAATTTCTTTTATTTTGAATTACGAACTTTTTTGTTTGGTTGTTTAGATAAGTAGGTGGTATATAAAATGTCTACTTACTTTATTTTTCCTTTTTGCGACTATAAAAACAAGAAAATTTATTCTATCTATACAATTACCATTAAATAAGTTTAATTAATTCATAAAAATCATCGATTATATTTTTCTTAGATAATTGATCAATTATTAATTAATCAATTATTATTATTTGTTCAAAACTGTATATTATTAGTATTTATTACTATGAACAAATTGTAACTGAATATATTTTTCTAATAGAATCAATTCTATTATGAAATATTATTTATATTTAATTAATTTTTAAGTTACGAACTGGGCCTAATACAGGAGAAAATATAAAATGATACATGGTGAATTTACTGCAGAGACTTGGTAATGAATGATGCGTCTCCATATGGGTTAATGGCAATTCTATATACACTTAAATGTTCAATAATACGTATTCATATATAAATATAGTATATAAATAATGCATACAAGTATGAATATAAACTATAAAATCAAGATACGTATTTATGTTATTTTTCTTAAGAAATTTTATAATAATTTAATATAATTCTGTAAGGTACCTACAAACTATATTTTCCGTATTGGGGACGTTAGAGTGATAATATATATATTATTTTTATATTCTGCTATTAATGTATTTATAAATTGTAAATGCTATTCAAAATGATTTAAATTATTACTTTAAATTCAATGAATTTGCATCTATAGAAATGGATAACCGAGTGCCGTCAGAACATGACATCTTCGTATAATATATTTAAACCTTGAACGCCAACAAGATATCTCTTACAGATATTAAATATTTATTGAACAAAATATAATTTAGTTTTGGAAATTTAAGAATTTCATAAATATTTAAAATATGAAATCACCAGTTTAATTATTAATATGTATTTTATTTTCATGTATATTTTTTATAATGTAAATTACTTATACATGATATTTTATAGAGATTTGACACATGTATTAATTTTGTTCTGTTCAATAATTTTAAGTTTTTAAAATCGGATTGGAAGGAGGGATCTATTGGTACATTAATGATGTGTTTTTGTTAGTCTGTAAAAAAATGTTTAAATAAAAACCTTGCTCAAATTGAAAAATGACAATCGAGACTTTTTTGTTGTATTTTGGATCTAGATAGTGAGATCATTTTTTTAATTTCTAAGAGATTTACAAAATAATAGGGAAATACCGAAAATAAAATTACAGAAAAAACATCAAATATTTACAGCGCACCGCTGTATTATCGATTTCATTGTTTTTAATTTGTTCGCACTATATTTTCTACCAAAAATATTTCGTTAATCAATAAATGCTAAGAGATCTTTTTTTGTAACATTTCGAAATTAGTTGCTAAAATAAAAAAATACATTTTTTAATTTCTGTGTTGCTTTCTTTTTAATTAAGCAAAACCGATAAAAAAACGTAGAAATAACAGCAAAGTTTACAGAAATAATGATTTCATTATTTTAAATTTTGTGTTTTTGTTGCTATTCTTTGCTATTCTTTTCTTGTTGCTTAAAAATACTCACAGGGACTTGAAATTTTGACAAAAAATTATATTTGTCTTTCTTACGTCATAAAATTTTAAAAAATGTTTGCCACTTTCTGAGTTATTTATAAGCATTTTATGTTCAAAAGATTTTTTACGTTTTTGATACTATGTAGATATTATAATTGTTTGACTAAACAGAAATGCTTGGACATTTAACAGGAGGTTTATTATAAGTTGTTCTTAGTGGTCAAAAAAATAAAAGAAGTAGAGTGGTATTTAGTCAATTTTTTTCATATTGGTTTTGAGATTAAATTTTGATGAAAATCGTAAATATTACGCTCTCTTAAGTCATGTGAAAACAAACTTCGATTAGAATTATTTTCATTAAAAATGATTTATCGTTACTTATGGATATAAATTAAATAACTTTCAGTATCCTACAACCTTCTTAACTTCTCACTTACAACAATGGTGCACCCATTAGCAGTATTATCTCTTTTTATTTGTCTTGTAATACCTAATTACTCAGGCTTGCGTTATGATTCCTCTATTTTATATATTTTGAAAACTGAAAACAAAAATTTAAATATTTAAAAAATTGTTTGTTTTTGTTATTATTATTATTTTGTTTATTTACGCTATAATAGAAATTAGTTTAAAAACAGTAACAAATTATTGTTACAAATATTTAAACTTAATACTTCTAATTGATATTTAATTTTCTAAAAACTGTTTGAAGTTAACTACTACTAAAATTTTTAATCCAAAAGCTTAATTTTAATTAAGCTATGATTAGGTGTTACATCATGGATTTAAAATGTTATATTATTTTATCAAAAGTGGACAAGTTTTTAAATACTAAACTGTATATATGTATATTTTTTTTTAAGATATTATTATGGGGCACGGAAATATTAGCACTTATCCATGGGGCCCAGAAGATATATGTCCAGGTGGATTAATTTTGCCGATTTTGGATGAACGTTTATGGCCAATCAAAGTGCGGGTGGTTATTTATTTATTTACGTTGCTTTATTTCCTATTGGGAATATCCATAGTAGCTGATGTATTTATGACCGCTATTGATAAAATTACCAGCCATACGAAAAAGGTTTATATGGCTAAAGAGTTATCGGTAAATGGCTCAAGTGTTTCTCTCCGACCAGACCAACCCGAAATAATAGAAGTGCGTATATGGAATCCAACAATTGCAAATCTAACATTGATGGCTCTAGGTTAGTATTAGATATCTAATAATTAAATTTTAAACTTATCAATATAAGTATATGTTATATATTATATATAAGTCAGTATAATAAATCTTTGAAGTATTTTGGTAAAATTAATATCCAGGGACATCTTCGCCTGAAATTTTATTGTCTATCATTGAAACGGTGGGTCATCATTTCGAGGCTAGAAAGTTAGGACCAAACATCATTGTGGGATCAGCTGCTTTCAATTTGTTGATTATCACTAGTTTATGTACACTTTCACTAAATTTAAACGAAAAGAGAAGAATACATGACTTAAAAGTATAATCATTATTTAATTCACCAAATTAATTATTTATTAACAAACATTTCTTGTGAGTTTTAGGTATTTTTAGTGATAAGCGCTTTTAGTTTTTTTGCCTATATCTGGCTTCTATTAATAATTGAAGTAATTTCACCAAATGTTATTGAATTATGGGAAGCAGCGATGACATTTTTGTTATTTCCAATCCTTATGTTTTTTGCTTATGCTACTGATAGAAACTGGTGTGGAAAGAAAATTGAACACGGTAAACACCAACTAGACCTTTCCTCTGTTGAAGATCCAGGTATAATCGTACATAATAACTAATCAAAGTTAGAAGTACGTGGTTAATGTTTATTTCACTTAACTTTTAATAGAAGAAATGAAAAATCAACCAATTGTTAATAATGGAAAAGTCCACAAAGAAAATTTAATTAAATTTGTGAAAACTGTAAAGAAATATCCCGGGATAACTGACGCAGATGCAGCAAAACTCGCAGCTACTAAAATAATAGATTCAACACATCATGGAGCTATGTGGTATCGCATTGGAGCTGTAAGACATTTTACAGGTGGAAAACGAATAGAACCTATTCTAGAAGATCATCTGAAACAAGTATAGAAATATTTCTTATAAAACGTAAATAATCGAATTACTTCTTCTAGTCAGATTGGTTTTTAACTACCTATAGGTTTATAATGTAATAAAAAAAGAAAACAATGTCGGAGACATGAATGAAATGTCACTATTTTCTTTCAAAGACGAACAAAAAGAATATTCAGTAGTTGAGTTCCATGCACCCACTATTGCTGTTAAAGAAAATATAGGGAAATTCCCCGTAACTATTTGGCGACATGGAAAACTAAACACTAAAGCAACTATAAGGTAAACGGGAATTTTAAATTTGAATATCATAATATAAATTGAATTAATTGTTATAATGTAAATTACAGAGTGGAAAGCATTAATGGAACAGCTAAAGAAGGAGAAGATTTTGTGAAAGTTAGGGAAATTGTTGAGTTTAATGAAAATGAAGAAGAAAAAGAAGTACCTAAATACTATATAGTTTATGAGTTATTTTTATATTTTTTATCTACAATTAGATTCTCGTCGAAATACTTGATGATAATAAATGGGAACCAGACGAAGAATTCTTCCTCAGAATTTCTGTAGTTCATCATAAAGAACGACCTGTAAAACTTGGTAGTATTTCAATTATGGAAGTCACTATAATCGATAACGATGGTATAATTATATTGCACAATTTATATAAAACATCTAATTTTATTATAACATTTTCTTTTGTCTTATTTTAGAACCGGGTATTATAAGTTTTGGCAAAAGAGGACTATTAGTAAAAGAGAGTGCAGGGTTCGTTGAGATACCTATTGTACGAACCCATGGATCAGACAACATGGTAAGTGTGAAATGGAAGACTATTGATGAATCGGCCATTTCAGGACGAGATTACATAGGTGGCGAAGGCGAAATTTATTTCAAAGATAAAGAAGTAGCTAAAATGTTACGAATTGAAATTATCAATGATATGTGTCCTGAGAAAGATGAATGCTTTGAGATCGAATTATTTGGGGCTACAGGTGGTGCGAAAATTGGAAACATTAACCGGATTGCTATAACGATTAGTAGTGACGATGGTAAAAATTTTATGAAGTTATATTTGTTTAAATTTGAAATTCTGAGCAGAGCGATTTAGCAAGTTATAATACAATGTGTCCAACTGTGTTCGACGGATTTTTCTATCACTGTTAATGTTATATTTTTTTTTTTCAATCGATTTGTCTTCGAGGAAAGCATCGGATTCATTGAATATAAATATGTGATTAATTAAAATTGTGTGAATAAAATTGTTTACAAAAGAGCTATTTTGAAAATTGTCTAAAGTGAATAAATAAAGTTATTATTATTTTTTTTTGTGTGTTAAGGGGATGAAAATACAAAATTGAAAAAAATGTAATATTAACGGCGATAGAAAAACCCGTCGAACACGGTGGGACAAAGTGTGTATCAGTCTTACTATTATGGCATTATTTTCACAAATAATACTTTCTAAACAGCAAAATAACTCAACAAGTTTTAATTCTGAGCTCTTCTCAGAATCGTTTTCAACCGTTTATCATTGCATTCAATGATTCAAATAATAAACTCTATTTTTCGTCTTCTGTAAGTATATGAAAAATATATATACATTGATGGTGTGTATTTACTTTTTTTTCAGACTTTGATTCTGTTGTCGATCGCTTAATGTTATTGACTCATATAAATATTCATGCGATCGAACTGCATCGCCAAACGTGGGTAGAACAAATTAAAACGGCAATGACCGTAAACGGTGGCGATCTGGATAACGCAACTACTTTAACTTACATATTGCATTTCTTTTCATTCTTTTGGAAAGTTTTCTTTGCATTTATACCACCAGCAGGAATTTGCTCTGGCTGGTTAAGGTTTATTACTTCATTAGCACTCATAGGCATCATAGCTACGATAATTGGTGATTTAGCTACAATTTTTGGTTGTTTAATTGGACTGGATGACATCGTAACGGGTAAATTTCTTAGACAATTATTTCCAATTAACATTCAACCAATTTAATCGAAAATTAAACTCGTTAATTCGAATTTATTATTATATACGCAGCAATAACAATAGTGGCGCTCGGTATGTCCCTACCGGACATCTTAGGAGCCTGTATGGTTACCCGGGCAGAAACTCACGCAGACGAAGCTATGATACACATTGCCGGTTCAATAGCAGTTAAAGTATTGATGGGCGTCGGGTTACCTTGGTTCATAGCCGCTGTATATCACTATTTACACGTAAACATCCACTTTCACTCTCTAAATATTTTTCAACGTAAATTATTAAAATTAATTTTTTTTTAGGGAAACGTTTTTCACGTACCGTCCAACCGTATCGGTTTCAATGTTCTTGTATATTCTGTTATGGCTATTTTAGCTATTATTGTTTTAATGGTTCGTAGAAATGTTGGCTTTTTCGGAAATGCTGAATTAGGTGGACCGCAAAAAGGAAGATATATTACTGTGGTTATATTAATCTCGTTGTGGGTAGTTTACTTGTCACTCACTTGTTTCCAAACATTTTAATGAAGTTTTAAATGTTTTAATTGAATTAATTTTGAAAATTTTACAAATTGTACTTAAAATTAAACTAAAAAGTTAAATATTTATTATTGTTTAAATAATATTGATGTCATCCTAATATTTTTAATTTAAAAATATATTATTACTTATATAATATGTACTATTTCATACCTTAACAATTTATGTATTATTATTTTCCTACTTATATAATATTATTATCTATATTTTATAAGGCATATTATATTATAATTAATCTTTTTGTAAAACTGTTAGAAACTTTGAAACAATAACATAAGAATAAAAAGTTAATAAAGTTGGCAATAAAACTATTGTATAATACTTTTTTAAAAATGTATTTTTAATTTTATATTTATACCTTATTTATTGTTTACTTGTGGGTAGGTTCAATTGGTTTATTCACATTTTGATGACTCCTAATTTGCTGACATCCCAATTCGCCAACAAATAAACCGGTCTTCTGTAGTTGTTAAAATATCTCAATTCATTGACATCAGGCACGTGGCCAGAAGGTGGGTCCATGGGGTTTGGGACCCCTGAAATTCAAACTTCTCACTAAAACTATTAGTACAATTATTGGTAGATGGTGATAAATTTTATGCTTGGATCCCCCCTAAAAAAAAAAAATCCTGGCTACGTGGCTAACTGACGTTAATAGGTAATTAAACTCGTGTAATATAATATAAATCTAAATATATTCTTATCAGAATTATCAAAGCGCGGCTGTGGGGGACAGATCGTACGCCAGCGGACTAGAGTGTCGCTGCGAGGCTCTTTTCGTTCACCCCTACGTGGGGAGGGAGGATAGCCACTCAACTAACCAAAATTTCCAACCTAATATTATTTTAAGGAGGATAATGTTCTAAATGTAAACCTAATACTGGGTCTTCGTGTTCAAGATAGAAAGAAAAAAAGCTGTCTTAGGATTATGGGAACGGGTGTAACGCCACTGTTAAGGCGCGTCCCTGTTAGCGTGTGGCTAGGCCGCGTGGCTTTCTTTGATATTTATCGACGATCATCGGGAACCCACGGATTTGGCCGATCAACTACAAAAGCTGCGCGGCTTGACATCTACACCAAAATATTGAAGCCAGCGACAAAGCCTATTATACCGATCCGAGAAAGTGGAGGAGCCAAACTCAGAGAAGTGTTGATAGTAGATGTAAAAATGTTGTTAAATAATTTGAGTAATCCTAAATAAAGCTTGGTAAATTATCTCATCTTGAACGTGTGTGGGGTCAAAAAAAAGAGGATATGTAACAGAATTATGTGTGGTTAGATGAAGTGGAGAAAAGCGTGTTTTATGTGGCAAGAGAATGTGGTGGATCGACAATGATGTATAGTTTAGAGTGTTTATCAGTAGACAGAAAAATAAAACAGATAATGCGTGTATATACGAAGTTCATTATATTTACCTGGATGTGTCGAGTGACGAGAAACGATGAAATAAAGAATAAGTAAATGAGAGGTAGCTTTAGTGTGGCTTTTATTGTAGAAATATGGTAGAAAATAGACTGAGATGGTATGGGCATATCATGGGAAGAAAGGAATCAGAAGTAGTAAGAATAATAATGAAAATAAATAGAGGAGGAAAAAGAAGAGGAAAACTGAAAAAGAGGTAGATGGATGTGATTGAGAATAATATGAGGACACTCAAAGACAACCGGTGTATGGAAAGTAGGAGATCAGGTCGTATAGAAATTTAGGTCTCGGTGGCCGGCCCTCAATATGCTGGAATGAAGGTGAATGAGTAGAAGACGAATATACTTTTATTATATTATCCGAATATACTTTCTATCAGATAATATATTCTGATGTAGACAATGTATAGACGATTTTTTGAAAGGAAATCTGACTGGGGAGGTAAAGTACTTATTCTGTGTAGATGTAGAAATATATATTGTTGCGTAGATATGTATTATAAGTATCCCGCCAATATGCTTAGAATCTTCTGTCAACTAAAAGTAGAGGGTATATTATGTATAATTATAATAATAATCATCTAGTATATCTACTAATATAGAGACTATTTACATAACGTCCCTTATGATCGAATAATTGATTATTCACGCCGGATGTCATTGTTGAAAATCATCTCTTATCCATTGTTCAATGTAACATAATTTAATTATGTACTCTTCATCTTCTCCTTGTTTCTCACGTATTGCAGCCCGAATTATAATTATAATACGAAAATAAGTATGGGGATTACGCATTTTTTTTATCATAGTTTTATTTTAAGTAGATAGATATTTACTAAAATATAAAAAAAAAAAATGATAGTGGTTAAAGAAACTGAAAACGGTTCTTGGTATTCTTATGTAATTAAAAAATATTTACCAGATTATTATATCTGTTTCAATTACTTTTAAACTAGTTTGGATAAAATATTTTACAACGAAAATTATTTTTTTATTGACACTTTTTAATAGGCGTCTAGATAATATTTCATTTGTATAACTGATAATAGTTGATTGGAATGAATGTATAATGTATAATAAAAAAAGTCATTTACCTACATTAAACTTTTATAGACGAATATGAATTGTAATCGAATTATTATTCCAACTGTACAAATAGTTATATATATATTATTATATTAAAAATAAATTGTATTAAAAACCGGATAAACTTCACATCACGGGTAGGTCACTATTGTAGGCATAGGTAGTTGGTTGATAAGTGGGCGGTTATCGTTTCCGCCGAAAAACTTGATTTTCGTTTCCGCCAAAACAAAAAAGGTCCGAATAATATATTGGAATTTATATGATTTTTTTTTAAAAAAATCGAGTTCATAACCAGTAAACTTGGTAAAAATATGATTCTAGTTGATGGGTTCAAATTTAATTTTTCGTACAAATTGGTTCAAACAAATAGTTTCTGGGTAACTCTAAATGAACCCACAAACTTTAATGTAGATAGGTATGTAGATTTAGGATTGGAGGAAACGAAAATTGAACATTTATCATTTTGGCAGAAACGAAAATCAAGTTTTTTGGTAAAAACGACTGACAACCGATAAAATAGAATACTAGAATATATTATAGGGTAATTTATTTTGTATACTGTATTCAGCTATAAACTATTATATATGAAAACGAATTCTGAGCGAAGTAGTATTATAGTCGAATTTTTTCTATACTGCCAAGGTAACACAGAATTTAAAAAAAAAAAACAAAAAATATAGGCTCATATTTCAATAAATATTTCAAATAAAATAGCCACCACCAACCAGAAATCTCACGTATTTTAACTTTTTAAGATACTACATTAAAATATTGGATCATTTTTTACTCGCAAAACAAGTATTTTTTTAAAAAACCGACTTGAAAAAAGTATTGGGAATTTCGAATAAATTGTTTAAAATAATGTGTAACCAAGAGAAAAATCCGCTTCCTTAAAGGTATGAAGTGAAAAATCAGAGTATTTAAAAGTTCTTTCATAAGAAAAATAAACACATAGTTGTAAAACTAATAACTTCTTCAATCTTCGATATATATATACCATCTCAGAAACTAAAGTTTAATTAATATATGTAAACATGATTTTGTTTTAAATCACAATTGAGTAAAAAAATAGGAACACATAATTTATAGAAACTTTTTATTATGTATTTTGGGACTTTTTTTATAATATACGGGGTAATCAATATATCATAAGACACTCATTATTTCTGAAAGTATTAGCTTTTTCCAGAATTTATTTTCTAGAAAATTTAAGAAACAAGGTGCTCAATAATTTTATGCAATGTGTCCCACCATGTTCAACGGATTTTTCTAAAGCTGTTAATATTGAATATTTTTCAATTTTAGATTTCGAGCGTAGCGAAGAAGCTATTGGTTTTACAATGCTGTTTTTTTTCTTTCTTCTAGTCTGTGGACATATTTTACCCTAGTAAACTTACTCCAATTTTGACGTGTAACAAAGCTCAAGTTGTCTAGATGGTACTTTAGAAGAGTTATTTTTTGATTTTCGACGCCATTTTTTAAATAAAAGCACTGTGATAAGTGAAAAGTAACGTGAGAAAACGTACAGTTTTACGATTTCATTATTTTATAAAAACACGAACGACATTTACTACCAGAAAAAAAGGATTAATCGAAAAATCACAAGATACTTTTTTTATTTTATTTTTGATTTACTTCCTTATGGTATCATTGCCAAAACTTTTGAGCATTTAAGGAATTTTAATTTTTGGGAGTTTTTTTGCTGTAATTTGATTATAAATTCACATAGAAACTCGAAACTTAGTATTAATATCTATATAGGACTTACTTAGACGTAGTAAAATTTTCAAAAATCATCGGATGACTTTTTTAAATTTTTTTACAATGGTACTTTATTTTTTTTTTTTATACTGTAGACCACTTTTAGCCTAGAAAACTTGTTCCGGTGTATAAGTGTAGCATCTTTTCTAAAAGTAAAATTTATCTACTTGGTAAACACATAGGTCATTTTTTTAATTTTCGAAACGGCATTTAAAATAAAAACGATTAACCGGGAAAATAAATACGATTTATTTTACTTTACCTTATGTTAATAGGCTTTTGATTCTATGAACCATAATACACTTATGTCTGTTCTGGTTTAGGAGTGCCTCTTCCATCTTGCGTTCAGTTCTACCTTAGTGATAAGTACCAGTGGGTTAGGTGTTCTATTATTAAATCTAACGTTTTCTTAAGTTCTTCCAGTGTCCCTCAAGGGGATCACCTTTCTCCGTTATTTTAAAACCTTTTTAACTAATTTTACCGTATTCATTAACAATGTTTTATCGTTCTTTACATAAAATCCGACTACACTGTTTTTCCGATAATATTAACCTTTTTGTGCATGTTTGTTCGTTTAATGACTACTTAAAACTGTAGGGTGATTTCAATTAATTTTCTGAATGGCTTGTAAAATTGATTCTGTTTTTCAACCCCCTTTACATTTAAGGTTAAATGTAAGGTTCTCTAAGATTTGCTCACCTATCTCTTTCGCTTATCATCTTGATGATACTATTATTATGCTTCTCTTTGATACCATTGTAGATCTTAATTTTAAACTCAATAGTAGACAAGTAGACTCGATCCTGGCTCCCATATTGATTATATTTTTTTTAAAACATTAAAAACTCTTTATTATACGATTGCCATCGGATTTTTTATCGGTTAAATCTCTTTTTTACGCTCTTGTGCATCCGATCCTAGAGTATGGTGCGGTTGTTTGTTTAATGTACCGATTTTCTCGTTTTTCCTACGTTTTTCTCGGTTTTCCCATGTTTTTTCTCATTTACTAAGAAAATTCTCGGGAAAATCGAAAAATGACCTATTTAAAATACCTCCCCAGTTAGATTTCCTTTGAGAAACATTGCTATCATTATAAATTGGAACAGAATTGCTAGTAAAAAAGTTGTTCACAGAGAAAAAAAGCCATAATATATTTTAATAAATACCCAAATTTCTATATTTTCCCATTTTTCCACCTTTTTTTTTCGGTTTTTCAGATTTGATGAGAAAACTCTTGAGAAAATCGAAAAATGACTCGGCTAAAATACCTCTCCACGCCGATTTCCTTTCAGAAAAAGTGTTACATTTAAAAATCTGAGCAAGTCTTCTGATAGAAAAAATATATACTAATAAAAAAAAATTAAATAACTTGTAAAACCATAAGCTTCTTCGCTCCACTCAGAATTTAAAATAAATTGTATTCCTGACTCCCTTCGAATATTATCTTATGCATATGCCTGCTCAGTAAAAATAAAGTAAAATTCTGTTTACGTATAATCTAAATAAGTAGGTATTAACGAATTAATTTTTAATAAAACTGATAAGAGTTTTTAGAATTTCATAAATAATTTCTTAGTGACAATAATTATTAAAACATTTCCCCGGATTTAGATGACTTAAACTAAAGTCCCGTCCCCCCTCCACTTTAACCACTGCATAATACCATGAAAATAACTTCTAAACGCGTAACTACGTAATATTTTATAATACTTTGTGATATGTTTGACATTTGCCGTTCTCACATCTAACTTCAAAGCGTTGAAAAGTTCTATTAATGACAGGTATTTTCAAGATCGTTGGAATGCAAGGTAAATACGAGGAATAAAGGACACGAGTCCTTTGATACGAACATTGTTAAAACATTTTGCTGAAAAATCAAATCAAAAATATATTATTATAAAAGTACATACCTAATACCTAGGTACCCAATATTATTATTGTAATTTATAGGTATTATTCGATTTCAAACTAGTTATAGTATCTAACCGTAATTTTGTACTATATCTTTTCATATACGTGTTAGGTATATTAACTTATATACGAAAATAGAACCCCGTAGCACGGGGGTTCATAACCGGTGGTCCATGGACCCCTATGGGGTTCGTAGATGGTAACTCGGGGGTCCACAAAGTGGGTGTAAGATTTTTAAATTTACCCAAATATAAATTTGTTTCAAATTATTCCATGAATCAAAATCGTCGGTCAAGATAAAAAGTGTAATGTATCATAATGTAAACTTTTATTGTGATCATTGTGTTCATTATATATATTTATTATTTACGTAAGTTTGAGTGGTTGTTCATATTATTTTAGTAAAATATTCGATAACGTTATTTCCTATTAGATAAAAATGAAATTTGTTCACTTGGTCACTCAAAACAACGGGAAAAACCAGTCATTATTAGTTCATACAATATCATATCTAGATTACAATATTTATGATTACTGTGACAATACAATTTAACAATTTTAACTGAACACAAATTTGTGAACATCTTGACGTTCTTGAAAATTCATTTGGTGATTATTTCAGTTCATCTTCAAAAGCAGAAATGTGGATACGCAATCCTTTTATTGTTGACTTAAATACTATTGATGATTCAGATCTTGTTAAAGATGAATTAATTGATTTAAGATTAAAAGAAATGACACGGCAATATTTTCAAACAAAAAATGTAATCGAATTTTGGTGTTCATTGACAAAGGCTTATCCACTGGCTGTATATGGCAGTGAAATGTTTGATTCCATTTGTCACTACATATCTCTGTGAGTCCGGATTTTCCTCAATGGTTACAATCAAAACAATATCACGAAACCGATTGGATATCAAAGATGATATGCGTATTGCTCTGTCTAAAACAGTCCCGGATTTCAAAGCGATAATACAATCAAAACAACAGAAATATCACACTGAAACTTAAATAAACACTAAACAATTATTCGTATGTATAATATATCCTAAATGTGAATAAACAAAATTATGTATTACTAAGTCTTATATTATTAGCATTAAAAAATAATTTGAATTAAAAGTGTAGTTTTTTTTAATGATTATAGTTTATACTTGAAAGGGGTCTATAACCAAAAAAAGGTTAAGAATCTATGCTGTAGCAGTTGGTTACGCTCCGAATATAAAATTATAAATAATGAAATAGTTGCGCTGGAGCGTCTCCCGATCTTAACTAGGGTGGTGGTGGGGGGGGGTTGTAAAATAATTAAATTTAATATTATTGGTTGATAAAAAAAAAGACGGATATAATTCGCACGATGTGTGAACCTCTGTTGTAGATGATAAGTTGGGAAAAGTTGAGAAAGGAGGATATACAGGAAATTTAATGTATATCTGTAAATATAAATTAATCATTGCTAACGAAAAACGATTCTGAACAGAGTTCGATTAATAGTATTGCTTTTTCAACAATATGTATACATATATATATATATCATATTACATAAAATGAAACAATTGAAACAATTTGTATGGACCAGTAACTAGATTTTTTCCACATAATTTTTTACTAAAACAATTTTCGTCAAAATTTTATATTAAAATTCTTATAAAAAGATATACTAAGTACATTAAATTAAATTTGTTTTGTTTTGACCGCAAAGTACGACTTATAATTAACCTCCTGTTCAGTTTTCAAGCATTTCTATTTTGTCTAACAATTGTGTCGACAGTACTTACATAATAAAAATTACTCACAAAATTATAGTGTCTATAAATATGGCTCAAATGTTTTTACAGTTTTATCACGTAAAAATAGATTAATATAAATATTTCTGCTCAAATTTCAGGTCTCTACTTACTTATATGTTGAAAATAATAAAAAGCATTATTTTCGTAAATTTCCTGTTTTTCTTAGATTTTCCCAGATATTATAAAAACCGCTTGAAAAATCAAAAAATGACCTCCCAAAATACCATCTAGATAATATTTCTTTTCAGAAATGGTACTATACGTACATATTGAGGCAAGATTTCTGATACAAATTTTTGTCATAGTAAAAAAAAAAATAAAAAAATTAACATCTTTGTAAAACCAATAGGTATAATTTTCGCTACACTCAGAATCTAAAAAAATTATGTCAAATAATATAATTTAAAACATCTACTATATCTACTTTTGGACTAATGACTATGCCAAATGACAATGTAAGTCCACTTCTCTCGGGGAAGGGGTGAGCGATCGACCCCATCGCTCTCCCACTCAGGGACGCGCCTGTCGTTGTGCCGTAATTTGAAAAATCGTATTTTTCGATGTTTTTTTGTTTTTCCCGATTATTATGAAAACTATTTAATTTATCAAAAAATTACTTTCTCAATTAATGATTTTACATTATAGGAACAAAATCAATCAATCTCTTGTAATTTTTCGATTGGAACAATATTTCTAGAAGAAAATATAAGTTACAAAAATTAAAAGCAATAAAATCGGTAACGCGTAAACTGTAAATATTTGCCGTTTTACTTATAATTTTCCATTGTTTTTTCCAGTTATTTTGAAAACCCTTAGAAAAATCAAAAAAATGACCTGTTAAATGCACGATCTATAAAGAATTGCCTTTCAGAAAAAATACTACTCCATACATCGGAATAAGATTTTTTATCGAAAAGTTGTTTACAGACAAAAAAAAAACCCATCACAGTAAAACCAATAGATCCTTTGCTACGTTCCGTACCTAAAATAATTACGGCCAAGGAGGGGGGTTAAACCCCATGAATTCTCCACCACAAGTATGACCATGCCCCAGTAGTTCAAGTTTTTTTGAAAGAAATATTGTTTGCAACTCTATACATTCAATAAAAAATTTGTCAATATAAGTGAGTACCTTGGGGAGATTTACGATTTTTCAATGACCCTTTTCTCCCCTAATGCAATTGTATGATCTAACTATAAATAATAGGTCAAAATCCCGAAAATTACGGCAATTCCGCGATTTATTGCTTGGACGCAGGCGGTTAACGACGAATTTCGATCGGGTTTCGCTTCGTTTTTATAGGAGTTATTTTAGATTAGATATAATATCCCATTTGATACTTATTTACTGATATATTTATATAATATATATATACACAAAGTGTAACATAAAGATCTGACACCTAAAATAACCTTTTTACTGTTCAATATTTTTAGGTTTTTTTATCTTATAATAATTTCTAGAACATTACGCGTATGATTCCTGAATTTTCTATATATATATTTTTTTTTTTTAAATAAAAATATTTTTTACAAAATCTAAAATTTCCATTTTATCAAGTATAGTTTTTAGGGGTTGAATAAATGATGTTGATAGTTCTCAGCTTTATCTATAGGTGAAAGAACGTTCACTGTAAGTTTTAAAATAATTGGGGTAGAAGTCCTCTAGTTTACTCTTTTGGGGTTGACATTTTCAACAATCCTGATACACATTTCTTAATTTCTAACCGAAAGGTCAAATACTAATTTTTATGTATTTTAAATAAAAATCGAGAATTTTCATACAAACATTCACTCCCTATTTATCCCATTAAGGGTGGAATATTCAAAAATCCTTCCTTAATGGATGCCTAGAGTATAAAAGGCACCTACTGTGGAAATTTTAAGTTTCTAGACCCAGGGGTTTGGGTTGATTTATATGTCAGTTTCTGCTTTTGTATACAGATTTTGATAATATTAAAATCAGTACCTAAATCTGATTCGTCAGTAAATATTTGAAACGAAAAATGTTTTTGTTTTTTAAAAAAATTAAATACAAAGTTCAAGGCAGGTAACTAAAAGAAAAAAATACTTAAACCTATTGAACTGAAAAAAAGTAACATCAATTGTCAGATATTCATAACACAGACTGTATTACCTATGTATAACCTAGTATACCAGTATACCTATACTGTTTAAAGTATTTTTCAATAGACTGGAATGCAATTTTAACTTGAAAAATGAACATTTCTCTTCAAAATCCCAAAATTATTAAAATAAAAAAACAACTTTTTATCTTATTTATTAATTAAAAATAAATAATAATGTAATATAAACAAATTAAAAATATAGGTACCATGAAAATAATAGTAAAAAGCAAGATATAGTTCTCATTACAAGTGGTTACATAGATTTATTAATTAGGTTCATTTCAATGACCCTCCCCACTTTCAAATTTGAACTTTTCACAGTATCAAACATCTGTACAGAATAGTACACCAAATTCCATCGTTTGTACACTAAAACTTACAGTTATTCCAAAAACAAATTGGGAGAGGATTAATGTTTAACTTCTTTAATATTTTTACTTTTTAGTTTTGACCATGTATAAATGAAATGCTAAGCCATAATTTCATGTTTATATGGATATTGAATTATTTCACTATTATCTAAATATCATAAATAATTTAATACAAAAATAATAATAATAAATAAATACCCAATATATAAATGTATACACAAATTATGGTAAAAAGAAGATAGGAATGGGATGAGCATAGATGGATAGCCATTTCCCATTGGTAATGATTAGCACAACTGAATGGAAACTGGGAGGTATGTAATCCATGTAGTAAAAAAAAGAGATCAGTATATTTAGAGGCCTTTTGTAAAAATTCCCGGTACACCAAAATCCACCTATCCTCTTATGGGAATGAGTACATAAGAAATAGCTTAGGTATGGCTTCGATAATAGAGAAAATAGACTGAGATGATTTAGGCATGTCATAAATGAGGAATCAGAAATAGTAAGAAATATAATGAAAATAAAGTTGGTTTGATGCAATTGGGAATGATATGAGGACGACAGGTGTATGTGAGGACAAGATGGAGGATCGGGTCAAGTGGAAGTTTATCTCAATTTAGTCAACAGTTATACTTAAATTGTAATATATCAAAAATATTAATATTAATAATTAATAAATGTTTTATATTTAGTCAAAATATTCAAAATATATAACTTATGAAAGTAATAATAAATCAGAGTTTTTGGAATTTATTTCTATTTATTGGCATACCCCATACATATGCAATTATTTCTTAATACAAACAGTTTATCACACATTATACTCTGCTAACATGTCTGGTGTAATTTTAAAAGCAGGATGCATAAACGATTGAATTTTCTTTTTGTTAAGTCTAAAAAATTAAAAAATTATTAATACAACAATTTAGGGAGAGAAAAATTTTTGTTAACTCACTTGAGTTGTTTTTTGCCAACTGACAAAATGTTACGCTTTTGTAAACTTTCAAAACAATCTTTGAATATATTCCCTTGAGGTTCAGTTTCTCTTAGTGTACCTTTTAAATCTTTTGGTAGTGTAAACGTATCATGAGATTCTGTAAACTTGTTGGTTCCTAAACGTCTAGTACTTATGTTGGATATCTGCCTCTTTTGTAATCTTTTAAGTTTTTTCTTAGTAGTTGAATTTTCCAATTCGTCTAATTCTTGATTAATATAACGCAATCTAAATATTAAATAAAAATAAGATAATGAATACACATTATCAGTGTATAGTGTAAGTGTTTAGTATATCGACATATAAATGTCATGGAATGTACCTATATAGATCTGAAATTTTCTTCTTTTCAACTTTTGCATTTATACGTTGTCTTTCTTCATTACGTAATCGTCTCTGGATTTTGCGCTTTTTGATTGATTTTTGATTATCTCTTGTAGTCGGTGGATTAATAGCTTTAAACTCAGAAGTGTCTTCATTTGCTACATCAACAGTATCATTTGAAAAACCAGGCAAACCTTCAGTTAATTCTTCAGTTATAATTTGCTAAAAAAAAAATAATATTAAAAGTATACTATTAAAGTATAAAATCATTTAACTTAATATTACTTCATGTTTCTCTTTTGAAACTTGTTTAAATAAACTCTGTGTAACTCTGTTGACATGAGCTTCGTGTTTTATCAACTCTGTCTCTTTTTCAGCTATTGTAGCTAACAACGAAACATGATCTTCTATGGTTGGATTATACGAAAGACCAGGATGTGGACATTTCATATCATCTACCTTGCATAACCTTTGGCTTGGATGAACCATTTTTTTGTCACTTAGTTTTGGAAGAATTTTGGCATTGTGATTTAATACTTCACTTGGCAACCATTTAATAACATTATTAATGAGTTTTTCTTTATGTTGTCCTGGTTCTGTAGGATAGTAATAATAATGATACAAGTTCTTAGAAAAAAAAAAAACAATTATTCATATGTGGGAAGAAATTTTTGATGCGACTATTCTCGTCCAGAAAATAATGCTAAAAATATGGCGGCAGTACTAAGAATCGAACTTGAATCTATTTGACTTATCACTTATCAAGTCTGAGGGTTATTGCTCTACCACTGAGGTAAGTGTCTTCTAACACTACTTCTACTGATCCTAAACAGTCTAACGTCACATATTTGGGTGATTGGTAGAGCGGCAGTTTGAATATTAAAAACAGTTCAAATACTTTAATTTTACAATTTAAAAGTTTATTAATTAACAAAAACATACCTCTGTAGCCTGACCATAAATCCTTATTGAATACATCATTATTTGTTGAATTTTCTTTCAGTTGCAACATTTTAACTTTAGATTTCAAGATTTTATTTAATTTTTGTGCATCTTTTTTTTTAATTATAGTTTTTTTAAGTGGTTTAATGTTTTTATCAAATTTTTCGTCACTCTTGTTTTTGTTCTTTTTATTTTTTTTTACACTTCTACATACACAAATAACAATATTTACAATTTAATTAACTTTTTACAATAAACTTATCTAATATAATATTGTAGGTAATATTATCAAATATTTGAAAAAACATCAAGTAAAAATGTCATGGTAAAATCTGATAAGGGTAAAATGCATCAAATACATTTTACTTAAAAATCACTAACATTAGATTTATCAATTAAAGTCAATATTATAAATTATTACAAATATCATATATTATATGTTTAAGGTAATAAAAAATTTGGTATATCTCTTTTGCCCACTTAAATATTCTTCACGTGTTTTCTGTTTATTCTGTAATACTGCATAGATTTTTGTTTTATTATTTTAGTAATGTACCCAGTGAATCTTGAAAAATTTTGATTCTTTATTTGCCACCTCCAACCAGATTTTTGTAATTAATATCCGCATAGAAGGATGGCAATGGCCCACTTTGAGAACCCATGATTTCACCCCTCCGTTTGGTTATTGGTCCGATCACCATAATTTAATGTTATATTATTAACATTCCAAATGTGAGATGGAAATAATGATGGACAATTTTGTAAGAATATGGAATTGTCTTATATCAAATTAATTTGTTTAAATAAACCAGTTATATGAGTATTATTATAATATTCTAAAATTGATGAAGCCTTTTCAGGCATTATACTTTTCAAATGCATTATTCCTTTAGCTACATCACACACACGGGTAAAAATACTAATGCGCCCAACTGTCGGCAAAAAAAAGAAAATTCTTCATCTGGTTGGTCTATAATCATTTTTTAATCCTATTTGAATGTGACAATATGTTGCTTGGATAAAAACACTGTAAATAAATCAAAACTCAAAATGCAAAAATTAACATAAATGTAATTTTATAAACAAGTGCATAAAATTGAGCACAAGTATTCTTTCGAATTTCTGTACATATTTAAAAATAAATACTATTACAATTTAAAAATAATATATTTAACTACCTCTCCCCTCCATAAAAATTCTAGGGTACGCCTTTAGAATATATAACCATAAAATGGAGGTTATTTGCTCCGAGGTCAATAAACTGCAATTAGCCACTAATATTTGCAATTTTTAAGTGAAATATATTTGACCCTTGTCAATTTTTACAGTGTCGCTTTCCAATTACCAATATTATTAATATAAAATTCAAACCATATACATAATTTTAAAATTACCTCTTAGCGAGTGGTACAATAGCAGAAGTTGATTGCAAACTTGATAAACATTTTAAAGGGGCATCTAAGGATTTTTTTGGGGGTTTAAGGATATTTTTTTTCTTTCCGCTTACATCAATATGAAACAGCTCTTCATTTTTTTTCTCGGTAAAAGACACCCTTTAAAACAAAAAATAAAACATTAGTATAATATAATTTATACCTAACCCTAATTATAATATAATATATTATGAGTAGGTATCAAAGCATTTTATACCCTATGCGTTCTTCGAGTCTCTTATTATCCAAGTATGTGTCCACATCGGTTACGTCGATTTTTCTTCGCCAATCTCGTTTCAATCTTCTTCCTGCTTTCTTTTTTGTTTTCATAGTTAAAAGTTTCAGGAAATAATACAAACTACAATGTGGGCCAACAAATATGTAAAGTTTAAAACTATATTTTGTAATAAATACGATTTAATAGAGGCACAAATCGTAAAAAGGAAAGACAATTCACGTGGTTTATCAACGATAAGAAATAATTATTGATTATGTTATCACTTTATCAGTACATAAATTGTGAAGTAGACTCATAACATAGAACTACCTAATAATAATATACATAGAGTAGACTGCGTTCACTGAAATAGATTTTATCTATCTCAGTAACTGCATTTCAAAATAATTTTACCTTAGTTCAAAATAAACAATTACTGTACCCCTTTCAAGAATGGTAATTATAAAAAAAAGCCTCGAGAAAAAACATTTATGGGAAAAAAAAGACAATCTGTATACTTTGTACTTTTAATTTTTCTTTTGTTTTCCCCGACTAATAATAAATAATAAATAATTTTTCCACCAGAAAAGTTACTGAAGTTAAAAATAAAATGACTTAAGTTTTTAGTAAAAATAAAAAAAAAACACATTATACAATCAATATTAAAAAATAGTTCTATAAGGCATTATTAAACAATATACATTCATTATTATTATAAAAGTATAAAATGATATTGCTCTTATTATACAATTAATAACACTTGATGTAATTAATTATATTATAATAAATAAATTGGCTTTTTTTTCCGTGGTTTATTTTCCCCATGGATTTTGTTTCCTACATTCCTCAATAATATCTGTTATTATTTACAAGTCCGAGATCCTACCAACCCAACCAAATATTGAAGATAAGTATTTAAAAAAAAATCCTGGAATGAGTAAAATCAAGATAAATTAAAGAGTAAATTAATATTCTCCACGATTTAAAATATATATCTTAAACCGTGATATTCTCTGGAGGTACTTTCGATTTTAATGATAATTGATAACAGAGTGAAGCTGATAAAGAAATAAAAGATATGTCTGTTAACAAAATATAGGTACACTAAATAATAGTATTTACTATTTACCGTATTTACAGTATAGATAGAGCTGCATAGTCGTGGTCCAAAAATAATAAAAGTTGGCCATAAGTGATTTTTGAAATTTTTGAAAAATCGTAAACTATTGTATAAAAATACTTTTTATGACCATATGGGTATTCGAAAATGCCGAACTTAATCAAAAAAGTAACTTTTTACTTTTCGAAAATGTCTTGAGAAAAATAACATTTTTTTTTACCCACAAAATGTTTGTAATTTCGGTAATACTTTAAGTTTCTATGCACTATGTAATACCATAGAAACACAATCAACATCAGTTTTTTTTTTTTATTTATCAGTATAGAGCAAGTTCCTAAACTTTTTATATCACGACCTATTTTGGAAATAATTTACATTTTGGCGACCCACAATAAAATCAATGACTTTTTTAGGTTTGTTTTTCATTTCTGGATGATTCATGAAGTTTGTTCAATCACATACTTTCATTTGCAAGTATAGATCCAAATGATCCAATTTTCTGGTAGAAAATTTGTTCAAAGGAAAAAAAAAGGCTGTAATATTTTTAATTACTACATTTCGTACATTTTCCCGTTTTATCCATTTATTGAGAAAACACTTGGAAAAATCAAAAAATGACCTCCCAAAGTACCACCCCAGGCAGATTTCCTGGTAGAAAAGTTGTAAATAAATAAAAAAATACAGTATTGTTTTTTTATTTAAACTAATATCTCCATTTCATACATTTTCCTGTTATTCATTAGTATTTTTCCTGTTTTTACAATATATTGAGAAAACTTTTGGGAAAATTGAAATATGTCCTTTCTAAAGTACCTCCCCAGTCTGATTTCCTTTTAGAAAAAGTGCTGCATTTGTAAATCGGAGCAAGATTTTTGGTATAAAAGTTGTTCGTGGATAAAAAAAAATATAAATAAAAAAACATCAAATTAATCTCGTTATCTTTAATAACGTACAATTTTAACATGTTCTTTCACCGATCTTCACGTTAATACATATATTTCAAATATCTATAATATAGATATATTAAGTCGGTAAATGTTAAGATTAGCTGCCCATATTTGCCCCATAGAAAATTGTAATATCATAATGTTGAGTTTTTACCACCTTTTTTTAATTTTGAACCACTGTGCGTCGTTGTTGTCTCGGCAATAGCAAAGGTTAAAAAATGCTAAATATAATTAACATGGTATGATAGCAACTTCAACGAAAACACTGAGTATTAATGAAATAAACAATATTTTATCAACCTACTATGAAATATAACGTTACTTGCTCCAAATTATATTTAAAATCGAAAAATGGTGGCAATATTATAATTTAAAACTATTTTCGTGTATATTTATGCATATTGTACACATACACAGAGGTATCTTTTTCATCACACAACACTTGTTATTTAACAAAATACATTTCCATAGATTAGGTAATAATTATAACTGCTACTAAGTAGGTATAACGCATAGGGTAATTTAAAATTGACCAAAATTATATTTATATGTATCAAGGTACTCCGAAAAATAATCTACAATACTTTGTGAAATAATGGGTATTATGTGATATTCATTAGTATTATGTTGTATTGTATGTTTTTATAATCGGTTCTTCTTCTTCTTCTTCATCGGTTTTTTTTTAAAGGCCATTGAGGCCCATTACCGCAACACAAATTTGCTTCCATCTGTCTCTGTCATCATGTGCTGTTGTTTCTCCATCTCGTATTCCAATCTCTGCTAAATTCTTCTCCACCTTGTCAATCCACCTTTGTTTCGGCCTGCCAAGTGCTCTTTTTCCCTGGGGTTTCCATTTTAAAACCTCTTTCATAAGACCATTTGACCTCCATATATGACCGGCCCATGTCATTCTCCTATTTTTTAATACTGCTACTATGTCTGGCTCTTTATATAATTGTTGTATTTCTATATTATTTCTTTTCTCATATTGTCGTGTCATGTTATTTATTTTCTCCTGGCGTAGGGAAATTGGCGCTCCCATCGCCGGTACTAAAGTATCGCAATAGCCCCTTGCTGGTGGAAAGTTCCAGGCGAACGATTCCAGCAAGGAGAGGGGATAAATCCCCCAACCCGTTGGGCCCTTCATTAATGGGGGTTTGGCGTGAGGCTAACCACTTCACACAGGAAAAAAAAATATGGGTTCCAGAACAACACAAAACCAAGCCTCGGATGTTTTTATAATATAAATTTTATTTTATTTATTGAACTTATAAATCCATTGACTCCTAATATGCCTAAATGTACAGTAGTAACTTATAAGGGATTTAAGTCTCCAGAAAAAAGGATTATGTTACACAGATTTCCTAAAGAGGTAAGTATACAGAAGTAGGTTAAATCATGTGTAAATGTTTATACTGGTGAGTAGATAATATTTTGTAAATAATTATTTTATTATACTTTTATTCACATTATATTTGTGTAATTAACCATTCAGAAAAAATATGTTCTCGACATTTTCATAGTAGTGACGACTATTATAAGATATTAATTCGAAAAAAGTGGTTGAATATTCATCAAAAACTTAAAACTGATGCTGTACTATCTGTAAAAAGGTATTTTTCATTTTTATTATAGTACAAATATGTGTGTTTTGTTTATACTGTTTAACATATTTATTTACTACTTCCATGTCGCCAGAATGTTTGAAAAGTCCTCGAACTTCTAGATGGACAAAATCATTATAGTCACCACAATTTACCGTAGAACCATATTATAGCTCTGAAAAGTATGTAATTAATATTTATTAAATTAGTGATAGTAACGTATTGTGATAATAGGCAACAAACTGAATGATGTAGAAAACCGCATGTGCAGAACTCTGTTGCTGTCATACCATGTTAATTATATCATGGATTTAATATATACTTATTAATCGGCTGTATCCAATAGCTATAGAAGTAAAACAAAATTAAGTGTAGTGATACACTGACATGATAATATAGAAAATTCCAGTAAAAAGCATCTAATAAATTAATATCAATTGATAAAAATCATTCATAAAAAAATTATTTTGATGTAAATTATTGAAAATTCACCCTTAATAATTTTTAACACATTATTCTGAAATATAAAACTTAAAATCAGCTATATATCAACACCAAATAATATTTACAGATACTCAGAATTACCAATAAATAAAAATTAATAACTCCAAATGCATAAATGTATTTTGTATTTGTGATTATTTTAATGAAAACATTAGGTAGGCATTTAAAATATTTTTAAAATTTAATTTAATAATTTACTAAAAGGGAAATAGGTAATTAGTTTTACATAAAAGATTTTAATATGCAGTAGAAATTGTTATTTCAGTTTAAAAAGTGAGTACAAATTCAAAGTTAAAATATTAATAAAAAAATAATAATACCTACCTAATAACAATTAGAATAATATGTTAAATAACAGTATTAGACATACTATTTTTTGTATTTGTATTTGTTTTATATCATAAATTGAAAATGGAGATAAGTTAATAATAATGATAAATAAATACAAATTAATTATAAATTAAAAGGCGAAATACAACAATTTGAAATTTCTTTTTAAAAATGAACTAGTTAAAGTTCATAAAATTGAAACATGAGTAAATTATTTATATATAATATTGTTATATTATTACACAGAAATGTTTGTTGTAACAGAACAGTTTTAAAAATATAGTATTCAGTATTTAATATGGTACGTATTATCTATTACAATTGAAAATAGGTACTTACACTAAATACTGAACGATTAATAATTATTGTAAAAATAACCTAGCAAATAAAAATTCAAATTTTCTTTTTCAATGTGTCAATGAAATATTAATAATAAATAGGAAACGGATTTATATGTACTAAAAGCCCCAAAAAGCACTTAAAATATTTAAAAAATTAAAAGTGGTAAAAGGGTTTTAAAGTCCCCACTCTAACGGTTCTAACACTATTTAAATAAAATTGTATAACACTGACAAATGATTAACACTAAGCATTTCTGTCTTTTTATAACACGTACAAATATATTTGAAGAAAATTACATTGTAATAATTGTTTTAGTTTTGAAAAATAATTTTTAATAGGTCAAAAACACTAAATGGAGAACCTTTAAAACCTTCCTACTTTTATTGTTCTTTAAAATATTTTTTAATGCTTTTATGACATTTTTAAGCGCTTGTTTGTGAATTTTAAGTACATACAAATCCATTCCCTAATAATAAATATAACTAAGGTCTAAGAAAATTACTTTATCAACAAAACTTCCACGTTTATATAAAATAAAAATTTAGTTCACGTTCAAGTTCACTTTTTGAAAATTGATCGTGCTCATGTTCAGTTCATACAAAATGAACGTGTTCAAATGAATCCATTCTTTCCCATCACTGGCAATATTATATTATTTCAAATACGATAATATTATAATAAAATGAAAAATATAATAACAAAAACATTACAAATAAAAAGTGTCATTTGCAAATAATATAGTTAACTAAAATTGACTAATTTCCAAAGAGATTTATCATTACTACAATGGCAATGTTCAAATAATATTTTATTTGTGACTAGAAGTTTTTCTATTTGTTGAGTAGTTATATTTTTATCAACGTTTTTGACATAGTTTACAACATTTTCAACACTAGTTCCAAAAGGATGAATGCTTAAAAAAACTGCCATAAAACCTGTAAGCATAATTAATTTTTAACAAAAAAAAAAATTGAAATATTAATAAAATAAATTAAGGATATATTTCTACTTTACTGGAAACAATTTTTTATAAAAACCATAAGTAATAAAGTATAATGAAAACAACAGTAAAGTCAAAATTAGTTTTGAAGTTAAGAACAATTCAAAAATTTGTTTTTGAAGTTTTTTTATAAACTTCCAAAATAAAAAATCAGATATATTTTGCACGATGAGTGGGCTACTGTTGTAAGTGAGAAGTTGGGAAGGTAGGATATATAGAGGAATTTAATATATACCGTACGCAAAATGTAATATTGCTAATGAAAAAACAAAAAATTTGGAGCGATTTTTAGTTAAACATGTCTTAAAAGGCTGTAATATTTTGATTTTCATTATAATGTGACCACATGGTATGACGTATAATGATCTTCCTAGTAAATTTTCAAACATTTCTGTTTGGTCATACAATTTTATCCAAAAAGTACTTACAGAATAAAAATTACATTAATTTAAAATTAAAGTGTCTATAAATAGTTAAAATGACTCAAATTTAAGCAAATTTTTCCATATTTCCTACATTTTTTTGCGGTTTTTCCGAATTATTTTAAAACTGCTTGAAAAATCAAAAAATGACCTTCTTGAAGTACTATCCTAGGAAATATAGTTCACCATATATATATATAAAAAAAAAATAAATAAATAAATAAACATCATTGTAAAACAAATACATGTATCGTTTCGCTCAGAATCTAAAAACTATAATCAGACATTTTTCAACTCGGTGTTTTAAGACAAATATTTTGAAAAAAAAAAAAAAAAAAAAAGGGTGTTCGGTAATGTGGAAAAGTAAGTACCTAGTAGTTTTATTTGATGTTCAGAAAAACCATTTGATCCTTTGTTTGTTTCTCGTATTTCATTACTCTGAATCAATTGATTATTTGATTTTTGATTGTCTGAATACTTTTCAGTAAGAACATTTAACTCCTATAAAATAAACAATTATAAAATATTTATCAAAGTAAAAAAAAAAAAAAAAAAATTGTTTGTCCCCATAAAATATGAAATAAATATTTATATTTTTTAAATTAATTAAAGAAAAATATTAATAATACTTGTCTAGTAGATAGTAATTGTTGTTGCAAATAATTTATTTGAATATCCTTTTGGTCTGAAGTTTGTAAACTAGCTTTCATCATTCCTATTTCATTTTTGTAAGCTTCTAATTCACATTTAAGGTGATCATTTTCATCCTAAATTAATACAAGTACATGTTACAATTAAAATTTAAAATACCTAAATTGCTGAATTACTCAATAATAAATTAATCAGTTACACTTTAGTGTGTAACTTCAGTGACAAATTTAATTTATTATAAAATCAATAATAGTATGTAATAGTTTATATAAAAACCTGTAACTGTATAGGATCAGTTTTAGTTTTTGTCTTTTTTAAATTGCTCTCATCATCAGAAAGATCCATTTCATCTCCACCAATCATTTCATCTTCGTCATCTATACCCAGCTTAGATAGAGACTAAAATTTTTAAACAATTAACTAAATTATGCAAATACATAACTCAATAAAATTAAGTAAAGGTATATATTTATATACTTTATTTGTAGCAAGTACATTACAAATATGTAGGTCAACATATTATATATTACGCGCGATCCCTAATTTTCACATCAAAATTAAAAATAAAACTCAAGGTAAACAAATTAAATATAACACCTACCTAAATTATTTGGTATAATACAAATTCCTGTTAATTAGTCGTAAAATATTATAGCATAGTTGACACTGCCATGCAAGTGAACAATAATATCATGCATTAATATTAATAATGATTGTCAAGTAATTGGTTTTATAAATAAACAACATACATACAACATTGTGAACAAATAAAACAAAACAATTATAATTTTAAGTATACATTTTATACTAACATATTAAGCAATAGTTATTATTTCAGCAAAATAATATAGCAATTAGAAGTTTGGTTTGTTTTGTAAGAAACACATTATTATTCTTCAAATGTCTATAGATAAGCAATCTATAATTTCATAAACTAAATTAAGCAAAATCTATAATTGTTTGTTTGTTTTAGTTAGCATAAAACCTACCATTGCCTGCTTCTTCCATGTCTCAATGTTCTTTCGCTGCGCCTTAGTGAAATGATCCCAAACCTTCTTGTGTGATGCAGAAGTAAACACTTTCTCGATCTGGGTGACTTTATACAAGGACAATAACACAGGCGGTTAACAAATTAAAAAAAAAAAAAGAAGAGAAGTCCTTATAAATCAGATATTTTAGTGTAGGCTGCATTGTGCCTATTATAAAAATTAATTATGCTCGAAAAATGATAATAAGTTAAGTAATTAGACTTTATATTTAAAAGTTAACCGTGTTACAAAAAAGGAATGAAGAATATACAAGATGATATAATTCAAAGAACAAATTATGTGACTACTGAATTCTAATGTTGTATTTTAAAGTTAACATTTTACTTTAAGTTTAATGAAAACTCAATCATAAAATACAGTAATAATGATTTGGCCTTTAAACTAATATGTATGTATTTATTATTACCTTTTATTTTTTTTATTTTTAAATTTATATTATAAACACATTTATTGTATGCAATAAACAAATAAAATAATGATAAATAAATTGCAATACACTTAACTTTCTTTTACAAAAAGAATTTTGTATGGAAAAATACAAGTTAAGTTGTTTAGGAATCAAATTAGATTATTCGATAAATTATTTTTCTTCTAAACACCATCAAAACGCCTTAAAATATAATTAAAACTTTCAGCCCATTTTAAACTTACCTGTATCAAATAATGTAAAATAATTGCTTCTGAAATATGAATAACATTTACAGACCATGTAATAGACTATAATAATATAGTACCAATGTTCACAAACCTCAGCCCAATAATTATTGGTATATGTTATTTTATTTTGTATACAAATAAAATGAGTGTAATTAAATTCACCATTATTTTAAAGTAACATCATACTAAATTTTCTTCTTCAGTCAAAAGCAATACTAACCTTGACAAATGCACAATACAAAATCATATTTCAAATGTGAACCTCGAATATTTTAAGCTGAACCAAATAAAAAATAAAACCAAATACCTGAATCTAAATATTATAAAAAAAAAAGAAAATTATGAAACCTGTCATGCAACTAAAATAGCTTTAATGTAATATTATATTATATTTTGTTTTTTAGCATGTTACAGGCTGTTATTTACTTTTTCTTCTTTATTTTTACTTGTCATCAGTCATCATTCTAACAAGATTGATGGTTATTATAAGTTCTCTTTTAACCAGAATATACTTATTTGTATAAATAAATAGTGATAATTATGATATACTTACATTGTAATAAAATTGCCTGCATACGGCGTTTAGTAAGGTCTTTGAGATTCTGAAGTTCTTCTTCAAATTGATTTTTTTCTAATAATAGACGACGTACATGGGAGTTGGTTGATTGAATTATTGAATAAAATATATTAACATTGCGTTTATTACAGTCTCCTCGTTCTAACCATGTAATAACTACTTGTACAGCATTTAAAAATGACGTATCAGCTATAAAATATTAGAGTTGAAATACATTTTTAAGAATAAATTTTTAATAATAAAAATAAACTAAGATCATAAATAGTATGACTACCTTTAATTTCTTCACTAACAGATAAAGCTTTAGCTTCAGTGAAATGTGGTATTAAAGGAGGGGATGGAGGTGGATTAGACCGAGTTTGTTGTTGACGTCTTTCTTCACGCATCAAATGTCTTTTTTTCATTTGCCATTCATACTGGTCATCACGAGCCTGCGCATAATCAACGTGTAAACGTGATGCAGATATTAATTCTTGTCCTTTCATGACCAATCGATATCCTAAATATAATTTATACTGGCATTAGTTTTTAAAAACAAGTATATATTTCAAAATAAAATCAAAATTGAATTATTTAATTTTTTTTTTTTTTATCATAAGAATGGAAACCAATTTAAAATACTTAGTTGTATTGATACAATAAATTAAATAAAATTACAAATGTAATATTTAAAACCTGTTATAAGAAAACAAAAATTTATAATTTTAAATAATAATGCAAAAAAAGCCATTATTATTAGATATACATTTGCTAAGACCAGTTTTGGAAATGTTAAAACAGAATGATAACATTATTATTTTAAACTATATATTGATAGTTATAAATAATTTTAAAACATTATAACCTACAAGTTTTAAAAGATAATTAAATTCTGTAAAACAGACTTGGAAGTGTACACATTTATTTATAACTACTAATTTTGGGTAAAAACCATTCTCAGGTTACATAAAAATATTGTTAAATAATTTATGAATAAGATTTAAATATAAGAAAAACAAAGTATAAAATATTTTTAAAAAAAATCTATGTTTTACCTCAAACTAACAAGATAATAAAAACCAAGCATAAACAATAAACAAACAAATTAATTTTATTGAAAAACTATAAAGTAATTAATTAGAATACCTGAAAGTTCTAATGCAAGATCAACTGAACATTCGTTTTCAAACCGTATGTGACAGAACTTTCTATTACTCAATCGGATTGTTAATATTTCCCCATAGTTTGCAAAAATTGACTTCATGATATCTTCAGTAATGTTGTCTGGTAAACCTCCAACAAAAACTGTTCGACAACCTGGAGGTCTTTCTCTAGAAGTTGGTGCTGGTGCATTTGCAGGAGGTGGGTATAATGTACATAGTTCAAGTTGTATAGTACGTTTATCTGTCTGAATGGCATTAGATTCTGGTCCTCTTGTAGGAGTAGTATGATTTACAATCATAGAAGGAGGTGTAGTTAACATGCCACCCATGACACCATACTGAAAAACGTATAAGTACATAAGCCATCAACAACTATCTAAATAAAATACAACTAACTTGTCCTATAAACATAGCGGAGTCCATTACATTCACTGGATTCATTAAGTTAAAAGGGTTGAATTGAGGCATTATGTCATTCCACAAAGGAGACGTTCTTACAGGTACAGGCGGTTTATTGGTAGAAATATTTGTATCGATTGTTAAATCTATTAAAGATGATGGTTTATCGCCATGTATGTCAGTAAACTGCACCTCGCTAAAAATAGTAAGATATAGGACATATATTTGGAATGAATGCAATTTAGCTCCCAAGCAATTTTTTTGACTTATTTTTGTCCAAAATATGTGTTTTTGCATTCTTAATTTGATAGTACTTTCAAAAAAAGCTTCATTTGGAAAACTTCATTTGGGAGATATGAGTTTAAAATACTAAAACTTTATATTTTTGTAATTTTTTTTTAGACATGGTAGTAATTATGTGCTTAACATTTTAGTGAAATCAGAATTTACCTATCGGTGAAATTAATACGATCTTCTTCTCGTGTCGGTCAATGGTAGAGTTTCAATTCCCTACAGGTATTTCAGACATCCAGTAATTATTCTATTAGTGTTATTCAAGGCTACATCTACTTTTTTGGCGTTGCTGAAAGACGTCATACTGAACTAGCATATTCTCTGATTGAATAACAAAGGGCTAGACCAGACATTCTAAGTACCTTTGGACAAGCACCCCATTTTGTCTCTGCTAATTTTTGGAGTAAATTATTTCTTGTTGTAACTTTTTTTCCCAGTATTTTCGCAATGTACTTTATATATTAGAGCACAGTCCAGTTTCATTCTTAAGTATTTAGGGTTGTTCTCATGGTCTATTTTAACTCCTTGCCATTCAATGTTCAGTTTCCTCTTTGCCTCACAATTTCTAAGATGATAAGCATACACTTGTGTCTTGTGGGGATTTAATCTTAAATAAGTTTGTTCATAATATTCAGCTAATGTCACTAATGATTCTTTGATTGTTTCTTCTATTTCTTCGAAATTACCTCCTTATATGGCTATTGCAAGGTTGTCAGGGTACAGAAAATGTCTCTTTGTGGGATTCTTTGGCTGATCATTTGTGTAAATATTAAAAAGTAGTGGTGCCAAAAATCTTCCATGGGGTAGGTCGTTGTTTTGTTTTTTCCACTTGATTTCTTTTCCTTATAATGTAACATAGAATATACAACCTTTTAGTAGTGTTCTAATTATTTTTATAAACTTATAGTTCATAGACCTTTTTCCTGGTAATTTAACATAACTTGAGAGGATGTCCATGAACGTCTTTTTGATGTGTTACATTTGGCAATTAGTGTCTAAGACTACAATTTTTAAATTACTACCAAAGAAATAGCCCCTAGGCGTTTTCATTTAAATAGCTCATAAATATCGTAAAAATATTAGTTAGTTCTGATTTCCAAAAAATGAATTTTGATTTACTTTAATATACATATGATTGAAATAACAGTATAATTGAGTTCTACGTGATTTATTAACAATACCATCAAAAATAAGTACGATAGGTGAATTCTCATTTAACCAAAATGTTAAGCATATATTTGCTGCCATTTCTATAAAAAAAAAAATTTCAACTGAAAAACATGAATTTTAGAAAAATCGAGCATTTCTTAGTTTTTTAACTATAACTTCCAAATGAGGTTTGAGCAACTTTTTTGAAAGAACCATCAAATTAAGCATGTAAAAACACACATTTTGGGGGAAAAAAATTCCAAAAAATTGTTTGTGAGCTAAACTATATTTATTCTATATATTTTAAAAAAATTAATCAATAAAAATATGTATAACGTAAAATATTAAAATTTGAGTTAGATCAAGAAAAAAACTAACCCTCTTTGATTTCTAGTTCGTTCAACTATTCGTTCCCAATGATCTTCAGGACTATTTATCTGGACGTCTGGTTGATCCCACCGCCCTCTCTTATTTTCACTAATTCTGTTTCGTTCATCTATATTTGCAGATTCAGCAATTTTTCTACGAAAAACTGCATCATCTAAAAATAAAAACAAATATAAAACATTCATAAACAAATTGCAATGAAGAATACAAATTTAATACTTACAATATGAAGCCATATTTCATTACACTACATGTAGTATAATGAAAAAGTGCAATTTAAAATATTTGAGTAATAGGTAATCTGTAGGAAAAAAATCATGAGTATTGAATATAAGTTAGTAGAAATAGTTCAACAACTAAATAAGAATATAAGAAAATTAAATGAAAAATAATTAAATATAAATTAGTAATAAATAAAAAATTGTTTTTATATTTATTAAATTTTTATTTTTTTAGTTTCAGGTCTATATTCTTTTATCAAATTCATAATTATCCAAATTCCCTGGAGGAAAAAGTAGCTATTTTAAATTAGATAAAAAAATGTCTGAATAATAACAATTTATCATATACCGTGTCAAAAATAAACGTGTATTCTGCTGCTAATATTTGATAAGAATGCCAAGTGGTTCCCAATTTTGTATACAATGTTGCCTATCCAGCACCTGAAAATGTGTTTTTTAAATGAATGTTAAAATCCTTTACGTATGTTGCCTACGTAGCACCTGGAATTACATTGTAATTTTTCAATTGGTCTGTTTATTATATTACTAAAATTTGAAATTCTATTGCCAATGTTCAATTATTGTTTATGTAGTTTACATACCTTTGTGATCGATCACATCTCCGCATGGCAAGTAATTTGGATTTATATAATTGCTAATATGCATGGTATTGATATAGGATAAATTGTATAAATTAATATATTTTCAGAAAAATTACTGTACTTCAAATTATATATTACTAAACTATGCTTTGAATCGTCTTTCGTCAAACAATGGTTTACCGTTGCTTACAGATATTAATGAATTAACCTTATATATCCTACCTTCTAAACTTCTCACCTACAACAGTAGCCGCTCCCATCCACAGTATCAGCTATTTTTTTTGTTGATGTTATATAATATATGGGTAATAAGTATAAAAAAATATGTTTTTCTATATTTTTTTTTTACACCCAACTAATAATAATTCAATATAAATACCATAATTAGTAAAATTGTACCCACATAATTAATGGTTAAAGTTTACAAATATCAAGGTATTATGTATGAGAAGCAGAGCATTCCTTCACTTATTTTGAACCACTTCAGTCATTGCTGTACACAAAATGACCTCTTTAATTTGATAAATGCTAAATATTTATTGTTACATTCAAATGATGTTTTTAATATTTTTGTATCGTTAATGATATTTATCATTATTAATTATATTCAGAATTCATACAAATTTCATACCTAGTATTTAATTTTAAATATATAAACATTAATTTTGGACAATACTCCTACAAGTACTGTAGTATAATAATAGTTGATAATAGTCACTAATTAAAATATTGGTAATAATAAACAGGGGTATAATTTTCATTGAATGAAGTGAAGTTAAGTTAGCTCCAGATTCATATTCTTTTATATCTTTTATAATTCACAAAAAAAGTGCTTAAGAACACCAAAAAAGCCTTGAAAAAAGAAAAACACTATAAAACATTAAAAAATCTAAAAAAAATAGAGGGGTTCAAAAGTCCTCCTCTAATGGATCTAAGTTATTAAATTGAATTTCCTAACACTACAAAAATTAAAACACAAAATGATATATTTTAAAAAAATTTTATGTATTATAAAAAAACAAATTACATTTTATTAATCATTTTTGTGGTGTTGGAAAATTGTATTTAGAAATTAAATTCGTTAGAGAGAGGTTTATTAAACCCCTCAATTACTTTTGTTTTTATGTATTTGTTAAGTGATATTTTTTATGGCTTTTAGGCGTTTTCAAGTGCTTTTTTGTGAATTTTAAATTCATATATCTGGGTCTCTACTAATAACTAACCATAATGCAAAACACTATTTTTATTACTCAATAATTGCATACAGATCTAGAAATCTAGACATTATAGATATAACTTTAAAAGTAATGAAAACAACTATTATTATATTTTTATGTCATCAGCATAGAGAAGGAAATGAGCTTTTTGAGATATCTTGAAATAGAATTTACATAGAGGCAAAACAAAAGATGACTCAAATGATCACCCTGTGGTACTCCAAAAGTGACATCAACCAAGTTGGATGAAACACCAATTAATTTAACATATTGTTTAAGATTAAAAATATATGAATGGAACAAAGATAGAAGGTAATCACCAATACAATAGGTATTAAACTAGTGCAATAAAAGTAAAATCCAACATTAATTCTTCCAATAAGCTACATACAACAAAATTACTACTGTAGTCCAATTTATTTTCAATTTTTGACATATAATTCTTAATTATTATCCATCGAGTACAAGTATCACATTGTACCCAATTGAAATTATTTTGTTCGATTTATTTATGCTATGCATCGAAATTCCCACAGTACAAACAAATATCTCTCATAAACTCAATGTTTCAAAAGCACAGTTTTCAGTTTTATTCTATACACTATTAGGTCAAAATTAGTATTGAAAATAACGTTTTTTAATTTTATCATCGAGCGTTCTGCATAATATAAACAATACACAACACAGTTAAACAAGTCCTGTTGAATAGGATATGTCAGATCTTTTATTGTCAACTTTGGCCACTAAGTTTCAACCTCGCCATATATGTGTTTTTTTCAAGTTCTTTTGCTAAAATCGTATAGATATGATTTGCCTTTAAATGCAAATATCCAGTTGGATCCATGTAAGTTTGCAAACACTATTGTCCAGCGATTACGTTATATTGAGCGGGATAGTTAGTAAACTATTTTTGGGAATTGTTATTGTGTCTTTTTATAGTTGCTTCCGTCCATATAATTTTCATACAAATATGAAATATTACAGCCTAATATTTTATTGGTATTTTTTGATTCACAGCATACTTTTCTTAACACACCCATAGCTATGTCAATTACATAATTGTTCAACCACATTTGTTTTGGAAATTTTTTTTTAACGATGTCGATTTTTGGAATTATTAAATCCGACAGCACATTATACTCTTCAAATCCAAGTTTTATACACGATGTTGTCTTGAACAAAACTATAGCTATCGAAAATATAATTAAACACTTTTTTATTTGATTTTAAAACCTGACCGTAATAATATATATATTTTACCAATTTATTTTCATACAGAGGTATTTTTGGCAATAAACCAACAATTGGAGCCTTGTAACTTTTTATAGATTCAAGATTCATTTATTGTCATTCTTATATCGGACGTTAGACAATTACCTACTAATTCTGTAGGGTCACAAAGTTTAGGAATTGTCTTTAAATTTGGTGTTACACTATCACTGACTCCTACGGTTATTGTAAATAGCAAGTCATTAACTTTTATTTTTTTTTCAAATGTTTTGAAGCAACCTTCAGGCAACCATTAAAATAAAAGCCTTTTTTCCTTTGTCGGTTGCCAATATTCCGTTTCGTCCTCTTCGTCCGAAGAAAACAACTTGAGTCATTTGTTTGATTCCTGTATATTCTTTCTTATCACTATTATTTTGTCTAGTGTTCGACCTTTTGCACAATAGTTTGAAAGTATATTTAAAAGTACTTCTTTGCTTCTACTAAAGATTATGTGTCTAGTCAATTCCAAAAACCCACCACATGGTAACAATTAACTAACTGCTGTAGTGCTGTCTGCTAGTAACCATAGTTGCAGTCGTGCAGATGGCGGCAGGTGCAGTTGGCGTCGGTGTCAGTGGTAGTACGTAGTACGTGTTTGCAGTCACCACAATCCAAGGTTGCCAAGGTTAGTCAACACAGGTTTGCCAATCAGGTTTGAAATCAAACTTCAATAAAAAAAAGTCGGACAAACTTTGTACGATGAATGAGATACGGGATAGTTACGGCTAAAGTAACTGTTATATATAAGAAATTAGGAAGGTAGGATATAGAGGGAATTTAATGTTTATCTGTACGCAACGATTAGGTATTGCCATCAAAAAACGATTCTGAGTTATGGGCGTATTCACAATGACAGGGGGAGAGGTATGGGGGGATAGATATCCTCATAGCCTTTTTTTTTATTAGCGACAAATAATGAATAAGTATTAATTAAAGAATTGTTATACTGTTATTTCAAAAATCGTCATAGATTATTATCATTCAATATAATTTTTTGTTTCAAGCTATAATAATTTATCAATTAAAAGAGGTATGAAGTTGGGAATAGGTAGTAGAGAGGAAATTGAATGTATATTTTTTTTAACAACGATAAACCATTGCCAACAAAAAAATGATTTTGAACGGAGTTCAGTTAATAATGTTGCTTTGTCAACATTATATTTGCCATATTAAAGAAAAATAACTGCACTTTTTTGTAGTCAAATTTCTAAATTTCTCGTTACCATTATAGTTGTTGTTACCTATACAATTGTATACCTAATATTCCTCAAAGATTTGATTTTATTTTTGAAAATTAGTAAGTGTTAATAATTTCTTTTTGTTGGTTGTTATTTTAGTTAATGTATTGTTCTATTCTCGGAAAACATAATTATTTAACTCCAGTAATATTTTTGTGGAAAAAATCAACTCTTATTGGAATAAAATTACTTTTTCAAAGGTACTACATGCGGTTTATTGCCCGTACCTTTAAAGGATGTTCCGGCCCAAGAGGCACTTACTCCTCTCTAGCTTTCTTTTAGTGTAATAAAATGTGTAACCTCGGAATTCGTTCTATTTTTTATCAAGCATCAAACATAGCCATCTAGGACGTATTCCGCTCTGGCACGTCACTAAATATGATCTGGTTTTAGTGCCGTTTTTTTTTAGATTTCCTTACGTGCACTTTTGCGTGTTTGCCTTCCTTACGCCTTAATTGCAGTTTTACACATTTTAAGAACCACTGGGCTCTCTTATCAAATATTGCCAGCGGAACGTACATAAAAGTAAAATATAAGTTATAGATTATAATTACCGGTTAGTGAGTTAAGCTTTTAGTCAAAAGTATTAAAATATATAAATATTTAATTGAACTTAATTCTTGGTTTGATTATACGACAAAATTTCATAATGTTTGTTCCATGGGACAGTCTATTAGAAATTATAACTCATTACAGTTCAAAAAATAAGTTTTTAGACATTTTTGGACGTACTACTCACGATAAAAAGATTTCACTATGTATGGAAGATACATTTATCAGGTACCTTATTTATGACCATTATAATAAATGAAATGTATACTCATCGTATTTAAAATATTACAGAAATTGTTTAGAACAATGGTTGGCAAGCGATGAGTTCAATGATAGTCTTAAAAACACCGAAAAATCCAAATTCATTCGATTTAAAGCTAATAGAGAATTTGAAAAAGATTATTTGGAAAAATGCTGTAAACTCTACACCAAGGCAGCTCAGTATGCACTATATAATAGTATGGAATACGCATTAGCTTTTTCTAATCGTTCAGCTGTATATATGAAATTAAAAAGATATGAAGTATGATTTATTTAGAACTTTTAATTTAATTAAAATATATTATACTAATCAAATGTGATTTTAGGATTGTTTGAAAGATATTGATATAAGTTTAAACGTGTTAGAAAATTTGGATATTCCCTTAAAACAAATTACCATAAGACAAATAATTGTTAAGTTACTTAAACGTAAAATAAATTGTTTGATAGCCTTAAAACATTATAAAAAAGGTAGAATGTGCTGGGATCATTTGTTAGCTGTACCAACAAATATGTTTAATGCTTCTTTGGAAGGTATTTAACATAGTTATCCTATATTTTAAAATACAGTATTTATTATTAATATCAACAAATTAATTTTTAGTTGAATTTAAGAAAAATTGCCAAGTATTATTTGATTATGATGGTAAAGAAGATCCTGTTGAAAATATTGATGGTACTATTGAACCCAAGCCCACCATTTCTAGGGATTTTATTGAAGATGTATTGAAAAAAGAAAACAAAATACTTCCATTTAAGTCTTCTAAACTGAAATTATGGTAAGTAAAATATTTCTTTATCTATTTTTGTTCAGTAGATGATTTTATCTCAGTGTTATAAATAATTGGAGTTTTAATTATTTATTTTAGTTATACAGAAACAAAAGGAAACCATTTTATTGCTTCAAATGAAATAAAATATGGTGAATTACTAATGTTTGAAAATCCATTTGCGTTTGTGTTATTACCAGAGTTCTACAATGAATTCTGTTATAACTGCTTCTTGAAATTAAAACATTCAATTCCGTAAGTGTTTTTCTTCAAAATTTAAATTATTGTTTTTAGTTAATATTTAATGATTTAATTAAACCTATTTATAGTTGTGAACATTGTAGTGCAATTTTATTTTGTTCTGAAAAATGTCGCCAAGAATCCTGGGATTCATTTCATTGTTGGGAATGCAAACAGGGTCCATCAATTTTAAAATGTATCGGTATTGCTCACCTTGCGTTACGTTTGAGTTTTAAAACTTTAAACCCATCCAGTAAAAATACTGATCAAATATATAATCTATTAACACATATTGATGATTTAGATCCAATTCAATTATTGCAATACAGTTTGGTAATTGAATATTATTTAATTACATTTTTTTTTTTTTATAATACCTTATAATTTTTCAATTTAGACTGCTACTCTTTTACTTTTATACTTGAAAAATAAAACTGATTATTTTATAAAACATCCAAATCTTGACATTTATTCCGTGGGAAAAGACTTACTATACCATATGACAAGATTAGTGTGCAATGGAAATGCTATTTCAACTCATTTACTATCAGATAGTAATTCAAATAACACAATAGAAGAAATAGAGCCACGTATTGGAACAGCTATTTTTCCTACTTCAAGTTTGTTAAATCATTCATGTAATCCAAACATATTTTCAAGGTAATATTTATTTTTAATTTTTAATTGTATATTGATGATTTTATAATTTGAATAAACTTTTCAGTAATGTACTAAATTATGTGGTCATAAAAGCAACACGTATTATTAAAGAAGGAGAAGAAATAACCAATTGCTATGGTAATTACAAACTATAAAATATTTTTGTTTCAATAATTTTAATTTTAAATTTATTTAAAGGTCCTCATTTTCAACGAATGCGATATTCTGAAAGACAAAAAGTATTAAAAAAACAATATCATTTTGAATGTGATTGTATCGTTTGTATCAATCCACGTGATGAAAATAAATTTTATCAAATATTTGAAGGACTAAAATGTTTAAGCTGTTATGGTGAAACAAAAGAGACATTAGACGATTTAGTTCAAAATAATTTAATAGCCTGTCATTTTTGCTATAAAATATACAATGCTGCAGATTATAGGAAAGTTTTATCGTTAGCTGAAAAATTCTGTTATGAAGGTGAATATTATATTATTTGATGATTTTTAATGATACACAATCAGTAATTGTATTTTTTTTTTTTAATGTAATAATAAATAAAACATTAATATGTAATAAATTAAAGAGTATGCCTACAAGTAAGAAAAGTTGAATACATATAATTTAGAATTAGGATTTATTTTATTGTGGTTGCAAATTTAATGAAATATTTTTAATTTAATTAGGAATGATCGAACTCGAGAAAAATAATCTCAAAAACGCATTTTTTAGTTTTGAAAAGAGCTTAAAATTTTATGATAGAGCTTTAAACGAAAACAATTTATGTGTTGCAAAGGTTTGCAATAATATAGCAAGATGTTATGCTTCATCTGGTAAGACAATCCTAATAAAAATAAAAATTACTTATTGCTTTGTTAGTTATTAAAACATGCATTTATTGTTTTTAAATACTACATACAAATATCATACTATTTTTTATTATATTCAATATTTTGCTGGTATTTACTGGTGTATAGGTATATATATTTTTTAATATTAACCTCTACAATATTTTATTTAATACTTGGTAATATACAGTGTGGTCGTGTCGATGCCCTTTAAAAGTAACACAAAATATTTTCTGTTTGGTGAATTCAGATTGATATAGGGTTTACGGAAAGAGCTATGAAATATTGAAAGATATATTTTAGGATAAATTTCAAATTTATAACTTTTGGTGTCCGCAGACACAATATAAATGATTTTGAAAAACAACATAATATTTGAGTAGACCTACTTTTTTCAATCAACTATGATCAATACAATTTTTCAATCTCAAAAGTAACCTGTTGAGGCTTATCCACGAGGATAAATCAAATTGATGTCTGGGTCTAAGCAGATCCAACACTTGTGTATATTTAGAACTAGGGTATTTTCCAAATTTAGCTGATGTTTTAGCGGATGTATTAAAATAGCAGCCTTGGACGTTTGGTGGGCTTGGAACACAGGCCAATCATTCGTTGGTGACTAAAGTATTATTTTACATTGAAATAGAAACCACATAATTTTGATTCAAGATTTGCTGTATAGAAGATATTTAAAGAATTCAATGTAGTTTCGGAACGAATATTAATTATATCACTTGTGACCAACTTGATAAATATATCCATAATAGATATATGGACATACATCAACTGAAGTAAGTAATGATAATGTGAAAGATGTGTTGTATGAAAAGCTATGAAGACTGAAGAGATTTCTGGATATGTTATTAAAGTTGTTATTGGTGATTTAAAACAAAATGTGTATGTAAAGCACAGTATCAGTTAACAATGTAGAAAAAATGTTCATTTAGTGATAGCAATAAAGATGGACACATAATGAGACCATATTATATCTCACTATTATCTTTATAAAAGTGCCAACCCTTAATTACGGTTGTTTAGTATGGTAGAAAATAGCCATAATGAAACAAAAAATAGCTGACGGAAAAGGTACAACAGAAAACTATATGCCATGGTTCGTGTGGCACCAGTAACTAGTTATATTAAAGGGCAAAAGCTACAACAGTTAGGCCAAATAATGAGAAAAGGAGAGAAAGAAAAGAAAAGAAGAAGTACTGGAATAAAAACCTCAGAGAAAGATTTTGTGGTAATTCTAAGAAAAGGTAAATAGATGTGGTTGAAGACGAATTAAGAAAAATGATAGTGGATGGAGATATAATTGACGACAGGGATAAATGATGTGATATGAGGTAAAAACTCGAAGAGTTCACAAGAGAAAAAATTACCGAGAATAAAGCCATTTTGAAATTTGTTTAAAACATGGTTTATCGCTTTAATAAGAAAATTAAAAAATTTTAATTCTGACCAAAGCAAGGAATGTATCAGTTTTATAATGGTGTTTATTTTTTTTTTTTTTTTTTTTTACACGTAAACAACTTTTCTACCAGAAATCTTGCACCGATTAAACAGTGTAGCACTTTTTCTTAAAGGAAATTTCATCTGGGTGGTATGTTAAGGACAATTTTCCCAATAAATAGAAAAAATAAGAAAATGTATTGGGAAAATCGAAAAATATACGAAATTTATTATTTTAAATTTTGTTTTTTTGATTCTGAGTGTAGTGAAGAATGTATTGGTTTTACAAAGAGGTTTTTTTTTTTTATTACTTTGAACAAAAACTAATAGAAATCTTGCTCTAAAGTATCAAGTATAGCACCTTTTCTAAAAAGGAATTTTTCTGGGGTGGTATTATAGGAGGTCTTTTTTTTTACTAAAAAATAGGTATAATATTAAACAAACACCATTATTAAAGAAAATATGTAATGCATGTGTAATTATTTTACTATGTTACTTATATATTGATGGCAAATCTCTACACTAGTAACCAAACTCCGCTCAGAATTGTTTTTTGTTAGCAATGGTTAATTGTTGCGTATAGATACATATTAAATTTCTTTTCTATCTTTCCAACTTCTCACCTACAATTGTGGAGATTTGAAATTTGGACAGAACATTTAGATTGGCTTTTTCTAGATGTGATAAAACATATTAGCCATTTTTGAGCTATTTAGTTATAAATATTTAAATTTTTATAAGATTTTTTATACAATTTTAAATAAATATTCTGTGGATAAAATTGTTTTAACAGGAGATTAATTATAAATCGTACTTTGTGGTAAAAATAATAAATAAATAGTGTGGTGTAGAATTTCTTTTTTAAAAGAATTTTAATATTCAATATTGACCAAAATTGTAATTACTACAGTATTTTAAAACACACATTTCAAATGTATAAAAATAATTTTATTAATTAAAGTTATTTGAAAAAATAAACTACTTACTCTGGTGTTACTTACTAAATCTAGTTTTAAAAATAAGCATTGTTATTCAAAAAACAAAATTTATAGTGTGCATGCTCGAATAAAAAGGGTTAAAATGTTTAACTTTATTCTTTAATGTGTATTTCAGTATTCTTTAGCTCTTCTTAAAAACTCCATTCCAATCTAAGGTCACCAGATAGAAATATTTTGTGTTAAGCATCTACCTTTAAAATTAATCACACTGTATATATTTAGTATACTTTAAATTTGTATCTATTTTTTTTTTTATTCGTATTTTATTAATTATAGGACAGTTTACTCGTTGTTATACATATTTGATGAAGAGTTTTAGAACAATAGAAAAACGTTTTGGTGCACATAGTTTAGAAGTTGCTTACGAGATGGATAAGATATCAGATGTAATATTAATGAACATGGAAAACAACAAGTAATATTACTAATTATATTATTGTAGCAGTATGTGACAATCAGGATTAGTTAAACAAATTATAGCTATTATTTATAAATATAGTATTAGATATATAAATCCTGACATATAAGTAGTCCTGAGAAATTATATAAAAAACAGTTTTTTTTATTAAAAAGTAAAATACTATTTGCGATTATTAATATCTCAAGATAATTGAGTATGAATGAAATTAATATTTTATAGACAAGAAAAATTCAGTTTCATTAATAATATTGGTGTTTTTCTTAAAAAACATTTAGTCGGATGCTTAGATTTTCATTCCATACCTTAAGCTTAAAATAAGCGTAATTTCCATCGAGTGGTACTTGAATAATAGCCTTAGATTCTTAACAATTTTTCTAAAAAACGAAATAATTTATTAATAAATGACAATACATTAGTTTATTACTATATTTAAATCCTACGGGTTTGTTGTCTATTACTTGACAAATGTTATCCTTAAAATGAACTGGGTTGTTAGGGATTTGAGATAGCTCTGTAAGAAGAAGTAGCGAAATAAGTCTTCAAGGGCAATCAAAACACACATTCATTTTTCAAAGTTCAACAGAAGTACAAAGTATCTATATAAAATTGTAATAAAATGTCTTTGAAAACGTCATTTTAAGTAGAATACATAAAGTTAGCAGAATGAGTTAGCAAACATCTATGTTTGTATGATCTAAACAATTCAAACTAAAAAGATAAACAAATTTTAATGCAATTTTTATGGCTTCTATTAAAAATATGAATTTTTGTTTATTTTAAATATATTTTCACAATAATGAGATGTGATGTCGAAAAAATGCTGGGAACTATTATAATAAATTATTTATTTTATATGTCTTATATATTTGAAAACACATTTAAATTAATATACAAATACAACCATTCCAAACAGAAAACGTGCATAACTACGTGGTACGTGTCTATACATTTTAGTCCTGTAGTGTTAGCTATGCATCTTTTGATGTGTATATAGGAATCAATTATAGATCACGTGACTAATTAAATGACCGTGCTGTGTTTCTGGACGTGTACATAGGAATCGCAGCTGAAAAGAAAATTAAGTACTCAAGTTCAAAAAACTTTCAAATTTTGCTGTTAGTGTTGGCCAATAGAGGCTGCCACTTAATACTTTTTGTTTTATTGAACTTTGAATTAAGAAGACGTTTTACAGGCATGTATTGTCTTAGTCCAATTAACTCACAATATAGCAAAATCTACTTTATGCAGGCTACGTAGAACTCGTTTAATTTTAGTTTTATAGTAAAATTATCCATTATAAAATTAAAAATAATATTTTGGAGGGCAAGTCAATTAGTTTTTCCTATTATTCCATCTATAATGTTCAATGTATCGTATAGAAATAAAAACTAATTCATTGTCTCGAATCAAAATTAAGCGAGTTCTACGCCAAGTAGGTTTTACTCTTTTGACCGTTAAATGGACTGAGACAGCATAATATACAGGTGAAATGTCCTCTTAAACAAGTAATACCGCAAGATCTCTTATAATAAATAGTTAAATATAATTTTTTATATATTTAAAATTGTTATTTATATTATGTTTTAATTAATTAATCTTTATAAAATTACCATTGTTTTAAAACAGTATTATTATTCCTAGGCAATTCATTAACCAGAACATTGGCATTGCAACAGTATTAAATTATGTCAGAAAATCAATGAATATATTTAACGCTAGATTGTCTGCATGGAATATTCCATACAATGAACCTAACATGGAACAACTTAAGTATAAACAAGAATTATTTTTAAAAATGTTAGAATAGTATTAAAACCTGTAAAAATTATGAAGACTTAAAAAAATCAAGAAGTCATAATTGTTCTCCTAAAATAATAAAATAGTTTAATATTTTATATAATCGCATTTATTGCCAAATTATTAATAATTCTAAAGTACAGTAAAACTCGCTTAACCCTTTCATTACCACTGTCCATTTCAATGGACATAAATTTTTAGTCATTACTATGGATCTATATCTTAATATTAAATAATTGATTATTTGATTAAATGATATTTTAATTATTTAGTTGAGTAATGATATTTTAATTATTTAGTTGAGTAATGAAAGGGTTATGATACTATTCAAGGAACCACTCTAAAGATTGTTTTATGTGAGAATTAAAAAAAAAAAAATATTGTAAACTATTTAGTTTTTATTAAGAAACATAGTTAAAATAACAGATGATAAATGTATACATAAATACATATTTATTATATTCACTATAAATATTATTTCACTTATATCATATACTTACACAAAATTAATGATACAAACTTGCCAACTGCATAACACTTAACCACAAATAATCGTTATTTTATATATTTATTATTAACTGCTTAACAAAAGACTGTATTTCTGATTATATATAGAAAAACTGTATTTTATCACGTGGTTTTTACACTGTTTAATATAGGAAATGTTAAGGGACTGGTACAAAATAATTTTTTATGTGAGAAAGCGTCTCATGTGAGTTTTACAATAATTTTTATTATAAGAACAGATTATTTTTAATTTTATAATGATTTTAATGATATTATATCATTAAGATTATCTTTTTAATATTATTAGTATATCCTTAACCACGCATTGTCGTGCTAGTGTGTTTTTCCAACCATGTTATAATTTTAAGTATATGTTATGTAACTAATACAATATATGACAATTGTAATAATATAAACAAATAATTAAAAATGTGTAATATGCAACAGAAAATTGCATCTATCATTGTCATGTAAATGTGTTTGTCGAAATAATATTGATTTATTTAGAACAATACTATTTTTTTTTTTTAATAAAATTATTTAAAGGATACTGAGTATCAATGATCGAAATATAAAATGTATATCTGTCTCCTATGGACTCTGACCTGGGCAGACTGTATTGTGAATATACAATTTGTATTAGTTTAATCAGATTGTGCGTATGTAATTATTAACCATTCACTATATACATATAGCTTGTAGAACTTTGTACTCTAAATTATAGAAATATTATATTTATTACTTACTTATGATATGCTTTTATTTATTTTGATATAATAAATGGTACTTATGCCTTTGTCATTAAAGAGTAATAACAACATATAATTAGAGAGTACATTATCAGGAATAATAATATATAAAATTATCATTTTAAACCATAAACATATATTTGATAAGTCAAATATAAAATAAATTATAGAAAAAAAAGTATTGACAATATTATTTAAAACGTTCAAAATGTATTAAATAGTTTAATTTCATACACATAATTATATATATATATATATATATTGATTGATATTCAGGTTTAATTTCCAATGACAAATGTACGTACAAATAATGTTGGTTCATTTATTTATTTCAAAATGATGGTGGTTATAATTTTAACATATTGTGTATTCAAAAGATGTTTAAATGTAATATGTGTAATATATATGACATTTGAGTAGTTATAAAATCAAATCACTTCAGTATAAATTTGTAACAAATCAATAATAATTTTCTAAAGACTGGTAAATTCTGTAGTTATAAAAAAAACAATTGAATTAAAAATATGAATTACTAATCAATTTTACATACATATAATTTGTTTTAATATATTTTTCTTGGTACATAAATGAATACAAAATTCCTCCACTTGTTATAATCAACAGTAACAATTGACTACAATTATAAATAAAAATTAAAACTTAAAAAAAGAAAGAAAAGGAAACTGAAAATAATGTAGACAACAAATATAATAATAAACAGGCAACTAATATAAGTTTTTAAAAGTAATGTATCAGTGGTACCTAATGGATGTTTATACTACAGATATAGGTAATATACTTGGGAACTTTTATTTTAGTTATTAGTTTATATTTTAGTTATTTTAGGTTAAAAGGGTAAATATATCTAAGAATGAACAATTGATTATTCATACTGACCCTGTATTGATTAGAATAAAATATAAAGAAAAAGGCGGTAGTAAACATATGAGTAATAAATATAACAATTTATATTATATTGAGCATTGTTTCATTTAAAATATATATAAGTTGCCTATTTAAAAGGAAGGTAGGGGAGAAGAAGAAAGAAAATTAGAATATCTATTTTTTTTTTTATATAAGGTAACTTAATAAAATACATTAAATAAAAATTAAAACTAACCTCATTAAACATAAATACAAAATTGCTTTATGTTTAACGAAAAGGAGGAACTTTCAGGCTTAAACGTGTGATTTTTAAAAAACCATCACTACCCTACGCGAGGATAATAATTATAAATAATTTATTAATTCATTGAATTGTCAATCAGTCATTTGCTTAGAAAATAAATAAAACAATTACGTTTTGGCATTATTTATAACTTTGCTATAACTTTTTTTCTTTATAAAATATTAACAGAAAAGTACATAATTTGAATATACATTGTACGTGAATGTATACAATATATATATTATAGAGTACTTATAATTGTTGAGCTTTTTTACTCGTTCTGACAGTCAGTCTTGTTACAAACAGTATGAAGGTATGTATGTTTTTCAATAAATGTCTTCACTGTCATTATCTTTGTGACATAAATCTAATACTACCTTGTCAAATTCTTCCATTCGTTCATCAAAACATTTAATTTGATCAACAATTTCTGACAGGTGATTGCAGATATTCAAATGATCAGAACAAACCTTTAATGGCGGAGCTGTAAGAAATGTTTGATAGAACAGTGCCAATTGAGTGTTAGGGTTAGAATCAGAAAATGCAGCTGGCTGAAATTGCAATGGGTTAGTGTCGCAACTACGTCGCCGGCAAAAATCTTCTGGTGTACGTGGTTTTACAGACTGGCCCTGAAATAAAATCAATATAACACTACAGAAATTATAATTAACCACTAAAACATTTATTTGAAACATTAAGCAAAATCCAATAGCAAACTAATAAAAGGTATTAAATTTCCCAATATTTGTTAATTCAAAATAATTTAAAAAAAGTACTAAACCTAAGTTAGTTATTAATAAAATTACCAATTCTACCATAATAAAATCATTGCTAGATGTATTCATCAAATGATTGATTTTGTTCTGAGTTTCAGTTGAATTTCCATTACTAGTAATTACAGGGTTAATAACAATGCTGTTTTGAGTGGAATTTGTAATTGAATTATTGTTTTCATTAATTGAGTCCTGTTGAATTTTTTGCAATTGATTACTGGACACCATATGAGGCGGCCAATATTCAGCCTTTTTTCTTGGTTTTATAAACGTATCCTTTGGAAATTCAGGAATACGATATAAGTTTAAATTCTTAACTTTTTCTTCTAGGCTATCTGAAAAGGCACCCACAGTCCAATCATCCATAATGTATGCTTTTCTGGACTCTTCATCACTAAATTTAAACATAAAAAAAATATATATTTATATAAAGCTATAAAATGGAGTTCATAGACTAAATTTTAATAATTAAAGTGTACACATTTAATTTTCTAATGTCTACATTTATAAACAGGTTACACCTTTTGAAACTTAACTAAACAGAACATAAATGATCTTAATAAATAATATATTATCTATAATATTTATAATATATATATATATATATTTTAATGAACTTGTTATACAATTTTTATATTTCATTGTATTATTTTGGTAACACAATTAAGCAGATTTTTTAGTATATTTGTTTTTTTTTCAAAACATTTGAATACTTTAAAGAATTTGTCCATAATTTGGAACTGGAGCAACCTAATCTAACAATGCCATTTTATTCTCAGAAACTTCATGAACAATACCTAAACTACCTAAATAATTAGAATAAATTATACATATAAATATATATATTTTTAAAACATACATTGGTGTTTTGATCATTTGATTGTGTCGCGGGCTGTACTCTTTTCGAAAATGATCACTTTTGAGCATAATAGGATCCTGTTGAGACATTAAAGTCATAGAAGTACGATAACAAACTGCCACTTGAATAGTCCCAATGGGCATTGATACTTGGCCAATTTTTAACTCTTTATATTCTTTCCCTGTAACACATTTCAAACAAATCCAATATTAATATTGATTTACCACTGTATGATTTTTGTTGGCAAACTAAATTTTCTTTTGTGATATTTTTATTTTAGAAAACAGTAAAATATATAACATAAGGTAATAATATTATAAATATTTCTTTCTGAGTAATATATTAAAATGTTTATCAGTGAAAATAAACATAATAATAGAATATATTATTATATTATATATATAATATATAATACAAAATGGAGACCGGTCAATCTCTAGTCATTAGTTCTATTGTGCAACTTGACCTCTAAAATTTGTGAAAACAAATTTATTGGCAACTATTTGGATGCACCTCCGGGTCATGACATTGTTGAATTATATAAAACATCTTATTATACTTTACAATACTATTCTAAACAGTAAAATAATTATTGTAATAAAACTCATTTTTAAAAAAAATATTCATGAAATGTATTTTTGATTTATTAATACTGTTGGATACATACATTATAAGTAATACATAAATAAGATTAGGAATAAAATATATAATACATATATTTTTTCGATTTTATATTTTTAGTAGACAAAATTATTGTTTTTTCTCACTTATCAATATTATAATTGGATAATAATCATCCAACCATTATTGCTTGTTATGTTTAAACAAGCTAAGTCTAAATCCCTACCTAACGTAATATGCAAAATATTGCAAATTCTTATCATGAATAAATTATTTAATCATTTATAATTCATGACTCTTGTATAAGTACGAATCAAATTTGTAATTTAAAAAAAAAAAAACGAAAGCAGGTACCTGCATAGTATTATAATGTCATATAAAAAAAAATTGTTATTTAAATTTAAGTTTACATTTCAATTAGTATTATTACATAACCGGAAAAATGATAAAATGTTTTTTTAAAATATAAAATATTATACAACAGGTGTCAATGATGGTTACAATAATTTTGAAGTGAAAATGATAAATCCATGTTAATATCAGATAATATTTGTAATGGTAGTAATACATTATTTCAACCGCAATGTATACACAATATTATTTCATCTCTATAAAATACTTTGAAAAACCATAGAAAATATGCAATTACAAAATCAGTTGAAATAAATATATGTAAATTTATAATTAAAATTCTATAACAAAATATTACATTTTGTTATTCAAATAGGTAGATATATATACCAGATATAATTTTAATATTTAATGTTTAATAAAATAATAATAATTTATTATGTATGATTTGATGTTTAGAAGGCCAAGGGAAAAGTATTCCACCTAATCTTCTAAACCACAAAAAAATGATTAAAAGCTTTTATATTTTATAACTAAGCCAAAAGTTAATATTAATTATTTGTTTAGTAAAATGAAAAGAGATACAAGACATTTGGAAATAAAAAACAATTTATAATAAATGTTTCCATACAATTTATAAAATCATCATGTATATATTAAAAATAAAAAAAAAAATGCCATAAATGAATATAAACACATTAATAGTGTAATTACATGAACACTCATATGTAGATATTATCTCTATTCTTTAAAATAACAAATCAATAATAATATTATGTAAAATGTTTTAATATTAGTTAATCATTGTCCGATGTTCATTAGTCACTAATCATTTTGTAAACATATTAAGAAATATAAGCATAATATTAATGGATAAATTATTTACTAATAGCCGGTATTGTAGGAAATGTTAACAACTTCTTAAAAAATTATATTGTTTATAATAATAAAAAAAAATATAGAAGAAATCAAATCTCATTTGCCTTTTTTTTTCAGTTTATTAGTTACAATTTACATTGAGTAACACAGTTCATTTTTTGTGGAAATCTAAACAAGGCTTTAAAAGTTAAACAGAAAACAGTTAAATACTGGTAAGTGTTTGAAACTTAAAAAAAAAAATAGAAATTGATGGAATGAATGACTAACTTACATGAACCAAAACGGTCGTAATTGTTTGTAGATGTAGTTTGCAATCATCAGATTATGCTAGGTATAAAAAAAAGGTATTCATCTAGGTATGACGACCAAAAGACAAGTGAAAGTAAAAATTTAACATTTGTGATACTCGACCTTACATTTTTTTAATCTGCTGATGATTAATATATTTATTTTTTATTTTTATTTTTATTTTACATAAACAATCTATATAATTTAGCACAATAAGTTTATATGATAAGAGTAATTAATATTTAAATAAATATTATATTTTGATGATTTAATGGTTACAAATATATTTGACACATGGCATATTACGGTAAGCAAAATCACAACTTGTACAAAACATAAGCCCTTGCAAATTATTGTTATTATTGTATATTATAAATTAAGATTTAGATTTCTGTAGATACTTTTCTACCAGCAATTTTGTTCAGATTTACAATGATAGCGCTTTTTCTAAAAGGAAATTTGACTGGGATGATAATGAGATAGGTAATTTTTCGATTTTCCCAAGAGTTTTCCTAGTAAATGTGAAAAACTTAGAAAAAATAGGAAAATCAGTACAATATTAAACAAATATTATTAAAGAAAATATATAATGCCTATTTAATTATTTTACCACAATGACATATATATTTTTTGACAAAGCATTAAGTATTACTATCAACTGAACTTCGTCCAGTAAAAATTTAAAACTAAAAGGTTTTTTAGTTTTATACAGTATACATATTTTAGGAACAAATTTTACTTATGTTAACAAAATGTTGATAGAAAAAAAAAAATTAAACATCTACACTACTAAAATTTAATTTGCATATGTTACAAAGTTATCAATATAATGCCTTGTATTAACGAATATTAACGGATATAAATATTAGCCATCACTCATCAGTCTTTCTAGTATATAATGTACAGATAAAATTGTTTTAAGAACACGTGTTTCAAAATATTTTTCATACCTAATTGATAATAATAATAATTAACAGTTTGCTACACAGGAAACTACTCAACTTCATATATATTTTATTTCCATAGTTGGATAAAACAAAGCTCTGATGAAAAAGTTGATACTAAAATTTAACTTTTAGAATTTAGTTGAAAAAATTTAAATAACAAATTAGTAAACCAATTTATACATTTAAAGAATAAAAATTATAACTTAAATTACCTCATACTTCATTTCAATTAGAGAAACCCGACTAAGTGGACATATACACAAAGTACACCACTTGCACCCAAAATTGTATAAATATTTTGTAAGTGTACTTAATTATTAAAATAACAACAACAATTATGAATCAATCTGATTTTAATGTTTTTGGATACATGATGTATATTTTTTATACTCTGTAGGTTTAAATTTTATATTTCTATAATATAGTTACAGTAGAGATATTTATAATACCATACTAAACAAGAAAACATGTTATTATTAAGAAGGAGATGAGATAATATAAATTTAAAAACATATAATCTCCAATATATTTAAATTATTCTGATTATTTTTAAAATAAACGCAACTCACAGTATATATATAAAAAAAAAAAAAATCATTAATTACAACAATATACCCGAATAATGTCATGGTAATAACATTGGAATGTATTGTTTTATGTCCCCAATACTATTCATTAATTATATTCATGCAATATTTTTTTGTTGTAACTATATTATACACGGTATAAAAGATATTATCACAAATACAGGTTTTCATTAGAAGACATATAATTATGACAATATAAAGACCACGTCATAATATTATTAAAATGTAAATAACAACATTTTCTAGGAAATTAGAATTTATAAATATATGTATATAGTTTTAAGCTTATAAACTTGTGCTTCTTAAATATATAAAATAGTAGAAGCATATTATTATATGTATGAAAAATATTACTATATAGTCTATTTATACTGATTAGGAAAAATTTACAACAGAGACCCCAAATATGAAAACATATTATAGAATTATAATAAGAAATGCAGAATTTGATTTTAATAAAGAGAAGTTAAAATAATAAAAACTTTGTAATGTTATTACAATCTAATTAGTTTATAAAATGTCAGTTACATTTTAATGTCTAGTTGGGATGGTAAAATGTTCACTCATTTTATTAGTTTCCATTTTTACTATTTTTTTTTCTTTTTTGTATAATCTAATATTCAATATTTAGATTTACATTGTATAATCTTTTGTCATTTTAACTGTACTCTTTACCCCTTCAGGGTGTTTAAACTTTAAATAAATAAATTTTCAAGGAATATTTCATTTTTGTTCCAATTCCAAAAATTCTTTTTTTATACTAAACATAAATCAATAAAAATAAGAAATTTCAGAATTTCTACTTACAAAAATTGTAAGTTCAATGGTATATATTAGTAAATAATTATGAAATAATTATTGTTTTAAACTAAACAAATTATAATTACATAGGTATTTATTTACCTACATTTTTAAAAGTTTAACAAGCATATTTAATTATAATATAAGGCATCTCACAAAGATAAACCCACTGCAATGTCAAAATTTCTGATTTCTGTCAATCCGGCTGAACAGTGCTCCACTACTCTCCTCTACCCAAACTTAAAAGTGTAATATTTTTTTTAATGGGTTGATTTGATGGAAATAAAACATTTTAACGATGCTTGTTTCTTTAATTGTCAAAAATATTTCTGAAAAAAGTTAATAGCTTACGGTAATCCAAGATATCACCATGGATATATCTTTGTGGGCTACTCTGTATACTTACACTAATGTAACCTAATTAACTTGTATACCTACATTGTATACTAGGTACAAATAAATCCATTATTTAAGAGTTTTTGTTCCAATTAATATAATAATTCAGTTACTAATACTTATTGATATTATTGTAAAGTAAAATATAATAAATATATTATATATCTTTCTACATTTGATTTACACAATATTATAATATAATTTATATGTCAATGAACCTACTAACTATAATATAAATTTAATAAATACTTAACATTAAAATAAATTAAATACCTACTAATATTCATTTTTTTCACAACTAATTAGTGAAAAGTATATTATTCTTGTAGCAATTAATTATAAATAAATTTATATTCAAATTTAATGTTAATGAGGGAACAGGAAATATTTTTTATGTAAATTATTATTATTTTTTTAATTTAAACTGAAACAGCATTGGAATATTGAATTAAATTATTTTTGTTTTAAAAAAATTAAGGTTATACAATTCATAATTTTAACGTTCAAATTATAATTTAATATACTTACCAAGTGTATGTACTTGTGGTTCTCCAGCATAAATTCGATGATGAACTTGATAACAATCATTTCCTTGTAGTTTAGAGTACCGATAAGCTGGTATTACTCGGGAAACTGACACTAATGATTTTAATAAAACTCCTAATCTGTTATAAAGTGTGTAAACTAAATGCCGAGAACAAAATGGGTCAAAGGTATTTTCAGCTAATAAACCAATGCTCCATGTTTCTAATGTCATAGTATCTCCATCAATAGTTTTCAAAAAAATTTCTACACACAGAGGCACTGAATCTCCAAGTCCATTACTTAGTGCCAGTTTTGTTTCAGTTACTACCTCCGGGATTTCTTTGATAGCAATATTCATCTGAAAGACAAAAGTTATGAATAATAAAATAATAAAGTAAAAACAAAATTATTAAAATGGTTAATACTTCTAAATAAATACATAAAAATAAAATAAATAAATGAATCAATATGTCGCCTAGAGTATTATAAATGTATTATACAACGGGTTTCAAATTAAAAATTCATCATCAACACGTTTTACATTCTGACTGTGATATACCTGATGATGAATTTTTAATTCAAAACTGGTTGTATAATATTCTAGGCGACACATTGATTAATTAATTAATTAATTTTATTTTTATAAATACATTTTTTAATAATATTTATTTTTACATAAAAAAAAGTAAGAATACTTTAGATTCTAAGAGAAAATAAATTGGTTTTACAATGATATTTATTTATTTATTTTTTTTAATACTCTGTACAAAAATTCTACCAGAAATCATGCTCCGAAGTATAAAGTTTAGTACCTTTTCTGAAAGAGTTTTCCTGGGTTTATACTTTAAACAGGAAATATTTTGACTTTCTTAAGAGTTTTATTAATAAATGGGAAAGAACGTAGGAAAATTCATAAACATAATACTTTCATTATTTTCAGGAGGTTGCACTTACAGGTTAACAGGAAAAAGATGAGTTTAATGAAGTATTTTTTTTTTAAATAAAAATTTTAATATTAAATTATGATAAAAAATGTAAATATTATATTACAGCCTTTTAAAACATGTATAATCTAACTCCGCTCAAAATCATTTTTTTTTAACAATGATTAATTGCATACAGAGATACATTCAATGTCCTATACCCTACCTGCCTAACTTCTCACTAAAAACAATGACCCACCCATTGTGATAAGTATGTCTGCTGTTATTTTAAGTAGATAGTTATTTTGTTAGGAAAGATTAATTTCTATATACGCAATTGAGTATATTTTCTCCATAATACACATACATACACACGACTAATGAATGAATTATATAGGTAGGTACCTATATAACCATTGTAACAGTATAATTAGAACATTTGGTGAGGTCATTTAGATTTGTATATCTCATTCTTTATAATTTTCAGTCTGTCCCGTATCACACCACAGACATATACAATTTGGCTTTTCACATTTAATTTGTATAGACATCTACACTAGGACATATATATGTAGTAAGAAGCAACACAACATAAGAATACTACACAATACAGTATTACAGTATATAATACAAACAAATAACAAAATTGTAATATCTTGGTGAAGCATTAAATATTATAATATCCTATAATAAATAGTTAAATTACATTTACAAATAAATTTTATGGTTGTTTGAACCAGAATTAGTGTAAAAATTTAAATATATGTTACAGTTATTCTAAAAAGTGTAAAATAAATATAGATATACCAGTTTAACCATCTCAAAAAAAAAATGATAATAATTTAAAAAACGATCCAAACAATTTATTAGCTCAGTCACACTTTTTATCAATATATAGCCGCCAACTATAACTTATTACAAGGCTTTTAAGATATCTTACTTGACAAGATTTAGTCAATTAGATAAAATTAGATTAGAATTTTGAACATATAGCTACTGAATAAAACACCAAAACAATTGTTAATATTTTATTTTACTCAAATTAATAAAATAAATTCAAAAATAATTACATTATAATTGTTCAAACATTTCTTAACAAAATAAATTTTGTGTAACATAGATTATTCTTGATAACAATAACTAAATGGGGTATTTGTATACATAAATAACATTAGTTATAAAAAAAATTCTGATAATGCTAATAGGCTCAAGGTTGTAGGTGGAAAGTTAAGAAGGTAAAATACATAAAGTTATTTAATTTATATCTGTAGGCAATGATAATATATAAATCAAAAATAATAAATCTGAACCAATTTGGTTAAAAAAGTTTTAAAATTTCGTCATTTATACTATTTTCACCAAAATTAAAAATTGAAACAATTAAAAAAAATTCACAACGCTCAACTTTTTTTTTTTTATTAATTATAACCTTTAATGTTACCTTATTTAAATTTTCAAGAATTTCTATTTAGCCAAAAAAATGAATTCACATAAAACCAAAAAATCTTGAAAATGATCTATACCTATAAATAGCCTAAAATAGTCAGAATATTTTGAAAATTTGTCCGAAAGGCTAATCTAAGTATTCTGTTAAGGTATGGTAGTTAACTAAAAACAAAAAGTATTCAAATTTCAGGCTTATACGACTATTTTCAACTAAGTTATATATTTATAAAAAAAGTTGAAAATATGAAACCAATAATTAATAATTTACCTTTTTACCAAATCATCAGGAAAACTACACAAAAAGTAGCAAAACAATTATTTTACGTGCTAACTAAACATTTCATTCAGGAAAAATACTACTCTTTAAATTTGGAATAGTTTCTGGTAGAAAAAAAGTTTAAAAAGTTGAAAATAATGAAATTTGTATTGCTGTAAATTTTTTTTTTTTTATTTCCAGATTTCTTGATTATTATGAAAATTGATTGGAATATTAAAAAATGACTTCCCTGATGCATTAGCTAAGCAAACAATTTTTTATAAGAAGCCACACCTGAAATTGATGATCGAAGAAAGATTTTTGGTAGAAAAGTTCATAAAAACTGTAGTAAAGCCATTCTATTTCTCGAACGCTTAGATTCTAAAAATATATAAAGGTAGTAAAAAAATACAGTAAGTACAAGTTATATAAAATATCCCCCTTACTACAATATAATATATTTATTGTGGTTGCACAAAATAGTAAATGATAAAAAAAATTAAAGTAGGTTAGTAGAACAGCATAACAGTTTACTGCAATAAATAGATAACAATCAAGGTAAGGTTATATAAAAGGCTTTAGATATAAAATTGGAAATTTCACTTTTTATACGTCTTGTTCTAATTTATTATTAAGAAAAAAAATTCTAATTTATTAGAAATAAATTTTTGTTTTTCCACAACAAAATTTTTAAAAAAAGAGCTGATACTGACGACGAGTAAAGTCATTGTTGCAGGTAGATAGTGAGGAAGGTGGTATACCTAGTTATGTAATTTATAATAGCAACCAACAATAAACTATTGATAATGAAAAAATGATTCGAAACGGAATTCGTTTATACAAGTATTGAAAGGCCATAATAATCACGGTTTTTGGTAAAAATGTATTTTAAAACTCTTATAAAAAAAAAAACCAAGCATTACATTCAATTTTATTTTTTGAAACAAAATGCATTTGTTATTTCCCTGTTACTTACCCAATGTGGTTTTGCAAAAAAATGTTTTTGTAATAGGGTTTGAACTCATGAACTCTGCGTTAACTACAGGTACAGGCTACCACTAAACTATGACAGACATATTATAATATTGATATTGTTGAGTTATTTAAGATAACACATATAATGTCCGCATAATATCAGAATTTTAAAAAGCTAGTATTTTGAAACTAATTAATTTAGCTCAATTGTGATTTCACCATGGTTCTTAAATTTGCAATATACATAAGTTCTAAACAAAATAATTTGAAAAATTTGCATGGACCAGTAACTAGATTTATTCCATACAATTTTTATTCAAATTATTTTGTTAAAATTTTGATATTAAAATTCCTTTATATAAAAAAAAATGCTACACAATAAGCGCACATTTTTTTCTTAGACCACAAAATGCAACTTTTAATGAACCTCCTGTGAAATGTTCAAGCATTTCTCTTAAGTTAACAATTTATTTACAGAATACACACTAAATAAAAATTACATAAAAAAACTCACAAAATTAAAATGTCTATTAATAACTCAAAAATTGCTCAAATGTTCTGAAAGTTTTATCACATTTAGAAAAATTAAATACAATTTTTTAGTCAGCATTTCAAGTCTCTAAAATATTTTAACCTAAATTACAACGAAAACACAAAATTGAAAATAATAAAAGCATCAACTTTGTAAAATTTCCTATTATTTCGATGTATTTTTCAGTTTTGCTCATGCTCAAACTATTAGAAAAACTACAAAGAAAATCAAAAAAACGACTTTCTCAGTCAGTGGCTATATGTTAAATGGAACAAAATCAATCTCTTGTCATTTTTTGATTAGAGTAATATATCTGGTAGAAAACATAAGATGAAAATATTAAAATAATTAAACTGGGATGCTACGCTGTTGTAAATACTAAATATTAATCAATTTTTTTAATATTTTGGATTTTCCTTATTTTGCTATACAGCCAAGCTGTGGGAATGGTATAATTGGCTACTTATACAAATGCTTAAGTATTGGTGTACTTATTGAGTATGCTAGTCGTATGAACACCCAAATCATTTACTGGTTAAATGTTCAATTATTAGTGTATTTGACACCTACACCAGTCATGGGAATGCGGGTTAATAATGTATTTAAATAGCAATAAGAATATTAAACAATTATACATTATAAATGTGGTACTTTTCAAATTTCTTCAATATTCTAATATTGAATCTGTATCACAATTAAAAAAAAAAATGAATACAAATTAAAGGTAATTGTTCTAAATGAAATATCTAACAGTATAAAATAATATAAAAAACATGAAAATATAATGAATGCCTATTATTATATTTAACAAATTACATACATTTGTATCCAATTTTTTATGAACATTTTAAATTAAAAAATGTCTTCTAACTAAAATAAACTAAGAACTGTACAAGGAATTATTTTAAAATGTGCAATAATTCATTATTTCATTGACATTTAAAATAAATAGTAGGTATATAATATGTTTGACCCAAGGTGAACAGGTATGTTGTTTTTAATTATCCTAGTATAAATTTAAACTAACATAATTTAAGTACATATTTATTTCATATTTTAAATCAATATTTCAATAGGTATAATAGGTTATTACTAGTATTAAATTTTATCTAAGTATTCCAAATCTCACTTGATCGCATCAATTGTTAACAACAAAAATTAGACCCGTTCTTATTTTACTAGAAAGGTGTTTTTACAGGTAAATATAGCTACAGGAACCAGAGTTTTTTTAAATAAACCAGTTAACCAGACACAATGTCTAACCTCCATCTTCTCTACTGGGTTAATTTTAATTTAGTATTAAAGTACAGTACAATACCTATACTAACTCATTCACTAAATTACGAGTCATGACCAACTTAATATTAAATTAAAATTTGATTTATGAAAAATCATAACTATTTTAATAAATGTTTCAGATAATGAAATTTGTACATTTCTAATGGTTTAATTTAAAACTTATTATCCAAATGTATTTTCTTAAATTAAATATATTGTTATTTAATATAAACACCTACAATATTTAGGTAATAAATAATAATGCTTACCGAACTATTTTGATTAGTACAGTATGTATGCAACTTGTCCCCCATTCTTGACTGAACAATTATTTGAACAGACTTCATAGTCATAAGTTTAGTTAGCTGCTCCATTTCTTGTCTCTCTTTCTCAGCCGAATCAGTTAATGTACGTGTGTCCACCATTTTAAATAAATAATAATTTTTTTAATTGAACTATAATCACTTATTTAACATACAATGAACACATTGACAAACTATTAATATTTTTGAATATGTTAAGTGTCTTTGATACAAAATTGTTAGCTGTTGATTTAGGATTTGTTGCATCTTGTAATTATCTGAAACACAAACAAATTTCATTAATTAAAAATAAAAGTCTTAAAAGTGCATACATTAACTTACAATTTAGAATAGAAAGATAAATTTAATATAATACATGTACACAGAATATTTCATAAAGTACCTAAAGTAATAATTACTCAATTTATAACTAAAATTAATTTTTTTTAGTAGTTCTTCAATATTTAGCATATTTACACTGAAAATTGAACATTTAGTAAACATACAACAGTGACGCAGCTAAACATATTTTTCTTAGTGTACTCGATATATTTAAATGGAAAGGAATATTAATAAACATTATTTATTTTAAAATTATCTTAATTCTACAAACCCAACTTTGTATTTTTTTACTTCATATAACAAATTAAAAAAATTCAGATAAAAATAAGTTTATGTAATAAATCTATTAGACTAGTTAAGTATGTAGGAAATGTTTCAGTAGAATGAAAAATTATTTCACATTCTAAAAATTGTATTGAAGTTTAGTCTAAAGCTTTTTAAATTATTTAAGTATTCATGTGTATCTATTTATGTAACTCCTATACAGATATCCAAATGAATATGATTATTGTTTTTCAAAAAATATGTAAATAGTATAAAAAATAGTTGCGGAAGAATTATACTAGTGATAATTTTGTTGAACATGTTTTTTTTTTTTTTAACTATTCATAATTAAAGATATTTTTGACATAATACCTAATGATATAACTGTATTTAATCCAGTCTATAAAAATAATTTTGGGATATTTCAAATGGTATATATTATACATTTTTTTAATACCTACCAGTCAGAATGCAATTTTAATAATCATTAGCTTGATCAGTACAATTGTTTAATGTAAATATATAAATAAATAAATGAATTTGTCACCTGGAGTATTATGATATGTGTAATGTACGGTCGGTTTCGAATAAAAAAATTCATCGTCAAAAGTAATATGCAACTGAATATGAAAAAATAAACTAAGGAATACATTTATTTACATTTATATATTTATTTAAGAGAATTAACTATTCGATAATTTTGTTTTAACTTAATTATTTTATCATTTAATAATAATTATAGAAAGTAAATTCAGCTAATTAATATTATGTTTAACTATAATTGTTTATACAATTTAAGATATTAAAAGGTTTTCAGAAATATAATTTAAAACTAAATTATCTAACTCAATTTTCTTATTACAAATTTGTTTTTGCTTACTAATAATACCAAGTTCGGGTGATACTCGAGGTTATAATTTATATATAAAACAACTTTTATTGCATATAGGTATCAATTTAAGCATTTAAAAACAAATCAAATTTATTGCAAAATCACTAGTAAGTTAAAATTTAAAAGTTGATTGATTAGGTATTATTTATTAGTATCTTAATAATGACGTAAAAGCCAAGTTCAATGAGAAGTTAATTAACCTTAAGATGTATTATCAAAGTAAAAATAAAATAATAATAGTAATTATTATTGGCAATTACTGATTAGTATAACTGATTCCTGAATAATATCTACTTATATTTAATACCTACATAAATAAAAGTGAATAACAAATTTATCATCATAGGTACTTTTGTATTACCTAATTCATATTATGTTGACACTTTACCAGGTACTTAAATTGATATTGTGAGTACATATTAAAATGACTGTAGATACAATATTTTTTTATTTATAAAACCAAAAAAAAAAAATACCTACTTATTCAGAATGAAAAAAAATAAGTTATTTAAATAAAAATACATTTTACATAAATTAAATAGGTACCTACATGAACAGTCATCTAGGTTTGGACATTGAAAATTATACTTAGAAATTACGTCAGAAAATTACCAAAATGGAAACCTTAGGGAAAGAGTCCCTAGTGGTTGGCCCAAAATGGATTGATATGGCTAAAGAGGATATAACTATATAAGAAATATAAGATTGGACAAATAGAAAGAGATAATCAATGACAGGGACAGCCCGAACTAATGATATGATATTGTATTGGGGATGAAAAATTTGAGAATTATGAAGACCACAAGAAGAATGAATACTTATAAATAAATAAACGTTCTGGGTAAGTAATAAATGAAAATGAGTAAACATGTGTATCAGATGATTTCCAACGATTTATTAACTATTTAATAAACAAACTTTAGTATTGAGTATTTGCTTCTAAACAATTTTGAGAGTTACTAGTTGAATTCTGGTCGAATAACAAAGAAAGCAATTATATTTGAATACAACAAAAAATGTCCACTATTCAGGTTCTGTGAAATTTCAAAAATACAACTAGATGGCTAAGCTGATATTGAGTAGATACTCTTGTAGATACCAATTTATAGTGTTTATATTAACTCAATTTTTTTGGTAAACAAATTGCTCTACAAATGTCTTATGGTTCAAACATATTTATTTTTTTTGGTTTAAATATATTAGTAGTTGAACATGTAACAATATAAAATAAGTAGAATACCTGGATGATTACATACAATATTACATATGTAATCATTCAAGGTCACAGCTGTAAAAATATAGTTATTTATATCATAAACAAGGTTACATAATATAGCTTGATATAGGTATTTTTTTCCCATCAAATAATAATGTCTTTCGTCTAGTTTAATTTTTTCAAATGCATCTAATATAACTAGGTATTCAACTATAAAACTACCTACTGGCTAACTCGAATTAGTAGATTCCTAATATAACTTATTTTTAATAATTTCATTCATTCAGCACCATTAAAATATAAAAATAGCACATTCAAACCTTTTTAACCAAATCTAATATACTTACAGTAAAATTAAGGAATGTACACCTAATTGTCAAGTAATAATTAAGGCTGCTATTATTTATATTATTCTAAAATTAATTTTGACACATATTTACATACACTGTATACAAAATTGCACACTTGGCTACATCACTAAACAATAAATACAAATATACAATAGAACAGTTAAAAGCTTAGTAGAAAGTTTAAAATTATTTTAAAACCTGTACCTATGAAAATTTATACTAATTTACCTACTAAAGCAATTATTGAATAAAAGTTGATACCTAAATGAAAAATTTGATTAGGTCATTTGCACCTATTTAAATAAGATAATATAGAAATTTAAAAATTTGTTGAACAGTTAGTAAGTACTTATCTATTGTTAGCTTTCAGTAAAAACTACCGAGTGATAAATTTCTAGTTTCTAGAACCCTAATTATTTTATTTAAATGCAAAAACCTGATCCCTATCACTACATCTAAATATTAAGAACAAAAAAAATATAATTTAAGTATACCTAGTTATTTTCATTCATATATTTAGATGAGTACCATCTAGCCTAGCATCTGGCCATTTAAGTATAAAGAAATCATTTTTTATTTCATTTTTACTTGTTTATTAAGTTTATTAGCAGAAGTTTGTTACTATTTTTCCAGTGATAACCAAATTAATATTAATAATAATTGTCTATTATAGGTACCAATCAAAACTAATAAATAAATCTGAAATACCTAAACAATTAAAAAATCAACCATATTGGTTCTCAACCTAACTTAATCTAACCAGATGGGTACTCCTCAGTGAATAAAATATGCAATTTTCGTATTTAGAGTTCAAAATACAAATATGAGTACTCTAATAGAAATTAAAAAATCTTACTTTAAGGTGTAATCTAATGTGCATAATGTAGATTCAATATATAAGATCTCTATGTGTTATAGATTTGGCTATAAATAAGTGTCACACAATAATACAAGGAAGTATGTGTTCCTTGTACTATATTATACTTAGGTATCTAGGAATATATAGGAATAGACATAGAATCAAAATATCTACTTACCAATATATTTCAAGTCTTTAAACTAAACGACAATAGATAGTCATACAAAATCAGCTGTGTCTAATTTATGTATAGTTTAAACAAACGCATTGAAATATTGTGCAATATGCTAGGTACTTAATCGAATGTAATCTAGATTTATTAAATATTGACAAACTTTAATAATAACTGTTAATAATATTTTATTACTTAGATAGATACTTTTTACGGCCATTGATTATTGTACCTACCTACCTACCTATATTATATCTCAAGATATGAACAATTTAACTATACAAATCGAAAGTAAATAAGTAATCATAAGTTGATCAGTTATTTTTTTTGTCTTTAGATAACTAACTAAAATACAAGTGAGACACACATACCTAGTTGTGTGCATATTGTTTTTTAGGAACCAGATCTATGGAAAAGTACGAATTAAGATTAGGTATCTATAATTAAAGGACCATACCATTCAAACAAAAGGTACTTAGGAACCATAATACTATTTTGGTAAATTTTTTTTAAATATAATTTTCTCCAACAAACTCGATAATGCAAAATATAGTTAAGTATAGCCATCAATACTCACTCGTCAAAACTGTATTATTCTGGTAGACCGTGCCACCGAAACGTTAGGTGATTGACCACTGGCGTTTTGGCGCCACTACTAGGACGATCGGTGAATACACGCACCATATAGATGATGACGGGCGGATACGATACGTACGTGGTCCTAAAACGTAAGTTGAGAGGATCACAAAAGTCGGAGAAACAAGATAGTTCCTAAATTAGGTGCACAGCGGAAATACGACAATTACCCGACGAACAACACTACTGCTGTCGTTTCACGGACGATTCACACGACACGTATTCGGTGGAAGAACGTTCCACAATATCCATGCCCAGCGGACGGGCTATGACCACCAAATTTATAATCGAAAACGCATACGACTCCCGCGACACGGGTCGTGCACGCGGAATTAGTGGTATTTATTTTTAGACGCGATTGTCGCACATACGGGTTTCGTCGGCGGCGGACGAGGTCTAGACGGTCGAGAAAATCATGCTCGTTTCATAGATGTTTTGCGCCATCGTTGATACACACGCGGATAACATGACCATAGTACAAGCGACGTGGTGGGGCGTGTCGTAAGTGATCAGCGGCGGGATAGGGAAACCCCAACGGGTGGGCGTGGTACGGCGGGTAGTGCCCGCGGAGGCGAAAAAAGGAGGAAAATACGATAACGGCTATGGCCCGACGGGCGGTTCCCGCAGCGACGACGTGCGTGACGTGATGTCGAGACGGACGCGGCGGTGCGGTAGTGTGATGCAGGGAAATTCCACGCGCGCCACGGACTGCTAAACGCGCGTTCTGCAAATCGAGTGTCGTTACGTCACGCGGTAAAATATTTTTGCGCCGCCGTGGCGTTCGTGCTGCTGCTTGGTCATAGATAGTGACCGTGAGTCCGTGCCGCCACCGCGATCTACAGGTCTCTTGATGTTCAAACCGGAATGCATTTGATGATATATTTATTACAAACTACGATTTAAGATAGTATGGTCGTCCATCGACTATGGTAAAAATGTAAAGTGATTTATCAGACAACTATCAACATAAATCTAATGGTCAGCTGTTTTAAGGATTCTAGGCTCTAGCGCTCTTAGTGGAAAAAACAAAGACTTGTAGACAGACTAGTTTTATTCACTAATTTAAGCTACATATTTAATAAAAACTTACGTTATAAACTTATAAAACTATTTAGCCACATAGGTACATAACATTTTTAATAATACTATAATTAAATAATCACGTGAGTTGCAACACTATTTTATCCACATGGAGCGCTACTATAATAAATAAAGCGAGATTCACTTTATGGTCCTTTTTATCACAAGTTGATGGGCAATCAGACCATGGCTTAGAGCCGTAAATCAGACTATAGACAATATTTTCGATTTCTGTTAGCACATTTTTGGAAAAATCGATGTTGGCGTAATAGATATTTTAAAAATGATGTAACATTTATTTATTAGCACGTGTTATCATTTTTTGAAAAAACTGACCTCATTACTATCTTAAATCATATTACAAACCAAATTTCCCAGAATCCCAATGAATTTTTAAAAAAAAGTTAATATTTATTAATTTTTACATTATTTGATCATAACAGATGATTTTTAGCTTGTTTCTTTATTACTTTTTTTTTAAATTTGTATATTTTGTACGCACGTCGTTGGTCACATTGTACTTTCAGTTATTATCATTATTCTAAAACCGTGGTATCATTATCATTTTAGTCAGTGAAAAGAAAACTTGTACAGTTTATCAGTTTTTAGCGATTTTAATGTTTTGTTATATTTATTCCTTGCTTTTAGTAAATTATAATTCATTAAATTATGCCGAAAGTTCGACGAAGCCGAAAACCTCCTCCCGATGGATGGGAACTCATTGAACCCACACTTGAAGAATTGGAACAGAAAATGAGAGAAGGTATTGATTTTATTCGTTAATTTTTGTTGAGTTTTCAATATTCCTAATGATTATAATGATAATTGATAACTCATTATAAATCATAGTACCTGATCGTTTGGAATTCATTGTGTATGTTTAAATCAGTTGGAATGTGTATATTACTGGCAATGTGAAATTCCGAGCAATGTGTACATTGTCCGGGTAATTTGAATCATAAATAAAAACAAGTTAATTAAACAATTTAAATAAGTTAATAATTTTTTTTTATGATATATTTATTATTTAATTTATTTTTATTTCTTCTCCTCTTTCACCTTCATCTCAACTTAGGAGTCAGACACCTTTGTTATAATTATCCACTTGATCCAATCTCCCACCTATTTTTCAGTTTTTAATTTATTGTCACTATAATATTTTGAAAAAATTAATTATGTATTATTGCCTATTTATTTATAATATTTATAATATAATAGGTAATACTTAAAAATAGTTAATTAAGTAAAATAATTAAAAATTAATTTATTAATATTTGCAGTTTAAATTGTCCATAACATATATATATATATATATATATATATATTTTAAAGAGTTATAATTAATATTGTTTATGTATAGGATTAAAAACTGATTTTGGTAAACATTTTATAAGGAAAATGTAATGACAATTAAATTCTAAAAAAAACTAAATACAGTAAGTCTTCATTTGACGTCGAGGTCAGGTTCCTAGAAAATAATGTTAACTTAGGAAATGTTTGGTGAAATACTTTTTACTTATACTTTATTATAATGGGTTTTTGCCAATAAATAACAATGTACATATTATAATTGCACGATTTAATTATTTTATTTTTACATTAATTAATTGTTTGTATTAAATTATATAGAATTACAAACTAAAATTAACAAAAACTTATAATTAGATTTACTTACATATTTAGAATTTATTTCTTAAAAAATGAGTCTAGTCTAAATTTTAAGCTGTATTAAAGGTTAAGCACATAAAATCGGCTTATACAACTTATACAAAAATACATATAAATACATACATATAACAAAAATTGTGTGAATACATGTATTTCAAACGATGTTGTACTAAAACTGTTGCAGTGTTAAACGAAACACAAGGACTTAAACTTCTGTGAGGCAATAGCTATACAACGTTAAATGGGACGACGTTAAACGAGGACTTACTGTAGTTTTAACTACAGACATTGATAACTCGTACCAATACAAAATATGAATAATAAAAATCTGAAATTTATTATTTTTATTTCTAAATATATTATGTGGATATCATATTAATTATTAAATAAAAGATTTATTTAAATAAAAATATATTTGTTATAAGTTTTAATAATTGCATAACCACAGACCTGCATTATTTAACACACCCTTCTAATATTAAAAGTTTTAAATTATAACCGAAAATTAAATCATTAAAATCATTAAAATGACCTAGGTCATGGGTTTATTATACACAACGTTTTTATAATTTTTAAATGTATTAGTATTTCCTACATAATGTATATTCAAAATAAATAGCAGTGTATTAATTATAATGTTTATGTTTTTAGCTGAAACTGAATCTCATGAAGGCAAACGTAAAGTAGAAGCTTTATGGCCGATTTTCAAAATTCACAACCAAAAATCAAGATACATATATGATTTGTTTCATAGGCGCAAAGCTATTTCTAGAGGTTAGTTTAATATTAATTAAAATTAAAAGTATTGTTTGTATTGTAATTTGTTTTAGAATTCTACTATTTAATACATTGTTAATTTTATTACTGGTTAAATACTTATCTTTTATAAAATATTAAATTTCAATATCAAATATACCTTCTGGATTAATTCAATATTAAGTATACGTAAAATGATTTACAAAAAAAAAAAATTAAGTACATATTGTAGTACAATATATTGTGATCATATTTTTACATGTACATTACATTTTTATATGGTGTTGGTATTATTATTGGCAATATTTTATCTATATTTGATTGGTAGAATCTCCAACTAGAAAAATGTTGAAATATCAAAATCACCTATGTCCAAAATAAATGCACCACAGCTATATTTTCCATTTGCCCATTTTCCATATTTTTGTTCACCTGACTTTTGTATTCAAAGAAATTATGTTGAAACCTTAAAATCCAATTTTTTATGAAAATAATTTTAAAACATACATTCAGAAGTACAAAACTTACAAAACATTCAGTGTTGTCTTATTTATTTTAGAACTGTATGATTTTTGCCTTCATGAAAAAATTGCTGATCAAAATTTAATAGCAAAATGGAAGAAACAAGGTTATGAAAATCTGTGTTGTCTTCGTTGTATTCAAACCAGAGATACAAATTTTGGTACAAGCTGTATCTGCAGAGTTCCAAAATCGAAATTAGAAGAAGTAAATTTAATATATTATTTAAAAACAAAAGTATTATAATTAATTCCTATTTTCTATTTTTTTTCCAGGGTCGAATTGTTGAATGTGTACACTGTGGATGTAGAGGTTGTTCTGGATAAATAAACACACGTTTACACTCTTATTTTAACACATTTTACATTTTTTAATATACGTGATGAATTAATTTCAATATTATTATATGTATGAATAAGACTGAAAATAATACAGTTTGCTATCTAACTAAAATTTTAATAAAGAAATATTTTAATTAGACATTTTTTATATTCCAATAAGAGTTACTTGAAAAATAATTATAATAGTAAACTAATAATCAAATGAATGCACAGAATTGAAAATAGAAATTATAATGTCTTAATTTTAAGATGGTTAAAAATTAAAATATAATTTTATAATGTAATGCATGTGTTTTATTTATCTTTTGGTATTTATCATGTATTTGAGTACAATTTCTCTGCTCAATTTTAAAATGCATACACAACACATAATGTAAAGTTACACAAATAATTACGAATATTTGTACAATTTTATTAGTTTTTATAATGTAGGTATATTTTTATAATTTTGTGTGTAGGCCATAAATAAATCACTATTTTTCAAAGAGTAACATTAATTAAGCATTATGTAGTAGAACTGTTAAGTAACATTTGTGTAAAAAAAATATAATATTTTAAAATCTCATAAATTATTCACCATATTTTTTAAAAGCTAAAAAAAAGTGCTGAAGTTCTCAGGATCTATGATTTAAAAAAAGTTATGTTTGTAAAAGTGTATTTAAATTATGCAATGGTAGACCGCTCATATTTTTTTTTCTTTTAATTATTGTTGTTTAGGTATCTAAATAGATTTATGTTTCTTAATTAATTTGTTATGCGATTAAAAAGTAAAGTACAATTGTAAAAATCTTTTATGGAAATTATGTCATAAGTGTAAATAGTCCACTTGAGACATTTTTTACAAAAAAATAACCAGGAATATTAGTACACAGTGTTGATATAGTAATTTATTTAGCTGTTATATTTTATTGGCTAGATATCTAAAAAATCACCACAGGTGAAAACAAAAATGATCAAGGTATAAATAAGTTTGTTTTAATTTAAAAATTAATAGATACCTGTATAATTATTGAGTAAAATTAAGATCCATCAAATGTATAAAATGTTTTTAATAAGTTGGTACATAAGTATTTTATTAGATATAGGTGTATTCAAATTTTTATGATACCAAATTTTCATTTCTATTGTACTATACAAAATGACAAGCACCACATAACATACATTTCCTTGATTAGTAGGTTTTCTACAGGAATGGTCTTCACTAAATTTTTGAGTTTACCTAACCAGCGTTATAGGTTCTCATAAGATTTTATAAGAATAAATAAAATTAGTTTTATTAGTTATACTATGCTTAGTATTTTTGTTCTACCAGTAAATATTTTGACTAGTTATCTTGCTTCCAACTTCGAGGATTTATTTTTTAAGCATTTTAGACATAATTGGTGCAATGGAAGGGTATTCAAAATTGTCAAACTTCTTGTTTTTTGTAGATAACATTTGTTTTAACCCTATAAAAATTGCAACAAATTTGATACAAGGTCAAATCATCATTGATATTATTTTGTGTTAAAAAAAAAAAATTAGTATAATGAACTTATTAAGTTTAGATTGACCACACAATTTATTGATGTAGGATTTATTACAAAGGTGGATAATTTGGAGAATGGACAAATTTGTTTTCAGATCATTAAAACTATATTTGATTTTTCTCTGATTGATACAATAAATTTGTTTAATTATAATTTATAATATATTTTACAGTAGACCAGTGGTGACTAAATCTCGCCCACAATCATTTATTAATTGGCCCACCAAAATATTAAATCAAAATTTAAAAAAAAATTACTTAAAATTTCAAAAATTAACACTCGCATTAAAAAAAAAAAAGATAATATCTTTACATTTTTAAAATTTTTTCATTTATAACAATCAATACATTATAAATAATTAAATGTATCACTATATCATCTATATTAAGATGTAGGTACCTACAAATATAATATTCTATTAACTTAAAAGTAAAAGTTAAAATTCTTGTCCCGCCAAGAATTATTATTATTTTTATAACCCTTTGTCAAAAAAAAAAAAAGGTTGGTCACCACTGCTGTAGACAATACATTTTAAAATCAATCTTATAAATTGATGCATTAGTAAAACCATTAACTATAGTTCATAAATAATATTAAAATAGGTAGGTAATACAAACACTAAAATTGTTAGATTATATATATCTGTTTGAAATTTCGATACATTATATTTTTAATTACAAATTATAATTATTTCATTAACAGTTGATGTGCTATAATATACACATATACGAATACAGACAGATAGATAAATTTTATTAAACAAATTTTATTAATAAAAAATTGAAATTAGTAAAAACAGTAACAGTAATAGTTAGTAGTAATAATTTATTTAATTAGTTAATTTACAATTGTCAAATATGTATACTTATCCAATTAGGTACATATCTCATATTTTATCATTTTTATCAAACACCTAAACAATAAGTAGGTATATTAAATTATTTAATACCTATAGAATATAGATGATGTTTAAAAATTAAATCTAAATTATAAATATTATGTTTAAAAAATTAAACATAAATTATAAATGTAATATTTGAATATTAAATATTCCTGAATAATACTTTAAGTGGGTATATTTAAAGTAAGTATTATAAGTTGTATTTAAAATACTAAAAGTTGGAACAATTTTGAATATATATATTGTTATTAATTAAAAAAAAACCAAAAAATTAAAAGCCCTAAAAGGCCTATCAAAAACGATAAACATTTTGCCCATACATTAAGATCTTCTATTTTACCTTCCAAAAATGTTTCACATAACTGTTTCTCCAATAATTTTGCACCACATAAAACTATTGGTACACCGGTACCTGGCTGCACGGAAGCACCAACAAAATATAAATTCTTGAATATTTTACATTTTATACTAGGCCTGAACCACAGAACTTGAAATAATGAATGAGTTAACCCTAATATAGACCCTTTCCATAAATTAAATTCATTTTGCCAAGACCTTGGATCATTTATTATCTCATGATTAATTTTATTCTTGAAGTTTGATATCTTTAATCTTGTTTCTATTGTATCTATTACTTGTTCCCTAGCTCTTTTTATGAGTTTGTCAAAATCAATATCTGGATTATTAGATATATGTCCTACTGGTACCAAGACTACGATTGTGTCTTTATCTTCCGGTGCTGCTGTAGGATCAATACGACTAGGTACATTAATATAAAATGATGGAAAATCTGGCAATGTATGGTCTTTAAAAATTTGATCAAAACTCGGTTTGTAATGTTCAGCTAAAAATATATTGTGTACTGCCATTTGAGGTATAATTTCATTCATTGACCAATAAAATGATATTGATGAAGAAGTAAATTGTTTATTCCTAAGTTTTTCTGCATAAGATGTTTTAGGTAAGAGTTTGTTGTATGCATAAACGAGATCTGCATTGCAAATCACAATATCACCATCCACTGTATCGCCATTGTTTAATTTGATTCCCTTTGCCACACCTCTTTCGTCAATTATTATTTCTTGGACATCACTGTTATAATTAAATTTGGCACCATAATTCACAGCAATAGTTTCAAGACTTTGTAAAACTGTGTTGAAACCTCCTTTTGGATACCAAATTCCTTCTGCTATTTCAGTATACTGCAGTAAATTATAAGGAGCTATTCCATCATATGGTGACATTCTAAAGAAAAAAATCAAAAATTAAATTTCATTCTTAATTAATTTAAAAATTAAAGTGTATAATTACCCCAAGTACATAGTTTGGAATGTGAAAGCCTTTCTCATGTAATCACTTTTGAAATATTTACAAGCTCTATTGTAAACAGTGTCCAATAAATGAAGTTTCAATACATCTGGTATGTGTTTTGGATGGAAAAAGTCATACCAATGTTGAAAATCCGTCTTGAGTGCAACTTTAACACTCCTTTTGTAATGCACATGAGATTCTTTTACAAAATTCAAAAAATTAATTAATGTCGATTCACCTTCACCTTCATATTTTTCTAAAGAACGTGATAGTCTTGATAAATCAGTGGTTAATTCGAATTGTTTTCCATCGTGGAAATGCACTGTATAATTAGAAGGGCATTTCAATAAATCTATGTGATTATTAATGTCCTCGCCTAAGTCAGCAAATGTCTCCTCAAATATTTTTGGCATTAGGTACAACGATGGTCCTTGATCAAATCGATATCCGTTGTGGTGAATTAGTGAACATCTTCCGCCATTATAAGAATTTTTTTCATATACTTCCACTTGAAATCCTTTTTTACTAAGTCTAGCAGCAGCTGCTGTACCACCGACTCCAGCTCCGACAATGATAATTTTAATCGCCATTAGTGAATGATCTATAACATAAGAAAACGAATAGGTATTTTTAATAAATATTTAAGTTATATTTTTGAAAAACAAAACATATTTCAATGAAGAGTAAAGATAAAGATAAAAAATAATGTGTATACCTATATTATGTTATGTTACTTATAAACGAATAGAAGTAATATAGGTTTTTTTTTTTTTTTTTTTTGATAGAATTATATTTTGACTAATATAATTTAACTTTTTGTAATAACTTCCTTAGTAGGCCACTGAGTCAAAGAATAACAGAATCAGCATGTTTCATTGTACCTACACTTGAATTAACACAGTTTAGATTCGTTAGTATTCCTATGACTATGCTATCACCTTATTATAATTATTCCCGTGAGTACATACTAAGATTTTATAATTCATACAAAAAGGGGTTTTTATTATTTCTAACTATAGAATATAGATAATTATTAACAGTAATCAACTCACAGTTTGATGGTGATCTACCGTAAGAAATTATCGCAATATTATGAATAGGTAAGTAAGTAGGTATGTGAAACTCAGTAAAAAAATATATTTTTGGTTACATAGGTATGTAGGCTAGGTATACCATACGTATACCTATATTTAAAGCGCCAATATCGTTCTGCTACTTTTGCTCACAAAAATACACTACGGAAATAATGATAGTTGATACTATTCAGTAGAATCAACCAAATTTTATTTTATTTTTTTTCTAATTAATAGAGAGAAACATTCTACAGAGCGCATTCAACTCAGTTTTTTAATATTTTATTCTCAAAGTGTATTTCTTTAAAAAAGTGAATTTTAAGCTTTAATTTGCCTTTTTTTTTGATATTATTTGAAATCGGAATTAAAAAACTGGAGTACAATGCGCCCTGTAGATGTTGTTTATCAGTAAAATATTTATTTTTTTATTAAAATATTGAATTCACAATGAGAATACGAGATCACTATTTCCGTGAAGTCATTTTCGTCAGTAAAAATGGCCCTATTCCTTCCTGCTAAATGAATATCGGGTAGTAGATCAGTTGGAAAATCTTATCATCAAGATGGTAATTGAAATGTTAAAAATAATTTTTTAAATTGGAGAAATAGGAGAAAGTTTGAAAAACTGGCACCGAGACCCTTAAGTATACCTTATTTTTTTTACCAGTTAACCAAGAGCAGTGGCGGTTCTGTGTTAACAGTGCTACATCACAACTTATACCTTATTGACTACTGTATTGTATTCACTACCACATCAATGACTACGAACAACAGATGTATTATGTATAAAAGATATGGACATAGTTCGTACGATGGGTGGGCCACTGTTGTAGGTGAATGGTTGGGAAGGTAGAAGGGAAATTTAATTTTTATCTGTACGCAATGATGTAATAGAAAAATCAAATCTGAAGGAAAAAGGAGTCTGATACCTGATAACCGATAGCAATCTGCGAGTTATTTGAGATACCTATTTAATCCTTAAGGTGACGTGCAATGGTGCCCAGACCATGCAAAGTGTAGAGAACCGTCATTATGGTGGTATAATACTTTTAACGAACAAATTCTAAATAATTTTTATTAATTAACACAATTTTGTTTTAGTGTGGGTAGACCTAGTTGAAAGGCACTGATAACGAGTATACTTTAATGTAGTGAATCTTGGAAGTTAATTGCAAAAAAAAAAGGTTTAAGCTAAAATAACCTAATGATTAACTGGTGTAATCGTAAATCACGATATAAATAAATTATAAAACTATAAATTATAATTAGTAAATAAATTATAGTAAAAAGAAAAAATGTTATTAGAATATGCTCTTTATTGAGAGGCCATAAAATGCAAATAATAAAAAAAAATATTCTTCTAATAAGGAATGATAATATTTAAAAAACATTCGAAATAAATACTCAAAAATATATTTGTTGGTTAATCATACATTTTGATAATAATAAATTATAGTTTGCTGTTTTACTGCTGTAACATGGTAAAAAAAAATTTATTGTAAAGACTTGGCATTTTCACAGAATACAGAATTATATTAGCATTTTCTAGACATGATAATAAATTCAAAAGATTTTGATTATTTTCTAACTAGGTATTTAAGGCGTTTGACAATTTCGAAGTTTTAGTTATTATTTGGTATGTTTTACGTGAGCAAAATTATTTGGCCGAACAAAAATGTTTGAAAATTTAAAACTAGATTCATTATAAGTTGTAAGTAGGTCTTAAAAAGTACTTGAAAAGAAATTGAGCGTAGTGTACTATGTTTTTTTAGAACCGTTTTAGTTCAAACTTTTACAAAAATCGTATAATTTACGGCATTTAATAGATAAAAATATGACTTGTTTATCGTTAACAGATGTACATTAAATAACTTTATTTATTCTACCTTCCCACTAACAACAGCTAGTGGCACGTTAATCAGCAGCATCAGTTATTTTATCATACGTAAAAAAATATAATCTCTTATAAACAGTAATCTAATTATAATTAGCTTTCCTAGCTATTTAAAAATATCTTTATCTTGAATTGAAAAAAATTATGTCTACCATTTAGATTTTGAATAACAAATAAACACTTAATAATACTAATTAAGTAAGTCGTTGATAATTATTATTTATAATTTTATTTACCTACCTATAATCTATAAAACGTTAAAACGTTATAGGTTCTCCGTTTTAAATTTAAAAAAAATGATGCTGTTCACGAATCAGTGTGGGATTAACGTATAAGTGCAAAAAGAACTTTTGCTCCATGACGGCACATTTAAAGGAGCGACAATGGTATACAAGTATAAGTTATGATGTACAAATAGCTATTTAGTAGATTTTTTTCCTCAACGTTTAACCGAGTAAATATAACTTTGTTACACTGAATAAAATACATTACGAGTATATGGACTATTGCAGAAAATATCACCGTAATTATATCGGTATTTATCGCAATGTACGTAGAATTTTTTAAAATAGTGCTATAAATTAACGATTCTTGTTAATTTTGTCCAATCCATTTGCTGCGCCGCCGCCGTCGCTTGGTACCGTCTTATCAGTAATCAGTGATCAGTGTTAGCGTTCTCAATTAACAGTAATAAATTATTTTCGTACTAAAATAATGAAATTAATCAGCTATGAATAATACCGTAAAAGGGCAAAACAAAAGAGACGAACATACTTCGCACGTAAGTGCAGCCACTATTGTAAGTGGGAAGTTGGGAAGGTAGGATACAGAAGGAAATTTAATGTACATCTGTAAGCAACGATAAATCATTACTAACGAAAAAACAATTCTGAGCGGAGTTCAGTTGATAGTGATGCTTTGTCAACAATATATAAGTCATATTTATGGTAAAATAATTAAATAGACATTATACATTTTCTTAAATAATATCTGTTTAATATTGTACCGATTTTCCTATGTTTTTTTACGTTTGTTCCGGGTTTTCACATTTGCTGGGAAAACTCGTGGGAAAATCGAAAAATGACATCCTTATAATTCCATCCCAAGAAAATGTCCTATCAGAAAAGGATCTACTTCGTATACATCGGAGTAAGCTTTCTAGTAGAAAAGGTGTTCACATAAAAAAAAAGGGTTTAGTGTTACTGAAAAAATGTCAGATTTGTCAATATTATGCATAGAGTCTGAAATTTTTAAAGTCATAAAGTGGGAAGAGCTTGTTCCAGGCGCGTCATATGAGGTATTGCAGGGTATGCTTATGCAAACCTAAAATTAATCAAGATTGCATTGTGGCCCGACTATGATTTTTCAGCGCCGGACAAACATTTTTTTTTTTTTTTTTTTTATATATATACCCATAATTGGTCTAAATTGTAGAGTTTACATTACCGCGGTAACCATGGCCATACATTATAGTAGGTATGTAAGTTATGTTACGTTAGGTTTTTGGAACATGGTAACACATGTGCACTGTATTTACTCCAATACTCAGTTACAGTTAAAGTAATTGGATTACTCAATACAGTATTTACTTTTAAATTTATAATGATTTTGGAGGGTAATGGTTAGTATTCTAAAATGTATACACTGTTTATCATGTGAACGTCGAAATTCAAATATTATTCTATCAAAGGCAACGGTGTTAGTGAAATCTTCAAGGAATAATATCTTAAAGTTGTGCTGTGAAGATTGGTGATTAAAATTTCATCAAAAAGCAACTGATATAGCAATCTATAATGGAATAAAAATTCAAAATCATAGTAAAAATAGTAAAAAGAAGACAAACTTTCAATAAACATTGTAATAATTATTTTATACAAACAACATTGGGAAAAAATAGAAATTAAGAAAAAGATGTTTTAAATATAAAACTTAAATTGTTGTATCAAGTGGTTGATAGGTATTTATTACATAACTAATTAATAATTTCATTACATTAATTCATAAAAATATGTGTTATTTTTTAGGACTAGCGCAATTAGACAAACGTTTTTCAAAAAAATGAACAAATTTTCGACATATTTAATGTATTTAATTGTACAAATGCTGCCTTTCTGCAGGCGAATGTGCTGCTGTAAATAAATTTTTAGACCACTACAAAGGTTTTTAAATTACTTCTTTAAGAGGACCCACATCTACTGTCTCAGTTAACTACTGGGTAACATGCAAAAAAAATGCTTACGCAGAATAAGTAAAATTAGCTTAACTTTGATTTTCGAGTAAAAGTACCTATTATGAAATTTATAGAGAAATATATTTTGGAGAGAATTTCGAATGGTTTTTTTGAATCATAATAAACCATTAAAAAGTGACATTTAAAAACCGAAAAAAAAGGTTATTGTAACTTTTATATGGAGCTGTATATTTTGAATAATACAAAAACCCTATGATATTCCCTCCAAAATATTGTTCTCTATAAATTTTATAATAGGTACTTTTACTCTAAAATTAAAATTAAGCTAGTTTTACTTATTCTGCGTAAACATTGCTTATGTATATTACTCGGTAGTTGGACTGAGACAGTAGATGTGGGTACAACGTCCTCTTAAGCATGCTATCAGAATTTTCTTCAATTAAGGCAACATTAGAAATAAAAAACATGTCCCAATTAAAATTAGAATTAATATTAAATATTTTTTTAAAGCTACCATGTGTATTTCCTAAAACCACAACAATATTGTCTATAATGTTAACATTACCAGTGACAACTGCATCAAATTAACACTTTTCTTCTTCACTAAAAAGGATAACAAATTTCTTAAGGACATTAATTGATGATGAAAGATGAAAAGATTTAATAGTTCTTGTAGTTGAAATTAAAGAAGCCAAACAAAAAAATTTAAATGATGCAGTTGATTATTTTGCGAAAATGAAATACAGGAAATACCTACTATACTGATATTAAACATTTTAATCATTTTAATGAAATATATACATTTTTGGTTAATATTAAATAATTTATCTATGACTAAAAATGTCAGGATTTAATTTATTATTGAAATAATTTAGATACCTATACTAACTTAAGATTATTAGGCATAGAATTTTGGTATTATATTAGATCATTAGATGAAAAATATGGTTATTATTGATATTCAAAAAACGGTTTAATTATAAAAAAAATATAATGATGTTTTAAACTTGCATTAAGTTATTTCACATATTTAATTAGTACCTATTTCATGATATATAATATGTACTTTTAATGGCTCTTTGATAATGAGTAATAAATATATATTGCTCCAGGGCGGCTTACAGCCTAATCTATAGTATATACACTGTAGTATACAATGATAAATCATTAAAAACGAAAAACGATTTTGAGTGGAGTAGTATCGGTAGTGTTTTTACCCTTATTGCCAAAAATCAACTAAAGTTAAAAAAAAAACAAACAAAACGACTTATGGAGTGAATGACTGCAATTTTACCGGGTAGAGTTTTCGCATTTATTGATTTATACATAGGTAACTTATAATAATTTATAACCATTTATTATTTCAGGAGGAGGAATATGATGCTACGGGTTTAGTGAACCCATGACCCCGAGCTCCTACTGGTGGAAAGCCCAGGTGAGTGAATCCAGTTGGCATATGAAACTGTTTCTGTATGCTCATTAGAAATAAAGCTATCAAAAATGTGTTATAAATAATATGTTTAATATAAACAGCGAATACGGCTATACTTACATTTTATAATAACATTAGTGCATTATATATAACTGTTCATTTTTAATTTATAGGAGGGTAAAATTAATTTACCTATGGTCCACCTCAATTCGGTATTTGGATTTGCACTTTACACTATACTCGTATGTGCCAACTGATAGTTATAATTCAAAAATATTAATATTAATAGGGCATTTTAAAATAAAAACTGAAATAAAAATTAGGTTTGGATAAGTGAACACATATACAAAGGTTCAATATTATACTATAGCCAAGGTTTATCTTTATGATTTAGTCGGGAATTTATGATAACTCCCTATATTAATTGATTTCACCTTACACTCTTTGTTTTTTGTAATACTTCGATTATATAATATTTAAATACTAAATTATTATGTTATTAGTGCTAATATACCTATATCGCCTTTATGAAATATTATTCATCGATAATTTATATATATTTGTATCCCCTTCCCCCATTTAACAGTAGTTGATAATTCATTTGCATTGTATATTATGTTTTACAGATCAGTCCGCATAATTAGTATAAAGTTCTAAAGGTAAATATTAAAAATAAGTTATTTGTGTTATAACTGTACAAACGTACTTCATTCATTTAAAAATCTTCCCAAGATTTTAACATTATAGGTATACATTAGTGATATTGTCACTACTCATCAGGTTAGTAGATTTGTTTAAATTTAAATTTAAAACTATATACGATTCTAAAACATACTGTTATTAATTTAAATCGAATTTATTCTTGTAACATTATTATTTACAAAAATTATATATAGACAAAATTCAGAGGTCGACTACACGATTCAGTGCTTTTAATACCTAATGAAAAATTATTTAATTTGAAAATCATTTTAAAACATAATAATTGCGTACCAAAAATGTATAAAATTCTGTGAAGAATATACATTACTAATGTAACATTAGTATTATCATTTATTACATATAATGTAATAAATACGTATTACATACATATTATACCACATTTGCTACAAGTTCTATTAATTGCATAGTCTTTGTCAAATTATTTGGAATTCGGAAAGATAATTTTATATTACTATCTGATTTCAATTTTTAATCGATTAAAGAGTTACATGTTTTATACAAAAAAAAAAAAAAAAAAAATTAAAAAACTGACTTATAATAAACTTCTTGTCCAATTTTCAAATATTTCTGTTTAATCTAACAATTTTATCCACAGGTATCCAGTAGGCCGGAATATAGGCTAGACTAATTACATAAAAAAAGCTCGTTAAATTAAAATAGTCTATAAATAGCTCAAAAATGATTTAAATTTTGCTACGTCAAGAAAAAGCAAATATAAGTTTTCTGTCAAAATTTCAAGTCTCTACGAATATTTTTAATTGAATTACATTAAAAAAACAAAATTTAAAATAATAAAAAGAATAGTTATGTTCGTATATTTTCTCTTAGTTCCTATGTATTTTTCGGGTTTTTTCAATTATTAAAAAAACCACAAAAAATCAAAAACCTACTTATTTGGTCATCGACTAGATTAAAAATACAACAAAAAAGATATCTTATTGTTTTTCTATTGGAAAATTTCTATTTATTAGAAAAAACAAGCCGTACAAATTTAAAATAATGAAATCGTTGCACCGTAATTTGAAAAAAATCGTATTTTTCGTCTTTTTTGTTTTTTCTTAATTATTATGAAAACTACTTTAGACATCAAATAATGACTCTCTGTTAGCGGTTATATATTAAAAGGAACAACATTAATCTATTGTCATTTTTTTCGTTTGGAGTAATATATTATGCGGAAAACATAAGTTGTAAAAATTTAAAACAATTTAAACGATAATGCCGCGGTGCGCCGTAAATATTTCCGATTTTACCAATACTTTTCTTTTTTGTTTTTCCCAATTATTTTGAAAACTCTTTAGATAATCAAAAAATGAACAACAGATCATTTGCTGTATTATCCGAATCCATAATACACATCATACATGATCCGAGTTTAAAATACTTATATGTACAATTTTAGATATTTGGACAATTCACCCAGAACATGTTGACCTACGCGAACTTTCACTTGACGTACATACTACCCGTCATCTGCGTGCTGGCGTTAATTGTTCATCCGTTCATTAACCGATCGGAGATATTTAAAATAGGGTTTATCAGCGGCATTGCAGTGTTGTATACGACACCATGGGACAACTACATTATCATGCGCGGTGCCTGGACATTTCCGGCCGACCAGTTGATAGCCGTTATCGGGTACGTGCCCGTTGAAGAGTATATTTTCTTCGTCTTACAGACGGTCATCGTGTCGCTATGGCACCTTCTGTGCGCCCGATGGTCGACCCCGTGCTTGCACTTCAACCACGATAAGCGAAGTTACCAGTTGATCCGGTGGATACCGATCGCGGTGCTGACAGCCGTCATGGTGACGGGCTACTGGATCAGCGTACCGGGGACCGGAACTTTTTACCTGGGTTGCATAATGTGGTGGATAGCCCCGGTGTACATTTTCATATGGTACGGAGCCGGCAATTACATTGTCACCAAGTTGACATCGTCGGCGGTATCCGTGCTGGTGCCCACCGTGTACTTATGCTGGATCGATCAGATCGCCCTCAAGGCTAACATCTGGCACATCAATGTGGGGACCAGCCTGAACTTGTTCGTTGCCGAGGACCTGCCGTTCGAAGAGGCACTGTTCTTCCTGTTGACTAGCATTTGCGTAGTTCTGGGCTTGAGCTGCTACGATAAGGCTCGTGGCATGTGTGAAACGTACTCGCACGAATTCCCACACCGGTTCGGCATTAATTTGACGTATCTTAATCAGATGTGCCGGGCGTTTATCAAACCGGAATATGCCATGTCGTCTGTCGTCACAGATGACATAAAAACTAGTATCGAAATACTGAGGGAAGCATCGAAATCGTTTAATGCCGCCAGTTTTCTATTTCAATCAGGTAAGTCACCGACAAAGTACATTAGATGTTTGGTTAGATATGCATAAAACGTAAATATACAATATACAATATACAATATACATATACAATATACTTGTATATGTATGTATTACGAATAATGCGAGTTATAATATAATAATAATATTATAATTTTATAATAATTTTTGTTCTGTATTATATTTTGTTTTGTAATCGTGGTCAATATCAGTAATATAATAATACAGTAAGTAGTAAATATCATATCAGTATGAGCCAATGTTCTGAATGGTGAATGCACATCATAAAGGTATTTAATTATTTCTCGAGAGAACGTACCTATAGACTTTGAGCATTTAATTATCATCACCAAGAACACTTTCAGATTCATTAGTTGATAAACATAAATAAATTGTTATCTTTACACTAGGAATATTTTATCATTAATTTGTTTTTTCTGATTTAGGAATTCGGTTGGATTTAATAATTTTATACGCATTTTGTCGCGTCACGGACAACATAATCGACGACGAGACGGACGTATTAAGAAAAAAATGCAAATTGAATGTGATAGAAAAATTTGTTAACGAACTCTTTGCCGATAGAAAATCCGACTACGATGTGAAAACAGTACCGTATACCGCAAAAGTCGATTGGGCGTATTATCAGTCCGAATTGACCGGCGAGGAAATGGCGAGTTTCCGAGCGGTGTCCAGAATAGCGTTTTATTTGCCCCGTAAACCGTTTTATGAGCTGATCGCGGGCTACCAGTGGGACATCGAGGGCAGGTTGGTGCGAAACGAGGAAGACCTGCTATTGTATTCCAGTTACGTTGCCGGAAGTGTCGGTACGTTATGCGTTTATGTGATGCTGTACAGATGCGACAATGACGTTTATGACGTTTTCGGCGAGGACGATTACGTCATCGAGAAAGCACGGCAAATGGGACGAGTGAGTAAAGACTTTTGTACTTTCGTTAAGTCGTTATATCGTTGGCGTGCACTGCCATAATAATATCGTTGGGTCTGTTTTCAAGGTCCTACAACTCGTGAACATTGCCCGTGACATCATCACCGACAGCGAAACGCTGGGCCGGTGCTACGTGCCCACCGAATACATGGATGACGAAGAACAGGAAATACACATCCTGTGTAACGAAAAGAAGCCGAGATCTCTGGGCAATAAGAAGCTAAAAAAATATTCTACCCGGATGATACATCTGGCCAACAAACTGCAATCGGATTCGGTGGGCGCCATTAGGTGTTTGCCACGAGAGACCAGGGGCTCGGTTTTAGCGGCCACTGAGATTTACCGGGGCCTTACTTCAGCCATACAATCTAGTCAGACTTACCCGACCAGGGCTTCTATCACGAAACTGGAAAGAATTTTTATAGGAATCTATTCCCTGTACGTAAAAAGCATTCAATATGTCGTATAGGACCATGTATATCGTATACCTAATTACATGTATAATGGATTCAAAAGCATCCCAGTTCAACCATAACTCGTATTTAATTATTTAATTCTTTATATTGTAATTTAAACGAACTTTATTTAAATAGGTACAAAATTTCACTTTGTGAACGTACTAAGTTCCAAGTTCTAAAAGTATTTTTTTTAAAATCATCTATCAACATGTACAATTTTGAAAGAATTTGTCAACCTAATATTTTATATATATGTGTACAAATCTAAATAAATTTAGTATCTCGATTTGTAAATAGTTGATAGGACATTTTTAAAATTCTTAAAAAAATTTATATTTGGTATATACAATTTTCGAGATAATCGGGAAAATCCGAAAGAAAATTATTGGTAAACCGGCAAATATTTACGGCACGCCGCGACGCTGCGGTTTTCATTTTTTTTATTATGTTAACACGATGTTTTCTACTACAAATATTACTCCGATCGAAAAATGACAAGAGATATCGATTTTGTTTCTTTTAACACATAGCCGCATGGCCAGAGAATGTTGTTTATTGATATCTAAAGTATTTTTCATAATAATTGGGGAAAACTAATACAAATTAGTTTGTGCACCAACACACAGGCAGTGTCCCTGTGCCAGTAGTGGGAATTAAACGGTCAAAGGCACGGCTGGTGTAAAAATTGTATTTGCCCGTCCATACTCCGTGACCGCTGCTGCTGCGGGTGCTGTATATTGTGTACACATATGACATACCTTTAACGGAGGAAAAACGGGAGAACGGGAATATAGGTATAATATTAAACAAATATTATCAAAGTAAATGTTTAATGCATGTGTAACTATTTTACCATAATATGACATATATATTTTATATTAAATATAAAATATTACACTCAGCTAATATGATTGACAAATGACGGACCTTGTGATAATATATTTCCAAATGTGTAAATTAATAAGTTGGCTGGAATTTTTGTATTTTCCCGGGCCGAAATCTCTCCCCAATCCGCCCCTGCGTATTACTATTTAAAATTTTAAAATAACATTTTCATCTAGACTTTATACTGAATTCAAATATGTTTTTATCGCTTCACTACATCGATCAGACTGATTTCCGAAGATAACGTGCGATAAAATTTATTTTTCTGGACTATCACATTAAATATTTTCTTAATTTTATACAATAATTTTTATTCTTGTCTTTAAAATAAATAAGAATGCATTTCTAGTTTAAAATGTATAGTTTTCAAAATTGTAGATGGTGCACTGCTCCTATACGCCATATCACGAGCCGCCACTACCTGTAAGACATAACACTTGATAAGACTTTTAAATATTTGCACTGTCTTGTTTAAATGTTTAACCTATTGAATTATGGTTTGTACCCAACAAATATGTGCTAATAATTTATTAAAATAAATATATTAGTGTCACTTAGTAAGTTTAATTTACCTGTTCGTGTGCAACGGATACGCCTTAAATAAATTCAGTGCCTTGGGGCAGTTACCCGCTTGCCCCCTGGTAACTACGCCACTGAGACCGACGCATTCGACTCTAAGGTTCATTATAACTATACTTTTGAGCGCGGAATGATTCAAAAAGGCGATTCTTGATCTGGTATAAAAAGTGGGAATTGACCAATCAATTTTCTCAAGTATCTTAGGACAGTAAATATTATTTTTTAAGACTTTAAAAATAAAAGACACATCAATAAACTTATGTCTGGAAGAAAGTGTATGTAGACCCATTCTTAGTGCAAATTCCTTCAAGGAGTAATTCATCATAAGCTTAAAAGATAAATATCTTAAGAAATAAGATTGTACATTATTTAAACGGCATATATGATTAAGTTGAGATAGATTCTAAATTATGAACCCGTACTCTATAGATATGAGCGTACTAGAGAGCAATATAAAGTTCTTAAACATTGGATATTTTTGAAATCAAAGCATTGACATCTAATGAATCCTAACATGCGCAACGCCTTGCTGTAAATAAAGATGGAATATGCTCAGGGAAAAAGAGATCAGCAGACAAAATGATTTTTAAATATCAACCCCCCCTCCTTTAAATCACAGATTAAAATACAAAACATAATTCTAAAAATTTTGATATGCATAAGACAAGTGTAAGGTTTACCGTTTATGAGTTATAATACTTAAAAGTTTAGACCGGAGGAGTAGAGAAAAGTAATAAATTACATAATACCTATCATTTACCGGCTCATGATAAAATAATCATTCTGTATGTGTAGTCACTTTAATAACTAATAAGTAATGTACTTTTATTTGTCCCGTGGTTGATACCATATTATCACTTTTTTAGTGATATCTTATCATGATAACGCCTATCGCCATAAAAATATTATACTCACTTCTTTTTGTGTGATAACATACAACAAAAAGAGTAAAATAGACGAGTGACTAGCTACTTTTAGATTCCGAGCGTAGCGAGAGAGCTATTAGTTTTACAATGTTTATTTCTTCTATGTTCTAATTTACGGTCACGTTTTTTTTTAGTAAACTTGCTCCGATTTTTACGTGCAGCAACTTTTCTAAAAGCTCAAGTTGTTTAAATTGTACTTTAAACAGGTCATTTTTTAATTTTCGACGCCATTTTTCAAATAAAGGCACTTAAGTGGAAAAACGTACAATTTCATGATTTCATTACTTTATAAAAACACGGACGACGTTTTTTACCAATAAAAATGATTCAATTGAAAAATCACAAACTACCTTTTTTGTTGCCTTTTTGATTTATTTTCTTACGATATCATCGCCAAAACTTTTGAGCTTTTAAGGAATTTTAATTTTTGAGAGTTTTTTGCTGTAACTCGGTTATAAATACATATAGAAACTTGAAACTTGATAATAGTACTTATATTGGACTTACCTAGACGTGGTAAAATTTCCAAAATCATCGGACGACTTTTTTTTTTTTTATAAGCGTTTTGAAATCAAATTTAAACGAAAATCACAAAATAATTTACGGCACATCAAATTATGTATTACTGAACTGCGCTCGTAATCGTCTTTCGTCAGCAATGTTTAATCGTTGCTTACAGATATATATGAAATAATCTTATAAATTCTACCTTCCCAACTTCCCATCTACAATACTGGCTGCACCGATTCCCAGTATCAGCTCTTTTTTTTTCTTTAATAAGTAGGTTTTACTATTAAATTACTATTTTAAGAATTATAAAAAAAATATTTTTTTTTAAATTGTTTTTGTTTGATACAACTTTTTTTGTGGTAAAGGTATAAACTATAATACGTTTACCTTTGCTTTATACTTCCTACGGAATGTGAGATAGGTATTTTATTGTTTTATTGGTGTTATATTGTTTTATAAACATTGAACACTTTATTTAACGTGATTTAACGCGTTAGTGTAATTTATTATACTTAGTATAAGTTTTGAAACTCATTATTTTATTTTTTATTTTTTTTAAGTCAAAGGTTTATTAAAATCATAAAAACTATACTTGTATACTAAAATAATATAATATTATAAATACCTATAAATCAACTGATATTGATACTTAGTTGTTGATGTTTAAATGATCGCGACGAAAATTTGCGTCGGTTATCGAGCCGTGTATATATAAAGCTAGTTAAAACAATGTTTGCTTTTAACCGAACGTTTGCCTAAAATTAAACAGGAGCGATTTCTTGCGATTGTTTGCGACTTGAATCCGGGCGATTATTTCCGTGTGAATACGTTTACTTAAATAAAGCTATGTAATTTTGAGCGAATGTTCGCGGAAAACGCTATTTAAAATCGCCGTGTGAAACAGTCTTTACAATGATGTTTTTTTTTTTTTTTATGTGAATACTTTTTCTACCAGAAAGCTGACTCTGATTATCAAGTATAGCGCCTTTTATAAAAGAAAATATTCTCTAGGTGGAACTTATAAACTAAAAAAAGACGAAAATGAACTGATAAATTTACGGCATCACGATTCCTTTATTTAAAATTGTACGGATTATGTTTTCTACAAGAAATATTGCTCCAATAGAAAACAAAAGGAGAGATGCATTTTGTTGCATTTTTAATATCTAGTTGATAAGGAAATAGTCGTTTTTTGATTTTCGTAGCAGTTTTCATAATAATTAGGAAAAACCGAAAACGTAAAATGATAACCTGAAAAATTTATGGCGTTACGATTTCATTATTTTCAATTTTTATGTTTTATTTTCAATTCCGTTTTTTGGTTGTAATTCAGTATTCGTAAAAACTACATTTATATTTTTTAATGGCGCCGAAGTAATTTAAAAATACTCGGGCAAACAAGGCAATACTGTATTATACTGGTCTTTTTTGAATATAATGTATTACACATTACTCATAGTATAATTTTAGATTCTAAGTGGAGCGAAGAAGCTTATGGTTTTACCAAGCTGTTTTTTATTATTATTATTTATCTGTGCACAACCTTTCTACCAGAAGACTTGCTCCGATTTTTAAATATAACACCTTTTTTGAAATTAAATCTATGTGGGGAGGTACTATAAGGAGGTGATTTTATAATTTTCTCAAGAGTTTTCTCATCAAATGTGAAAAACCAGAAAAAAAAACGTAAGAAAAACGAGAAATATGAAAAATGTAGGTACCTATTAGTTAAAAATATTACTGCCTTCTTTTTTATTATGAACAACTTTTATACCGGCAATTTAATTCAATTTATAATGATAGTCATTTTTCGAAAAGGAAATCTAACTGGGGAAGTACTTTAGAGAAGTAATTTTTTGATTTTCTCAGAATTGTTTTCAATAAATATGAAAAACCGAAAAAAAAAAACGGGAAAATATATGAAATATATTAATCAAATATTACCCGATAGCATTACCTAATAAACTACGGAAATGTCATAAAAAATCAACTAAACTATTATTTCCTAAGGTATTTAGGCATTGTCATTTATTTCCCGAATTGTCAACATTGTCGGTAACATGTATACAAATCTTTTTATTTTTCAAATTTCAACTTTAATAATAATTTGTAAGTAAGGACTTTTTCAGAAAACACACAATGTTTGCAAATAAATAATTTAATTCACCACCGCTGTCTATTAATTACTATATTACTATATTATAATCACAGAATAAGATATTATTAGGTTAATAAGATAATTATTTTTGTCGTAACTGTGAGTGATACTCATTATGAACAACGGTTTTGTTATTATTACAACTTTGGTTGTTGGTGTTATCGTGCATGCGCAGGCTGCCATACAACCTAAGATAATATCTATGATTGCAAAATTGAACTTACTGAAATGATGTTATCAACAATTAATGCATCGTTAAGTTAGCCCACGAATGTTGTAGATAATAATACAGTGATGCCCACGTAGGTTACCAAGTAATACAACTGCATTAGTAGTCAAATGGTCGAATGGAGTGGGTAGTTCATCATAGAAATCTTGTACATTTAAATTTAATAAACGTTACCGAAAAAGTTAACATTACAAGCTTGTATAATGTATATTGTCTGATAGTTCTAATAAAATAGATATTTAAACAAATTATTTAAGTTGGTTTAGTCGATGATTTCGTTTTTTTACATTTTGTATGTGTTTATTTCAATATCCCTACCTATAATTATTGTTGTAATAAACTAATAATCTATCCATTTATATTTAAATATTTTGTTATGAGTTTTTCACCGACCTTTGACCCTTGCTACAATCATAATTATTTTCATGTATGTATCCGAAGGGCTTCATTTGAACCTCCCATATATACATTTACTATTAAGCGTAATTCACAACACAATTATGACAAGGCGTTGTCTATTTGCTAGGTAAATCTTACACCCCCGTATAAGATTCTTGGCTTATGAATAATAAGTACGATATTATATTGTAAAATGTCATGGTGGTCATTCTAAAAAAAGGCCGCTAAGCAGGAAAAAAAAGTTTATCGTTTGTAAAATGTTTATTCAATTGTAGCGCTGGCCCTGGGTGGGTGGGTATACTATAAAATTTACTGCGTCTGCTCTGAAAATTATTCTTTTGTGCGCCACTGAAATAATAAATAATAATATAACCTTAAATACTAGTTAACAACAATTATGTAAATAATTTTGTTTTCATTTATTTCTCTTGAGTCCAAAGTAATAATATTTTATATACTTTGGTTTTTCGTCATTGTTTTCGTATAAAACGTAATAGTTTTACACACTAAAATAACTAATTGGCAGAATAATAATTGAATTTTTTTCGATTTTTAATTTAAAGAAAAAATGGTAAGTAATGTAATACAAAATTCTAATTTTGGTTGATCTCTGGCTTTTTTAATACTCTACTAGTTTAAAAATTTGTATTTTACTGCCCAACATTTTTATACTTAGTTACATAAATATTTAAGTGTTTTTAACATCTTTGAATATGTGTATATTTTATATTTATTATCAGTCAGAAATGCACCCACTGACTAACTTTATTTTTTAAACTTAAACAAAACAATTGATTAATTATCAATTTTTAAGTCCTCCCTCCCACTGAAAAATCCTGCGTACGCCATTGTGGGTTACGCACAATATATGATTTCATTGTAAAACAAAATATAAATTCGTAAGTTATGTAATATACCTAATAAACCAAATGGTTAATATAATTTTCACAAAGCTATTGTGAAACGCTAGAACTATCACAGACAAAAAAAGAACCATATAATGATTCGAAATAAATAGTAATATTTAATACATTTTATATTACACAATATATTTATATACATTTATAGTACAAAATTTTACAAGATAAATAAATAAAGTAAATTCTTTATTTTTATACAATCTTACATTTGTTATGTATACTTATAATAATGTATTGTGTAGTATTCACTGTGAAAAATGCAACCACCATTTTCTCGATTGTGTAACTTAACCGTAATTGACATATCTATGTGTACATTGAAGAGAGTTAATTCATTTAATCGGGTTTCCGAGTTTGTATTTTTAAGATATGTTTAAAACTTTGAAATTATAATTTATATAAATTATAAAACAAAAAATGATCAAATCAAATTTCTTTAAAACGTGTGTACTGTATAAGGAGGACTTTGATTAATTGTTTAGTTAAAATTGCGTATGTTAATATTAAAATATACATATATATTCATTTAAAATTCATATAAAACTCGAAACTGAAACATTAATTTTTAAAACCATTGTTCATAAAATAAAATTCAACAAAAACCTAAAATAATGAAAAAGCTTACAGGATAGTTAAAAACCTACTTATTGGACAATTGTTAGCCTATTATATATATAGATATAGATAATATTCAATAAATTAAATATAAGTTATAAACGTAATAGGTATTTTGTATTTTTGATCATTTTACAATAAATTACAGGTAAGTATCTACTTATTTTTTAAATACTAAATTTAAACAATTTTAAATATCTTATTATTAATTAAAAAAAAACCAAAATATTAAAAGAGCTAAAAGGCCTATCAAGAACAATAAGCATTTTGCCCATACATTATTTTCTATTTTACCGTTTAAAAATTTGTCACACAACTGTTTCTCCAATAATTTTGCACCACATAAAACTATTGGTACACCGGTACCGGGTTGTACTGAAGCACCGACAAAGTACAAGTTGTCAAATATTTTACATTTCAAACTTGGCCTGAAGTAAATGACTTGAAAGAATGTGTGAGACAGTCCTAATGCAGACCCTTTCCATAAATTAAATTCACTTTGCCAAGACCTTGGATCATTCACAAACTCGTGATCAATCATACTATTGAAATTAGATATCTTTAATTGTTTTTCTATTATATCTACCACTTGTTCTCTTGCTCTTTTTATAAGTTTATCAAAATCAATATCTGGATTATTAGATATATGCCCCACGGGTACCAGGACCACAACCGAGTCTTTGCCTTCTGGTGCTGCTGTTGGGTCAATGCGAGAAGGAACGTTAACATAAAATGATGGAGAGTCGGGCAATGTATGGTCCTCGAAAATTTGATCGAAACTAGGTTTAAAATGTTCGGCTAAAAATATATTGTGTACATTTAATTGGGGTATGACCTGATTCATCGACCAATAGAATGATATTGACGACGAAGTGAGTTTTTTATTACCTAGTTTTTCTGCGTACGGGGTTTTAGGTAAAAGCTTGTTGTACGCATAAACAAGATCTGCGTTGCAAATTATAATATCACTATTCACCACATCTCCATTTTTAAATTTAATGCCTTTCGCTACCCCTTTGTCGTCGACTATAATTTCTTCGACATCACTATTATAGTTGAATTTTGCACCATATTTCACAGCAATGTTTTCAAAACTTTGCAAAACTTTATTGAAACCTCCTTTCGGATACCAAATTCCTTCTGCTATTTCTGTGTATTGTAACAAGTTATACGCGCCCACTCCATCATAAGGTGACATCCTATAAAAATATGTGTATTTATTTTATTTTATTCATTTTATGTTGTATCTTACCCCATATACATTGTCTGAAACGTGAAGGCCATTCTCATGTATTTGCTTTTGAAATATTTGGACGCTCTCGTATATACCGAATTGTGTAAGTGCAACTTTAATACGGAAGGTATATGTTTTATATTGACTAAATCATACCAATTTTGAAAATCGGTTTGCAAAGCCAATTTTTTGCTTTCATGATAATGTACATGTGTTTCTTTCATAAAATCATAAAATCTCAATAAAGTATCTTCACCTTCACCCTCGAATTGTTCTATAGACCGTTGTAATTTCGACAAATTACAAGAATTCTCAAATTTTAGTCCGTCATGAAAATAAATTTTATAATTAGTTTCACATTGTAGTAATTCTATGTGATCTTTTATGTCCTCGCCTAAATCTTGAAACGTCTCTTCGAATATTTTAGGCATGAGATACAACGACGGACCTTGATCAAATCGATATCCGTTGTGGTGAATTAGTGAACATCTTCCGCCATTATAAGAATTTTTTTCATAAACTTCTACTTGAAACCCTTTTTTGCTAAGTCTAGCAGCTGTTGCTGTACCACCAACCCCAGCACCAATGATAATGACCTTACGAGGAGTTTCCATTTTTGGAAATTCTTTAACATAATTTTAAATCATTAATACATTTTCTGTATAAATTTAACTAAATTTATATTAAAAAAAACTAAATTTTAACTTAAATAAAAAATTGTACGTTAATCAATAAAATTTAAAAATATATTCCTATTATATATATCCTATTGTATTTAAAGTTTATATGATTTATCTATTTTTATTATTTTTTATTTATATATACGTCTACAGATATTAATAATCAATTTTAGTATTACATAGGATTTAAAAAAATAGATCAATAGGTCTTTCATGATTTAGTTCATATTGTAAATGTCAACCTTAAACAATTTTCGTAAATTACAAAAATAAAATATCAATTCATAGGTAATATATAGTATATAATATAATATGTAGGTATATATAATATTATACCTAATACAAGTGATATGCGGTTTTACGGGGAGGGGGGTCAGGAAGATTTGGTTCCCCCCAGACTCTGATTTTGGACTTTGAATTAGTTTTTTATTGACAGAAAAAAAAAAACGAAAATAATTGGAAAATTAGTACGAGTTATAATTCTATTTTTATACATGCCATATATACATTGTAAGGAAAATATTATATTATGCATGATATATAATATTACATATATCAAGTGGGAAAAACTGGAAAAAAAATTGGGAAAATTTAAGTAATATATTACGGTTTTCTTTTTCTGTGGACAACTTTTCTACTCTCAATCTTACTCCGATTTACAATAATTGAATGATAGTACTTTTTTTGAAAGAAAATTTTACTAGGAAGGTAATTCAGGAAGATCATTTTTAAATTTTTCCAGGAGTTTTCTCAATAAATACGAAAAACGGAAAAATAGGTACAGTATTAAACAAATAATATTAAAGAAACTATATAATACCTATGTGCTATGCATATTATTTTACCATAATATGATATATATATATAAGTTGTTGACAAAACAACACTATCAACCAAATTCCGTTCAGAAACGTTTTTTCATTAGCAATGGTTAATCATTGCTTACAGACATACATTAAATAACCTACAGCAGTGATTGCACTCGTCTCCATTATCCAAAGACAGCTTTTAAATTTTGTATTGAGATTAGATTAGATTATGTAAGTAAAAAAAAATAAATATTTTTTCTTACAGTGAAAGTTGGGAAATTTAAATTAAACTAATTCATGATCAATGAGAAAATATTTGTTTATGTTAAATATATGAGTAATATCAATGGACCCCTCCCCAGAAAAAATCCCTAAAACCGTCACTGTCCCTAGTTAAAAATCACTAAAACTCAATTAAATATTAGTGACAGTCAAACGATTTTGTTATTATGAGGGGAGGAGGGGGAATGAGGCAATTTGTTTACAATCATTGTTATTGAAATTATTAAAATATATATTACATTAGAGCTCCATATTTCACGTTAACACGCTTTCATGGTTTCGAATCTATAAAACCGTGAACCTAAAATATCCGTGTACACGTATATTTACGTATTTTCACTACGTATTTACGTAAATAACACTAAAACACTGACAATAAACTATTGTATTTACTTGCATAGTTGTATGCGTAAGTAAAAATTGTTTATTATTAATTCTATTAGTTAATTAATATTATTTTTATCTATTTTTTCTAAATCAATGATTAAACCTTACTTTCTTATGCCAGTGTTTGTTGATGGCATTTACCATTATCTATAATAGTAAAAAACCAGTATACGCTCCGTTAATATTTTTTTTTTTAATAATGATTACTCTAGGTATAAAGCAAAGCTGAGCAAGTTAACCAATTGAAAAGTTGGAGAAGTTTATTTTTTTATTTCATAAAAACATTTTTAGAAATAACTACCTTTATTTACGATAAATTAAAATTTTTTATTTAAAGAAAAAAAATAAGCTGTTATTTTTATATTCTAATTTGTTTTATTTAGTAAGTTAGAAGTTATCAAAAAAGTAACTTATTAATCAATTTTTTAACTAATTACTGACTGACTTTAATACAAGATAAATATAATGCATAATGGAATTATAGTATAAGGATATCTTAATAAGTTCAGAAAAATAATTTGTTTTTATTTTTTATGATATATTGCATAAATTTAGTTAGAATTTTGAATTACAAATAGGTACTTAGAGTACATGAACAACTTACATGAGAGTAACGCTATTTGTTGCGGGTATATGGTTTCAGAACTATTATTTTTATTCACAGTTTGGCCTTGAAAAAATATCATTATATCAGTAATAACAAGTCCTGCATATTGTATAACGCCAGAAACATTTAAACGAATCAGCATTTCATACTTCACATCATCACCCAGTTAATATCTATATCAGTTAGTACCTTGTTCAAGTAACAAAAAAAAGGTCTGATATTAACTGCTGTCGAGTGTGCCATTGTAGTAACTGGTGAGTTGGGAAGGTAAAACATAAAAATGTATTTAATTTACATATGTACTCAACGATAAATCATTGGTGATGAAACACGAATCTGAATAAAATTTGGTTAAATACGTTTTTAAATTCTATAATTCTTACGATTTTCGTAAGAAAAGCTACTACATTACGCTCAACTTTTTTTTACCACTAAGTACAACTTAAAATTTACCTTGTGTTAAAATGTCAAGCTAACATTATTATTCTTTTTTCCTTATGTCTCACGTTCATTCCCGATGTTATGCATTACATTCCTTCTTTTTGTGCACCTATAGTCAATTCCACAAAAGAACGGTACCGATTGCCGATCAAAACTGATCGTCGGCTGCGCATATTCCATCACATCGAACCACTACAACGAACTTTTGCGACGCGATGACCATTACCATTTATCGTTGTTTGTTTATATGTGATATACAGAACGTTAAAATTGTCTTTTTATTCTGACGTTTTACGTAAATAAATTTGTTTTAATTTAAAACTTAATTTTATTAAATTAACAGTAATATTAATTAATGTTATATTATATATAGTTAAAATTGATCAAGCACGAATGACCAATTACGGTAAAATATATTGCACAATAATAGTTAATTTCAGTACGCTGCACGTTATATAACTCGTCGTTGTAAACCCCGGCTGTTATGCTGGGGCTAAACGCGGCGAATATCGTGTTGTCTGGCTCGCTATCACGAGACGGATAAGTTCAATACTTTCGTCACGATTTTCTAAATTTTCACATTATATTTTACGATATTTTTGACATAATTAGGTTTCAGTTCCAAAGTTATTAATATAATTAAAAGTTTTCTATCCATATTTTCGTCCATCTTCAAAAATCTAGGGCGGCGATACTATATTTTTTCAATAATATTTCAGAATTATGTGCTTATGCTACTTTGATTTTTCAATTACGTCGTCAACAACCGATGGGAAACCTCTAATGAAAAAAATACTACCACATAATATATGGTCATCAATTTTTCATTTATTCAATGTATTTAATATAAATTATAATATTTTATGTATAAACGTCATAACAGACACGGAAAAGTAATTTGTGGACATGTCCCTTCCTTACCCCCCAATGGACGCCCATGGGTTGTAGGTTCGGAAAATTGGAGATGTAGGTTCGAGGTCACGCGATTCCGGTTATACTCGGATGAACAATTCTACTCATACAGTCGTACGATAGCATATTATAATATATTGTGTGGTTTCGTCCGGTAAACAGGTAGTGTTCTAACATTGCGCAATAAATTATAAACTTTTTGTATTTTATAACGTCCAATAGTAATCAAGGTATATTTTAAAATAAACAAATTGATAACGTTAACGTCACTATTTATATGAATATTATAGTAAATACTAATAACATAATTTGCCTATATCATATTATTATATTGTTGAGCAATTATTGACAAAATATTAGTCAAAACGTTATAATATATTACTCAACTGGGTACTCTATTTTAAGCTAAAATTGAAAGTGAAAATCTACTTTGTACACTATACCTACCTACATTTAAGTTTTAACTTAACTACTATACTAACTACTCGTAAATTAACTGGGTGTAAATTATTGTAAGTTAAACAATTTTAACGCGCTGATAGCGTTAGTTAAAAATGTTCAAATACCTACTTTGTTAAGACTATTTACTAATTTTATTTGAATACTATTCTAATTTCCATTGAATAAGTACCTAGTTGACCGACTATCCTAGACTTGCCGAAAACTGTGTAATTTTGAATGACAATGTTTCATCCTGTAGCTCCCTAATTATAACTGATTTCCTCCCGTTATCGTAATCTTTACCTGCTGAAATTATATAAGATGGAACTATTTGATCAAAATTTAAAATTATATATAAATTGTATACAATTGTCAAATTATTATAGTTTTGATTTTGATTTCTGTACAAATGATAAATGATAGGTATAGTTATAAATTATATTTCCCATAATTGTGTAGGTACGTATGGATTTCCATCATAACTAATACAATACCTAAGTACATCGAATTTATCAATGGAAGGCTCGAGTACGTGAAAGATTACGTATATACATTTAGATCAACGAATCAAACAAATAAATGAACATTTAAAAATATGTTAGACAAGATAATATTAGGACAACGGGCGAAAATAGCACGAAAAAAAATGAGTCGAAACCGCACGGGCCGAAAGTACACTGCATACCACCATTATAGCGGTGTATGAAGGTAAGACCTCCCTCTTTTAGGCCATTTAAAATTATATAACGGTTTCAGCCACAAATATCGACGAATGATAGCGGCATTGTTTTGAATACTTATTACGGTACACTATTGAACAACTTTTACGAATGTTTTATTTAAATATTGACCACAACACAAAGTAATATTAAACCAAACCGATTCGACACGTATACGACTCGTATATTATTCTCCAATATTCAAATAATGTATAGGTACCTACAAAAAACATAATAATTCCTGTTTATTTCCGAACACATAATGCCCATATAACACGAGACAAACAACATTTATGTTGATCGTCTAATCCCACGTACCGAACCATAAATACCTAAACGTTAAAAAACAAACAACAGTGGTGGTATTTTCGGTTTGTGACCTTTAAAAAAATGTACCTATATGAGTTGTGACAGTGTCGCATAACGTATCGATACAAATAATATATTTTGAATTACCTTCGCGAAGTATCCCCTCCAGTGTTTTTCGGACTTGCGGTGTGCTCTGTGGAACGAGCGACCTGAAACGCGGTATACTGCGTGGTTACCGCAGTTCAAATGTGGTACAACTACGTTTGTTCACACCGGTTGTCGTATTGTTTTTAGTGCGGTATTACACAAGAGCGAGATAAGCGAAATAGTCCGGCGACGTGACGTTCCGACAAACGACTGCGGTGTACTACTCGACGACGGCGAATAACGTCCGCGACCGCCGTGACGATGACGAAGTCGTCCACGCGAAGTCACTGGCTCTGCGTTCGACGTTCGTCGAACAAGAAGTCGCAAACGACAGCTGCATCAGAGCGCGCACGGTGTGTCGGTGTACGCTGTTGCGCCCAACCAATATCATATAATTATTTCACGAGAAAGGGACTCCCTAACTATACCCACACCCGGTCCGATCCGTCACTATCCCGACTGGTATAATGGAGTGTTACCGTAGACCGAAACAATATCGTCAATATTATACTATTACGTCCGGATTCTCGTATTTATGCCTACGATCGTTCTTTGTCCTGCGGTCGCGTGACTATAAATGTACGTCGGTAAAGTGCGCGCACGCTCGTTCGTTTTTGACGGTTCTCGCGAAGTAGAAGGGATAGGGGCGACTCGGAACGTCCGCTGCCTAATGGCACGCCGCGCCGCCGTAGCGGCGCCGCCTTATGGTTCGCGTCCGTTTATTATTATTATTACACTCTGTTGCGACACACAATATACGCGACGAGTACGTTCACGACGCCCGCGTCATCCTGCTGCAAATACCGCCGCGCCGTCGCCGCCGCATGCGTTTACCTATACGCCTCGCACCCGTCCCGATGCCACTGTCGGGTGGCACATACACAACGTGACGGTCGGTCGGTTTTCGAGTCGCCGGATCTTTCGGAAACGCACGAAAAAATAAATCGACGTACTGTTATTATCGTTATTGAAGACGCGGACGTTGTCGACAAAACAGATAAACCTAGTCGAACCCCCGATTGAAACGGACTCGCGTTGCCGTCAAATAATATTAATTGAAATATTACTCCGACCGAGTCCATCGGGACCACCCATGCGTCTTTGTCGTACGCATCTCCTAATCACCGTCCTAGGAATACACGCCCGCGAAAAACCTGTAACCGCGGTCGCGGTAAATGACGCACCGGCGAACGAGAGACGCTGCACCGGAACTGGGACCGTCTGAATGTAAATATTGTTGACTTATTACTTTCCTCAGTTGTACATATTATTATGTATATTCTGTTTACGTGTATTTCTCCCTTGATGTCGATTGTACTTCTACTGTAGGTTTTTCCACCAATAACCGGCTTCACCGAGGCAGATAAACACATAAAACATCGGAGTTATTATGTTATACGATCGTTTCACTACTATAATTTTGCATTGATTTTATTATTTTGAACAATACAATTTTTTCTTTTGTAAGAAAACCGTGACCTAAGGCCCTCCACCCCAGACATATTATTTCTCTAATTTTTTTATCCTGAATCCTGATAATACTGTAATATTAGTTTAAACAAAACACGACTTTTCTCAAAAATTTGAATGTACTGTTGGATTCTATCATTGAATTTCGGATGAGTCCAGAGCCCACGGACCGCTCCCCTCTGGCAACGTGTTTGCCACTAGAGTATGTCATCACTAACGTTGAAATTAGGAAATTGACATAAACGTTCATCTAATATTTAACCGTTTTGGAAAAAGCGACAATGTGATAGGGTGTTGGGATTTTTTTATTCAAAGTATAGGTAATTAATTATACTATGTGTGTATTTTTAAAATTGAGAGTAACGTGTATGTTGTTACAAAATAGTGAACTCCCAGGTTTTTACTCCGGATCTGTGTCTGCTTAGTAACGTTACCAGCTATTCTGTTTTTGATAGATTTATACAGTGAGATTCGTTTCTTAATTTTTTTTTTTTTACCGATTTAAAAATGGTTATTAGGTATAAAAATAATTTTCAAAAACCATTCATTTGAAAGAATATTACGTCAGCAGAGCGATCTCTAATGCTAGTTCTATTTTATCACGGACTATATTTGATGCAGACATATTTTAGATTCTGAGTGGGGTGAGGAATGTATTGGTTTTATAACGATGTTTATTTATTTATTTATTTTTGGCTTTGCAAAACTTTTCTATCAGAAATTTTGCTCCGATTTTTAAGTGTAGTACTTTTTCCGAAAGGAAATTGGACTGGATTGGTACTTTAAAGAGACCATTTTTTAATTTTCCCAGGAGTTATCGGAAAAACTGGTAAAATTTACGAAATGTATCATTTCCAAATCGTAAATATTAAGGCCTTTCAAAACATGTACAACTGAATTTTGCTCAGAATCGTTTTTCGTTAGTAATAGTTAATCGCCGCGTACAGATATAAATTAAATCTCCTCTCTATTTACCCAACTTTTCGCCGACAACAGTAGCCCACCCATCGTGCGAGGTATGTCCGTTTGTTTTTTAAATGTAAATCCAGTATTTTCAGTTTTTAAATACCTACCTATAACTATGGTTAATTCGGTTTTTTGGCACTTGCACGTTTGTGTGCGCTGTACACAAACCATACCAGTTGCAACGAGTGTAATAGTAGTGGCATGGGTCATGAAACGTACAGGTCTGTGACATGGCTGTAATCATATAGTATATACAATACACTGAGAATAACTTGATAAGATGACATAGATGCTGTGGAGGTTTTGTTGAACCACGTTGATAACCACATTTGCAATCTCATTTATTTGTTCGTTAGAATTCTTTGATTTTGATTTTTCTTGAAATAGTTTCCCGTGAAACCGGTTTTAAAATATTTCAATGCTAACCACACGGAATTGAATGATGATAATAATAATAATAATGTGTACAATGTACGGCCCTAAAGCGGCACGGCGTACACTCATCCCCGAACCATTCGTAAAATTTATTTTTTTTTTACCTACCTATGAATCCTACTATTATAAAACAAAATGTCTTTAATGATTTGTTTCTTTTTTTTTTTAAATTCATATTTTGCTGAATTTCGAGAAACTTATACATTTGTAATTCGAGTAAAAATAGTGTAAGTATTATGTTAGTAGCCTGTGTTGATATCCCTAGCCCAGATTCTGCACCTGCTCTAATAACCCTCTAGTTATGAGCATAGCTATTATGGCTTAAAATGGTTAAAATCAAACCTGATGTACCTACTTACATAAACTAAAGGGCGTATTTTTAATTTCGGCTTCGGGTGGCCCATAGTTATAATAGTTACGTTCTTAGACATTTTTTGGAGAGGATTCAATATGAAATATGTATGTAAATTCTAATCGCTTAACTATAACGAAATGATAATACAGCAATAATTAGTTTTTACGTATGATAAAGTTCATCATATAATAGATACCTTGCTTTTATCGTACTTAATATATACCTAGCCACAGCTTGGAAACCTAAAATCACAACGGTATGTCTACCTATAGAGTAATGTTGCCACCGCAGGAGCAACCGAAGCAGTTTCCTCCGGGCGTACAATGTCTTATTTTTTTTCGGGAGCTTACATGCGTAGTTAGGTGTGCTGGTGATTTTAAAATATTTGATAAACAAATTATGGTCAAAACCGAATCAGTATAAGCGTGCCCGTAAAGCAGGCCAAATAACTATAAAAAAAAATAGTTGTTCATACCAATTTAATTGTCATCTGCAGTGGCCAGTGACAAACTGATAAAGCTAATAATATTAGAACCATATTAATGAAATATGCATAGTAAATTTAATCAATGACCATACTAAACAATTATTACTATATACAAATTATTTCGTATTTTTATGAAAATGAGTTAGATATGTATGACATATGAATACAAAATACAAATATATATGTACAGTGCTCAAATTGGGAAAATTAAAGTAGAGAAATGAGAAACTCTGCGAAGCCATAAAAAACGTCAAAATTCCACTTATAAGACACTATACTAGAACAGTAACTGTTATATGACCATGGCCGTTTCTTTTATCAATTTATAAATGTCGACGTTTGTTATATAAATCTCAATAAACAACTATAAAATAAAAAAAAATAAAATAAATGCATAAAATCAAAAAAAAAAATGTTAATGTTATATGCCCACCATCCTATCATTCCAGTGTGATAAAATAGTAGGAGGGGTGTACAAAAAAAATAAATTGTAGAGGAACTCCTCCATTCGAGCACTACCTATTTATAATGTGAAAAAAAAAATAATAATAATAAACATAATAACAGCCACAGCACTGTAAGTTTTGGTTACAAATAGTATAATTCCTATTTTCTATTATATTGAGGGCGAAAAAATAATTCATCTTAACTTAACTTTGTTGAAGGAACATTTATCTAATTCGAATTTTTGTTTTTGCTCCTGAGGAGATGTTACATCAAACTAGAGTTTCAGTATGCTCTTTTAAAACAAATATGCAAATGCTTAAAGTTCCGAGCCTTGATTACTTAGGTAGGTACCTAATCGTTAAATGTTTTTGATATTTTATTTTACTGGTATATTTTATCAAACTGACGATCTGGGTAAAATTCTAATGAATTTTCAAAATCTCTTATATATTTTATTGGTACATTTTCCTCTTCAACAAAATTAATGAAATCAATAAAATATATAAGAGATTTTGAAAGTTCATTAGAATTCATCTATTTCTATTATCTACATCTATTATTGAAAGAAGTCATCGATTTTAACTTTATAAAGGTATTATGTATTTAATTATCTTATAGTATCTTCTAGGTGCATTATTTTTATCAGCATAGTGCACAAAGTTTATAAATTCGATTATTTCATCTACCAGGTGATCCATTTAAGTGAGTACACTCATTATCTCGGAAAATATTAACTTTTCTGGAATTTGTTTTCTAAAAAATTTAAAATCAAGCAGCTATACAATTTTATATTTAGGTTATTTTTTTGTCATCCAAATTTTAGGGGGTTAAATCAGTAGTTACTTTTGATTTACAAATAGCAACCTATATTAAAAATTCCTTAAATAGATGGATTATTAGTTAAAACAAATTATAGAGTTGACAATTGTGATTTCCGTCGATCCGTTGACGAGTTATTCCACTTTTAAGTTTGGATTGGAGGAGAGTAGTGGAGTATCATTTGTGTAGAGGCGCGCAAGGTGTTGATAATGCTTGATTTTACCCTCAAAATTATGGGGGGAAAAAAACATAAATATAAAACTATAGATCTGGTTGTTTTTTAAATTTTCTAGAAATCAAATTCTGAAAAAAAGTTAATACTTTCCGAGATAATGAGTGTACCCACTTAAATGAATTACCCGGTATATTGAAGTAAGTAGTTAGGTAATTGTTTACAAATTAATCGATTTAAAAAAATAGATTAATCATTGCAATCAATCAATTGCAGATTAATCAATCAATATAAAATATTTTAAGAATAATCGATTTTTTTTTTTTGCCGCACCCTTAGGTCTATTTTAAGTGAAACCTTATGGAAATTGTACAGAAATATGCTTAGGTGACTATTATATTAATTTTAGGTAACACTTAAACAACTACGCATACGAGTTATTATATAATAAAATTAACATAAGATTATAATTTAAATTATAATTAATTCTATAATTTAAATTTTTCTCAAGGAGATTTTGTCTACTCATAAACAAAATGTACAATACGAATTTATCTATCAGTCTCTCATTAAAAATATCGAGATTATTCACGAAGTCTGAGCATTAATTCTTTTATTTCCAACAATTGAATCACACATATAAATACATACATACACACATACATTCCTAATCTCCTAGGTGGGAGAACCGGGAACTATAATATGCAAAATACATAAACCGCGAAGTTTATTATTATGAACTAAAAAGCAGTTTATTTTTATAACATCTTTGTATTATAATATTATTTTACGAAAATACAGATGTTACGTAACATGATTCATTTAAATGATCAGCTTTATTTGGCGACCGTCCATCACTATTCACTACCATTATGGTATACATACTGCATAATATATTAATATTATAGGTAAGTACAATGTTCTCAATCAATTCGTTTAAATTATTATCATTGATTACTGATTAGTAATGATTCTATACCATTTCCGAAATTGATATGCGTATCAAACATTTTGTTAATTTTCGTATCGTCAATGATAATCGGTTTTGGTTTTATTTAGATTACAGAAGAAAATCGAGAATTTTACTCGAATGTACAAAAATACATGTTTAGGTATCAAATAAGTACTGTTTGGCACCTGCCGTTATTATGCGTTTAGAAGTTGTACACCTCGAGAAAAAAATTTCATCTCACTCTCGTATCTAAATCAGGGACAGATCCAGGACTACATAATGGCGAAGTTATTTTCTCATAAGTCATTTAACAAAAATTATTATTGGTTTTTCCATTCACGTTATTGTTTTCCTTTTCATAGTATGAAATAAAAATGTTTTTCTAAAAATATATTTTTGATTTTTAAGTATCTGTAAACGTATATTCTGAAGATTATACACTATTTTATTATACTACCATGTTAAATTAAATGATTAATAACTAAATAATTGTATCCATTTGAGGCATTTGACAGATTATTCTTAAGTTTTTAGTTTTATACTTATTATACTTATTAAATAGTATAATATATAATGTAATTATTTTAATTAAATTCGAATTTGGGATTCTTGAAATGATAGATTTAGGATCGCGTTTCTTTTTTTTTTATAAGTATGGGTTATTTGTAATGATAGCGTATAAAAAAAAGTAAAATACGTATTTAATTTAACTAAGATTTTTTTTTAGTATAAGTACAATTTTTATTAGTTTTTTAAAAAAAAAAAATTTTAGATAAAACAATTACATAAGTAAGCGTTCATGATATTACACATTTCATTCTATATATAATATATTTATATGTACTTACCTTAAAATTGTCTAACAGTGTGAATTAAAATATGAAAAAATAATTTTTACTATAATTATATAATAAGGTTATGTATTCGTAAATAGAAAAAATAAACCATAAAAACGTAGTTTAATTATTAAAAGTATTGTGCTCGATGTGTGCATAAACTTAAAACGACTGAATATTTTTAAGTTACATTACTAATAAAGAAACAGTTGTACCTATAAAGTTATTGATATTTATAGTTATGTAACCTTTCGATAAAATCATTTGTGAATAATAGGCACAAAGTTCAATCAGTAAATACTAAATACCTATATTTTAATTTAATTAATAATAATAAAAAATTGTTTTCTGAGTGCCACCAAATTATACCTGATTTATGTATTAGATTTTATAAATCATAATATTGATATGGTATTATAAACCTACACATAAAATGATTATTATTTTATTACATAAGCCTTATAAATAATAATGATGTACTGTTACATAATAATACCAAAAAATATCGATAGGTTGTATACTTTTATATACTTTTAAAATTTAATCGTTCTCATACCAATTTCGTATATCTTATATGACAATTATAACTACCTATGAGATATTTATATAAATTATTGTAAAATACATGTTAATGAGCACGAATTGCAATACAGGACGTAATACGTAACACGAAGATTTAATTTTTAAATTATTATCATTTAAAAACTAATATTCAAAAAATGTGGGGAGGACTTCGGTCGACCGAATTCTACTATCATTTATCATAATATTTAATGTAATTTTATATTCTTATTGTAATAACTCATTGAGTGATGAATGATGATAATATTATACTTAATATTTTACTAATAGATTTCGTACATTTTCCTGTTTTTCTTCCGTTTTTTCGGTTTTTCAAATTTGATGAGAAATCTTCTGAGAAAATCGAAAAATGACATTCCTAAAGTACCTCCCCAGTCTGATTTCCTTTCAAAAAAAATTTTATCATTGTAAACTAGAGCAAGATTTCTGACAGAAAAGTTGCGCATAGATAAAAAATAAAAAAATAAATATCTTTGTAAAACCATAAGCTTTTTTGTTCCACTCAGAATCTAAAAGAGTCACTGTTCGAGCGAATCGAAAAAAATTTGTTTGGACCCTACCTTTAGATCTCCATATATCTCTGTATACATGAATAAAGCGTACACCTACGGTTTATTTTAGCAATACATCACTGGGCATAAGTTAATTTTATCTAATGTCAACTTCCCTCTTTATTTTTAGGTCTAAATTGCATACATAAAATTGTATTTATTTATTTACAATTATACAAAATTAACTTAAATCTTTTTCCCTGGAACCAAAAATGTATTAATTAATTAATTTCATGAACCATAATCAAATAAATCATATAATTCATAAATCAAATAAGTTTCAAATTATTTTCATGTTTTTAAGAATGTAATATTTTAAAAAATACTAATACCCATATAAAATATTACAATCGATAATTTTAAAGCATTCATCTGTTAAAAAACAAAAAAAAATAATATTAATTAAACACTTATATTTTCTTACAACAGATGTTCACTAATCACTAATAAGAATATAATAAACAGATGATTTTGCCAATGTTTTATAATATTTATATCAAAACTATATTGCCAATTAATTTAAAATTGTTAAGAAACTATAGCCAGTACAGGTATACGAGTGTACAAATACATGATGCCAATAATTAAAAAAAAAAAAAAATCTTGTGTATTAAATTTATATACCTAGTTGTATTGAGACGAGACAACAGAAAAAAGTATGTCGTTTTATAATAATGTGCGCTAAATACGAGTATAAAAGTCACTACTTCAATATCGTACCCACAATGATCGCTATATTGCATCTTGTTACATAATATTGTATTGCATAACAATATTATTTTACTTGTATATTTTCCTGTAAATTAACATGCATATTGAAAAATATTTGCAATAGATGCCTACAGTCATAAGCATAACATTGCACTATATGTCTATATTATAATAATGCCACTTGCAATGAAAACTATATATATACAATATATTATACATTATTATACACAATATTATTTACAGAGTGTCCTATGACTATATACCTACCCATTGCGATATCTTGGAAAGTATTAAATTTTTTGGGAATTTTTTTTTCAATTTAAGAAACAAAAAGCTCATTAATGTTATACTAACATTATTTCTACTTGTCTTTATTTTGGAGGTTGAACGAATAGCTACTTTTGATTTTCAATTGGCATTCTATATTAAAAATTAAAGGATATATGGAATATATTAAAATATTTGATGGCGGCACCAGTGGTATGATAAAATAATATAATATATAGTAATACATATTTATTATTTTTTTTAACTTTATAATTCAACGTCCGGAGAGCAATTTAATAAGAATGTATAATGATAATAAAAAACAATACAGTGAACATAAAATTTAAGTATTCCGAAATGGGTGTTAAAACACAAAAACACAAATTAAAATTAAAGTTGAATAGTATTGGCAAGGTGCATAATACGGTGGAGTGGGTGGTTTTAATATAGGAAGTGGAATGGATCGGAAGTGTTATAAGATGTCCGGTGTAGGCACGTAGAAAGAGATGCTGTATAGAAGATCAGTCCATGATGTCGTATTCGAAGAAAAAAAAACAATGGTCGATTTCGGTAAGACGTAAGGAATGAGTAGGAATGTTAAAAGTCTCGGGGGGAAGGAGGAGGGTAGTAATCATGTATGTGGGAGGTGAGCGATGTTTATAGAATAGCTATGTGATAAGTAAGAATGAAACTTATTTTAGATGCGCTCTATTCTAAATTTAAAATTTTACTATAATAAATAACTTTTGTAAAATAGATTTTTGTTTGGATATGGTCTTTTATTTTTTTACAATTTTTTGAAGTTTTCGCAAATGTTCGTAAATATTATTATGGCTTATTATATATTATAATATTATTTAATTAGTGTAGTCAGAGTACATCAAATAACAAGGATTTTGTTTCCATGAGTTAATGGACTCATGACTATGGATTAAATACCTACTATAATAGATTTTAAATTTACAAAGAACATAAAACACCATGCCTAAAAAAAAGACGACCAAATATGTTTTAAAAATCTATTTTATAAAATGACTATAATTTTTTTTTTTACCTATAGTAAAATTTTAAATTTTTTATTTTAATTTACTCTGCCTTAAAAGTTAATATAATAACTGTACCACAAAGGCATACTAATTGTTTAAAAAAATATACATATTAAAAATAATGAATAGAACAAAAATTATTTCATTTGTCAGATCATCATGCCCATCGTGGGACATTCTGTATATAAAAATAATTAGTAGTACCTAATCAATAATACGAGTAATGAATAGGTTAATGTTTATATTCCATTTAGAATATTATATAGATTGTATAATTAAATAATTTAAAAGCTACAGTTATAAGCTTAGTTTTAATTTATGGGTGTGGCGGAGTGGGGCTCTTAAAATTATTAATATACAAATAGTACGGAACGACTATAGCCTATAGGGGGTCGAGAACCTTTTTGTGTAAATGAACCATTTTTTATTTTTAAAATTAATAAGATAAAAAAAACATTCTATAGTACAAAAAACAATTATAAACAAAAAAATTATATAATAATAGGTACATAAAATAATAATAGTATTATAATATAATATATAAATAAAAATAATAAAGTTTACTAAGCAATTTCATTGGGATTGATAGCCATTAAAAACAGAATAATAATAATACGTCTTAAATATAGAAAAACTATTTCACTAATACATTATTATTATTATTGTTAATATCGAATTTTCATTTATATTTTATGAGTCTAGATCTAGAATGTCTAGGTATTGATACATTTTCCAAAGAGCTACAGATTTTATGTTAAGGAACCACAGGTTCCTGACCCCTGGCCTATAGATATACGTACCAATATAAAATTATACCGCTGTCAACTATCTATACTAATACCATAGATTATGTATATTTAATCTATATGCTAATACTCATCTGCCTAATATAACAAAAATCCGATATAGGTAGTAAAAACAAATAACATTACTAACCAATCATTTTTTTTTTTTTAACAGTAACACTGTAGGTAGGTATTTAGTATTTTTTAAGTCTTCTAGTCGTTTTATATACAACTAAGTTCCAATTTATAAAGAAAACGGAAATTCTTTTTTCCCGAAAAATTAAAGTTTAAGTGCATGTATAAAATATAAATTGTCATGTTTAATATAGTGAATAAACTGAGTATTGATTATTATTTACTGATTGGCCAAAATGTTTTACTTTTCAATAATGAAGTTTCGTGTATGATTTTATTTGTAAAAATGTTGGACTGATAACATGTATAGATTATAACTTATGAGAAAAACTTTACTTGATTGATTGCATGCATTTTTAAATTCCATGTAAATGTGTATTAAGAAAATATTAATTGTATAACGATTTTTTTTAGATTCCGAGCATAGCTATTGGTTTTACAATGCTGTTTATTTCTTCTTTTTTTTCTTTCTTTGTTCTAGTCTGTGGGCACGTTTTTTCCTAGAAAACTTACTCCGGTTTTTACGTGTAGCAATTTTTTTGAAAGCTCAAGTAGTCTAGATTGTACTTTAAACAGGTCATTTGATTTTCGATGCCATTTTTTAAATAAAAACACTTAAGTGGGAAAAAACGTAGGAAAACGTACAATATCACGATTTCATTATTTTATAAAAACACGGATGACATTTTCCACCAGGAAAAATGATTTAATCGAAAAATTACAAAATATCTTTTTTGTTGCCTTTTTAATTTACTTTTTTTACGGTATTATCATTAAAACTTTTGAGTCACTTTTGATCTTTTAAGGAATATTAATTTTTGGGCATTTTTTGTTGTAATTCGGTTATAAATACACGCAGAGACCTGAAACTTGGTAATAATTCTTATATTAGATTTACCTAGACATGGTAAAATGTTTAAAACCATCAAACAATTTTTTTTTTTTTTTTTAATAAGCGTTTTGAAATCAAATTTAAATGAAAATCGCAAAATAATTTACGGCACTTCAAATTATGTATTACCTAACTGCGTTCGGAATAGTCTTTCGACATGCAATGGTTTTCATTGCTTACAGATATAAATGAAATAACCTTCTGTATCTTACCTTCCCAACTTTTCACCTACAATAGTGGCTGCCAGTGGCGTATCCAGAATTTTTTTGGGTAGTGTTAAAAAAAATATAACAAATGAAATTGTTATGAATTTTGTGTGTATTTTAATCATACATTAAACATTTAATTACTATTTTACAGCTCAAGTTTTATAAAAGTTGAAATATTTCTATTTTTTAAAAATTATAAATGCATAATCATTTTTTGTTTTGATATTTAGTAAGTTAATCTATAACATTATTGTTATCTACGTTGATATCACGATGAATATATTTTAGTAAGGCTAAACCATTTAAACATATTTGTCCCGAAGAATTTCTCAAATATGTTTTTAAACGACGGAGTGTTGAAAACGATCGTTCTCCCATGGAAGTAGACATTGGAAATGTTATGAATATTTGACGAAGTTTAGATATTACTGGATAAACATCTATACTAGTTTGGTAGTATAATTCAATAATATTTTTGTTCTTGAGTTCGGAAGATGTTAAATTTGAATATTTAGTGTACCACAAAACTTATTTTCTATTTAATATATAATCATTTAAATTTGAATCGTTAACTTCATCAATTATATCTTGATATATTTCTACTAATTGTTTAAATTTACTTTTAATATCTTCAGATATTTTCATTTCTATTTTAGGTAAAATAAAATCAAAATTATACAAAACAATCATGTGCGATATAAATCTTTCGTTCAATTGGTTTAAAAAATTATTTATAAAAGGTAAAAATACTTAAAAAAGTATTCTGGATCATCTGATTTAGATTAACGTAGCAAATTAATAGTAATATATCAATTTTCCCAGATAGTCATTACGGATAAAAAAAATTGTTGAAACTTCACATCACAATTTTCTCTAATATTCTGAATATTATTTTGAACATTAGCAATTTCTAATGCAGTTTTTAAATCAACATTTACTGTTTGATGTTATTGGTTAAGTGGAAAATTTATGGAAAGTATTTTCACTAAAATAAATAAAGCTATTTAAAATTTTAACTGTTTTATCGCAGTAAGAAGATTACTTACAGAACTAGAAGTGTTAGAATCTGTCCAAAGTGTAATTTTATCTAGTAATTTTATCATGGTTGGTTGAAGTTCTTTAAATAATATAACTGCATCATGGTGATCAACCCATCGAGTTACATATAGATTTTTTAGTTTAAAACGATTAGTCTGTGGATATACTTTTTCTATTGAAAATTCCAAAACACTTTGTCTTTTTGAACAACCGAAAGTGATAACCCATAACCATAGATCTACCTATTATTATAATATACACACTACACTGGACTGGACTTGTATATTATTAATTTGTGTTATTTGTGTAAACTGTTAAGTGTTATAACACTTAATTCTTTTTTCAAACTATATATTAATATTTTTTTTTTATTTTGAAGACATTTCAGTGAGGGTTACAACCCCCTCCCTATATACGTTACTGGTGGCCGCTCCTATCCCCAGTACCAGCTCTTTAAAAAAATTTTGAAAATTTTTTAAATCAAAATCAAATTTTTAACATAGGTTACAATTTGAAAAAACAAAGTTGGTATTGTAAAAGATACTTCTTAAATGTTGTGAAAAATCGAATTATTCAAAAATATCGGCTTAAACTACACTTAAAAATTACATAAATCAGAATTTGAATAAATTCAAAAATTTAACAAAAAAAATGGGATGAAAACACTTTATGAATCACTGTGTATATTTAAATAAATAATTTATAATGAATTTTCATTGTAACTAAATATTATTTTATAATATTATTATAATATTTGATCATATTAATTCAAAATGCAACATGCGACTATGTAATTATTAAATGTAGGGTTATATAATATTATTATTTGTAGTTATTAAAAATGATTTACTAATTTTGATGGTTCGCTAAAGAATTTATTAATATTATGTTTTCGATATTAAAATATTTGAACTCAATGTTTTTTCGTATCGTTTTATATGTTTAGGTATCTATAGTATAAAAATAAAATGATCGGTACCAGGGTATTATGCAGATTATAGGTACGTCTATTTACTTAGTATGATAATTCATAAAATATTGAATATTACTTAGGTAGGTACATCATATAATATAATGGTGTACAAAGGTGTGTCATGATATGATATATGTAAAGATAATTTTTGCAACAGATTTTTGTATGTATTCACTTATAAATTATATCTATAGGTATTAGGCACCACTTATATACACAGAACGTTTTATATGCGTACAAGAGCCTATGTATAGAAAGTTTATCTTTTTTTTTAAGCCGAAAATTATATACTTTTAGGTATTTTACTAGTATATAACGTTTGAATTACTTATATAGTTCTATAACTTTTATGTAAACTGCAGTTACTACAAAAATCGTTAATGACCTAAACCTGTAAAATAATATAATAATAAATCTATTTATTAGATAATATACCTATAGGTATATAATTGTTTAACCCTTACGCCTATATTATGATATCATATGCTTTATTTGTTTAATGTCATTATTGACTGGGTATTGGTAATTTATAGCAATAACAACATGTACACCGAATACTGTACGATACCTAATCGTTAATATTTATTTACCCATGACTTTTACGATATTATTATGAATACCGAGCTAATTTATTTATACTTAAAACAAATAACTGCATATTACATGAAATGTACTTATATGTATTTTTAAGCAAAGTACGAATTCCTGAACCTACATTAGTACATTACTGATACACACTTTTTTAAATTTATATGTCTCTCCCGTTAAATTTTTCTTAACATACGCCGTAAATTCCAACTAAATTTTAATGTAGGTATGTTGTAAATGTATATTTATCTTGTAGGCGTAGTTAGTTTAAAAATATAATTATTTAATATCCTTTATTAAGTTTATTACCTTGTTTTTGTTTTCGCTGCAGATTTAGTTTAATTAATTTGTTTCTAGTATAGTCGGTAACCGTTAGTTGTTATGTGGATAAAATGTATATTAATGTGTTCATCAGTTTTCATTCTCCAATGTGGTATTTATGGATTCTATTAGTAAAGTTTTTGTGTAAGTTTCCTTGTATAAAATAGGGAGTAGGGATAACACATCTGCATTCAGATTCCTTCCAGCGAGTGCAGCAGGCGGCTAGTGAGAATCCGTCTCCAGTAAACATACTTATTACTCATATAGTATAATATTATACGTTATATTTTAAACACACTTTCGCTATAGTGCCATGTAATATATTTTTTTTAAATGTCTTCCCTTTTTTTTTGGAATAATAAGTTATGCCAAACACAGAATAGAAATGAAATAATTTATCTTTTTAATACATAGATAATTAATCTTTTTTTTTAACTTGAACTTGTTTATTTGGCACTTGGTCATATTATTCAAGTTGTTGGAATATTGTATCGTTGTCTACGTAGTATACAGGAAGGTAATGACATGACTACATGAGTGATGAACACTATTATGAAACTATACTGCCGTTCGTCCGCATTTGTATAGTTTGTTGAAATAATAAAAACTGAATATATATAAGAAATAAAAATAAACAAACAAGTCAGCAACGACTCGAATAATATTCAAACGTACCACGTACGTATGTGCAGTGTGCACTGTGCAGTCAATAGTATCCATTAAAACGCGGGCCAAATGTTAAGACGTATTTGAATATTTTGTATGTGACGTTACGGAACACACAACTTCAGTCACTTGCCAACGCGATAGTATATTATCATCTCTGATCCAAAATATAGTATTATTATATATCTGAAAATCGTGTTGTTGAAACATTGCACTATTCACTATTCAGTATCTTCAATACGTATCTTTGATACAATTATATCTTGCATCTTATATCACGGTACAGTTTTGGAATTATATAGAGTATCTTTTATTGCGATAGTGACATCAATGTACCTATCTATAGAATCTATAGTCAATAGTTTTCAAATTGGGTGCTGCGATCATTCACTAAGTGTGCCGCGGTCTTTTAAAATATGTTTCTATAAATTGTGACGGACCACTGGTTGTCGTAAATCTTTTGATTATGATTTAGTTGAATATGATGCAGCAATTTTGTCTTAGTTCTAATTTTGTGTTAAAACATAGACAATGATCAAAAAAAAAGTCACAGTGTGTCAGTGTACCGTGAAAATGTTATAAAGAGCGAAATGTGAAAACCTCCAATCGCCCTTGGGGATCGAGTCTTTGCAGGATTTGCATACATACGAGTATATTATTTTATGAAATTGACACGCAGAAGTATTTTGCTATTAGAAACTCAACTGCGTACGGTATTACATAACGTCTTGTGCTCGTATTCCGCATTCTTAATATTATTTCTATCAAAATGATACTATTATTATGCCTAGATAAGTAAAATGCAAAAGAGATATCTAAGTAACAATAGTTACTCGAGCCAATCAAATTGCACAACAGAGTATCGTTACAAACGTTACAGTATATACTATTACTATTTACTATAGCACTAATATCAGAGCCCAGATATCAATGCAAACTGCATTTTTTATTTCGTATGCACTATAGGATTACTCAGTATTCTGAGCAAGTATGTTGTATGATGTATTCATTTAGATTCGTGTAATAGATATTTCAAAAATGAAACTTTTAGGTTCTGAATGCAGCGAGAAATATTGTATTGGTTCTTCTATGATATGTGCTTTTTTAATTTTAATTTTAATTTTTTTCTATGTTTGCAAACTGCTTTTAAACCGAAAATCTTACTCCAATCATAAAACGATAATAAAGATTTTTAATAACATTTTAGATATAGTATGTATATTGAAAATGAAGATAGAATAAATGATTACATTTTCGTGAGTAGAAGGTTCATTATTTTTTCTGAAAGAAAATATTCTCTAGTTAATACGCAAAATGTTTGTTTATTAATTGTCCGTCATAATTGTCTAATAATTGGGGTAAAACGTAGAAAAAACGGAAAAGTTTACGGCATTTTGTTTTTTTGTATTTGGTTTTCACAAAATACTTATATAATAGTCTTTTGTAGAAGTTATTTATAGGCATTTTACGTTTCAAGTTTTTTTTTAGTTTTTATTTGGTTTTATGTGGATTAAATTATTTTGGCTATACTTGAAAATTTTACACGAGGTTCATCATAGGTTGTACTTAGTGTTAAAAAAATAATTTTAACTTAATTTAGTCAATTTTTATAAACGTTTTAAGTTCAAATTTAGACGAAAATCGTGAAAATTATAGTATTTCAAAACATGTATACAACCAAACTTTGTTCAAAATCATAAAACGTTAGCAATCATTTATCATTGCATATTCTAAAGATATTAAAATAACTATAAATTCTACTTTCTCAAATTACAAGTGACTAGTCTATATTTTTTTTCACTATTTACCATTTTAACCAGTGGTAGCGAAAACAAGTCAATGGGATTTTCAGCTTTTTTCTTTGCAATTCAGTGAAATATGTTATAAAGTTATTATTTTTAATAGATAAGTACTTGATTTTAGATTACATTTTATTGAAATAATATCGGTGTTTGGATGAGGTGGTCCAGAGGATCTGCCCTTCCCCCTTTACTAAAAGGAATGTAATTCCATACAAGAATGCCAGCAAACCTTGCCGGTATAATAGGCAAATCATACACCTAGAATAACCATACCCCCGGGTACGATTATGCTAGAATTATCATACCCCCTCGTATCATAATTCTAATATTTAAATGCCCCCTCCCCCCATTTACAATACCTTACAGGGAATTATGAAATTCCTGGAGTATTTAAACACCATAACTCGGTAGTTTTTCAATGTACTTGTGCGGGATCTTCACTAATACACATTCCGGGTGATCCATTTAAGTGAGTATACTCATTAAAAAAAAAAATCGATTATTCTTAAATTATTTTATATTGATCGATTAATCTGCAATTTATTGATCACAATGATTAATCTATTTTTTAAAATCGATTAATTTGTAAACAATTACCTACCTCAATATACCGGATGATTCATTTAAGTTGATGCACTCATTATATCCGAAAGCATTAACTTTTTTCCGGAATTTATTTTCTAAAAAATTTAAAATCAAGCAGCTATACAATTTTATATTTATTTTATTTTTTGTCATCCTTATTTTAGGGAGTAAAACAACTACCTACTTTTGATTTTCAAATAGCAATCTATATTAAAAATTCCATAAGTAAATGAATTATAAGTTAAATAAATTATAGTGTTGAAATTTTTGATTTCTGTCGATCCGTTGACGAGTTATTCTACTTTTAAGTTTGGATTTTGGATTGGAGGAAAGTAGTGGAGAATGCACAGCCAACCCATACACAAATTACAAAAGTGGTCTTTAAAATAATCTCCTACAAATTAAATACATTTTAATTATATACATATTTTATCCTAACAATGTTGTCTTATTTGTTTATAACTAGATACGAAAAAAAATAACTCGATGGTCATATTTTCTTTTTGTTTGTTTCGATAACTATATAATAAAAAGGGTAATATTATTATTTTCGGCGATGTAGGTTAATGCAGTAACTATAGTTGCCTATAATAAAAAAAAAATGTCAACAACTATGGGACACTGACTAATATACTATAATACTTATCTACCTAATCTACGCATAATATAAAATAATAGACAAAATAAAAAAAAGCACAAAAAGTAGTGTGAATAATATATAAATGTAGATTATCGATGATATCGAATTAATTGATAGATAGCCATAGGTTAAGTAATTTATCAATTTATCATTATTTATAATTTGTATTTTTTTTATCAAATATCTATGTTATATAAATGTAATATATTTGTATTAATTGAAGGGGTCAATAACTAATTTGCTGTTAGGTACACAGTTAAATTGATAAAATATGCTTACATACATTACATCAATTACCTATAGCCTCTGACCTCAGGGTTAATTAATCCAGTTTAAGGTTTTTATAGTATGCCGGTATGCGTATAGATACTTTAAAAATAGGACATAATGTACAAAATTATATTTTATATTAAAAATATATTTTAACACACAGAAAAAGTAATTTTTTTTTTAGAACCCTCTCATTATTTAATTCCTAGATCTACTGCATACAACACATACTTCATAAAAAGTGGAGTCAAAATTTCCGTCAATAGAATTTAATTTTCTCCGAGTTGACTTGCCGTTACAATATTTAATTTTAAGGTGCAGAGGGAAGCAAAAGATCTATTTCTTTTATTATGTTTTTAATTAAATATTTTCAACTTATAAGAACTTTTTGAACAGAAAACTTATTGCAATCAAAAAATAACAAAAAACCATTTTGTTGCATTGTGTACCTAGTTGGTGCATTAGTCAGAGAGAACATATTTTTGCTTTTCAAGGGTTTTTTAAAACAATTTAAAAAAATCGGAAAAAGACGTTAAATGAACAGACATAAGCTGACAAATTTATAGTATTACGATTTTATTATTTTAAAATTTTAAGCTTTAAGTTTCTACCAGAAATATTGCTCCAATAGAAAATTACCAAGAGATCTATTTTGTTTAATTTTTAATTTAGTTAGGCGTTTTTAATTTAACTCGAGGTTCATTATAAGTTGTACTTAGGGCCATTCTTACAATTTCCGGTTAAGTGGCGGTAAAAGTATCGGTTACCTAACTGTAACGTCATCGATTAAGTGCCGGTTACGGTGATTTATTCTTACAACCTTCAATTAACGATCTTATAACTAACCGGCAGTTTTACCGACAGTGATTCTCAAAACAACCGCCCAAGATCAAATTGTATTGTTCTACGCATGCGCAGTTCTTGAGTTTTCGTTTATTATTGTTATTATCATCTATACAGTCAGATAATTCGTTATAAATAATATAAACGTTTTAATGTAATATTTTTTTGTCTGTTTACAAACCAAAACTAGGTATTATAATATTCATATTGATTATTGTCATATTCTTCGTTACTTATTTAACTTCCTAACTGTTAGCATCTTAACTATTTAAAACATATCAACAAATAATAAGAGACCACGTAGCAGTAATTTTTCTACAACGGAAGAGTACGTTGATTTAGTTGACTGCAAAACCAATTGTTGTCTAATAATTCGAGGTACCTAGTTCTTGTGTTCTCGACAAATTTTCTGCTTCCTAACTGCTATATTCAATTCTGAAATTTCATTTTCGTAGTCTAGGGAATCACTGTCAATTAAACCACAGTTATATATTGGCATATTGCTCTTTTCTTAATTCTAACAAAAAAGTAAAAACAAAACAAAAATGTATATACCATACAGATAAACTCAAGATAAACTCATAAAACGCAAAATTAATAGTACACAAGAAATTATTAGTAATAATAGTAATCATAAAAAGTAATGATAAGTGCCTATTGATAACACAATCAGAGAGATTTTAACTTACCCGGAGGATAATCGGCAGAATTCCGTCGGTTAAAAATCCGACCGTAAAACCTCCGGTAACCGGAAACTTTTTCCTTGACCGACGTATGTAAGAATCAACTATCGGTAAAATTTCAGTATAACTGCCGGTTAGCGCTAACCTTGGTGGTAAAATAACGATAAGCGTAATGTATATTAGTTTCTATTTATAATCGATTTAAGATCAACCGTTAATAAAAATCGTAAATGTTAAATACGGCATTTTAATACATGTATAACTGGACTTCGCTCAGAATCGTATTTCATTAGTAATGGTTTATTGTTATCTACAGATATAAATTAAATACATTTATTAGTCCTACCTTTCTAACTTCCCTGCTATAGGTGTGACAGGGTTTGGGAGCTGGAACCTTCTAAAGGCACATCCTCGATACTTACACAGTTACACCATATATATATATATATATAGATTATAGGTACAACATTTAATCTCTTTTTCATTTTGGGGATATGTAGATTGTAGGGGCATGCAAAGCTAAAAGACCAACCTTTTCCCGCTACAACCACATGGTAAAGTTCATATTAAAATTCAACCCACATTTTATTACTTCAATCCACCGATAAAAATATATATCATTTTAATTCTATATGATCCTTGTGAAGTCGTTAAAAGTGTCTGAAAGTACTAAAGCACTGGACAAAAAATATATATGACACACAATTCGATAAAAAGAAATAATCGAATAAAAAAAAGTAAACTAATAGCCAGGGTAGGGATTTAATAGCATTTACATATTTTTAAGATACTTAGTAACAAAGTAAGCTGAAAATTTGTTTTGTAACTCAAAGAATTAAAATTTAAAATCTAAATTCACATATTCCTGCATATTTGGTAAATTTTTAGTTTTTAGTGCTATTTTTGGACTTTGAAATGTTTAGTGCTATTTTACCATTTTTAACTGTTTATAAATCAAAATTGATCATATTCATATTTTATCTAATAAACAATAATTAATAAAACATTACCTATTATTTGTATTATAAATTTAAATTTAAATTAATATTAAAATAAATTTATAGCCAAAATTTGAATATTATTTAGTAATAAAATAATATAATGAATTTTAATAGACGTGTTTTTAGATTACTGTCATTCGAATTTTCTAACTAAATATACATTAAGTAAATAGATTACGCGGTGACGTTCATATGACTTCACATACGTAATTTTAAACTTTTGTTATCTTTTCTGCTTATTTTGATGTGTTTTGGGGTTTTTTTTTTTTATAAAACTTCAATTAATATAAATTAATATACATTTATATTTGAATGCGTTGCATAGCATAGTCTACCACAGTCAACTCGTTTAGTCGTGTTTTAGTAAAGTTTATGGTGAAACGTGTTGTGGTAAAGCATTTAATAATTTCAATACAACATTCAAGCTCTTTGGGATTCAGGTCAGAGTGGTTTTATGGATTCAAAACTTTAAGTAACTTATTTTGTAAGTGATAAACTGTGAATTGATAATTGAATGAAAAATAAGATATAATTAATGAATAATAATTATTAAGTTCGAGTTTTCTTTTTTGTATATGTTATTATTTTTACTGCATATATTTAGCACTTATTTATCTACATTCAAGATCATATTATAGCGGATATTTATGTAATTTTAAGTGCTATAAAATCCCAATCCTGCTAATAGCAAATTAAATTAAAATAATTTATATAATGTTATAGTGCTGATAAGATAGTCGGTAAACATTATAATTGTATAAAATAATAATTCACTATTTTTTATTGAACCTAAGTATCATGATGGTATCATATGATGTTCATAGATATAATAATAAATTCAATATCATCATTATTATAATATTATATTGTATAAAATAATCTTGGAACTTTAGGTAACTTTTAACCTATACCTTTATATTAAAATTATTTAAACATAATAATATGTACCTATCGGTTTTAATTAAAGACAAATATTTGAATAAGTATTTATAAAAAAAATTGTTTTTGTCCAGTCCAAGATAGATAGTATAATATTATACTTACGCATTATAATATTTACATATATTATATAATGATACATAAAAATATATTTAAATTGAAATATTACAAACGAAAATAAAATCAACGTGATATCATATCAAATTATTTATAGGTTTTTATTAACAAAAAAAACTATGTACTGAGAAAGTTAGGACCTAAAAAAAAAAAAAATTTTTCTAAATAATTATCATACTCGTATTTAAACTATTATATATTATATAGGTTGACAGTTAGATAACAAGTGTATAATAAATTAATAATTGAAACATTTAATTTGTATCTGTATTAATTAAAATTCACTTACGTTTGATGATTTAACATAGTGGCTCCCAAGTCATGTACTAAAAGTGTAAATTTGTTTTATTTTTTATTTTACTTCCGTTTAACACTACATCCTACATGTTTTCAAATGCATTTATAATATTATATTGCAGTTAATATCCACGTACCGTGCAATATTATCGACAGTACCTAATGCACATATTATTTGTAGAGACGACACGCATCACCACGGTTATCGGTTGTATAATAACGTTAATTAGGTAATAAACAAAAATAACCATTAACGTTTCAACATATTGGTTAATATCTCCTTATTAAAAATTACTGTTTGTATTTTTTCGTCGTCTCTCGTTGCTGTCTCATCTTATTTACCGGCACGGCAGTCACAACGAGCCATTTCTCGCTAAAACCAACGACCTCTGTTACCATGATGCGTTTTATTTTTCATTTTGTATCTACTTACAATATATACCTAAACTAACATAACTTTGTATGAACGGGCGTTTACATATATTTGTGAATCCGCCGACGGACGATCCAGACAACCGTTATTGACGAGTACGTGCATTTTATATTCGTATAACACATGCACAGAGCTTTTACCATGATGTGAGGTGTAACGATTTATTTTGTTTTTTTTTTTTTGAAATATAATATAATATCCGATAATTTGTTATTGGATAAAGCTAAAACCCTGCAAAACATAAACGATACCTTGATGAGAACTTAGTCTCCACAAACATTTTGTGATATTTAAGTATTATTCTTTTCGGTGCATCAACAATTATCAAGAATAATAAATACCAGAAGTGTAGCAGAAAGATTCTGTTCACCCTTTATTTCATTCCGTGTATTATGACGTATTATCTATAACAAACGATGTCAGCAGTAGAGTAGCAATGTTAACACAGATCTGTCACTACTGCCAATTAACCGGAAAACAAATAAATAAATATGTGCCAATAATACACGCGTATATTAAGTAAAGCATGTTAATATTTTTTATGGTTCCTATTAGTTCTATAATAATTAAACCGTTATGTACGATTACGGTTTATATTAAAATAACAACCTATAACGACATAACGGCTGGCCTGTAATAGTGTGTGCATGACTTTATTGAAACTGAGATATTTTTCTCTTTGGTTCTCTATTTTCATCCGTAGGGAGTTTTTACGACCGTCAAAACTTGTCTCTAAAAATTGAAAAATAATAATTATACTTCACTCTAGGTTGTTCTTGTACACTTTGATACACATTAGGATAAAAATTAAATTATTTCATTGATTTAGTTGTTTTCGGATTATCTCGGCTATCGTTTAGTGACTTTCATAGTGTATTGTACCCGGCATGAACGGTAACTCGTTACGAATTACCTACTCAATTTGAAAATATCATCTCAATACTCGTGTTCACTATATTAGGGTGGTCTTTAATTTTGAACAGATTTTACAGTAAATTATATAATAATAATTTACATAGACATTAAGAAGAACTACCAAAAAGTGTTATATTATTTTATGATCAATGATATTGAATTATTTGTAAAAATCCACAAAACTACCCTTTTTCATCATTTTCAATGCTATTGAAGCATGGGAATAGGGTAAGTTATTATAAACAAATTTCACACAGATAACTTATACATGGTAACTAATAAAGTAGGAGGGGGGAGGAATTGACTATCAAAAATAATAATGTTAGAAAATAAGTACCACCCTTAATTATATAGGTATACATTATGTTATAATAAATCAATAATTATTTTTTTATTATGTTCCAGTTTCACGAAACACTAAATATGTTAACTTACATAGATGTTCATTTGATTTATACTCTACCGGTTATTGCGGTGTTGGTGTTGATAACATGGCCGTTTATAAGTCGATTCGAATTGTTCAAGATCGCATTTGTTTGTACGATGGCTTTTGTTTATACGACTCCGTGGGACAATTACATAATTTTCCACGAAGCTTGGATGTACAATCCCGAAAAAATTTTAGCGGTCATTGGTTACGTGCCCATTGAAGAGTATATGTTTTTCGTCATACAAACCATTATGACATCCTTGTGGGCTCTGATTTGCACTAGATGGACACCCGCATGTTTTAATTTCAATTATGAAAAACAAAGTTACACAGTAATTCGATGGATACCAATGTCGATTTTAGCGTTGGTGACGTATCAGGGTTATAGGATTGCCGTCCCGAGTAAAGACACGTTTTATTTGGGATGCATTCTATGGTGGTCGTGCCCGGTAATTATGTTCTTGTGGTACGGTGCCGGTAACTACTTTGTAAAAAAATTACGGTCAAACACGATCGCGATTATCGTCCCGACTCTATATTTATGTTGGGTTGATCAGATAGCACTCAAAGATGAAGTGTGGCATATCAACGAGAAGACCTCGTTAAAAATATTCCTCGCTGATAATTTACCATTTGAGGAATGTCTGTTTTTCTTAATCACCAACGTGATAATAGTATTGGGTGGTATGGCTTTCGATAAATCTTATGGACTCGCGGACACGTATACGTTTGAATTCCCATTGCGTTTCAGTATGAGTCTGCGTTATAACGCTCAACAAATGCGAGCATTTTTTAAGGCTGAAAGCGACATGTCTCCAAGCCCCGTTGAAGATATCAGACAGTGTTTAAATATACTGAAAACGGCTTCCAAATCGTTTAACGTCGCCAGTCTTGTGTTTCCGGCAGGTAAATATATGATAGTCAAAGACCATGTGCTTAAATACGTTTTTCTAATGTGTCTGATGTATACAGGTGTTCGTTTGCATTTGATAATCTTGTATGCATTTTGTCGCGTAACGGACGACATGATCGACAATGAACCAGATGCTGACAAGAAAAAACGGAAACTGATGACGACCGAAAGATTCATCGGTGAATTGTTCGCGGACCGGGACTCGGACTACGACGTAAAGTCCACTGTACCACGTAGCGAGTTGAAAATCGATTGGACCCGTTACCGATCGGAACTAGGCGACGAAGAGATGTCGTGCTTCCGGGCCGTATCCCGGATATCGTTTTACTTACCCCGAAAACCGTTCCATGAACTACTCGACGGCTACAGGTGGGACGTTGATGGCAAAACTGTCGAAAATGAGACCGACCTATTGCTGTACTCAAACCACGTGGCGGGTAGCGTAGGAGTGCTCTGCGTATACGTGATGATGTACAAGAGCGGCGTCCGACTTAACGACAATGACGACTACAAAAGGCATGATTTCGTCATCGGAAAAGCACGGCAAATGGGACAGGTATGAATATGATGTTATGTTATGACATATGGTTATGTTCTCCCTTTATAAGTCGTGACCCACGGCTTGACTTCTCTATGGTATTAAATTATACATAAATTTTAAAAAATATAAAAAATTACGAGGATTATGAAAATAAAACAAAATAAATTAAAATACTTCAAACAATGGATGGGCCACTGTTGTAGGTTAGAAGTTCAGAAGGTAGAATATAGAGAGAAATTTAATTTATATTTGTATGCAGCGATAAACCATCATACCTAACGAAAATTGATTCGGAACGAAGTTTCTTTAATACATGTACCTAATTTTCCCGTTTTTCCTGATTTTTCTCAATTATTATGAAAACCACTTGTAAATCAAAAACTGGCCACTCTAAAGTACCATCCAGATAAAATTTTCTAACAGAGAAGGTACTACAATTGAATATAGGATCAAAATTTTTTGGTAGAAAAGTTGTACACAAGTGAAAAAAAAAATAAAAAATAAAAATCATTATAAAACCAATACATTCCTCGTTACGTTCCCAATTTAAACTTTGAATTGTCAAAATATTCAGAAGAATAAACTCTATAAAATGATGATCTTAAGTCACATAAAAACAGAATTTGATTATCATCATTACCTCAAGAAATATCTTTTATGGATATCTTTGTGGGACATCCTGTATAACAATATTAATATCATGTCACTTCTGCGACAGGTCTTACAGATCGTCAACGTGTCTCGAGACATCGTGACCGACAGCAAAACGTTGGGTCGGTGCTACGTACCCACCGAATACATGGACGACAAGGCCGCTGAATTAAAGGTGTTGTGTGAAGACAGGGATCCGTGGCGGTTGGGTACCAGAAAACTGAAAAAATACGCCACCCGGATGATCATATTGGCCAACCGGTACCAGTTTGAGTCATTGGCAGGTGTAGGGTTGTTACCGTACGAGGTGCGTGGGCCTGTACTGGTGGCTACCGATATATACCGTGGTGTGGCTACCGCAATCGAGGTCAGCTCAACTTACCCAGAGAGGGCTTCGCTCGGTAAATGGGACAAAATCCTTGTTGGCATCAATTCCCTGTACTTCAGGAGTTTGAAGTACGTTTTGCACGCTAAATGCAAATTATCATGACCCGCAACCGCACGATAAGTTAATAACCATGATTTATTCGTCAAACAATGTGTCCTGCTGTGACAGTGGTTTTATAATGACAATATGATCAGGTTTGATCGAAACGGAATGTATACAGAGTGTTTCAGATAAATAAAATGAAATAGTGAACAAATTATTATTCACCATTTCATAATTCTGGCGTGGTTACAATCTGTTAACAACTTATCAAATGACGTTTTTTAGAAAACAATTATGCCCCAAATGTTCTATTTAGATATAATTAAGGTTTTATGTATAATTTATAACTGATGTATGTAATAAATTGTATGCATATGTTTGTATTATTTACTAATATATTTATTATACTATTCAAATCATGTTTTTCACAATACTGTTAGATGGGTCCATTTTGCATAACTGTTCAATTATGACGTGCTATTACACCTAGTCGTATTTTGACATATTGCCGTGCCCCCCCCCCAAAAAAATAAATATTTTTTCCCCTAATACTGTAAAGCAGTTTATATAATTTCGTTATACTAATAACATTTGTTATTAGTAGTACTATTATAAGTTTAAAATATATTTCATATTACTATGTGTATAATACGAGTATATGAATCATTAATTATTGCAAAAAGGGAACATGAATTATTACCGGATTTATATTTATTTACCTTGAATAGGTACGTATATTATGTACAAATGGGACTGTTTCATCAAACCGTTATAGAAATACCGGCAGCTAAAGTTAGTATTTATTGTTGAAATGGGACAAGTTCAAGACGATGTCCCTTTTATGAGCTAAATATCTTTATAAATTACTGTGACAACGTAGTTTTTATATAAAGTCCCTCATAGATTTTTCTTCAGACTTATCATTAACAGCCAACAATTCTTCATCCACTATTTATTAATGTTATTTTTATTCGATCTATTTCTGAATTTGTATTGTAAAAAATATTATTCAATCTTTTGATTTAAAAAAAAAAAAACGTCGCCAATCAAGTTGTCCAAGAAGCAGCTGTACACCCAAAATATTCCCGTAATAAATTAAAAAATGAATGATTTGAAACGTATATGAAGCCCTACAATTCCAAAGGATTCTGTTTCCAGATTTTGGGAAAAATTTACAAGTGGCCAACTCGTTAGCAATTTAAAAAATAAAATTTAATATTAAATAAATAACTAAATAATTACATTTCCGGATCGCTTAAAAGAATAAAAGATTTTTCAGTGAAAAAAAAAATGTTTTTATTACCTGTGTATTACTGTGTTTTAAATAAATTAAAAACCGTTAAATGCAGAAAGGGGACATGTCCAACAATTTAAAATGGCTGCCAATGTTCATGATAAATTTTTAAAAATGTGGATATTAATGCGATTTGTTCATTTGTATGCCTAGCTGCTTCTCAATCTTACCTATACAGTTTTTGAGCTTTCTGTAAAATTAAGTTTTAAGGACATGTCCCCTTTTTACAATTAGTGATTCATATATTCTCTTACAAAGTTACAAACTCTGATTTAACTTTATGTTGTAAAACTAGAGGGTATAAATAATAAGTGATAAAGGACTTATAAAATAATAGGTGATAATTATTCTAGCTTAATAAAAACTGGATAAAAATAATGTCCCTCCTCTGCTACGGTACTGTTTTGTCAAGTACAAGATTTACTCGCGTGATTTTTGATGACAAATCCTCCTTTAGAGAAAAAGGTATATACATGTATTTTTCGAATTTTTACCAAAAACTAACTACGATTTTATAATATTATGCTGTTATGGAATATCGTGGAAATCGTAAATTATTTATCACTATATTTATCATAAATATAGAGATTTTGCGAGGGATATAACCTTGCCATCGTTTTTCAATTCCCCTAATAACTCGATGAAATACGTATACCGGTATACCTAGTTAACTCTATATTACACCTAATTTTTAAAGCTTGAATTTATTCGATAATTCACAACATTATAGTTTTAGTTAAGTATAGCTACCTATAGTACAGTATTACTTACTAATAAATCTGAAACACTCTATACAGCCGTATAATAAATTTATTTTTTTTTTTTACAAATAAAATAATATCCAATAACAATAATATTTCAACTTCATTAACTAATTAATATTTGAACTGCGGTGGAATTTACAAAATAAATGCATGCACTCGTGCGTATAGTAATAAAATACCTACCTAATGCATTTTAACCTTGAATATTATAATTACTATTATGCACGCCATGTTTGAAATTAAATTATACAATATTAGGTATGGTACCTACCTATTCAATTACGATGAATTGACTATATTGTATAATAACATTTTTAAGGAAAACACTGGAGTAAACGTCTTAATTATTTTTAAATACCTACATTCATAACTTGTACGTCGTTTAATAATTTATTAAATAGGTAAATCTTAATATCGGTACATAATCCGAATAAAATAACAGTTATAGATAATTATATAGTTATTGAAATCTAAAGAGTTATTAGTTATTAGTGTTTTGCCTATATTAAAAAATTCCTAATGTAAGTTCCTATTCACAAAACCACCCCACATAACTGCTACTAAATATTTTTAGGAGCCCTGATTTTGATGATGAGCAAATAAAAGTCATTAAGCAAAAGGTCATTGGGTAAATAGGCTAATATACGAATTAGGTTTATTTAATTTCAAAAATTACAAATTGATTTCGACGGGCCTCTAAAATAGCCGAGCCTCTGTACTCCGGTTATAACCGCCCCCCCCTTGTGGGGATCCTGCCTATTCATTAAGTGTCAACACCGAATAGTTATCATAATAAATCAACCTTGAATGATACATTGATATAAAATCTCGTTAAATAGATCTAACGATCATCCTATTTTATACCTACTTTGGTGAATAATATATTTTTGTATTTTTGTTTTATATTGTGTACCTACTACATATTACATATTATATTTAAAACTAATAACTATAATTACGATAATTACTCAATTATAGTTTTGCTTTGAACTCAAAATGTAATCTCGCGTGATCGTATTAATGAAATTGCCAACTTATATTGTTGACAACTTTATTGACAACTGTCGCATGGAAATATGGTCTACGTAGGTAAATAAGTTAAATATATTTTTGGAAACCTACATTATATTAATATTTACTTGTGTACTAGTAATATATAATAATGTAATTATTAATATTTGTATTGTAATATATAATGTTATGGTAATTTAACTATAATATTAATAAACATGATTATGATTTATGATAATGATTTTCTATTTTGTTTTGAGGGCGTGGTACTCGCCTACATGACGTGTTGTCTCTGTCTTACAAATGTTTGACAGCAATTTCATGTTCAACATTATGCTGTTAGTTTTAATATTACTATTATAATTACTAAAATAGTATTAAGAGGGTCCAGTCTGTATATTTATAAAAAATTTAAATTAATTAATCTATTCAGTGGCACAACAGAGGGGGGTTAAGGGGTTATGTCTCCTCCCGAAATTTCTTTCTTCACTGCATTTTTTAAATTAAGTTTTACATTCAACAACATACTATCTTATACCACAGAACAAAATAAAGTTTTATTTTATCAAAAATCATTTATTCAGTAATAATATTGGCAGTACTATACTGATAATATGTGCTATCCCCCTTTGGGAAATTATAATAAATAACCCCCCCCCGAAAAAAAATCCTGCGTGCGCTACTGAACCTATTAATCAAACTTAAAGATAGCATTAACTGTGCAACATTGGCGCTATTTTTTCGATATTTTAATTATTAATAGAGATTATAAGTTTAGTTGTGTGAAATATTACAATTTAAGAATAATGATATTCACTTTAAAATAAAATATCAAAAAAAAAATGGCACCAAAAAAGCACAGACAATGTTCTTGTTTGTAAGTTTGATAATAAGTGAATTCACTCCAATATTACAATTAATACCACAAATTTGTTCCTGCTGAATTGTTATATCGTGTGTGATGAGACGGAGACAGTATTTGTGGGTATCACGTTCTCTTAAATTTAAACTTGCTTATTTCGTGCATGTTCTTTTTGTATAATACCTACCAGTTATTTAGTATTGTGTTAAGTTAAAGTGATTTATACAAAATGACCTATATTATAAATAAAGCTTATCAAAAAAAAAAAAAATACATATAATATATATGTTATAAAAGTATCAATTATATGTTGTCTTATGTAATATTAATGTATTTCATTATAAATTTATAAATTAAATATTAATTATGGTTAGTATAAACTTTTAAAATCACATTCATTTAACTTAACACAAAATTACTCTATAAGTTAAAGCAGGCATGTCAAACTCAAAGTATGACTGACCAAAATATGTGTAAAAAAGTTTGGGAGGCACCAAAAAAAATGAATTCTAATATAATAAAATGTATTGATTACCGGTATTTTTCCTAAATCAAATTTTTCAAACACCCTTTTTCCCGAATGGAATATATCTCGAATAGAATTTCTCCCGAAACCATATTTCACAAACCCTTTTTTCCGAATGTTATTTTTTTCGACTGGTATATTTCCCGGATAATAAGAGTAATTGCCTATCTATAACCTTTTTTTACTTCTCCAGTTTAAACTTTAAACTTTTAGAACTCATAAACGATAAATCTGATATTAGTGCTATGGATATCAAAATAACTAGAAAAATATTCTCTATTCAAATCTGTGTTCAATAGAGAGGGGGTTTCTATTTGAAAATCAAAATTTTGTACTTATTTAAGGTATATGAAGTAAGAGTAAAAAATTAAAAATGGTTTTAAAATAGAGCTTAAACGATTCCATAATGATTAGAAAAAACAGAAATCAAATTCACTTAAAATCTTCTGAGATAATTATCAATTTTTCACCAATAAGTATACCTAACCTAACCTATGTAGAAAATTTAAGTAGTTACGAACAAATTATACCTATACCTTCTTTGATAATATTGAAAAAGTAAAACAGATATTCCGTAGATAGGTATATAATTTCCAGTCGTGTTGGATTTATTATATAAAATGAATAATAAACAACAGACCGGAAAAAGAGTATAACAAACGTACTCTTCGCACACTTGACATGATAATTTTCAATTAATTCAAAGTTGAAACTTTAGAAGACTTACTGGAAATATAATGACGATTACACGTTTTACAATGGATTATAACAATCCATCCTTATAGTATAAGTAACCTACATAATATAGTATACCGCTACCACATTACAACTGGATTATTGTCACTTGCCTATAGGTAATATGATATACCTAGTACCTACCCTATGTATTCTGAACGAATAATAGGTAGGTAAGCGAATAATATTAATCCTTATTTGCATATTACGTAATATTTTTAATTCTCAAACATACATTAATATTATTTTAATTTTGATGAGTTAGCGTTTTAAATAAAATACCTAATTATTTATATTCTTCATTCTTCTTTTATTTTCAATTTTTTTTGTCTATTTAAATAATCCGATAATCATTAAGATCACGCACAGAACTTACATAATATGTGTAATTATAAGTATAAATTGTACTTTTTTTATTGTTAGATAGGGACCGTGTGTTTATTAGTTATATTGGTTGAGATTGGATTCCATTCGAGTATAGGTTTCCTATAATAATTAAAAATATTAACTGCATATACAATATTAATTACATTATTATTTATAACATAATATTTATTTCCTTAACACATTTCAATTATATTCTGTAAATATATCTAATCACAGTATTACTTCTTATAGGTGAATTCATATAAAATAATTAGGTACATTTTGTAAATAGATTAAATAATTTGTGTAGGTAAACCAGGGGCGTATTTACAAGAGATATGAGGAATAAATCCCCCTTGGCTTATATAGGCTTATATATAAGTCTAGTTCAAACCCTGAAAGATCTTTCTAAAATTTAAAGAGAATAAAGAACTAGGTATTTTAGAAATAACATGAAATAAGGACATATTTTACCCATTTTACTATAACCATAATTATTATAAGTATTATGTACCGATTGCTATTTATAAGATTGTATATTTTCATATTTTTTATTAAGGTCTAGGGGTCTAAACTAAATGGATTATCCATTATGTATAAATTACTCCGGATAAGGTTATCGAAAATTTATGTCTAAAAAAAAAAAAATAGCCCATATTGTAAATTTCACAAAAATAAACAGTATAATTTTAAAATTAGTTATTCTTAATAAATATATTAAATAAAGTAGAAACCTACCAAAAATTAATTTACATATCCCCTCTCAAGAAAATCCTAAATACGCCCTTTGGGTATAGATTATATAAATAAAAGTATAGGTATGTAGGACGTGGTATTGTTTTATATTTTCTTTTACTAAGGAAACTACTTAACCTTAACCTTTAATTTTCTTTACTAATAAAAATGGTACAAGGCATAAGTACCTAGATTAAACGGTATTATAAAACCCGAAAAAAATTAATTAATTTTAAAACAATTAAAACAGTTTTTAGGTAGAAAACCTACATTTGATATTGCGACACAATTTTGAAAATAAATACAAGTTCTTAAATAATTTACATTTCAGACTCGGTCTAAAGTAAATAACTTGAAAGAACGTACGAGACAGTCCTAGTATAGACCCTTTCCATAGATTAAATTTATTTTGCCAAGATCTTGAATCATTTACAATCTTATGATCAATTATGCTTTTAAAGTTAGATATCATTAATCTTCTTTCTATTATTTCAATTACTTGTTCTCGTGCTCTGTTGACGAGTTTGTCAAAATCAATGTAATCCGGATATTGATTTAGATATATGACCTACGAGTGTACTAAACCCACGAATGAATATACCTTCTGGTGCTGCTATTGGGCGATGCGACTAGGCACGTGAATATAAAATAATGTCGAGTCAGGCAAGGTATGATCCTCAAAAATCTGATCAAAACTTGGTTTGTATTGTTTGCCTAAAAATATATTGTGTACTGCTATTTGTGGTATGATCTGACTCGTCGACTAATAAAATGAAACTGATGATGAAGTAAGTTTACATTTACTAAGTTTTTTAGCATACGTTGTTTTAGGCAAAAGCTTATTGTATACATAAACGAAATCTGCTTTGCAAATCACACTATCACTATTCACTACGTTACGGTTTTTTAATTTGATTACTTTTGCCATTTCTTTACCGTCGATTATTATTTCTTGGACGTCACAATTATAATTAAACTAGCTGAATTACCCGGCGTTGCCCGGAAACAAATTCGTGACAAATTAGATAACGTCATGTATTACCATTTACCGTCCTAAATTCATAATTATCGATAATATACATAATAACCTAACTTAATTAAAACTGCATGACAATTGGATAAGAAGTTTCGAAGCCAAACCGTAACAAAAGATTTCCTTTTTGCTTGATTTCAGTTTTACGCACGTCCGAACTGCTGGTAGTGCGGAGTGCAAATGAAATGAACGTTTAATATTTTATATGTTTCGAGAGTCCAAATTAATTCTATAAATAGAATTTGTATGTGTATTGGTTTATGTTATCGGTGTGCGTTTTATCGTTCATTATAATAAAACAGGAGTATTGGTGTACGCGCGATGCATGAGATTATTTTTATCGATAAACTTCTCGGAATCATTATTCTTATCTGCACGATGACCGGACGACGACGAACAAAAAGGATAGGTTGCAGGTAGCTGGAGACCCGCGGGCCGCCGTGCCGCACAATACGTATTGGCGGTGAATAATTATAATTGTTAATTACTCCACTTAAACGCGACATTTTTGAAAATCCCTCCTAATTGCACGGTGAAAATATGAGAAGAACCTATATTCCAAATTTCAAGTCCGTACGTTACGTAGTTTTTGAGACACAGCGATCAGTCAATCAGTGGTATTTGGATTTTATGTGTATAGATTTAGCACCATATTTTTCCACGGCGATACTTTCAAGACTTTGCAAAATCTTATTGAAACCCTCTTTTGAATACCTTCTGATATTTCTGTATACTGTAATAAGTTGTACGCACCCAATCCATCGTAAGGGGACATCCTATAATGATGATGGTTAATTTTATAATTTCAAAACTTGATTGATTCTACTAGATAGGTACTATAAGTTCCACAATAACTTACCCCATATACATCGTATGTAATATGAAGGCCATTCACATGTATTTACTTTTGAAATATTTACATGCTCTGATATAAATAGTTGTGCAGATGTAACTTCAATATGTAGGTATATGTTTTATGTTAAAAAAATTATACCAATGTTGAAAATCGGACTTAAGAACGACTTTAACACTCCTTTAGTAATGTATGTGCGATTCAATTAAATATGTATAAAAATAAATTAACGTCGATTCATTGTTACCTTCATATTTTTCAACGAACGACATAATGTAGATAAATCAGTGGTCAATTCAAATTGACCACTGTAAGTTGTGTATAAGTTTTCCATCGTAAAAATGTACGGTATAATTAGAAGAACATTTCAATAAATCTATATGATGATGAATATTCTCTCCTAAATCTTGAAACGTCTCTTCAAATATTTTAGGCATTAAATACAACGATGGACTTTGATCGAATCGATATCTGTTGTGATGGATAAGTATGCACCATTGTATGCATTTTTTTCGTAAACTTCTACTTGAAACCCTTTCTTGCTAAGTCTAGCTGCTGTACCACCAACTCCAGCTCCAATGATAATGACCTTAGTTGTCATTTTTATCAATAATTCTTCAACATATAATTAAAAATCAGTGTCGGCCTGGCTTATGATTGAGCCCCCGGGAAAATATTTTCAACGGGTCACTAAACAACAAAATATAGAAGTTAAATTCAATAACAACTAAAAAAAATTGTCTGGCTTTGCTCGAACTCTAATAGAAATTTTAATAGTATCATTTAAATTTAATACATGAATTACATTTATTTTTTCATTCTGTAATGAACCCACATGTATGTATGTATGTATATATGTAAGCATGTGTAAATTTACTAATTCGGTTAAAATACTGAACGAGGTGAACATCACATTAATGCTAATATACGCCATAAAGATCAATTAGATATTTTTCTGAGTCAAATCACAACACTATGTTAATTCTTAAGTAAAATCTATTTTTATTTTTCAACTTTATTAACTGTATAAAATAAATTACACAAAAAGTATACGACGTAGACTTTATAATAATAATAATCATATAAAATAAACATAATTATAAAATAATTATCAGAAACAAAATAATTTGGAGCAATGAAACTGATATAATCAACAAGATAAAATAATAACCTCTAAAAGTCTCTACTAAATGAAACTAATTAATCAATTATTTCATTTTTTTGAATAAATACATTTAATTAAATCATTTTCTATATTACGTAAGGACATTAGTGGTTTAAGATATTTTTGATTAATTGATGATTAATAGAGTGTAGTACTTTTTCTGAAAGGAAATTCGGCTGAAATGGTAATTTAAAGAGGTAATTTTTTGATTTTTCAGGTTATTTTCATAACAAATAGGGAAAACTGGGAAAATACATGGGAACAATGGGAAAAATTACGAAATGTATTAAATATGTTTTACATTTTTTGTTTTGTTTCGATTCAGTTATAAATATTTGTAGGTACTTGAAATTTTAACAGAAAAGTTATATTTGTCTTTTTTAGACGTGGTAATATGTTCAAAACATTGAAGCCATTTTTGAGCTATTAATAAATATTTCAATATGTATAGGTTTTCGTAATGTATAATTTTTGTGAATAAAATTGTTAGACCAAACAGAAATTATAGATAATTTAACAAGAGGTTCATTATAAGTTGTACTTGGTGGTTAAAAAAAAAAAGGGAAAATTACGAAATTAATTATATTCAAATCGTAAATATTATGGCCTTTCAAAACATGTATAACTGAACTCTGCTCAAAATCATTTTTCGTTAGCACAGAATAATTACTGCGTTTTTTTGTTAGCAATAATTTATCATTGCTTACATATATACGTTAAATTCCCTTCTATATCCTACCCTTCCCAACTTCTCACATACAACAGTGGCTCACTCATAGTGCAAGTATGTCCGTATATTTTTAATTTTGAAAACGCACGTTTACTGGAAACTTGTGTACACGGAAGAATTAATATTTCATAGCTAAATAATGCGTATTAAATAAATACGATTTTGAAGTTATTTCATACAATGTCTGAAAGACATTAAGTAAGTAGTCATTACATTTTGGTTTTTCTATAACAGGTACATCATCTTCTGTAGCTTCTATTTCTTCTATATTATATTCATGATAGACAAATCTTCTTAGGGCAGAAAAGCTAAAGTACTTATTGCTCTACATTATTTTTATAGTATAACTTCAACCATGTTTCAAAACTAAGTTTATAATAACATTATTTTCATTTATAAAAAAAACATCTTTGTAAAACCATAAACTTCTTTGCTCCAATCAGAATCTAATAGTATTAATTTGTTCAAAATATAATGAAGTATATATTTTTATTGTAAACTTTCTCTTATTAAACCAATGTTTATTTTGTATAGTTGACTTTTAACATTTTAGAACAATTATCTTGGTATTATTTTACTGATATGACATTGATTTTTATAAAAAAATACATCTTTATTTTATTCATTTTTAATAGTAAAAATTGTATTAGTCTTTTAATTTTAAAATGATATTTTATTATTTATTATCCATATCAATTAAATAATTTACTTATTAGAAATAGATCTGATTTAAAATAACATAGTATTGTATTTATTTGTATTTGTTTGTAAACAAAGAAATAATTATACATTATTAAATTAATAATGTAGGTGATAACCCAAGTTTTTAGGTTTATACTTAGAAATTAGAATAATAAAAAAAATTCAATAAAAAAAAAAAAACCTAAATAAATAACAATAAAAATCAAAATAGCACTTACTACACATGTACTTTAATTCGAATAGTAGGATGGAATAAAGATTTAAATTTTAATAGTATGTTTAATGTATAAGAAATATAAATGAATAAAATATTATTTTAATTTCCATTAAAAAAAAAATGAATTGAATATTAATACTTAATCTATATATCAAATATTTGATTGTGTAAAGTATTATAGTTATAGACTTATGATAACAATTTGTACGCTTTATTACCAAGTTCAGTGATTACTATAATTGGATTAAAAATTTGTTTCCCTCTGTACTCTTTGCATATAATTATGAATTTTAAATATGAATGCACTTTTTTATCTATAGCTATGTAACAGTAGAACATTATATTTAATTATTATTCAATTTTTAAAACTTCAGCAATATTTTAAATGCACAAATTTACACAGTTTTAGTGTCCCAAAGCAACATTGTGCTTATAATTCTTAAGGCATTGCAAAAGTTCTCTGTGAGATTACGTTATTACATTTAAAAAAAAAAAAAACCAATAAAATAAAATATACTTCACTATTTATAACATAATATACCTTTATTTACAATTTGTTTAATTGCTTAAATGTCGTATACACTAAACATAATATAATTTGTTGTCTTAAAAAAAATTTAAATATAAAATACCATGCAAGTGTTAAAATAACAAAAAAAAAAAAAAATTCATTTTTCTAATACATATAACTAAAATTGGGACGGTATCTTTGCTTTGGTTTAAATCTTATAACTAATGAGAACTTTTTAATCATAAAATAATTATTGTGCTACAAAACAAATTATGTGGTTTTAACATAGCAAAATAATTCAATACAATTTTTTTTTTAAAACATAGATTTATAATAGATATTTCTTTTTACTCAAATAATATTAATATTTCTTATAGGAACTTTTGTCTGAATAAGTACTACTAGTACTAGATGTTTTTTTTGATAATGAATAAGCTGATGTTGATTTTTTTGGCCTATACATAAATAATAACACATTAATTTAATGTTACTTATTTATTGTAAATATAAAAATAATAGGTTTACTGTTTTGATGATCGGGATAGTTTAGTAATCAATCCTGAACTTGATCTGCGTCTCATTTTTACAGCCATCAGTCGTTCACGATCACTTCTGATTATAATCATCCTCTCATGTATAGATCCCAAAATTAAATCATTCAAATCGTAGCAAGCTGTAGTTAGCTAGTTAAAAAAATAAACATATAATAATTATTTAAGAAAATCACAAAAATATCTGCAGTAGTAATCAACATAATTTAAAAGTTGGGTCACAACACAAATGATGCTGCACTACACTCAACAAAAATATTTAAAAATAAAATGTCTTATCAATAGTTAACTAAAAATTAAAAATGTCGACAATAAAATTGATTCAACCTAAAACTTCATTTTATTATGGATCTATGAATAAAGGTTGTTATTGAAAATTTATGTGGGTTTGGGTTTCATCTTTAAATATCCGAGCAATACAAACCAACACTAATATAACATTTTAAAACTGTTTATTTCTTAAATTTTCTAAAAAACAAATTTTATACTTTCCAAAATAATGAATGTCTTATGTTATGTTGATCTATAAAGTGTTATACAAATATCACACCTAAAATAACATTTTTTTGTTCAATTTTTTTTACTGTTTTTTTTTTCTTGTTATAATTTTTTGAGTCTTGCACTATGATTCCTCTATTACACCAACATATTTTGAAACAAAATGTTGATGCTACAAATATTTACTAACGATAAATAGTGTCTACAAAATTTTTGAAGTTTACGCAAATTTAATACATTTATTTTTCATTAAAAAATTGGTGAATTGATTGATATTACTTAGTAGTGACAATTTAAATTATTGTAAACTACAATAAATTGTAAAAACTTAATCATTAGTAAATATTTGTAACACCAAAATTTTGCTATAAAATATATATATTTATGTTTATAAATTTTGTAAAAAACAATTTTTAATTTTTAGTTTAAAAAATATATTGAATAGAGGAATTTATTAAGGCTTTAGTAATAATAAGAAGAAAACAAAATTAGTGCAAAAGTTATTTCAGGTGTCAGATTTTGGTGTTACAACCTGTATATATACATAAATTCATAAATATATTGCCTGCTGTAACAAAATATGTTATTTTTTTTAGCATCATCTATGAAAAATTTTGTATTTCTACTGGTTCAAAGAGATTAGATTAAAAGTTAAAAAAAGTGAAATGAAACAAAACAAGCCATTGTTTTGTTTTGGCAGATGAACAAACATTTATATCACAAACTGAAATATTATATCTTAGTTCATGGTTTATATAAATATAAAAATTATAGACACCTGATTGATGATTCTACGGTGCAGTTCAAGATCAGATTCAGTAGGCTTCTGTTTCTTTAATTCCATATGCATTACCAGAGCCGTCTTTAATGAATCTAGAATAGTCTTTTTTAATAATTGAGCTTTTTCAGTACGTAAAAGTCTTCTGGTCAAATAGCCTCTAACACCAGCATTTATAATAGTCGCTGCAGAGTGTTCCACTTCGGAGGGTGCTCTTGACCATCTTGCACCCAAGCTACCACGTATTCTATGATAGAATTTAATATTTTGTTGTAAAAGTGGAGAATTTGAAGGTGTTTTTGGTCTAGGAGATGAACTAACTAAGTTTTTATTACTTGAACAGTTAGAAATAATAGAAGAAGACAAAGAATTTGATTTCATGTGTTTCGATGAATATACCGAGTATTCAGAATCGTCTAAAGACATTCCAGATGTACTACGTGTTATTAAATAGTACCGAACAGCAATTTGTTCTTGCTCTTCCCTTTGTTTTTTTATTAAATAGGCCAATTCATCTTGATGCCTTTTTTCTATGTCCAACTTTTCTATTCGCAAACGTTCAACCTCTAGGTTTAGTTCTTCAGGTGTTTGATATTGTGTATTATTGCTACATAAAGAGTATTCATCATCACTATGTCTGCAACAACAATTTTTTATTGATTTGCTATATGTCATTGGACTTGAAGTTCGGTCGTTTTCATTGCAAATGGTTACTACACTTCCTACAATACTTTCATCATTGCTGAAATTTGTTCCAATTGTTGTTACACTTCCTCTTTCATCTAGCTGGCTTTGATCAAATATGGTTTGATCTTCAATATGTTTATCAGTAATACTCAGTTGTTTGTACTTTGCTAAATTATTTATTACTGCTTGATTATTAAATGAATCAGGAACAGAGTGAAGTGAAATACTTTTAACTTTTAATATGTTTTCATCACAATTGTTGACTGCATAACTCATACAGGGCTCAGATTTACTCTCTTTAGTAGAATTAACATTATTTTCTAAACCTTTTGGTTCTATCAGTTGTTGTTGAACTTGGCTGTTTAAAAATGCTACCATTATAGGACTTGGTGATGACAAAGTATACGAATTAGTTCTTAAACGAGGAGTTTGTTCTATAGTTGCATTATATTTATCATTACAATTTGCATTAGTAACAGTTAATAATTTAGTTGATTCTTGTTTTGAAATTAATGTACCACAAGAATTTTCAACTGTCGCAACATTTTCAGATTTTATAATAGAAGACTGTTTATTAGAAAGAGAATTATCATTTAAATACTCTCCATCACGAATAGTCAAATTACTTATAGTTAAAATATGATTTGATTCTTGTTTTGAATTCAAAGAGTCACAAGATTTACCATTTAAACTGACATTATCAGCTTTTTTACTAAGCAAATTTTTATCAAAAACACTATCTTTTAAAATGTGTTTTTCTTCAGACACTAATGTTGGTGTTTCTGGAGAAACAGAACTTTCAGTTTCCATCTTGTTTTCTGTTGGAATTGTATTAATACCATTCGCATCACAATAAGCAATTTCTTTTAAAACATTTGTAGGCGATTCGTAATTATCAAGTTTTTGCATTTCCACACTTGCAGTCATTACACCACTATCCAAACTTATTCTTTTTCCTTTGAGTTTATTTTCAAAAGCCATTGCTTTTTCTTTAAATTCTTTCATTTGCTGTTTTTTTTCATCAGTCATCTAGGATGTAAAGAACAAATTAAATACTTGCTTTTTAATTATTTAAAATAATAATGATAAATTTAATAATTATTATTAATGGAATAAGTCTAGTTTACCGGACATTCTTTCATTTCTAATTTTTTAAATAAGTGTTTTTTGATGCTGATTTCAGAAATGTTTGAATTTTTATATGGAAATCATTAAATAAGTTATGGGAGTTTAAAGTTTATCACATTAGCATTATAGGTGCACCTAGAAACCTACTGAGGGTTTTTTTTTTACAATAGTGATATACATGAGTTAAAATTGAGATGAAGTACATATTTGTAATAATATGTTTATAGCTTTAAGTAATTTAACATGAAAGAATTTTTAGACATAACCTAATTGGATACATAACTGAATATCTAGTATTTTTGAATACGTAGTTTGCAAAAATATTGCCACAAAATTAAATTTCGGATGAAATTCAATTGATATAAGTATTACATAATATTGTTATTTCATTCTATTTAAAAGTAAAAAAAAAACATCATTGTTAAAATAAATTAATATTCATTGAAATTTTTAATTTACTTACAAGCGGCGGAACAATTGGAACACCAAATATTTTAATACAAGACACATACATCTCCATTCTTAACATTGAAGTAGAAAAACAAATTTATCCAGACATAAAAACCTAACCTAAAGAATAAACATGAACAAATTAGTAAATTTAATTGACAGTTTTTTTTTTTTTTTAAAATTGAAAGTTCAGATTTCTCAATTTGTTTTAATATTTCCCTCTGATCTAGTATAATTTGTTATCACAAATTATTTCCCGGACAGTGGTACCAGTACTAATGGCAAATATTATGATAAAATAAATTTAAATACCTATACGGTGATTCTTTTATCGTTAAATACTCTTTATTTGGAAAAGTGTCGACTATTTTTGAAAACTTAAGAAATAAATAGTTCTAAAATATTACATAACTACTTTTTTTTGTTATACTCATATTTGGTGGTTAAACGACTACCTACTTTTGATTTTCATCAACAGCTATCTAAATTGAAAATGCTTCAAATAGACGGGGTATTAATTGGTGTTGACATTTTTGATTTCCGTGGATCCATTGACGAGATATCCTACTTTTAAGTTTGGGTCGGAGGAGAGCAGTAATACATTATTAAAACCGCTCTTCCGTTCCGCTACACAAGTGATTAAGTATTAACAAAATGACCATGCAATGTAGATGTATCTTAATTCGTGTTAGGTTACTCACTACAATTTACTGATAGTCCAATCTAGTTTTCATGTTTTACTAAAGTGTGCTAAAACAGTAATTATTGTATTGTACAATTTCTTTAACGATGTTTACTTATTTATTCAAATCTTTCATAGGTACCTATCTCATCAATAATTATTCACTATTTTCACTTTGCGTCTTTGCACATTGTGAACTATTGTACGACATATTATCGTTATTTAATTTGTATAGGTACACAATACAATATCTAAAATATATTTGTTTTAGATAAATTTTTAATATTAACATAAACATTCAAACATACCGTGTTTCACTGCGCTCACTCGGACAATTTTAATGAAAAAGAACTCTCGATTTTATGTTTTAAAAATATCTAAAATACAAAAGTATTTAAATACCATTTCCTACCTACTAGTTTAGTATTACCTACACGAATACTTTACTATACCTAAATTATTTTTGTAAATAAATATATTACTGAATATTTATTTATTTTTCCCTTCGCCTGAAACCCAAGTGTCTACAATCTCCTCTTTTATAAAATGGTCTCCGTATACTCATAAGGCCGTCCGAATCCAACTGCAAGGCACCGACCACGGCACAAGACCGCGGCCGACACCCGGGTCTCCGATCGACGCCGAGCATTGGGTTGACACCGTAGCTCCAGACTACTTTTCATAAATGTCAAAAGTTGAACATATTTCGACACCCAGCCACCGACAAAGCAAATGATCAGTCCGCTCCGGAGGCGGTCGGGAGTCTACTGACACGCGCGTGATAACACAATCTCCGTTGCCGGAGGTAAGTGGATCGCCCGAGAACATCCTACACTGCGACCCAACGAACGGATCGCGAGAAGCCCCCGAACGACCACGCGGTGAGTTGAGCCCGTAGTCTAGATCTCTCGTCGGATATAACCTCGGTGGGGAATTACCGACACTCGCCCGCTCAACGAGATTTTGCATACGTTAGCTTCGTACCGGGATAAATCCGCAGCGCTAGTAATATTCACCGCCACGAAGAAGCCTGTGCCATCTAAGAAGGCCGGGGGTAAAACAGTTTCCCGGACCCCCTAGGAAACCGTATAGACCAACCGAGAACTTAATCCCAGATGATTGTCAGATTGGACTGTGGTTCCAGTAGATAACTGTATAAGTGGTCTGCCTTTCATTCACATTTCGGAACGCGGTCCCTTATAATAATATAGGAGTGGCCTATCTATTCTTACATCGTTTATGATATTATCATAGATTATAAACATTGAGATAGATAAACAATACGATCGATGATTATATATAATCTATGATAATATATTGTGATAATATGATAATGTTCGTTAATAATAATTATCATGGTTTAAAATATGACGCCAAATAAAACCACCGGTAGCGCTAAAACCAGTCGGTTTGCAATAGTTCGTCTCTAAGTAATCCGTCCAGCCTGTTGGCCTGTCATAACCACTGACCAGTCGGTAGTTAGCAGTCCTTATTCAGCGTAATGCTAAATGTTTGGATATGTTAATATTATATTTATATGTTAGTAATAATGTGACTGATATGTGATAAAGGTTAATGAGCTGACAACAAATATTAAGTATGAGCCGACTATTCATTACAGTACCATGAAAATACAAATAACTTGCTTATGTAGATGCAGCAATTCCAATTCTTCATGAGCAACAACTACTTGGTCGCAAATGAAAAAAAACAGCAATCAGATTCTGAATGTACCTAGCTAAGAAAGTATTCAATTTTTAATTCAATACAGTGGATTATATATATCGTCAAATTATAAAAATGAACGAAGACAGTTCCGAAGCTCATCAGGCGACATGTGACTTCGCTTTAACAAATTTCATGTTCGGGAACATAGACGAAAGTGGTCAACTGGAAGATGATGATCTATTGGATAATGATACAAAAAAATACTTGGCGTCCTTATCCAAGCTCGGTTTTAGTTCTATGGTGTCCGAAGTCATTGGTTCGTCAGATTTGCAAGGTATTGAAAATCATGAAGACACAAGCAGCTCAAATGATAAATCACCATCGGCCCAAGATTTCTTTGACATTGATGAATTGGCTGAAGAAATTATAGGGTCTAAACCTCAAAATTCTGAGAGCGGCTACGATGGTGACAATGAGACAAATGACAAAAAATTTGACAAATCCAAGCGGCTAGAAACTCCATTAGCTGCTATGTTACCATCCAAGTATGAAAATGTGGATGTTACGACACTTTTTCCTGATTTTAGAGTTGGAAAAGTAATTTTTATTGACAATATAAATTTCATATCCTGGTTTTTTATTAGTTTTAATCTATATTTAATTTAGGTGTTACGATTTTCAAGATTGTTTAAGCCCAACAAATCTAGCCGATTACCTAAAGTTTGGAGGAATGTAAAAGTTAAACGCAAAAAACGAATGCATATTGATACAAATGAATATAATTCTTCCGATAATGACTCAAAAAGTCAAATTATGTGTCTTGAATATGGACCACTACCGGATCCTGAAAATCTTGCTCCTGACGATGAGGTAATATCTATTTTATTATAAAATTATGTGAATCATATAATTAACTATTGGTTTTACAGGAGGCATTTTTACAACCTATGGAAAATTTATCTAAACAAACTAATCAAAACAAACATGAAAATGAAGATGGTTTAAATAATCAAGCGTACTGGAGAGCTGGACCAGCCAAATTATGGTATGACATGTTGGGAGTTCCAGAAAGTGGGGAAGAATTTGATTATGGATTTAAACTCAAAGATAACAAAGTAATTAAATAATATACATTATATAAAAATATCTTTTTTAAAATTGTGTACAATTTTAGAATAAAAACGAAAATAATTTAGAAAAAAATCCATTTCCTGAAGATGCTTTTCTAATGGTTAGTCAGTTACATTGGGAAGATGATATAATATGGAATGGAGAGGATATCAAACATAAAGTTCTTCAAAAATTGAATAGCAAAACTAATGCTGCTGGATGGGTACCGAGTAGTACAAATCGTACTGCTCAAGCTTTTAGCCAGCCGGGAAAAGGAATGCTTCCTCTTGCAGGAGGATCAGTAAGATTGGCTACATCCAACATAAATGTATCACAATCACAAAACAAAATGGCCCCAAAGTCAAATATGTAAGTCTAATAAATTTATTATTAGTCTAAGAGGAGCCAGGTCTGAGGAGTTGGTTTTCCAAATTTTCTCTTCAATTATTTTTAATTTGGGGTATGGCTGCTTTTATAAACAAAAATATGAATAAAAATAATTTATTGGCAACATGATTTCCGAACATTTTTTTTCTTATTTGATAAAAAATTTCTACTAACTGCAATAAATTCCAATTTTTCTTTTGATTTTAAATAGTGGTATTTTAAAAAGTTGGTAAAAAATAACCTTTTTAATGACTTATTATTAAGTTTATGGTAGAAATATTGAAAAACAATGTTCAATGTGGTACGAAGGAAGTAGTTCTCTGTCCAACAAAAGGATAATGATCAACAACGGACTATTCTACAAGGTGTGAGGGGTTTTCTTTTTCTGTAAGATATATTTTTGACCCAAAAAGCACACTGGCACCAGGCTCCTTAAATGAAAAAACAAATAGTAACTTAACATTTCATTTCCCAATTCAGTTAAATGAACAAAAACATATTAGTTAACAATTACTTGTTTAACTAATAATTATAAAATTTGTATTTAGGAATTTGAAGCAACAACCGATAAATGATACTACTGATGATACCTGGTATTCTATATTTCCAGTGGAAAACGAAGAATTGGTATATGGTACTTGGGAAGATGAAATAATTTGGGATGCCAAAAATATGGAAAAAATACCCCGTCCAAAAATATTGACTTTGGATCCCAATGATGAAAATATAATATTGGGTGTTCCTGATGATGTAGACCCAGCAAAACAAAGACTTGACAACGCTACTCCAGTTAAAGTGAAAATTCCTCATCCGCATGTTAAGAAATCAAAATTATTACTTGGCAAAGCTGGAGTGATAAATGTACTTGAAGAGGATACACCATTGCCTCCACCTAAATCCCCAGACCGAGATCCATTTAATGTGTCAAATGACTGGTAGGTGTTTAAATTACACTCAAAATTCATGTTAATGTTTAAACCTCTAATTCTTTATTAGATAATTAAATAATTTATTAATATACTAAATGAATTTCTCAATTTGTTTATAGCTATTATCAACCACGTTCATCTGAAACATCGTTACGTCTTAAAGTTGGTGGTGGTAATATCATTCAACATTCAACTCCTGTTGTTGAGTTAAAGGCACCATTTATTCAAACTCATATGGGACTTATGCGTTTAAGAAATTTCCATCGCCCTCCCATGAAACGATACTCACATGGTACTCTTATTCAACCAATATTTCATTCTGTACAATCTCTTTTGAAGAACATAAAAAAGAAAGCAAAAGTAACTAAAATAATTGTAATATGCTTTTTTGACTTAAAATTTAACTCTTATTCGTTTAGCTTAGAGAACAAGAACGAATAGCTTCTGGTGGAGGTGATGTGTTTTTCATGAGAACACCAGATGATTTAACTGGTCGAGATGGTTCTATTATTCTTGTTGAATATTGCGAAGAGCATCCACCTTTATTAAATCAAGTATGTATAAAAAAACTAGTTGATGGACAATGTTAAATTTTATTTGTTTAATCATATATTAAATTTTAATAGGTTGGAATGTGTTCAAAAATTAAAAACTATTATAAACGTAAAATTGGTAAAGACCCTGGCCCACCAAGTTTGCAATTTGGAGAAATTGCTTATGCTCATACTTCACCTTTTTTGGGAGTATTATCACCTGGTAAAACAATTCAAGTTATTGAAAATAATTTATACCGAGCACCAATATATGAACATAAACCTTTAGAAAATGATTTTTTACTTATAAGAACAAGGTAAATAAATTTTTTTTAATAAATTAAAAACTGTTGAGCTCTGCTATATTAAATTGTATATATTATTTTTAATAATTTGACTAATCTCTTTATTATTAATTTTGAATATTTTACCAAATTTTTAGACATGCATATTATGTACGAGAAATAGATGCTTTATTTACATCTGGACAACTTTGTCCACTTTATGAAGTTCCTGGCCCAAATTCTAAACGTGCTAACAATTTTGTCAGAGACTTTTTACAGGTTAAAAAAAAATTTTAATTTTTTTAACACTCATTTGACAAAAAAAAATTCCGTACAGGTTTTCATTTATCGATTATTTTGGAAAAGTAATGATTATCCAAGACGTATAAGAATGGATGATATTAAAAAAGCATTTCCATCACATTCAGAAAGTAGCATCCGTAAACGTCTTAAGCTATGTGCTGATTTTAAAAGAACTGGTAAATAATTGTAATTTTAGTTAATCACTTGTTGCTAATATTTGTGCATTACATATTTTAATTTCAGGGTCTGATTCAAATTGGTGGGTAATCAAACCTGATTTTCGTTTACCATCAGAAGAAGAAATTCGTGCCATGGTATCACCTGAGCAGTGTTGTGCTTATTTCAGCATGATAGCAGCTGAACAAAGACTTAAAGTAAATTACCTATTTATTCAATAAATAATCGTTGCTGAATTGCATTATTATTATAGGATGCAGGTTATGGTGAAAAATTTATTTTAACTAGTTTAGAAGATGATGATGAAGAAATGCAATTAAAAATGGATGATGAAATTAAAGTTGCCCCATGGAACACAACAAGGGCATATATTCAAGCTATGAAAAATAAGTGTTTACTTCAACTCACTGGTCCTGCAGATCCCACTGGATGTGGGGAAGGATTTTCATATGTTCGAGTGCCTAACAAACCAACTGTATGTTGTTTCACATTCATTGTACATTATGATTATTATTATTTTGAAATCTTGATAATTTTAGTTAAACAAAGAGGAACAAGAAGCCCAACCCAAAAGAATGGTTACAGGAACAGATGCTGATTTAAGGCGACTATCTTTAAATAATGCAAAAGCGTTATTGAGAAAATTTGCTGTACCAGAAGAAGAAATTAAAAAATTATCTCGTTGGGAAGTTATTGATGTTGTCCGTACATTGTCCACTGAAAAGGCTAAAGCTGGTGAAGAAGGTATGACAAAATTTTCAAGAGGAAATCGGTTTTCTATTGCTGAGCATCAAGAAAGGTAAAAATGTTCATTGCATCCTCTAAACAAGAAAGGTATTAATAAAGTGTTATTATAAATATATTTTAGATACAAGGAAGAGTGTCAACGAATATTTGATCTACAAAATAGAGTACTTTCATCCAATGAGTTGTTGTCAACTGATGAAGGAGAGAGTTTTGATGAAGAAGATTGTTCTGATATTGAAGAAATGGGAAAAAATATTGAAAACATGTTGTCGAATAAAAAAACAAGTACACAGGTATATTATACAATATATTGTGAAACATAAATATCTAAAATGATAAAAGTCTGAACTTTTGGATTACAATGATCTCTAAAATGTAATTTTTGAAACTGAAATAATCTAGAACGTAATATTCTAGAACTGAATAAAAACTAATGGTTTCCATATCCTTAATTCTATTATTACTATAAAGATGCAATACACAACAGGACCAATGCTTGTGTTGTGTGGAAAGTGGTGGTAAATATTTGAAAATATTTCAGGAACAATTAATAATTTTCTGAATTATTGCAGTCTGTAATTTTATGATCCTGAAAATCATATATAAGTATTATAATAATAGTAAATATATATAGTATTTAAAATTATACATTATGTTGTTATATATGTATTCAAAATCATTATAAATGCAGTATAAATTCTGCATAATATACGACAAAAAAATGAATGAGCATAAAATTGATAAAGTCTTAGATTAAATATTAGATATTCAGACATTTAAAAATGGCAAGAAACTTATCGATACTTAAAATTTTCAGTTAGCTTGTACATTTATTGTGTAAAAAATTAATTTTTATTATACTTTAAAATTCAAATTAAATTTCAATTGGTTTAGTTATCACTGGAAAAAGAAGAACAAGAACGCCATGAACTTCGAAAAATGATCATGGGAGAGCAAAATGATGAAACGCGAAAAAGAGACAAGAAAAAAATGGATGACGACGATAGTATGCAGTTCTCATCTACTGGACAACCAGGTATGACAAAACTCATAATTTATTATGGGGGAAGAATGAATATAAATTTTAACTATTTTCCAGGTCGTGTACTAAGGATTTATAGAACATTTCAAGGAGCAGATGGAAAAGAATACACTAGAACAGAAGTTGTGCGTAAACCAGGTGTGATTGACGCCTATGTGAAAATTAGAACAACAAGAGATGAAGGGTTCATTAGACAATATGCACTTATGGACGAAGCACAAAAGGAAGAGATGAAACGTGAAAAACGAAGAATACAAGAACAATTGAGGCGTATCAAACGAAATCAAGAACGTGAGCGTTTCTCCAATAATTCTAGACCACAACCTGGTAAATTTATGATGTGACACAGTATAACATAATTGTTGCTATTTATTATATTCTGTTTTCTGTATTTTTAGGATTTGGTTATTCGATTGTAAATAAAAGCAATTCCTTAAGCAATGATGTACCAATGCCTACTTCTGGTACAGTGACAATACCAAAACCACGTATAGAGGCTACTCCTCCACGACCACGTAAACCAAAACCAAGTAAAATGAAACCAGATTTAAAAGTGAGATGCGGTGCATGTGGTAATGTTGGTCACATGAGAACAAACAAAGCTTGTCCTCAGTACAATCTGAACCCTAATGCATCGGTTAATGTTGCCCTGACTGAAGAACAAGAAGAAGAAATTGAAAAACAAATGAATGTAGAAGACGAAGATTTAGTTAATGTCGATGGCACAAAGGTCACTTTATCTAGCAAACTCTTAAAGGTAGATTTTTAGTTCGTTTCTTAATTCTAAACTCTATTCTCGTTATAAAATGATGTACTGTTTAATGTAATTATTTTATTTTTGGTTTATTAGCATGCAGAAGAAGTGAAAAGGAGATCACTGGTTTTGAAAGTTCCTAAAGATGCATTGTCACGTAAAAAACGTAAAAACGAACTCCACTGTGATTATTTAAAGAAACCTGATCGATCAGCCAACAGACGTCGTACTGATCCATTAATTGTATTATCCACTATTTTTGAATCTATATTAAATGAAATGCGTGATATGCCTGATGTACATCCATTTATTTATCCAGTTAATGTTAAAGTAAACTAGCATCCATTATCATTATTATTTGTTTTCGACTAAATTATATTGTGTTTGGCTCAACTAAAAATTACATATTACAGAAAGTACCAGATTACTATAATATTGTACAAAGGCCAATGGATTTACAAACTATTAGAGATGGATTACATTTAAAAAAATATCAGAACCGTGAAGAATTTCTTTCGGATGTCAATCAAATTGTTGAAAATTCTACATTGTACAATGGTAAATGAAATACACTGTCAATGTTTTATGTTTTTTCGTTTAAATTATTTTTGAGGAATTTAATTAAACTATAAACTAATTTACAGGAGCTAAGAGTTCACTGACAGTTGCTGCACGTCGCATGCTAGGTGTATGTGTGGATCGCTTACATGAAAAAGAAGAACGACTTATGTTGTTAGAAAAAGCAATCAATCCATTGTTAGATGATAATGACCAAGTGGCTTTAACATTTATATTAGACAATGTGGTTGGAAAAGTTAAGACTATGAGTGAAGCATGGCCATTTATGAAGCCTGTCAATCGTAAATTAGTAAAAGATTATTATAATATTATCAAACAGCCAATTGATTTAGAGACTATCGCCTCGCGTGTTTCTAGTGAGTAATTTTTTTTAAACTAGTAAATTAAATTTCATGTTAAAAATTTGGTAAAAGTGGTAAAAAGTTTGTTATGTTAAATTTGAACAGTAACAAAATAGATTTTAGTCATAAATAATAAGAAATACCAATAGTGATATTATAAAATACAATAAACTATCTAATATTAAAGCAGGTATCTCAAATAGTAGAACCTTTTGAAAACCACTTACCTACAGCTATATAATATAAACTACTGTAATACAACTAATAGTTTTTATTTTGTTTCCATATTAAAATTGAAACATTATATAATTAAATCAGGGACACATGTTCTTTGAACCAAGTTGTTTGAACCATACTTACCTCAATTATGCTCTATTCAGAATAAGAGCACACCTGGTAGTAGATGAAAAAATATCTAAGTTTACATGGCGCTTACAGGCAGTGTGCGCACAAACTGGTGTGCTCTTATTCTGAATAGAATATAACCACCATATATATTTTTAAGTTTGAAACAATTATAAAACTTATAATAGGTTTATTCATATTCATTAATTAAATTGTAAAAGACTTTAATATTTATTTTATTGCAATAAATTAAATTGAATTGTTTATTCAGATAAAATAGCTGTTAGAAGTATCAGTGATATTGTCTATAATTTATTTATTTACTAGAATATAAAAACAAAAACTTTGATAGTTGATTAACAAATATAGTGGTATCTTACATAATCTATAGTATTATGTAAGACACAATACATTATATTTTATTTATTGTTATAGTAAATATTGAACTACAAAGGATCATAAAATAAATGTTTTGGGGTAATACAAAACAAATTATTTTAATGTATTTTAATAATTTTGAAGAACAAAACTCGTTTTCAGATTATTAAAAAAGTTATATTACCAATCATTTTTGTAATATTTTATATTATTATGCATATTAAAAATTATTTTTTATGTTATGTAATAATACTAAAAATATTTTATACTACTTGTATCATTAGTTGTGTTTCTATTTTATTTAGGTCATAAGTATCATAACCGTAAGGAATTTCTGACAGACATAAATTTAATTTTGGAAAATTGTGTTGCTTATAATGGTGAAGATTCAGAATTTACCCAACAAGCAAGAAAAGTAGTAAATGTTGCTTCAGAATCATTAGAAGAGGTAAATTATTTTATAAAAAAGAAAAGTAGTAATAGAATAAATGTAATTTTTTGATAAAATTTTCAGTTTGACCAATACTTGACGCAAGTTGAGCAAAATATCAGTATAGTTCAGGCCCGTGCTTTAGAACAGGTTGAAATTGATGATTCTGCGGCAGAAGATGATTATGCAGATATGCAAGATGTAGAAGATGTAATTTATGTCTTAATTATTTCATGAAAAATTTGACAGTTTCTTTTTTTGTATACTAATTTATATGCATACATTTTTTCAGAACTTGAATTCGCCTAGAGAACACAAAGTGAATATTGAAGACATAGAATTCCAAATGGATCCAGACAGCAATAACTTTAAAACAGAAACTAATCATATTTTAGAAGATGGTAATTTGTCCAAAACTAATTAATATTATGAATGATATATAGTTTTTGAAGTTATAATGGAAAGTTTTAATTTTAGATCTACATTGTTCGAGCGAAGAAGATGATTTTATGGAAGTTGTAGGAGAAAATCCACCAGATGACGACAGCCAACAAGTGGCAGAAGCCATGGTCTTGCTTGGTAACATGGGATACAATCCTGTCCCTGAAACTACTTTCTCCAACCAAATTCAAGGTGAAATAAGAATATCATATTAATCTAACAGCGTATAAATTTTTTCTTTTTACCAGCCGACGAAAGTATGGATCTTGACCCAAACTATGACCCTTCAGACTTCCTACCAACTAACAGTCACAATGTGGACATTGGGCTTGATAAAGACAATCTCGCGGTACCAAGTAATCCAAATCAAACCACTGCAAATATCCAAGATGATTTAGAGATCAGCGATTCAGAAGAAGAATTGTCAAGAGATCCTCATGAAGACACTATGGAGATTAAAACAGAAGGGGATTTAGGAGAGCTGTGGTTTTAAGTGATTTTTAGATAAAAATTATTATTTTTTGTATACTCCATAGTTTACTATAGCCTATCCACACGTTTCTACATAAAATAAGTATTATTTTAAATGATTCATTGCCACTACAATGACATATTTTATTTCCAAACAACAATTTTTCAGTAGACAATGTGATATAATAGTATAACCATGATAGTTGAACAATTTTCAGCTGACATTCAAAAATAATATACATATACAAAGTGATTCACTAAGTTTAGACACTCTTTTTTTTTTTTTTTTCGTTAAATTTTTTATATAGGTATTCAAATTCTGTTTTTTGGAATTTTCCTCGAGTATCCTGTGGCGACACCAACTTTGGTTTTTCAAACGAGAACCTCTATTAAAAATTTCATAAATAAAATGAGTATTTCTTCTTTACATACATTTTTGGATTAACAACTATTAGTGAATCATTCTGTATATGAAAAATGCTCACTTATAAATATGTTTGTATGAATAAATTTCATATAATATTTAGATAAACAATTTTATTGTATCTATATTTTCCATTTATATCTATATTGAAATAATGCAAGGAATAAATTAATTTTTTTCAAATACATAAAATGTTTTTATTTTATTATTTTTAATAGAAAATGGATCAACAAGACACTTTTTTTTGATAATATTGAACAATTTAAACCAAATGGATTGTGTTAAAATAAGGTGGGGGAAAAGAAGAAAAAAAACACATTTTTTTTTTCACAAAAAATAATAATATAAAAATATTTTTAACAAGCTTGATTTCTTTTGCTTATTTATTTAACTATATATGATAAAGAAATAGGTACAATAAAATTGTTTTTATAAAAATAATATTTAATTTTCTACAGAAAATAGTTCAATATTTTTGGTTTAGTATAGGCCTTCAAGTTACTTTGCTGCAATTACAATGTCTTCCTATCCTTATGTTTCATCACCTCATTTGTGTTCTCTACTTCTAACAGCTGTGGGTGCTAATGCACACAATTTCGCCATCTCTGAATGTCCCTGAAGATTTCTACCTGAATATTTTTCATAGTAATTTTCAAGTAATTTTATTAAAATTAAAGAAAATTCACAAAATGATTAAAGGGCATATGCAAATGAAAAATAGTTCTTACTAAACATTTCAATGATTTACCTCGTCTGAAATAAGGGAAAAAAATACAATTTGTCTAATGCTCTTTCAGTTCATCATGTAAGTAGGTATGTAAACACTAACACGAGTAGTTTACTTAGTACCTTATTCGGCATTTAATGTTGTGCAATATTGCATCACTAGAAAAAAATGCCGATGCATCAAACATTTTAACCATTCATATACCTGAAATGTGTACATGTGTGATGGACTGACTGTACCATTGTACATAGTGTGAAAATAAAAAATATTCTATAATTATTGATTTTTTTTAATATATATATGTATTTATGTTACTTGAAAATAACCAAGTATTTATTTTCATTCTTTATTGTCGTACGTTGATCATAGAAAACAGTATAATGCTTATATAGTAGAAACCATTTAAGATACTCTCGCTTAAGACGATATCTCGCCTAATATGCTCATTTTTATGAGTCTCTTGATGTTAACAAAATACAACTAGTATAATCAACTCCGGATAATGTGCTTTATATTCTAGAATAACATGTTCTTTTTGTCAATTATGTTGATGTATAAAAATATTAAATTTATAAAAAAATATCTCATTATTAATAATGATAACGAATGTGTACTTGACAATAATATTCACAATTAGATACGGCATGTTATACATTTTTGTAGAAAAAACAAACATAGTCATGTGCAATTAATTTTATTCTCTTTTACTTTTAATTTTTAATTATGACTTATGAATGATTGTCAAGGAATTAAACAAAAAGCTCTTTCTATTGCTGACAAATTGGAACATTTTAAAAATACAGAATGAAAAAATTAAAAATAAATAGCAAAAGCCATTTGAAATTGAGAGCAGTAGTTGTAAATGATAAAAAATAAAACAATGATAATATCCTCACAGAAAAACAGGTTTCCCGTGTAATACGCTATTTTTGACTGCATTTTTAAGAGCATCTTAAATAAGTTCTACTGCATTTAAAATTATATTATAGTTGTTTATTTATTCTACAACCATCAATAATATGATTCGTACTTATTGTACCAGATATTATTAAAATTGTTCATTTTATCTTGAAATACATAAAATTAAACAAAATATTTTTTTTCCAAACAAATTTTATTTGTTTTTCAATTTTAAAAGTAATGTAAAGATATATTGCGATATAGAAGAATTAAAGCACATTGTTCTCATACTTTACCATTAAAAATATTGAAGTGGTAAATGTAAATTTTTAATTCCTTAACTCATTTGCTGTTTTTATAGCATCATTAGTGTCACGTAATAATTTTTTAGTAAGGCGCTATTTGACATGATTCGGTATTAAAACAGACATTTGGAAATAATTAAAATTTGTGTTACTTTCAGACTTAAAAAGCACCTGTTCGATCTTGTTTTTATATCCCCGGCTCATACAAATATGTTTTAGTCTACATAAACCAGGTCTTGAATGACCTTGGATTGAATCCATTCAACTTATCACTGACATTGTATCAAGAAAAAAAAAAAATATTTTTATTTAAATAAATATGATATACTTTTCTAAGTACAATTTGACAAACAATATAAATTATGTTATTTTGGTCAATCTGACATAAAAATCTGATAAAAAAAAGTTACATTTAACTCAAATAATAATACCTATACAGGAAATAGTGATAAAGTATTATACAATAAACAACAAAAGTAAAGATTAAAAATGCTGACCAAATTGAAAACAAATGTAGAAATGACGCCCTTGCAAATGAAAGAAGCGATTCCTTAAGGTAACATTCGCAGCAAACATAATGTGTTTTATTACTTACTAAATTACTACTGCAAAAAACCTATTACTTTCACACTTCATTTACAAAAAGAAACAATTTTAAATTTTTCAATCAAATTTTTGTCAACTAACATTATTGCAAAAAGTATAAATATTTGTCTTACCTAATATCAATTACACTGTTACACCCAATTGTTTTGAGACAATTTGAAAATGACGTAGTTACTAATAATTGAAAGAAAAATTTAAAATCAAATATAACACAAAAATTAATAATATTTATAATATATTTGTGAGAATTACAAAAAGGTCCACGAGTTTTTAAAGTACGTGTAACATAAAAATATTTTTACAAACGAGATAATTTAAATAGTTAGTGAACGTCTGTTGGTTAATAAATTAACTATTAACTAAACTGTTAATAAATTTACTTTTTTATCTATAAATATAATAATATAAAAAGCTAAATAGTTTAAATAAAATAAACAAAAATATGGTTAGATAGATAATAATACTTTTAGAGGATAACCACATTATTTTACAACATTAAATAATTGATTTAGTAAAACAATAAAATTGCACAAGAATAAAATATCACTATAAAAAAAAAAAAAAGGTCTGGTATAAAAACAAAAATGTTAAAATATAAATATTAAAAAGGTATTAAACAAAAAATAAACAATTTAAAATGGACATAAATAGTAAAATTACTTTAATAATCACAGGTAAAATATCTTCTATTAATTTAGACTTAAAATAAAAATGAAATATAATGTTATTTAGGAAAACTAAAATAATTAATATTAACATTAATTTGAATCTGAAAAATAACTAATCAAGATTAATTTTACTAGTCTATATAATTTTAAAATAAATTGTATTTAAGTTAGATTTTTAATACATTATATTGATTTAGTTTGATTGGAAATTTAAAAATGTTCTATAATTGAGATATGCTATTTTGACCTGAAAAATCATTTTTCTCGCTCTCATTATCAAAAAGAGGTCATTTTTTTTTAACAAAACATAAATATAGGAAAAAATGTAAAATATAACAAAATATAGGATTTTAAAGTAATTAAAATTGTATACACTTGAAAAGATGAATTACTTAACACATTTCAGTATTTATTTTAAGTATTAACTAAAATTCTATGATAAAATTTCGGATACCTACAATTATTGTTTTTAATTTAACAAAGATAATTTTTAAAGAACAAATTTAGCACATGTTATCATTGCAATAATATAACTATTTAAAAAAAAAAATATATATAGAAATGCAAAATTCAATAACTGATTGTACATTTAAAAAACAATCAATTAAAAATAACTATGTAAACATAATATACTATAAATTAAAGGTTTTTCGTATATTTTGAGCAATATGATTTAATATTAATAATAGGAAGACACCCTAATAAGTTATGGTTTTTTTTTTATTTGTAATTAATCTAAACTGTAAATATTTAATGTTGTTAAATAATATTCTTAAACTTGGCACAATTAAGTTTCCTGCAAAGGGATTAATTTTTATATTAAGTCAATTATCACTTCAGTAAACTTAAAATGTTTTTAAATCTATAATGAGTAAATAAAAAGTTAATAAATGAATACATAAACCTAATAATCCCAATACTGTGAAACCCATGCATAGCAGTTACAGGATCATATAAAGTGTTTGTAATAGACAGAGATGTAGCATTGCAAAAAAAAAAAAAAATGAAAACAAACAGAGAAAAATGTACAACACTATAATAGTATAGAGATAGGCAATACGTACTGAATTTTTTTTATGTATTTCTGGTTATGTCCTTGCTGTTAAGTTTATCCTTATTATCAAATATGTAATCTGTCATAATAGGTATTCAAAATAGACCAGCTGTTGCAAAGTATGTATGCGCCAGTTTGCAATATATTTGATTTTGAATTAAGAAAGTTGTCCGTTATTAAGGTATTGGGAAAAAATATTACTATCTATGTCTGTAATAGAAACAATCTGTTAAAGACAGGTTATAATATATTGGAATGCCTTTATTTTTGCCACAAATTGATTATTTTTAGAGATATCTGTTATTTACAGCTATTTCATTAAGACGGGTTTCATGGTGTTTATAATCATTATTGCCAAGGCTGAAGAAAAATTAATTTATAACATAATTAAAGTTTTAATGTAATTTTTTTGTAATCACAAATGGAATAATACAAATACATATTCAGTTTAAAGGAAAAAATTCTCATGACACATGTTTATATTATTAGGTGTACCTATTTTTTGATGAGGCTGTAATATATTTTTCCTGTTATGTCTTGAAACGAAAATGTAATCTAATAATGTCAATTAAATGTAAAATTGTATCAATATCTTTGAAGTTATTGAAATTAAAACAAACAAAGCGGTATGCAATAACATTTTTAGGATCACCAAGAGTAAGACTGAGTACAAAACCATTATCGAACACATCCAATAGAATAATAGCAGAATTCTATTATTCCAGGAATAAAAATATATACCATACATGTAAATCCCCTTGTTTCGTTGCTTCTTATTTCAAAAGCTTGAGCAAATCCTTTTTCTATAGTTTGTGTTGCGTGATTGTCATAGTGATCTTCCTAATTGTCACGACTACACATAAGATTAATTTTTAATTAAATCCAAACTTCAGAAGAACTCTCAGAAACATATATAAGTACTATTTGAACATACACTTAAATGATTCAACTCATATAATTATTTTGATTAGTGTGGTTTTAGTAGTAGTAAAATAATTGTATACAAAGCTATCTTTTAACCTATGCATAATTTTCGGCAATGACAGAGAAAATTTTAAATCTCAAAATATTAGATAAAAAAAGCTAAATTAATTTTATTATTAATTAATAATTAATAATTTCACAAAATCTTAGTATACTTAGATGAAAACTAAATGAAACATTTTTTTGAAAATTAGAAACCTGTCAAAATGGTTTTCAATTTGTTATTGTAATTGTAATTATGAGTATACAGTGTGGCTCACCATATTCAATTAATGTTTTTAGTGCTGTTAATATTACATTTTTTTTTTAATTGGTTTGTCTTCAAGAGGGTCAATCTTCTATTCGATTTGGAGAAAAATTAAATTTTTATTTTCATCCTCTAAACACAAAAAAAAACCTTTATTTATTCACTTTAGAAAATTTTCAAAATAGCTTCTTTGTAAAACAATATTAATCAAAAAATTTTAGTGCACTACAAATTCATATACAATAAATAATTTCTTAACTAAAGCTGTTTTAATTAGGTATGAAAACAATTAATACTGAATAAAATAACACGACAAGGAATTACAATTAGTATGATAATTCTTTACCTTGTATTGAATATTAATTATTTTCATGCCTATTTTCTAGAAATTAAAATGGCTATAATTAGAAAACTATTAATTGAATAATTGTATGACACATTAAAATTTTTAAAATAATACTTTTTACAAAATAGCTATTTTGAAAATTTTCTAAAGTGAATAAATAAAGTTTTTTTTTGTGTTTAGGGAATGAATATAAAAATTTGATTTTTCTCCAAATCAATGTCCCTCTTGAAAACAAACCGATTGAAAAGAAAAGTTAAAATTTTAAAATATTAACAGCGCTAGAAAAATCTGTTGAACGTGGTGGGACATACTGTATATATGTTTTTATTCCAGAAATTGTTTGAAATGAATAATAAGAGTTCTGTGTATATAAGACTTGTATATAAGTCTTGGTATAGGAACATATAAAAATGTTAAAAGTTTTGTTTGTCAATGAACAGCATTAATAAAAATCAATGAAAATAATAAATAATATAATAACCATGGTAACAATTAAGTTTGGCTTGACCCATAAGTACCAGCCGGGGGTCGGTACATTTGTGGTAAGGTGAAGTTTTGTAACCTGTTAAACGCATATTTCCTAATACCAGTGTTCTTGTACGTATTTTCTCTTCTACATCCCTCACTGAAAGATATCCATATCATTTATATTTATTTTTTAACATGTATTTTAATATTTTATTACCTTCTCATACAGTCTAAAGCTCGTTGAATTTCATTATCTGCTAATCCATATTCCAAATTTAGTATAGAACATTGCTCAAGTGTTACTGACATGCCTGTTCGGTCTTTGGCACTTTTACAACTAGTAAATCGTAAACCTAGAAATTTAATTTAATGTTCTTTTCAATATTCAATTTATTTTATATAATTACTAAACAACTTTGTATCGAATATTCAGAAACAAAAAATGTGCAAACTCTGTAGAAGCTAAGTATACTTAAAAAAAAATTGTATAAAAAAATAGCTATGGCATTGTGAAACAATAAAATTATAGAGTGTAAAGCACAATATAGTAGTCAGGGAGTAGGTTTACGGGCTCAAGCCCATTTCCTCTTGAAATGTCAGATTATAATAATAATTGTTTAAATAATTTGAAAGTATACTTTAATCCAGTAATTAACTTAATTTCTTAGTCTTATTATTTCATCATCAAAAATTGAAACCACCCGGAAAAAAAATCCTAGCTATGATATTAGTAGATCATTGATCATTGACAAGTGTTGCTAGTCAATGATAATGGTAATTCAAATTATTTATTGAAAGTGAATATTAGGAGTAAATATTATATATTCAGTGTTTATTTCAGACTTTCATCCCTAGGGGTATTTCGTAAATTTCCAAAGAGGTATGCTAAAGACTGAATTGGAATTTTCTAGGAAAATCAACAAATTTTTAAACCTGGGAAAAAAATTAAGAAAATATACTCAATGTTGAATTTTTGTAGCTTGTTAAAATACAGTTATTTATGTAACAAATTTTTTTTTTAAATTTTATTGTCAACAAAATGACTGCTAATCGACCCATAACTCATTGCATATATCATATCATATGTAGTTAATAGTCTAGTAATGTCACACATTTTCAGGAGGTGGAATACATTTTTCTGTGGGAGGAATACCCCTTTGGTCACCCCTTCAAATAAACACTGTATGCATGTATACATTAATGATACAATCTTAATGATCATTATAATTTATATTTAATGAATTCAAACAATTAGATATGCCTTACCTTTTAAACGCCGGCACACTTTGGCTACTATCTGCAATATTTCCACATTTTTACTCTTATTACTATGTAATGAATCTTTTAAACTGTCTATCAGTTCACCAATAGAAGTGCAATGCCGTTCACAATCATCATTATGGGATAAATTAAGCTTGCGATATCTTGAACAAAACTCATTTAATCTTTCAAAATTATCTACGTTGCTGCTGTCCTGAGGTTTAGTATTTCCTAAGTTCTCTGCGAGAGTAGCCATTTCATTAATGCCTATATTGAAAAAAACAGGTGTAACTCGAAATGGAGCAATTGCTTTGGAAGGTAATAGAGACTGAATCAAATCAGGAACTGGTAACAGGACACATAATGAACTCTTGGAACCTATAATCCTTGGCATAATTTCATCTTTTGGGTTTTCTCTGCAAAAAAAAATAATATTCTTAGGGATACTATATGTTTAATACAGAGTAAGCATTCTTAGTGAATCATCCTGTATATCATTAAAATATGCCCAACATTATTATAAATGTACTAATTGTATATATAATACCTAACAGCTTGTGATACTGGTAACAAGGTAAAATTCACAGTCGCCAGGTCTTCAACAGCTACAGCCATGTCACCCCACATATCAATCTCATTGCCATAGTAACTTAATAGACATTCAAAAGAGGCTAGACAACCAATTGAAGACAATGTATGTAAGAATTCTGGGTCAGGCTTTTGACACCACAACTTTGCCATTAAACCGCTAACAAGAGCAGTTAACTAGTATATTCCATAAAGAAATAAATGTTTATATTAGTTGTTCATAAAAAAAATAAAATGGCTTTATTACAGCTTGAGAAAAACAGACGTGTCTTCGATATCGAACATTGCATGACCTTTCAGCTGACCGTTTATCCTCTTGTACTCTGAAAACACTATGAGTAAGTCTAGCAGTTTTCAAAAGTCCATCCATAGCTTGGCGAAGTTTACGCATGCTTGGCTTTAATTCAGTAGGCCAATCAGTCATGAGATTAAAATCAAGTCCTTCTGTGAACTTGTTTCTAGGAAGCACACTAAACATAAAAAATTAATTTATACACCATTTTTATAAAAGCTTGGAAAATGTACTACTTACTTGGTATTTATAGTTTGTGATCCATTATCTAAATTTGAATCAACTAATTGGGACATTCTGGTATCTAAGCTCACTGGTTGATGACCATTTGTCACCTAAAATATTTATTATCAATTAATTAAATTAAAAATTAAAAAATAAATATAAAATATACTATACGAAAAGTAATAGACTAAAATGAAAAATTGATTCAAAAAATCATGTTTTACTAAATTAGTAGAAAAACAATTTTTTTTTATATAGATTGTAAATATATTGGCATAACATATGTATAAATTCATAATCCAATTCTTTTTCATAAATCAAGCCATTAGAGGTACAATATGAAAATTAATTAAATAGGTATATCGAAACCTGCTTATATCTAATATATTACTAATTTTAGAAATAATTTTTCAACCTGCCATCATTAAAATTGTTTTAAGACATGCAGTTTAAATTAACATGACTTATTACTCAGAATAACGAAAAAAAAATTGTAACTATTCAACATTATTGTATCTGGCAAAAATAGTTTACTTGATTTGGTGATGTTACATTTGAACGGAAGCTGCGACATCTTTGAGACCTTAATCTCACTGCTGGACTATTGCAACGGCCACACAAGAATTTAACTTTACTCACAAGACACATAATACTAGCTTCAATATTTAACTGAGTAAGTTCCCATGGTTCTGGCTCTTCAGTTGGCTTATAGTAATTAGCTGATGGTGAATTACACATTGAGTAGGTGTCTAAAAATTGACCTGTTCTCATACCATTACCACTTTCAATAACTATTGAATTTTCTTTGGAACCTAAAAATGAATATATTTTTTTTTTATATATTTATTTATTAATATTGTTTTAATACATAAACTTTATAGAAATAAGTTAATGAATTAAGTACTAGAAATATTTTTTGTGTCATCTTCGTTACTATCCATTTCACCCTTGGATTCTGGAAACACGATAAACTGTTGTTGATCTTCACTATTAATCATGTCAGTTTCTTCTTGAATTCCCTTTGCACTCAATTTTATTAGATTCCTCAGACTTTTTGGACTTTCGGGAGTATATAAATCTTCCGTGTCTGGTGATTGTAGATCAAAATTTATCTGGCTAGCAATACGTTTAAATGGTGATACATGATAATTTGAAGAATTTTTAATGGATTCATTGTCATCACATGACACAGGTGTCACTTTATGTTCTTCAATAAAATTCAATGCTTCTTCAACAAGCTTCGGATCCCAAAGGCTTAGCAAAATACGTGTCTAAAAGAAATAAATATAGAGAGAAATATCAAAATATGTATTTATAAGATATTATACAGTATTCAGTAAAATTACCAAGCCATTAAATTCAGCAGTTTAATTTTGTTTTAGGACAACCAAATAATTATTATTATTTATTATAAAGACAGCTGGGAAAATAAAAAAAAAAGACCTCCCTTAAGTATCACCTAGTCAGATTTCCTTTCAGAAAAAATTGCTATAATTGAAGCAAAATTGCTAGTAGAAATGTTGTTCAGATAAAAAAATAATAATAATAAAAATCATTGTAAAACCAATACATTCCTCACTACGCTCAGAATCTTAACTATTATAAATAAAGTTTGTAAAGTTCAGTTAATTTAGTCACATAGAACATGAAAACTGTTATGTTTAGTGGCTTTGTATTCTTAAACCATTCTAGATATATTACATTCTACAGTAAAAATAGGTTTAGTAATTACTTTAGACATCATATCATTACAAATTGGCATCATTCCTGCAGTTTGCTTATCTTTAGCTAAATTTAACAAAGTTTTCATTGCATCTACTACTTCTCGCCTGAGAAGTTTTATTGCTTGAATAGCATCAAAAGCCATAGAAATTTTGCTACTAGCCATAGCATGACCATTTGTCTTCAGAGGTGCTTCTTTGAGTTGTTGTAATAATCTTTAAAAATAAATTAATATTAATAAATAATAATAAAAATGTTGATTAATATGTTGTAGTATTTGTATACTTAATTAATCCCCCAGTTTTAGATTTATGTGAATGTGCAGTAAAAGCGCCCACTGTAATTGTATCATAAAATCCACTCTTTTTCAGAGTATCATTTTGAACCCAAATGCGTTGTAGGTGTAAATTTATTGGTGCAAATTCCAGTGAACGATCATTTTTACGAGAACTTGGTTTAAAATGAATCCCTAATAACAAAATAATTATTTAAATCTTTTTATAGTTCAAATTTTGTTTATAAAACACTAATCTAAAAATATTAATTTAAAATAAATTAAAGAGCCAAAAAATTCTGAAATTAACTATGTAATCTATAGAAATAATTTTACAAAAAAATATAAGTTCAATCAAAATTATTTAAATGGTTATTTTTATTAAAAACCAATTTTATTATTGATTTACCTTTTTGATTTTCTAGATTTTGTTTGGCTTGAGAATACAAATGTAATAGTTGTAAATGTCTGTCAAGAAGTTCTACTTGTTTAGAGTGCCATGGCTCAGATAATTCTCCCATTCCAGACACTTCTTGTAAAAGTTCTTTTTCCTCGAGTATCCAAATGTTTCTATTTACAGGTATCAGTTAAATTTCACTCATGCTTAAATAAAATAATGAATAAATTCTTACAATAATTGTTGCGGTAAATAAAAGCACAGCTTGCTTTCTGCCATTATTTCATAAACAGAAATATCTCCCCTTAAACCTGAATGAAAACGATAAGTCACAAATGATACATTATCAAATAATAAATACAGATAGTTTTGTAATGGAACACGTAATCTGGATCCAAGTCTTGGAGGTAATGATTGTGTCCTTCGGTGGTTTATCATCTACAATAAATGTACAAAGTATTGTATAAAGTTAATAATATTAAAATATCATTCAAATTTCCCAAGTCATCTTACAGGAATATGATTGTTATACATTAATGACTTGCATGGAGTTGATTCTGTACTCATGTTATGGCCAATCTGCTTATCTGGTTGACAAATTGTCATGGTCACAAAACCAACAATTTTATCTGAATCTGACCGAATGCTTGGAGAAGATAGGGGTAACCGAACACGTTGTCCATTGTTTCCTGAATGAGTAGTTTCTAATAATGAACTAAGAATTGTTTCGCAGTGTCCCATTTTTACAGCAGTTCCTGAAATACATTCTCGCACATCATAGACTGACACTCGAAGGACACTATCTTCAGTCAATCCATCGCTACATTGCAACCATATAGTTCTCAAAAACGTTGGATTACTGTTGTCTTTAATAACTTCTGTATTGGCATAATTAATCCAAACGTTTTCACTTGGTATAAATATTGATACAACAATTGCCGGATTTGGAGAACGCCCATGTCCATCACATATCAAGTTGTCACAAGAAAAGCAAATTTCACACAGTGGTACTTTTGTTAAATCTAAAAAACATAAATATTAATATTTAAAAAATAATAATAATATTATTATAAAATTGTACCCAATTTAGGTTGATTTTTACGTAATCTCCACATATTAATATCTAAATCAGGCTTTCGTTTTTCTTCCAATTGTCTTCTGAGATTCAAAAGTCTTGCTCGCATAATTTCGTAGCTTGCTTGCTTTATTGCTTCTAACCAGGAATCCCTTTCGGGTTCCGTATGTGCAGCAATTTGTTGACAAATACCGTTTTCAAACACTATTAAATTTATATACATACTCATTAGAAATGTAAAAATATTTTTAACTTGAGAAAATAAATTATACCTATTTGAAAACTAAATGGTCCTTCTACAGGAGATTCATCCAATTGTACAGAATAGTTTTGTAGAACAATAACACCAAGTAAATCTGATAGTTGATCGTCAGACTTGAGGTAAAATAACAAATTTCCCCTCAAACGACACCAACGTTCAAAATTAGCTTTAAACAGTACAAAATAAAACACAAATTAACATTTATCAAAATTATAGTTATAACTAAACTTAAAATCATAGATATTCAATAATTTAATATGAATATGATAATTATATTAGACATTCCTGTACACTATCAGCACAGACTAACAAATTCACTTAATAAAACCAATCAACTATACAATAGAATAGATAATAACAGTAAACACAAAATTCTCAGTATTATAATTACACTATTGAATAAATTAAAGAAATTGGTTTTATTTTGTTTAATTGAATAGATTTTAAAAATATTAACAATAAAACATTCATATTCATCTGAAAAAAAACGAATAAAAAATGCTATTGGTAATATGATTTATTATTAACATTATTCTATTTATATATAGTTTATATTCAGAATTAATTGGAAATTATTAATATTACTTAAACTGTACCTAACAATTTTACATTTAACTTGAACTAATAAAAAGTTATCAACATGCATCATAAAGATATAAAAGGTTCAAAGATTATTTCAACATTAATGAACAATTAACTGTTAGGTTGGCTAGTAATAGATTGCATATGGATATATCATGCGACAACACATAAGTTTCATGCTAATAATTAATAAATAATACAATATAGTTTGTTTATAGTATAAATATGGACAAAACTACTAAATGCTGTAATAAAAAGATAATAATAATCTCCTTTCCTCAAACAAAAAATGAAAAATAATAAATATTTACTATGCATATAAGTCATTTTGAATAAATTCTAAATATATGCTTTAATTAATGAAAAATATTGGAATTAAACTGTGTTAAGAATAATAATATTATTTATCTTATAGTTGCAGTTTTGCCAATTTATCTTACACAAACTATAAAAATGTTATTTCCAGTATTGTAAATCAGATTGGCTTGAATGGGATATTTACATTTTTTACTGTTTTATCATAAATAATCCACTTAACATACCTCATTGTGTATTGCCTATTATCATTACCTATTATGTTTCAGTATTGTATAAATATTTAATTATATAAAATGTTTATAATCATATACCTTTTTGTGATCCGCCGTAACAGTTCAAATCGCTAAGTCGCTCCCGCTTTTTGCTTCTTTTTGAGTCTCTCTCTGAAATTGTTTAAATATCTCAAATAGTCTAAAAATCTATAAGTAATTGGAAAACACAATACCTAACCAGTAAAATAAAAAACGAAAAAATCACAATGCAATAATTAGGTACATTTTCTTTTTTTGTAGCAAGAATAACACAATCTTTAAAATCCAAACCATAAGTAATGTATTTTATCCACAATATTATGTTTTTTTTTTTTTTAAAAAAATATTTAATATGAAAACTATTAAAATTTGACTTTTATACATTTCTAGAGAACATTCTGAATTACAATTGTCTACATCATAATTTTTACTTGAATTAATAATCAACTTTTAAATAACATTTGATCTTCGAGGCAAGATAATTCAAATTTGAAATGAATATAAATTTCAAAGTTTTTTAATGATGAATGGAATCTTTATTATTACACACCTAAAAATATCAAAGTATTCAAAGTTATTAAATTAATTTTCATAAGAATATAATACTAACACAAAATGTTAGTTTTGTAATTATTTACCAAATATAAATAATTTGAAAAATTAAATAAAACTGGCCACATAATTTATTATACAAAATATTAACTTTTCCAGGTTAAATGTGTATAGAATAATTGCAAATTATTGTTTTGTTATTCATATACAAGCTTAATTCCACAAACACAATAAATAAGTAAAGTTGCTTACTGTGTTACATGAAAATTTTGAATGAAGAAACTACCCAATAATGAAACTTCTGCAATGTTCTAAAAAAATGTAAACTAAAATTATTTAATGAGAATACAGATGTCAAAACAATCAACAAATAGATAGATAATTACTATTGTAATTAAAAAATTATATTTAATTATTCATTGATAAAAATTAACTTAGTAACAATAACATTTTATATCTCGATAGTATCCTATAAGTAACCTACTCATAATTACAACAACAATAAACATAATACTTATTTATAGCTACTTGTGTGTATTATTCTTTGACTAAAACTTATAATTAAATTGTGTTAACATTATTAAAATAATGATGTTATTTCTAATTTTGTTATAGATATTATTATTTATTTATTTCAATGCTTTTACACACAATGTTATTACGGTAGGTAGAATTATAAGAATATTATTAAACCAATCCAATACCATTCATGTAAAATTACTAAATTGTATCATGCATAATTCCAAATAATGATAAAACATTCTAACATAGACCCAAGTCTACAAAAATTTATTTACAGACTCTGTAATAAACACTGATAAAATGAAAAACATGCTGAAATAAATTCAATATTTTATTTAAGTTTTTATAAAAATAAAACATTTTAGCAGACAATCAACTTAAAATTATCAAAGGTATAATAAAATAAAATAAATAGTTCAATCATGCTAAGCAAATGTAATTATTTCAAAATTATAGTCTATAATAAAGTTTCTCTAAACTTTTTATAAGTACTAAATTGCAAACTTTCAAGAACTAAATTTAAATAGTAGGTGTGCTTTTTTTGGTAATCTAGTAATATTTTGTAATAATTTTTAAAGTACCTATGCACCAACCAGTCACAAACCAAATATTTACTCACTCTCGGTTCTCCTGAAAAACCCTTCCTGACGTTCACGCACAAACAATAATCCTTCTTTATCAAATTTATGTGATGGTTGTTGTGCCAATGTAATCATTTCCTGTTTGTTGAAACGCATTTCATTTGCTGGACCTAAAATGCAATAGTAGAGAGGTAAATTATGAAGGATATAACCAGATTATATAGGAACATTAACGAAATAAGTACTTACTGACAAACAAGTATACAAGGAATGTGTATATGTCAGCAACAATTAGCGTGAATCATAATTGTGTGCTAATGTGTTGTATAGTCACAATTAATGGTGTAAATTGAAATTCAGTGCAAATGGCATTTCTGTTACTCGTTTAAATATTAAAAATTATTATTGAAAACAGGATTTGGACACGATTGTAGATATTAAGTCCAATATCCATACTTCTAGAGGAATTAAAATTAGAAAAATAACCTATTGAAAGGAAAAAGAAAAATATTTTTTAGTTCTTATTATTTATTTTCCTATTTTTTCTCTTGTCCGGATGTCCTGTGATAACGTCAGATATTGATGATAAGCACATCTCGGACCATGGTCAAAGAATAGAGTTCGATTTGAACCACAGATAAATATAGGTATATAATATATATTATATTATAAATCTGTGATTTAGACAAACTACCAAAGTGTAATAATAACATGTAAATTCAAATGAGAAAAATTGATTAAAAATAAGAAAATCAAGCCGACCAACAATGGTTGTATTCTTAAAAACAACAAAGCATCTTCTTTTATCTGTACTAACTTGATTATTAAAGCAATACCAGTAATCACAAACGTGAAAGTATTTTAAGTATTATATTAAAACTCACGATTATTATTCAATTGGTATCATGCGCTTACAAGTTGTAAATAAATACTTCGTGTCATCGACCCGTACATATATATAGACAAGAATAATTATTTTATAATACATATTCGCAGTGTTTATTGATTATTTATATTCGATGATTTTTTTTTAGATTCTGAGTGAAGTGAGAAATCTATTAGTTTTACTATGTGTATTTTTTTTTCTGTCTGTAAACCACTTTTCGCTCAGAAATCTTGCTCTAATCAAAACATAACAGAAGAACTTTTTTGTTGGATTTTGGCTCTACTTGGTAGGTAAGTACCTAGTTTAAAAAGGTCATATTTTGAAATAACAAATGAAATCCTAAGCCCTAATTTGTGTATAATCATGGAGTTCGACGGTTATATTGAATTTGAGTGCTACAAATTTTAGAAATTGATTTTGAACACGTTCAATGAAGTCAATGCCATTTTTTAAAGTATGGACACCAGATATAGGAAAACCGTATTCCAGAATAGACCTAACTAACGCACAATGCAGGAGTTTGAATGATCTCAAATCTTTAAAATTAGAAGAGTGACGCTTAATAAAGCCCAAAACTTTCAGTGATTTTTTTTCACAGCACACTCAATATAACCACGGAAATTTAATTTATTGTTTAAAGTAATGCCAAAATCTGTATTTGAAAAATCTGATCTAATTTGGAATACGTATATGAATTATATTCTCTCGGAATCTGTAAAAACTCATTGAATAGCATTTATCAGTATTTAGGCATATATCCCAATTTTGGCACTAATCAGACAAAATATTTAATTCATCTTGTAGAATTCATAATCATCTAACAAGGAAATACGAGTAAATATTTTTTAATCGTTTGTAAAGAACTGAGCGTGGCATTTCTTAAGACTTTATGATATGAACGTACTCACAGGAGGGGGGTTCGTGAGATTTAAATCCCTCCCATTGGCTGTTTTTTTTGCAATAAATTCGTTATAAATTTGTAACGGTGTGAAAATTAATTGTCGCACCTTATAGTGTATATTTACAATTTAAATATATTTATTGCACCAACAAATTATTGAAAAATTATTAAAAATAAAAAGTGCATTCAATTTTGTTTTGTTATTTTTTTAGATTCTGAGTTTAAAAAAATGTATTAGTTTTATATAGATGTTTATTTATTTATTTTTTTTTTTTATGTGAACACTTTCTACCAGAAAGCTTATTCCGATTTCCAAGTATAATAGCACCTTTTCTGAAAGGAAACGTTCTCTGGTGGTACTTTAGATAAGCCATTTTTTGAAATTCTCATTAATATTCGAGATAATGAAGAAAACCCAATTCTTTAGGTTAAAAAGATTGAAAGATTAAAAATAATGTTGTCATTGACAACCGTTTTTATTTATTTTTTGTTATTATTAAGGTTTTATTATTTTAATATTTTTTGAACAATCGTTGTTGTTATAGAAACGCACATTGTTGTAATTATTTTATCATACTTCACACATGGGCGCATCCACTATTGTAGATGGGAAGGTAGGAGGATATAGACGGGAATTTAATGTATATCTGTAAGCAACGATAAATCATTGCTAACGAATAAACGATTCTGAGCTGCAGAGTTCGGTTGATACGGTTGCTTAGTTAACAATATATATGTCATATTATGGTAAAATAATCAGGGCCGGATTTGACGGGGGGCATTAAGGGTATATGCCCCGGGCCCCCAAATTTTAGGGGCCCCCGAGACTCGAATCAGAAATATAAAAAAAATATAAAATAGATTATGAACTACAATGAATGAAGATCGTTTGAACTTTTTATCAGTTATCAGCATTGAAAGTGATGTGTTGGATAATCTGTCATTTGATGATATTATAGATGACTTTGCAGAAAAGAAATTAAGAAAAGTATGCAATTTTTAATATTCTATTTTCTATGTATACATAATAGGTTAATGACTGTAATAATAATCTTAACTTTTAATTGACTATTTTCTTTATTAAAAATATAAATACAAATTTTTGGTACAATTTATTAATATATATATTTAATTAAATACATTTTAGCCTTAGATTATATTTTTTTATTAATAAAATAAATAATATATTACTGTATGACTTNCATGGTATAAGTTTAGGTAGGTATGCAATTTTTGTTATGGACCATTTAGGGCCCCAAAATATTTTTGCCCTGGACCCCCTAATGTTTAAATCCGGCCCTGAAAATAATTACAACAATGCACGCTTTCGTGACAACAATGATTGTTTAAAAAATATTAAAATTTTTTAAAACTTAATAATAACAAAAAAAAAAAACGGTTGCCAATGACAGCCTTATTTTTAATCTTTCAATATTTTTTAACCCAAAGAACTGGGTTTTCTTCATTATCTCGAATATTAATGAGAATTTTAAAAAATGACATCTTTAAAATACCACTCAGAGAACATTTCCTTTCAGAAAAGATGCTACACTTGATAATCGGATTATGTTTTCTGGTAGAAAAATTTATTAACATAAATAAAAAATAAATATATCATTGTAAAACCAATACATTCCTCGCTCCACTCAGAATCTAAAATAATATTAAATGTCATAACTAAAGGGGTGTTTGCTGGTAGCTCCTTACATATTTTTTTGAAAATTACCCACAACCCCTTCACCCATTGGAAATTCATGAGAATGCCACGGACTGATGGTATTCTATTCATAAATAACTTAAATAAGATGGGCGATAAATGACCCCCTTGGGGAGTTCCTGATGAAACAGAAAAGGTATTTGAAAAGAAACGTGGACTCGAGAGAACTGGGATCTGTTTGTAAGATAAAAGTTCAACCAAGACAATAATGGATGACTAAACCCTAACTTACTCAACACGATTATCAATAATTCACGATCAACGCGATCAAGATCGGTGTATATTACATCTAGGTACTTGACAAATTTTCCAGAAAGAGTAGAGTATAAATTTTTGCAACTATAAGTACAGAAATTTAAGATTTTCCAGGTGGAGCGTTGGGTAATGAATTACATACTGTGAAGAAGTAATCAGAAAATAGATTAGCAATAACCGCACCATTATTGGCAATTGTATCAGCTAGAAATATAAATTAGGGCATACCATGGGACTTAGTGTTAAAATTTACCTAATTCCAAATTTTTTTTTGATTCGTGACAATTATGCTTTTCGACTGGTGTATAAATTCTTGAAAAACAATTTTTGATTTTGATTTACATTGGACTCACAACAACGAACATTTTTCATAATTTAATCAACTTTTATTTCTAATATAAATTGAATAAACTTTATTTTTCTTTCAAACAAGGGTTTTGATTTCCTCGTTAAACCGTCTAGGGAAATTATGGGTAATTCTTATAGTTTTTAGTGGGGCCAATGCATGTAAAGTTTCTAAAAGCGCTTCATGGAATACGAGATCATCTGCTTAAATATTTAGATGTTTCAACATTTTTAACCACCTGAAAGAATTAAAAAATAGTTAGGCATTACTATAATCGGCTCCAGATCGGAACTCCGCTCAGAATCGTTTTTCGTTAGCAATGGTTAATCGTTGCGTACATAATATAAAGATTCAATTTCCACTCTACCTTCACAATTTTTCACCTATACAACAGTGACCCACCCACGTGCGAAGTATGTCCGTCTTTTTTTAAATATAATTCACTAATCATAAATCATTCGTCACGCTTTAAGTCTAAAATCGCTAGGATGCTAAATTAGAAGTAAGTACTTAGATATAACAAAACGATGACTGGTTTCGGACTAAGAAATTATTTTGTACTTATATCAGGAAAATTACGGAACCACTGATCGCAACCAAAGAATCGACAAGTTGGTCGATTCAATATTTTCATATTCTATTCTGTGGTCAAGTAGGTACTCACCTCATTAATTACCGCAGCCACCGATCTGTTGCGTCACATACCTTTTTCGTAAGGATATTTATATTTTGTCGACGGAACGATTGGTAAACATTCACAAAAGAATAATTAATTTCATTCTACGATTTCCACGTGGTGACGTAAGTATAAACAGGTATAAGTTACTTAAAAAATATACAACTTGACAATACTGTAAACAGGTAGGTTCCTAATTGTTTGTCTTAATGTGTTATAATAACATATGTTGCCAACGTATTAAATTATAATAAGCAGATAATTTGAAAATCAGACTAGGTACTCGAGCCGCGATATCCGGACTTAAAATAATACCTATTCTAACCACTATATGATATAGGTCCATAAATTATGTAAATCAATATAGTAGTAAAAAAAAATTGTATACAAATATTATAACGCTGGTTCGTTACCTATACTAAATATTACCTATAAAAAATATCACAAGTGTCCCAATCCGTATACCTAGGTATGTTTTTTTATTTAATATTATAACCAAACCAGAACGCTCCAACAGTTTAAAATTTGTTACATTATAGTACCTACACAAATATTATTGATGTATAAAAAAAAAACAAAAAAAAAAAAAAAAAAAAAAAAAAATAACTATACCTGCTTTAATGGTACTACTTTTGCATATGAAAACATAATAGGTACCTATAGGTATAGGTAATATAATATATTCTATGTAGGTTTAGTTGTGTAGATTTGTAAACGTTGGTAAATAAGTTAAAACTACATTAGGTCGTTGATTTTCAATTTCGTGTTTTTAAATTAAATTTAAATGAAAATCGCAAAAAAAATTACAGCACTTCACATTATGTATTATTGAACTGCGTTCGGAATCGTCTTTCATCAAGCAATAGTTTATCGTTGCTTACAGATTTAAATGAAATAACCTTATGTATCCTACCTTCCCAACTTCTCATCTATAACAGTGACCGCTTCCATCCTCAGTATCAGCTCTTTTTAATTTTGATATTCTGAGAAATTAGTGATAGGAAAGTCAAACAAAAATCAATACTTTAACTATATTTAGAACCATTTTTTTATAAACCTCAAATACAAATTCCAATGCTTGAATCTTAAGATTATTGAGACTACATGATTTCTCAGCATTAAATTTTAAATTTGAATTTCTTTAAAAAATTTTAAATATATACTTAATTTTTAATATATTATATACAAACATATTTATACAGTAGCCAGATAGCCAGAATATAATTTTCAAGTTATTTACTGTAAAATTAATATCTACGAAATTGTTTTTTAAATCTTTCATAATGAAAATCATCAGTAGCATTATCTTTCTTTTTTCTTTTATCAACAGTTTTTTCATTTGGAGGAGCTTGTTTAGTAGCAGGTTGTTGTTTATAATTCCTTTTCCCATCTGGACCGACAACTTCTATATTAACTGGAATTTTAAAAAGATAGTTGTATTCAAAATTAAATTAAAAATATTGTTTTTAAATATTTTATAGTTACTTACATCTATTATGTTGAACAAAATTGACTGCCATATTCGTTGGAACAAATTGTGATGGACCATCCTTTTTGTTGCGCTTATCACGTATTAATTTCATTTTAGCTTCTTCTGTAGCTTCAATATTTTTAATTTTTGCACTAGTATATGCAAAACAAAATTGTTTGAATATATTTAAATAAAGATTCAATTATTTTAAATATAATAATATATACATTGTTTTAACTAATTATTCAATATTAACTTGATCAAATCCAGTGTAATTAACGTAAAACACTCATTATTTGGGAAATATAAGCTATTTTTGGAATTTGTTTTTTTGAAAATTTAACATTCAAGCAGCTTTAAAATGTTATACTACCAATATTTTTTGTTACACTCATTTATTGGAGGTGAAACCTATAACTATTTTTGATTTTAAACATCAAAAAATAAAGGTAAAAATTAACAAGATAATAAGTGTATCTAACCATTTAACCATTTTAACTTAACGTATATCACCCTGTATACTAAATAAATATTTAAAAACTTATAGAATAAAAAAAAAAAAATTGAAAATAAATTGCAAAATATATGTATTTTTTTTTTTTCATTATGACCAAAGATATCCAGTTGCGCAACCAGGTGTTTTGGGTGTCTGGACACCCCCTTACATCTGTGTTAAGTAATATAAATGTGTTAAAAGACTTGTTTTTTTTTTTTAATGTAGACATGTGACACCCTCCTTCAAAAAATCCTGGTTACGCTACTAAAGATATCAAACCATAAGAATTAAAAATATTAGAAATTAACCTATTTTAAAATTATTTGATAAATTAAACGTACTCAATTCCCAAATCAACCTCAGGGATACCACTTAACATTTGATTAGACAACATTTCTTCAGATCTGTGTGTAGTTGAATTTCGTAAATGTGATGGAACTGCTTGCAAGGCTGCTAATTCTGGGGGGCAATAATTTGATTTATTAGGACTAATATTATCATTGTCTTTGTCTAATGTCCGTCCAGTTCGCAATGCCACTTGTTCATCAATATATTTCATCCTAAACAAATTTATTAATTAAATGGATAAAATATTTTAATAACATTAGTATTATTATTATTTTACATTTCTTCATCTTCATCTCGTTTGTTAGTTTCAGCAGAAAATTGAGTTCCTATCCCAGTATCATAAGCATCGTCTACTTGGGTCACTTGTCCAGTTTTTAAAGCATTCATATTTATTAATCCACCAGTTTTCACTTTAAATGGATCAACCTAAGTTAAAATAAATTACTTTAATATAAATTAAATACTAATAATATTAACACCATATTTTTGAAAAAATTATTTATTATGTATAAATTTAAAAAAAATGTTTTTACCAAAAGTTATATCAAATTATTTTTAATTCATCAAATAAAAGAACATGTTTTGGTTTTTAAATATATAGCCTAATAAAAACAATTAAAACCTATTTAATTTATATTTTTTTATTATATTATTGATATTAACAATTTCAACGCCGCTGACACGCGCTATATACGTATACGCGCATATACGTCAACAGAGATTATTGGGCAAGAGACGCGTTTATGCGTCAGTAACGTGTAACGTTTGTATCCGCCATAATTTCATCGATTTTATTTTAATAATCTCTGAAATGTACACAGGTTATGGATAATAAACTCTAAATTTAAATCTAAAATTGGTTTGAGTTTTCGTTATTTTTAGACACGGATAATCGTTGAATCTGACGGCCTTCCCAAAATAATGTATGTGAACGTATACAGAGTGCATATTAAATATATTACACATATTTCTACTGATAATTAATAATTTACAAATTTAAAACAACTATTGTAACATTAGTAACATACTATATCATGCAATATATCTACTTTGCTACTAGTTTAATTTAATTTGTTTCATTTCGCGTTATCCGTGGAACTATAACGGTTCCCTGTATATATTGTTTTATCTTCTATTTAGAACAACTAGACCAATTCATAATTATTTTGACGGTAAGTTATTTTATTTCAGTTATATGTCACATAATTTTTATGCACCGACTATTATTTACGTTTTCAACTACGTATAATTCAGGTGTAGATTGTCATGAACCAAATGATGTCCTACTATCTGTGTACACGAAAAATTCTTCGAAGGTACAAAAAAATTGGTAATCATATTTTACAACAGCTACTTTTCAATTCTTACTTTAGGCATTGTAAAAATGAAGTAAAATACCTTTCTATAATTTTCGGCTGAATGTCATACGTTCATTGTTGAAAAAAAATTATAAAACTGATGAACTTTGAGAAAAACTATGTGAAATTACAACTAAATTACCAACTGCGGTTCCATTTTACATACTTTACAACTCTCATCAAAAAGCGAAAAAACGTCAAAAGTTCAACGAAAACGATGTAATTACTGTAAAGAAATTAGTAAAAAAGTAATATTAAAATGTTATTCAATTTTATGAATTAATTGAGTTATGCTTCTAATGCCATTAACGTGTAAACGCATCAGGGTATGAATAATACGGCGTCGCGGTGTAACTGCCAAAATCACGGGCGGAGTTGAAAGTGTTAAATAATAAAAAAATGTAATACAATTTATAATTTTTTTTTTATTGGATGTTTACAATCTATACATAAATTTAGCACAATAAGTAAATTAGATGAATTTTTTTTTTTATTTATATGATATGAGAAGGGAGGCAATTTAATGATAGAACCCAATGTGATTTAAATTTATAATTGAACACAATAATGATAAACATTCTAGAAAAAAAAATTATGTTGAACTCTATCTGAATTCAAAGAATAATATGTGATATTGTTGTGTGCATAATAGTATAGAATATGGCTCTCACAGTAAGACAGTAGATAGAAAATGTAACTAAATAAAATTTAATTAATTATTAGGTATCATACGAGGGCGGGTTAATAAGTGATGCCTCTAATGTGTAACTTTAAAACTATTAAACATAGAACAATGAAAATACAATACATGTATAATAAATGAATCATTTTATTTACATACTATTATTTTTCAACATAACTACCATCTAAGGCAATACAATTTTGCAAACGATTTACTAATTTAGAAATGCTGTTCAAATAAAATTCTATAGTTTGAGCATTGAATCATCAGTTTAACTTTAACTTTCTCGTCAGAATTGAATTGTTTACCCTTGCAATGTTCATTAAGCTTGAAAAATAAAAAAAATTGCATGGGGCCTGTAAAATTTAGGTTGTTGGGTGGATATGGAATCACTTAAAAACTAGTGATTCAATTGCTGTTTGAACCGCACATCTGAAGGGGCCATCGTTATAAATTACATAAATAATAAAGTAATAACATTACACGATTGCATTTTCGCACACACCAACGATATAAGTTATTAAATGAGCATCAAATGAAAATGTATCATAAATTTAAAAATAATTATGAGATTACTATGAGCCAGTCACATAATAGTAAAAAAAATAATATAATTTGCTTACCATTAATTTTTCTTCTTCATGAGAAAGTTTTTCACCTAATGCAAGGCTAACAATATTAACTCCATTGGGTCTATCTCGAAGTTTTTGTATAGTTTTCATCTCTAAGAGTATATTTCTGCAAATTAGAATCCATTATAACTTATTTATGTATTTCCAATTTTTCTCCATATTGTTTGTCATATTTTATATTTAATTATAATGATTACCTATTATCTATATCATCAGGTTCATCATCGTCAACTATTCTTTTTCTCAATGATCGATGTTTTGATTTTTTTTTTAATGTAATGTGAGACTCTGAACTGAAAATATAACAAAATATATAAATATTAAATAGTATCTATACATTTAAAATATAAATTCTATTTATAATGAACATTGTTATATACAATAATAATATTTAGAATAATTATTAAACTCAATTTTCTCAATTCAATAACTGAACAATTAACAATGTATTATCGATTAACTACATATTTTTGGTTGAACTCTGGCTTTTGGGTACATTTGATGATATATTTAAGGTTTACATGTCTTTTTTTGATCTAAGGCTTATAAACTTATTCAAGTTTTATGTTACAAAATCAGAATAAATTCAAATTACTAAAGTTTTAAATAAGACTCTAAAAATATCTAAATTAATACTAATATAATAATTACAGATTTGAATTTTCGTAAAGTTTTTCATTGAGAGTGTGATCTTCTACAGCACTTTTTTCTTCGATGATTTGATTTTGTGTGCCTATTGCATTATCCATATTTTACAAATATATATTGAAAATAAATTTTTAGTCGTACTACTATAAATCAAATATGGAATAATTTTGTAAAAAGTGATTATTTGATTTCATATATATTTTAATTCACATTCATAAGTTGAATTCAAACACTTCAAAAGCATTAAACTTATTATGAATATTGAATACCTAACAATAAATATTTAGATTATTCGTTATCAATATTATTCAGCATTTTATATCATGAATTTATAATCGTTGTGATAAGAAATAGATAACAATAATACAATAATACTACTTATTGTTGTCATTGTGGATCCACCTTGGTTGTTCTATATTGTTATCTATCTCAGTGGTTAATAATAACTGTTCATGGAGACCCATACAAAATATAATATTACCTACCTAAAACCTATTTATGATGGTGCCTAGAAAATGTTCAACCATGTTCTAACGTAAAGCTGGGAACACATGGGCGTTATTTTACCGCATAACATTTTTACCGCGTAAACAAAATTTACCGCGCGTTTTAATTTATACAAACATACGAGAATTTATTTAGGAACCTACTATATTCACTTATTTCATTAAACATATATTAACTATTTAGTATGTGTGATGTGTTTATGTTTCAACTAGACAACATCATGGCAGATGAAAATATTATTTTGTTTTTGGGTTACCAACTTTTTATTAAAGATAAAAAAAAAATTATTAGACAGATGGGTAGACTTTTAAATAGTGCACGTCCTTCCGAAGGTGCGTTCAATATAATTTTTGAAAATATCAGAAGAGATCCAGTGAAGTTTTTTAATTATTTCCGGATGAACGTATCGGAATTTGATAAGCTATTAACTGTGTATCTAGGAACACGACTTTTAGGAATTGATACTTACATGAGAAAGAGTATTACTCCAGCTGAAGTCTTGACTGTTGATACAAGTATTGATAATGACGAATTAATGAATACTGAAAATAAAACAACAATTGGTCGCGTGTTTTATTACTGCGTGTGTGTTCTCCATCTATCATTATAATGCGTTTCGGCTAGGATTTCTTATCGTGCGTTATTTTTAACGTGCAATAAAGTCATGGTGTGCGCGACTGTTTTCCAAATATCGCGCGATTTTTTTACGGCGTGACGCTCGTGTGTTGTGCTCTATTCATTTTAATGTATTTTTACAAAACGCGCGGTAAAAGAACGCCCGTTTGTTCCCAGCCTGTCATGATTATCAATCGTGCGATAGGCATAGAATATCTATGAGCTTAACGGTCTGAAATCGTAATTTCTATAACTACTTACCTAAGTGTATGTAAATTTGTAATATTTGAATAATACAGTACGGCCAGCGAAACTAGAAGCGTGACCATCGTGCGCACGGTGGCCTTTTCGTACAGTCCAATTCTCAATATGCCAATGTTTGTGTGAGCCGCGTCGCGCTTATAATGAATAGTTTATATAGCTGTATTTCAGCTGTTATAGGAAGAACTTTGAGTAGCGTTACTAAATGTGCATTATATAGATTATAGATATATATTATATATTATAATATGATTATACGGACGGCTAACCAGTCGCAGAAACCCTAATGAAAATTTGCCATCATGCGCGCGACGGTCACGCTTCCAGTTTCGCTGGCCGTACTATAAATATTACTACCGATATTTAGTTATGAAATTGATTCAGCTACATCCGTTCGCTCGCTTATGTAGAACTTAATAATAGAAAATAAATAATTACCGATTGACAATTTTTCACGTAACACCACGTGGGGAGTACCGCTTTTATTTTGTATGCTGTTGGTAAATATGCGACCGGGTCAAGTTACTGAAAACGGTAAAAGGTCTGAATACTAAATAGGCAACCATCGATATTTTGAACTAAAAATTGTTCGATTTTCCATATCGTATTAAGATCTTAGTATTCTTAATTCGTGATTGGTTTTACAAATAATATTATAAAATTTATTATACATTGGGTACTATAAACTCTGAAAAACGATGTTTTTAGTATCTATTTGGTTACAAAAAAAACATTTCTGGCTAAAAAAAAAAAAAATCTAGACAGTTATTAGTAGATAAATATTTACATTTTAGTATTTCATAGAGAATGTGCTGTACCTATGTTTAGCGGGTTACTGAGTAGATGAACAATTAGGTACTTACTTCTCTGAAGAGTTTTTACGTTTTTGTATTGTGTTATATAAGTAAAATACGGGTAGGTAAGTCGATTTCTTTAAAATAGAATCATGACCGAGGAAAATTTTAAAACCGTTAAAAGCTCCTTTGTAGACAACAGCCAAACAATAATAATCAAGATCAATCAACAAATACGTTTTACCAAAGTACAAATAGAAAAATTATTGAAACTTCAGCTATTGAACATGGATATACAGAAATGTATATCGTAAGTAACTTAGCCATGGTTATTTGCTATAACATACCTATTTAACTAAAATCTATTATCTTTTCATTTTTCAAACCTAAAAGCCCATACTTGGAATTAAATTATTAAGGCATAAGTTAGTCGTTAGATATGCTTATAGCTATATACTATCATAAAAATATCTGTCATTTATTATCCAACGATGACAACCACTGTTTACCCTCCTACTCATACAGCTAATGGATATAGATATCCCCGCTATATACAAAAACATTTAAGTGCGTTGAACATTTCAAAATTATCTATCCCGCAGTTTCTACTTGCATATACAGAAAAAAATTTCAATGTATCTATTTTAAAACAGGTCTGTGGCATCTACGTTAAAACTGGAAAATATCGAAGCGAATGAGTTGCACTTTTGGTTAGCTGACACGATAGCTGGTGTGGTGAAAAATATCGAACAGAAGGGCGTATCAATCATACAAGGAATTATCATCATATGTTGGTTTATCCATTACGTGTCTTTGGTCATCGGTAAATATAAAACAGACAAACAATTTAGTCGGTATAAGGATAGTAATAATTAGTAGATACTTGTCAACTATCGTAGGTACAAAACTACGAAATCAGTAAATGGTATAATTTGGAAACGTTTTAATAATATTAAGTCAGGCAAAACAATTTTAGCCCAGAAATTGTTTAAGTAGGCTATATTTTTCTTATATAATATCTGGGGAAAATTTTCAACGTGCCTCATCATTTTTTTTTAATAAGGGCATAGCTCTTAACATTTTACTAAACATTTTTTATTTTTAAATAATAATTAGGTATGTATTTACTTTATAGGTACAATCTGAATACAAAACAAATTTATTTTGGATGGATATTAAACAATATACACCTACATTATATTTAAACATCATAATAATAATTAACAAAAAATTAAAAATAAATGTAAGCCATTCAATCCAGATCACAGATAATAAAGAAATGGATAGGTCATTTTTCTATGACAATTGTATGTGACGTGACATTCCCGAAGTGTCGAGTTGCGGAAAACTAAAACGTTTTATCAATCATCACCATTCAGATAAAACGTCTCAGTTTTTGAATATATCTTCGAATAATCGCACCCGTCTCCCTTGGAACAGTAGTACACTGATAAGGTACTGACAGCCTATATCTGTATTATAAATAGTCCGGGTCACCGAAATTTTCTTGGCATCCCGGCCCTCGGTATATATTTATACAAATAAAAAAATGTACTCATATATTTTCAAGAATATATAATATTGCTTTGATTTAGATAAAGTACCATTGCCCATTCTAATTAATTTTAGAATGTACAAAAATATTTTCAATACTAATAAGAATAGGTTGGAAGATATTTATAGAAGATAAGATTTTTATCATGAATCAACAATTATCTCGGAAGATTTTAATTCTAATTGAATTTAATTTCTGTGTTTTCCAATCATTATGGAATCGTTTAAACTTTACTTTAAGATCATTTTTAATTTTTACACCTACTCCATATACCTTAAGTAAGTACAAACTTTTATTTCTCAAATAGGAACCCCCCCTCCGCCTTTTGAACACAGATTTGAATAGAGAATATTTTTGTAGAAATGTACATAACACTAATATGAGATTTACCGTTTATGAGTTATAACAGTTTAAAGTTTAGACTGAAGGAGTAGGAAAAGGTTATAGATAGGCAATTTATTACCCTTAAAACAGAAATCAAATCTTCGAGATAATTGCTAATTCATGATAAAAAAGAAAAGTAAGATGATGGGGACGGGTGCAGCCACTGGTGTAAGGAGAAGTTGAGAAGGTAGCATACAGATCGGAATTTAATGTATATCTGTAAGCAACGATAAACCATTGCTTATGAAAAAACGATTCTGAGCGGAGTTCAGTTGATAGTGATGCTTTCAGCTTTGTCAAAAATGTATATGTCGTTTTATAGTGAAATAATTAAATAGGCTTTGTATATATTTTCTTTAATAATATTTGATTAATGTTGTACCGATTTTCCCAATTTTCATACGTTTTTCCAATGTTTTATCCCGGTTTTTCAAATTTTCTGGGAAAACTGAAAAAATCCAGAAATAACTTCTCTACAGTACCTTTCTAATGACATTTTATTTTAGAAACATTGCTATCATTAAAAGTTCGAGCAAAATTACTGGTAGAAAAGTTGTGAATAGGAAAAAAAATAGTAATATTTTAGTACTATTTCGTATATTTTCCCATTTTTATTAGGTTTTTCAAATTTTATGACAAAACTTTTGAGAAAATCGAAAAATGACCTTCTTAAAGTACCTTTCCATACCGATTTCCTTTAAGAAAATATGCTACACTTAGAAATCCGAGCAAGTCTAGTAGAAAAGTTGTTAACAGATAAAAAAAAAAACATCTTTGTAAAACCATAAGCTTCTTCGATCCACTCAGAATCTAAAAATCACATGTATACATAAATTATTACAAACTTCAAATAACTCAAAAAATAGTTCCAAAACTTGCATACCAATTGCGTTATTTTTATTATTACATAATATGTCATAAAAGTTAGGTTACATGTTTTAAATGCGTTTCTCGTAGAGGAAAAATGCAGCATGGCTAAGCTATTCGAAAACCTGTGCGAGTGCGTCAAAATAGCATTGGCGAACGCAAACGAATATTATAATATAGTGCCACTACCGACCCATACAGAATGTTTGTTAAAATTCGAGACTGACAATTACTCTAGTAGCACCAGTGTCAAATCCGCAAAGAAAACTGAGAGTCGCTCTACAGTAACTGCCGTCCAAGTTATGAAAATTATCACGACCGTGATACGCGAAACGTGAGTATAAGTATTTATATTATGTTGGTACTGATTATTGGTATAATATTATAATAATATTAGATACACTAGTTGGTAGATAAATAGTTATACAAATTGACGAACCTGGCGTACCTGGCTTACTTTCTTAGCATAGTGCTATTTCACTAAAATGTTTACATTGCATACTTTACGTATTTGCGTACTTGGCTTTCTTAAAGTATGCCAATTACGACATGTCGTGAGCCAGAGGTGTTATTGTTGGTGTTTACTTACTTAGCAGCAGGAACGGATTTAACAGTTTAGCGCTCCAATACTAAATTAAATTTGCCACTCCTATCATAAGAAAAGTAATATGTATAATAAAATATCCATATATATATATATATTCATTTTCTCAATAATATGCAATTATTTTTTCATTTAAGTAAAGTTCAAAAAAAAAAGTTTTGATTTCAAAATAATATTTGCTAGGTATTTATTTTTATAAAGTTAAAATAAATAAGAAAAACATAAGTTTATTAATTAATAATACAAGTGATTTTAATGCTATTTTTTTATAGTTATTGTTTACACAATTTTTTTCTAGATTTCATTCTTGAAAAATCATCAATGATAACTTCATAATCTAATGATGACGTTAAGTCATTCTCTATTGTTAATATGGCCAAGGAATTCAATCTTTCTTGCAGCATAGTTGATCTTAAATAATTCAATTTTTTTTTAAGACCGAAAACGATTGTTCGGCAGTACAGTTGCCAACTGGTGTTGAGGCGAATATTTGAAGAGTAATTTCAATGTTTGGATAAATATCTTTCATATTACGATCATATATTGCAGCAGTAGGAATGGTGTAATCTTCTTTTCGATGAAATTTAATTTGACGAGAACGAAAATATAAAAGTCCATTTATAAATTCATTTTTTTCTAAATCTGATTTGTAAGTACAACATAGTTCATTTGCTTTAACCGTTATTCCATAATCTTTAAAATTCATGTAGTTTAGTAAGAAAATCAAATTTGTTTTTATTCGACAATGAACTAGATGATGACAGTAGACAGTTAAGGATAGATCGAGTCCTTAGTCGTTAACGGACAGTATATCAGTTGTCCGTCAAACAATTTCGTAACAATTTTCGGATATCAAAACATACATTTGAACGTAATAAATAACTTTATTCGAATTCGAAAAACACTAAAACAGACTCAATATTTTATATTTCTTATCTCTAAAGATATTCCATAAACTATTACTTATCAGTTAATATCAATGTTATCAACAAAACAAATATGAAAACTATGCTCGTACAGAAAATAGCCCCCCTCCCGTAAATCCGTCACTGCTGCAAGGTATATATAGTATACATGCACGTAATCATGTACCTACATACCTATGTATACACGAGTACGGTGATGGTGTACCAAATCGTAGTTCAAATTCCTTTTAGATTTTTGGACGATTTTAAGTATACAGTTGTACAGACGGCGTTTGACACCGAACCGCTGCAAGTTGAAGAACCGAATTATAACAACGATAATCGTGATAGATGTCATGCTATAATGGATAAATATTTTTTACGACAAACAAACGGTCCATTAACAGCCGCACTAGTCATAGGTAATTGATTTTGGAATATAATACTTATAATTGATTTACTGATACAGTAACGCGCTAACTATCATTGGCACCATATGCAGGAACGGATCCAGAAGAGCGAAGAGTCCAGCCCCTTCTAAACATATTATTTCTTCGATTATTTTATAATTTTATAGATCCTGATTTTACTATATTCGAAATTCAAATCAATGATATATATCATAAAATAATTTATTACGAGGTCTGTTCAAATAGTTCCGAGATTATTTGGATTGCGCGCCAACGGAGCCGTCTAAGATCAATAATATTGATAACATTGGCTTCTGTGACTTCTCCTAAGCTCATATGTTTTTGTAGATTATTTATATAACTTTCTTTGTTTTGATGTCATCGATGATTTTGTAAAATATTTTTTTCCCATTTGGGCGATTTTGTATTACATCCAAAAGAAAAGCTTTTTTAAGGGGGGAGGGGGTATTTTTCCTTTCATTTGTTTAATAGAATCTTGTTTGGTACAGAGGAGTGCAACGGTTCACATGAGTTTTACCAACAAATTGTAACTTAAAAACTGCAGATGTACCAAATGAAAGTTTTTCTCGAGAATATGGAAGAAGGTTCAAGTTTAGGTTTATTAGGAATTTTTAGGTACCTACGGTAAATGACAACTTTTTGACAATTTATCATAATAATAGTCATTGCCTGTATCGTTATATTATCATCAAAATGAAAGAAAAATCTTCTCCAACCAACTCTCCTCCCCTAAAAAGCTCTTCTATTGGATTTAATACATTTTTAGTCCTGAACAGACCTCGTATATTATATTTTGTTTGTATTTGTGTTGTAAAAAAAACTATTGAACACCCCCCCCCCTTCCCCCAGATCTTTGCTCTGAATTTGTGCAGGGCCTTATAGAACAATCATGTTTATATAGAGCCTAAGCTTAATATCCATCTTAAATTTAGCGACTCGTATATTTGTGGCACTTTTGGTGTTCTAAGGTACTTGTCCCCTTTACATCACGGCCCTGCTGATTAATGAATGCCGGAAAAAACTAAAAAGTCTTTGATATTCCTATTTTTTTAAATTTTTCTTTTTAATGCTATACCTACTGTATTCGTTATATACCATAAACATTTTTAAAATTAAAAATTGAATTACCTCCAGATAGATATTGTAATCCAATATTGAATATATATTTTTAATCGCATCTTAATCTTGTATTATTATAACATATACAAATTATATGTTGTATATTATACATTTTATTAATTTATCTAAATATCAATACTTTATTCTGTGAACTCTCTTACTGTTTACGATGATTATAACATTATTTGTTTTATCATATATATAGAAATTGAAAAATTTATTATTGTTGATAAACGATAAGTCAAGTTCAAGTACGTGAATTTCGATGTTATACCTACAACGAATTCATAGACAACGAATCTACGAAAAATATTATGTAATACAATTTATTATAATACTGTTTTATAGTCTGATGTATTGATAATTGATATAATATTATAACTTAAACTAAATATAATATCTTGCATAATTTCATGAAATAAATTATTTCCAGACCCCAGTATTTACAAGTTTTAATAAAAATAATAATATCAGACAACGATTTATTTTTTGTATTCATTAATTTCCATTGTTAAAGCTTTGGTAGAGTATGTTAATATTACACTAAATTATTTAATTAGGTACCTATACAATATATTTAAATATATATTATTATATATTTTAAAATATTGACTTTTTAAGGTGTTTTCTATAAACAATTTTAATAACCCTGGTATGTTTTATTACCCATCAAATAAATGATGTAATCGCATCTTAAAATTATATTGATTAATTTAAATTAGGTAGTTATAAGTATACCAACTTACCTAACTGATTTTTTTGAGAGAAGCACCGTAGGTATGATATGTTTTAGCATACAAGTCATGACGATAGAACGTAATTACCTAAATTTTGTTTATTCTTAATAGGGCCAATATTTTATGAATTTGTATAATGGTTAATAGAATAGTTAAGTATTTAATACCAAAATGTGTTTCATGACCTTACTAGTAAGTATACCTATACAAAATGTTGGTTGACATATTTTGGCGTTTTAAAATTTTTAGGTCATATTTTAAGATTTTGTGTGTTTTAATAACATATTGAGGATTTCGGACATTTTAAAGATGTTTTAAACATAAGTCACAAAGAAGGTCGTTGAATTATTGGTAAATTTTATCCGAAAAGTTAACAAGACATTCCATAGTACCTCTTTTTCTTCTAAAGGTATAAAGACTATTGAATAAAATTGAATTAGATTCAGGCCATAAATCAAGTCGTTTCTTGAAAATGTGTTCTATGAATTTACAAATCGTGGAAGAAAGGGCAATAGGTCTGAAAGAAGAGGAAAAATTAGCTTTAGTGATGGAAATAACATTGAAACCGGTCCAGGAACAAGTAGTTAGTCATTTGAAATATCTTAACTCGTGGGTTAGACCAAACAGTCTAGTATTTTTGTAACTCAAAAGATAAATAGTATACATTTTTTATCTGATAATGAGTAATATTTGTTTGCGTGTTTGTGGCGCAATTTTTTTTTCATCATTAGTGAGATTTTTACTTTTCGAAGTTAACAATTATGAATTTGAAAATCATATCACTCCGGGAGAACTAAGGTATCACTTGATCGCCATTCAATGGCAACACTGTTTGACCACAATAACTGATAAAACAATTTGTATGTATTATAGATACAGGATAAACATTAAGCAAATTATCATTTAAACGTTTGATGCTTTAATCGACTATCAAGTTATTTCTACGGACCTATGGTACATTTTTAGTTTATAATTGTTTTTGTTGTTTCGAGGAATCTTAGCAATTGTTACGCAGGACAACAATTTTTTGAAATCAAATCGTCAATGACTTATTTTAGATAGCTGTTTGATCCTTCATTTGTCGTTCAACTATGGGTTTCGACATAGTACGATTTGTTGGCGAAGTAGATGAAGAGATTCTTTGTCCCATATGTACTGGAGTGCTACAAGACCCAGTCCAAGTAACAGTGCATTTTTCATCTTCAATTAGCTATGCTTTATAATTATAACTTAGAGTAAACATAATAAAACAACATGTTTGTTGTACATTGAATTTGTATTGATTGTATTAATAGAATTTGCCATATGATATTTTACAAAAAATAATTGCATGTTTTCAGGCTCCCGTGTGTGAACATGCATTCTGTAAAGGCTGTATACTCGAATGGCTACTAAGACAATCAACATGTCCAGTGGATAGACTTTCTGTTAATGTCCTTCAGTTGAGACCAGTTCCGCGAATTTTAAAAAACCTACTAAACAGGTAAATTTTTTTTTAAAATTAATGACCTATTTAAACCACTCTAATTTATATTTGACTTGATTCATTTATGAGTATTAATAACTAATAAGTATGAGTAATTAATTTAGTATTTTAATTGATAAGAGTGTTTTAAATAACTCTTTTAAATTGTGAATTTGAAGGTATCTATAAAGGATCTTCTTAAGAGGATGCTACACATGCATTTGTAGTCTCTGTTGTACATACGTAATCTATAGTAAACTTGTGTTCAGCAGAAACAATTTTGTAATATTGGTTTAATATTAGATAAAATTAACCTTGTATCAAATTTAAAGGGAATCTTAGTTTGTGTTTTGAATTTTTTGTTATTTTAATTGTTAAGTGGTATTTAAATATATATATTTATTACAGTGAAATATGCAAATTTGAAAATGCTAATATCAAGCTTATAAATTACAATACCAAAAAACCAACATACAAATACAGACAACGTTTTCCTTTTAAATTCGATAATAGGTACATTTTCTCAAATATTATAAATATATTACTATAAAACAGTATAAAATTAGTTCTGCTAAACTCAAATTTCTTATTTGATGTGTTTGTAAGACAGAGACACCAAATACATGTTTAGTTTTCTCTTGACTGTAATCATTGATAATAATTAATATTCATAAATTATAAACAATACTACAATTTTCTTAAAATTGTGTAGTCCTGTATTTTAGAATTGAATAATAGAATTCCTCTATTTCATATAGTTTGTAATATTATCACAAAATTAAATAAAAATTATGAATATTACTGGTAATTTAACACTTGCTTAGGTAATACCTACAAAGGTACTTTATTTTTTTTTTTTTTCATAAGTACTTTACATAAAATTAAATGTTATATTTTTTAATTGATAATATTAATATGTTATTAACATTAAAAGCATAACATAGGATTCCCTTTACATTTTTTTCTACATTTAATATTATTTTTTTTTTTTTTAGATTGTATATTATTTGTGAAAATAATACCTATGGATGTCAGCGAGTAGTTAAATTAGACATTTTAGACAATCATCTAGCTGAATGTGAATTTAACCCTAAGAGACCATTTCCTTGTGAACAAGGATGTGGTTTAATTATTCCAAAAGATGAACATAAGGTATGTATTAAATATTTTTATAAAATTTTTGTATCTTTACCTTATGATAATCATTTTTTAAATTGATTATTAAATGTATTTAGGATCATAACTGTGTGAAAGAGTTGCGTGAATTAGTTCATAAACAACAGCAAAAAATTAATGAAATGCAACAAGACATGGTTAACTACAGATATGAAATGACTGGCATAAAAGAGGAAATGCGAGTTCTAAAGGTAAAGTATTTATTTTATAAATGTCTAACTCAATAAATCTAATATAGTTGTATTAACTTTAGACTTTTTAACTATTGTGTTCTTAAGGATTAAATTTAATGTAACATCAGTAATATGGTACTCCAATAAATATCTATTCTTTTTATTCAAAATGTAGAGAAATATTAAAATTAATTCATGTTCAATGTTTACCACATCAAATCTATATTAAAATGATTTTAATATGAGAACATTATTATTGATCTCATATTTTTTTATTGACTTTGTAATAAACTTCTTTATATTAGCATCAAAAAAAAAAACCATTGTCTTTGTTCAATTTTTCTAAGACTAGAATTTCTAGTCTAGGTTAATACTTATGAAAATGTTTTACGTTTGACATATTAGTTACTCTAAACCAACATTTAATTATAGTATAACCTTAAATCTATTAAAAAGTGGACATAGTATCTTCTACCTCTCTAATGACCATCTAAACAATAAAGAATAAATAAATTATAAATTATAAACTAATTTTTTTTTTTTTTATTTTGTATTTCGTCTGAATAGCCTATAAAGATGTGGTGTGTTGTCAAATGGTAATAGCATTATGACCCAAACCTTTTCTTTTCTCTTACTCTATTATCTTGTGATATCTCTTTGATTGCCATATATTTTTTTACCTTAAAGACTAACAAATGTAAGTAAATACATATTTTTAATCACCTTGATTTAATGTGTCGTGTAATCGAATACATTTAGATTTTCAGTTTGGACTTGATTTGATTAAGTTAAATATTTAAATATCTATATGTAAAAGTTTATTACCAATTTCTTACTCAATTATTCAAAAATCAATAGAATTAGTAAATTTGTATATTTAAATATTAGAATTCCTTGCATTGTTTTTTATGGATAATTGATTACATTATAAATGGAATTTGACTATATGTTATAACTTGACAACACATACAAGAGTGATAAATTATTGAAATTCTATTGTAGGTATTTAAAATTGACTTGTTGGAAATCTGCTCATTTAATAATATTATGTTTTTAATCAATACACTTATTTATTTACATTTATAAAAAGCTCAATTACAAATATTATTTCTCAACTCAAAAATGTATTCTTTGCATTTAATTATATGGGACATTGAATTCGCTATTTGTTTTTGAAAAGTTGAAATTTAATATCATTGAAGATGGATATTTTCAATTACGTATATTAATAAAAAAAATGTATTATAATAATAAAAAACAAGATTATAATAGTTCATTTTGATAATATAAATACCCTAATGATATAGTATTTAATAATGTATATTTGAATTTTTATTGAAAGTCATAAATAATATAATATTTCAATGTAAATACATAGAATAGGAACGAGCATTTGGATTATGCACAGGCAATGCACTGGGTTCAGATATACTCCATTCGTACCAAACCTTAGAAGCATTACTTAGGCGCCAAAAGTGCACTTTCAATTGCTCGCCTTTTTTTAACATTACACAATTTTTAATTGGTATATAAGCAGGATACCAACTGAACATACCAGTACTGAATGTAGAAGGTTCAATGCTTATGTTTATGTCTCCGTATAGAACAGCACTGAAATATCCCGCGAATCCGTGTAATGTACAATCTTGTGGTATGTCAAATGTTAGAGTGGCATACCGGTCATTATTCTTTTCTAAATTGCGTCTTGGGTGACTGAAAGTGAACAACGGTTGAGCAGAAGCTATTATGTACATGTTGCGCATGTTCACTACATATATCTGTTCAGAATTCTCATGCTGATTTTCTGTTGTTGGTGCGTATTTGAATGTTTTCATATTACAATACAAAGTTTGTGATTGCAAAGGGCTTATATAAGATGTATATGATGACGGTATACAAATACCATCTTCTTTCAAAAACTTTTGAGCGCCATCCAAACATTCAGGTGATAGTTCATTGTCACCAAATGAGCCCAATAGTTCTGAAACCATTATATCACATTTCTCATCAAACTTCCATGTTCTCATGTCAGCACAGACCACTGTAACTAAATTGTGCCAATAGTTTTCGTTGTTATAGTTCAACACCTGTAATGCGTTTTCATTCTTTTCAACTGCATAGATTTTGATAGGAACTTTTGATTTTTCTGATGCTTTGAGACTTGCATTGACCAAAGGACCTCGGCCTGCTCCCACAACATACACTATGAATGCCTCTGTATTACCATCTTTGGCTTTGTCAATCAACGCTTTAGTTATGGCCTTTTCATACTGTTGATACTTGATTGGGTCCTGTTCGAATACGGCGTACACATTGTTGTCCAAATCGTTAATGAGTGGCTGCAAGGGTACTTGCAGTAGATCTTCATACGCGTATGAGTAACTGTAAAGCTTGTCAGACTTATTGTTTTCATGCACGTATGACAAGTATTCGAAATATTTTTCTATTTTGTCTTCTGAATTACCGCTGATAAACATACATACGTCCATATCGAATAGCTTGTTGATGAACACTTGATGAGGTCTGGACAGCACGGGGTAACCTGCCTTGTTGGTCAAGAATATGGAAGTGTGTGCAATGACCGCCTTGATAGGTTCACCCAGCCACCGGTTGAGCTGTTGCTCATCGGGCAGGTCAGCATGTAGTTCTAGGGCCAAGTATATAGATCGGTGATAATCGCAGGCAGAGCTGAATGCCGACCATAGTTTCCATGTGTCCACCGCTGAAGCATCATCTTCAGCACCCCCTCTAATTGGTACCCGGACGAAAAAGTTGACAAACATGTTTTCTTGCAACATGACGTTAATCAGTCTTGCCAAATTCGGTACACCAGAGGTCAGTGGCAGGTTGAACATGATCGCAGACACGTTCAGGTACGTGGCGTATGACACTTCCTGTTTGAACAGCCGACAGTTCTGCTGCCGGACCGTGTCGTCTGCCACCTCTAAGTCAAGGTTCGGGGACAGCTTAACCACCACTCGGTTCCATGTGTCCGCCTGTAGAATGATATCGGCCCTGTTCACCAAGGCGGACCGGTCCAACCCCGGCTTTTTAGTTGCTTCCGTCGTCACAGAAACGCTTCTACTTTGGTCATCGCTATTAGGTTTTAGTTTAGTGTGCATCAGCGGAATACACGCAAACGAATGCGTTCCCCATCCGGTTAATTTTTGTATGCACGCAACCAGGTCCGGTACTTGAGAGAAGTCAAAACCAAATTTAATTTGTTTTTTGGACGTCATGATATCCAGCAGTGAGAAGTACAGTTGTATTTGATAGCGTTTATACAATTCGAGAGCGCCTGTCGTTGGGAGTAAAAATAAATAACGTTTATTCTGTATTCCGAACACGACGTTATGGTTTTGTATTTGTTTTGTTTTTGAACACTGAACTATTATCATTATTGTCGGCGGCCGCTCAGATGGTACTGTTATCTTGTTATGCAGTGTAACAACTTGAAGAATAATATAATTCTCTAAATGTATACCACGTAAGCGCCGCCGTCGAGTCCATTTAATTGCACACTGCATAGGCGATTCGAACGCGCGTTTCAAACGTCGCGATTAATTAATCGTTCAAAATTAAACATGTACTTTTATATGGGTTTATTCACACACGTTCGAACGTGCGAAATGCACATGTTTAATTTTGAACGTTCTTCAACTATAATCATACAATAATTTCCCAATGTATTTTCAATGCATTTCCGTTTCGGACATATTTTCGTTCATTCATAATTTGTGCCTTCAACCTTATACAATTTCTGTACAAATTGTATCCTTTTATATTATAAAAATGATTGACACTGAAGAATTTATTCTTGAGGTGTCGAATGATGAACCTGGTCCTTTTAGATTAAGCAGATGGACCCATTGTCGCCGTTTCACTTTTTTTTTGTTTTTGTTCATGTTCCTCGAATAGTGCGAACATAACACATCTTCTATAACGTTTAAGCTTTCCATATTTGAAAGTATTAAACAAAATAACAGTGGATTGCAACGAGAAGTACTATACACATGTGGTCAAGTACGAAGTACAGTAACAATAAAACTATTATATGAGTATATCACAAAATACAAAGTATTGGCGCGATTTATATCTGTGAGAAACCCGCCTATAATGTATAATCGAAACGCGTTTGCATTTTAAAATCGCGGCGTTTGAAACGCGCGGAGACGCACGTTCGAATCGCTCAGTGTGTAATCAGCTTTAAAATCATACTTCTCAATTAGTTAATATTTTTGCAAGAAGTTATTATTAACGACCGAGGAGAAATCTTTAAATCATTAACTTTGGAAATACCGAAACTTGAAATTATTTTTTTATAGATCACCATTATTTCGAAATAAAATTTTTATCGGAACAGCCTTTTAGCAAAAAAAAAAAAATTTCAATACTAGGATCGTTATGCAGTTATTTTAATCGCACACTCATTGTGATTATTGTTAATTCTTAAAAACCCGTTGAGAAAATTAAAATAAAACCATCCTAATGTATAGTTTATTTTAAGTAAATGGACCCTCGAAATTTGTTCAGTTTATTTCTCCTTTAAATGAGCTTCAGATTCGCCACTGGTATAGTATTATAATTAGGGTTAGATACGTCTAGTATTTGTGTATTATTTTTGAAAGATTTAAACAAATTGTGGAGTCAAACATAAATACTGTTTATCATATAAGGAATCTAAATTCTAAATTTTGTTTTGGATATTTTACAATATTTGATTTTAAGAGTATATTTTAGCAGTATGTAGCTTTGAAGTGCTAAAAAAGACTTGTATATTTTTCACGCGTTTTTCGATTTACATTGTTCAAATTAATACGCACTGATATGCGATATGATAGTTGAACAGACTATCGTAAAATAATTTATTTAGTTAAGTTTTGAATTTGATCAAACAACTCTTAAATCAATCACTTCAAAACACAGTTTTTACATTAATACTATTTAATAAAAAACATAATAGTATATGTACGTCAAGTTTTTAGTATACGATTTCAACAAACAAAAATGTTTTGAGCAGAAGTCCCTTAACCCAATTATAATATATTGTAGTTTGTAATATTATAGTATTCGGTTACTTATATTGTATTCCATAGAATATGTCTATAATACAATATAGACTGGCTCGTAGTGGGAAATTCAACTCTAAAGCTCTGATGCACGGGTGTTATATTTGTACTTGCATAAAACGATTGGTTACGTTAAAAAATCGTGAAACTATCATAATTTATTAATGGTCGTAGACGAACTGAAATTAATAATAACAAAAATAAAAAAGCCGCAATGTTCCAGGTATATCGGCGAAACTTGCGAATTAAAATATAATATAATCGATACCTATATATCGAAATCGCAATAAATCCAAAACGCCGCGAATAAACGATATTGTAAAAAAAAAAAAATATATATTTATATATTTTACCCCGTCCTCAAAAATGGTTTCAAGAATATATGCGACATAAGACATTTGGTTGTTTTTTAATTGTTTATTTGTAATATTTTTGACGAATCGGATAAAACGTCGTCTAACGCTAATTGTTTTTAGATTATTATATAATATTGTATAGCGGTAATCTGTATTGTTTAAAATTAAATTTTTATCGTACACAAACCATTAAAAAAAAAAAAATAAATAAAAAAAAAAATATGACTCATTGAGATTTTTTTCACAAATAAATAACAACAAATAATAGGTATTACCCCAGTGAGAAAGACTTCATTGGCGCGTGCGAGTGTTCACCGCGTTGAATCCATAAACGCACGCCGTATCCCCGCAGTGTGCGTCGCTTCTCGAAACGCGCACAATATAATAACAACAACAGCAATAATAATAATAAGCAATCGGTTATCGTTATCCGTACCGACGACGACAAATAATTAAATATTTAATACCCGTACCTGCGATACCGTTAAATCGCGGGCCCGAGCGGCATAATATTATATGCGAGTAATAGCGACAGTACACCGACAAAAAGCGGACGTCGGGACGTCATGTCCAAGAATATGTGCGTGATCCTTTTTCATTTGGCGTGTTGGCCGCTGCTCGAGCTGTTCGCGGCATCGTGGCGTTCGCTAAAGGTGCGCTGAACAAAAATGCCGCGCGCCACGCGATATTATTATTATTATTATTATTATTATTGTTTTTAATTAAAATTAATGTCTCCGGTCCCGGGGAAAATCGGTAAATTTTCGGCATTGTTTTCTACGTGTACGTATGATAATTTCGTCCCGTGTCGATTCTATTTCCGTTCGTTTCTATACTCGGTTCGCGAACCCGTGCGTGTTCCACGTTTAATCCGCCCGAATATAGACGAAATAATACCGTCCGTGTCTTCCCACTCTTTCCCCCCTTTCTCCTCCACCCCCGGGACCGAAAAGACTATATTGTAAAATAATATGTAAATTACGCGTCTGGGTCTGATACACGTCCGACCGCGGCGACCGTTTATCGCGTTTACCCGTACCGACCATTCGCCTGTGCAGATTTTTGATGTGTTACGTTTCAGGGCTACGTGCGAGCGTTACGCGTGTGCAATCCGAGCGTACGGGCCGTGACCGACGACATTGAAAGGGACGAGATCGAACGGTGGTCGAGTTCGCTGCCGGAAGCTCGAGTGACGCGCTGGGGAGGAATGATATCCACTCCGGACGATTACTTACAGGTACGTGTGACCCTGCAGACGCGCCGTAGTTGTCGCGTAAACTATCCGAACGGTACATTGCTATTAGGGCCCGGATTTATGTGCCCTAAAAACCTTAGAAATGTGCATTTATGCTCTTATCTTGTAGAAATATACCCTTTAAAATGAAACATATGCACAACAAATCGATTTTCAAAAAAAAATGTTTTTAAATTTGTATTATTTAAATTACAGATTTTCGAAAATAAAAGCATAGTTATTGATACAACATATGTTTTTGATTTTCTGTGTATTTTTCTAAGCGATTGGGAAAAAACGATCAAGTTTACAGCACTGACGGTTTCCATTTTGTTTTTTTGTTGAAATTCGATTGAAAATAATCTCAGAGACATGTAATTTTTACAGAATACTCATATTAGCATTTTAGCACGTTAAGCTATCTAAAGGCATTTGAAATATTCCTGTTTTTAAAAAAAAATTGTGTGTAAACATAAAATTCCGCGTATTTCTCATCAGACTCGATAATCAATCAGGTTAGAAATTCTATGTATTTTGACGTTTCTCGAAAATTGTATATTTCTGATTACCAATCCGATTGTTTCTCAATGCATCAGATATTCGGATGGATAACCAGTATTAGTTGATTGAACCAACCACTATGGCTGGAGCACGTGGCAATGGATTGATAAGGTATAAACCTTATCAATAAGTTATCCGTTGTACCATCGGTTTAATATCTGGGTGAAGAAAATTATCGTTTAATTAGAAAAACACGGATTGTTTTAGCAAGAGCAGAAATGCTTGGTAATTCATCACGAGGCTCATAGATACCTTTATAGTAGTTTTTTTTTTTAAGTGATCATCTCAATAAAAATCGTAAATATTACGGCATTTCATAATATCTACAACAGCAGCACACCCGGCAATTGTATCAGTTCCTTTAGTTTTTTGGATTTGCGATAACTATTTCAAATTGACACTTTTCGGAAAAAATGTTCAAATACGTATTTTAAATATTATGTTTTTATCTCAAAAAAATATAATTTTTAGAATGCGAATAATAGTTTGAACTAATTAATAATAATTCAAAATAATAGTTTTAAATTTGTGACGAAAGACATTCCAAATTTTAAATCGTGTATTTTATATTACCGTAAAGTAAATTATTAAAATAATATTACTAAATAGTTTTTATCTTTAATTGTTATGATTTGATGCATACACAAAAAGGGACCTTGGTGGATTTTTGGCAATGGGTTTTGAGGTTTGCGAGATAATTAGGTACATCGTTTTGTACAAAATCGAAGTGGTGATACTCACTGGGCCAAAAAACGGCTTTATTGTTTTTTTTTTTTTTTTTATATATATTATATTCTTACAAACAATTCGCAAGTTTTTTTTTTTAATTTTCTCAAAACAGAATTTGCACGGTCCTTTTTACGCGAACCAAATCATATACCTATTTTATTTAGCCCCCCCGTATAGATAGTAGGTGAGTATCTATGTGATTTTTTAATTTTTTTTGGTAATATTGTCGTCTATTATCGCAGAATAACATAAAACAAGCGCTGATCGAGAGCGGTTGTCCGGCGCACATACTCGACGACCTAGTGAAAAACTGCCACGAACGAAACTGGCCGTCCGGCCTGTCGTCGCTGGAGACGCGTCAGCACAACCGGAGGCATTACGACCGGTACATTTGCAAGCGGGTGCCCGGCAAACAGGCTGTCATCGTGTTGCCGTGTGACAACATAATGGTCAGCGACGACATGATGGCCGAACCGGGTCTCATCATGATCTTCGCCCATGGAATCGAATAAACGTCGCCGAGACGACGCGTGAAGTACCCTACGCAACGAACGGCACCATTGCGGCCATTACAATCTCGATTTCGCATTAAAAGCTTCTTTAAAAACGCATTTAATAATAATAATAATATTAAGTGTATAATAATTAATATGTTTATTATTGTTACATACGTATACGTTTACGTAGAAAAAAAAAAAAACAACGAAATGTTTAAATATGATATTTATTATAAGACGGACTTCCCGCGCCACTTTTGTGCCACTAGTGCAAGTTTTTAGGTGTCCATCATAAACATTATTGTTCCATTTTTTCATGCTCGTTCTACTATTTTAAATTTTTAACATTAATATCTGCCGGATTAAACCGTTTAATTTAAAAATTAAAGGTTAAAGTTTAATAGTACACGCAATAGTTTTATTTTTTTTTCCTCCCATTTTTACTGTCACTAGATTTTATAGTGATGACTGCCAACTTGTAATTTTTACCCCATAACCAATCAATATAGAATCCTAATAATTGTATAGCTTGTACTCGTATAAATAATTGTACTTACTTAGTTTTGGAATCGTAAACCAAATAACATTATGGACTTACAGCACACATCACGCCTCAGTTTCAAAACGATACATTTTAGAAACTATTTTGTTTTTGTAGTGTATGTGTTTAGTAGTGTTATTTACATAATTATTGTTTAAAAGAACGGTCTTTTATCTTAAGCACACTTGAATGATATAATATTGTTAAGTTATGTTACTATTACGAGATTACTACTATTTACTATATTCAAAATTATTGTACATTGTTATCTATACATGTAATAATAATATATTATAGACAAGGTATATACCTACCTATGTAGGTATGTTTTTATTTTGAATTGCTTAACCTCAACAAGTTTGTGTGGACAAAATATCATCAAATCGCACAGACGTGTTCGGTTTTATATTACATTTAATTTGTATTTATATAATATTATTTTAATAATTTTTTGTTAGTTTTACATAATATATATATCATATTTATATACTTAAACTATTAAAAATGACTGTGTTAAGTATTATTGATTTTTGTTTTCATATCCATATGGTATGGTATTCACTCAAAATTGTGCATTACATTTTACAAACCAATTTACTGTCAGTCCACATTGACGGTTTGCCGTTATATTACAATTGTACAAGTTAATATACTGCAGACTTTGGAGGTCCACAGAGTAATTCAATTGAATCATTATAGTAAGTCTGTGGAAATTGTATGAAATCACCATTATTTCACGGACCCTTTATTTATAAAACAAAAAATTGCAGCATTTCGCACGCATATGTTAGTATTATAATACTGTGCTATACAAATTGACCGCAGAATTATTTATGTATATTTTTCTTTGTTACTACAATATTTTTGCCCATGCAGATTACAGTTATAAATGTATTCCAGTTTTGCATATACCGGTTTACTAAAAAATATTAAAATAATTAAATATAAGTACAAAAAAATATCAATAAAATACCAAAATTATTGAATGTATGAATAATTAATAGATAAAGAACATTTGTATGTAGATCTAGGGTTTTGGAATTTATGTGTGTAAATAATTTTTAGCTTCAATTGTATATTAGTATACAGTATTAATAACTGTATATTATATTCCAACTAGATATTAATTGGTTTTTGTTTTGTGTACGTATCGAATATCATAATCCTAACATATGATATATTTAAATGTTATAATAATTTACACAATTATCACAAATTAGTGTAATTATTATTATTAATTATATTTATACAGTTCCATATTCAAAAAATACCATTGGAAATATATTTTTACAGTCATTTCAGATAGAAAAAAATAAATAATAATCTAGATATAATTAATATTCTGGAATTTTATTTTTTTAATTGTATTCCAATATCGCCCAGCCCTACTCAGTTATATATAAATATATAACACATGAGCATCTATAGAGTGCATGCTGGCTTACTTATATTGGTAACGTGCGATTCACTAAACCACTTAATACTGATATGTAAAGTGGTAGGTACAACTTATGTATATACATGCGTAATTTTGTGTATTTTTATATTGGTATATAGACCAATTAACTGATATGATAAACGACAATTTTTTGTCGCTTAACTTGATAAGGATTTTCTGATGTATTTAACTGTGTTTCGATAACCCAGACTGTCATAAAACTATATAATAATGACTATTAAAACAATATCCAGTGTCATATAATATTATCGTTTTGATGAAATTAAGGTTACTAAGTAAAATGTGTATAAAACAATTTAATACTGCTCACGAGTAGGCTACTGTTGTAGGTGTGTTGTTGAGAAAGTAGCATACAGGATAATGTAGTTTATATAAGAAAAGTTGGGTAAAATGGAAAACTTAATGGAAACTTGATTCTTTAAAAATATTGAACTGAAATATAGTTTTTGTGGCAGGAATCATTCTCTTATGTTCCCCAAATGTCTACCTGTGTCCTTAACTTACATTAATTAATAACAATTTTTGTTTTTTGTATGTTTTCTCCTATTATAGCCTGATTGTGTAGAATGCATAATTTTGTATTTTTATTGGGTCTACCAACCATTATTGTCTTGTAGTTTTTTTTTTTATAATTCCTTATACTTAATAACATCTAAAATGTTTTTGTGGTTTTTATATCGAGATGTATATTTAGAATAATATAAAACCCGACTTATCTACTATTCAGAACATCTAATTAATTTCTACGTGATATTTCTATGATGAATTGTATTGAAAATTCTGCTAAAATATAGACATAAAAACATGGAAATATCTAATAAACGAATAACTATTTAGGTGGTTTTTTATTTATTGTCTTATGCGTGTTATCAGTGTGTCTAGAAATCTGTATAGAAATCTGTATCCCCCATCGCTCTCATGCAGGTTTAAACAATAATAATTATACATAATAGGTTTAGGCATTTGTTCAAAATTAGTTAGACTAATTAAAAAATATTGATCTACTACTCATATGAATATCAATTTAGAAACCTAATTTAAATACTGTTCTCTCAGCATTCTTAAGTAACTATACGCAGGGTGATATTTTTATCATGAACCAGCAACTTTCTTGGAGGATTTTAAATGATTTTGATTTGTGTTTTTTTTTTTTTATGTTTACCGATTCCATAATGATTATATAAAACAGAAATCAAATTCACTTAAAATCCACCGAGAAAATTGCTGATTCACGATAAAAAAAAATCACTGTATACTCATTTCTGACAGAAGTCAGAAATTATCTGTTATTTGTGTTATTTTTCGAACTTTTACATTTATTTACGTGGCTAGTGGCTATATTCTATATGTTATATGTATACGACTATGTCATATTTCATAATTGTCGAGATGCATTCTACGCAGTGTCGTATTTAGGGGCGGTGTCCTGTGGGTTAACCCCCTCCTCTAATATTTTTTATAGTTCTATTCATTACTGAAGTATCGCAAAATATTGTTGACGAATGACGAAATATTTTAGAACTGCTTTGAAATGTATTTTATGGGTTAATAATAATTGGAAACTATCGAACGATAGTAATATTAAGTTTATGAACATTACACGAATACATTGTGAATAAACGAATGTACAAAATTAATTAAACTAATAAGGGAAATTTCTCAGTAAATTTAAATGTTAAATTAGTTTTATCTATTCCTGTCATAATTTTATTATAATCAAAAATTTAAGTAGCAATTCTAAGATTTGTTTACAAGAAAATGACCACTTATAAGTTTTTAAGGTGTATTGTAATCAGGTATGAATTCGTGATGAAGCTATGTTAATTTTTGTGGAGAAAAAGTATTGGAATCAGGACACCCCCTCCAAAAAAAGCCCAAAATACGCCACTGATTCTACAGCCAATTTTGTAAACTTTGTATATGTTGTAAGGTATCAATACTGATAATATCAAGTAGTCAGGAACATACATCTAGGTAATATATTCTGAAGAATGGCTGTGATAACCTCCACCATAATGCTTTGATAAAATTCGATATAGATTTAAAAAAGTTCATAATAATAATTTTATAGTGCACTGTGATGGTATATAGTGCCGTAGTAATACTATGAATTATTCTGCGAAAGTATTATGAACAATTTTTATTTACACATGTTTTAATGTTTGTGTTAGAAAAAATAGGTAGTATCCAAGTATAAATTAATATTATGTAGTAATATTAATATTCAGTGGCATATTTTCAAATATTTTTGGGGGGAGGGGATTAACATTTTTCTGAAAAAGGGTGATTTTTTTATCATGAACCAATAATTATCTCGGAAGATTTTAAGTGAATTTGATTTACATTTTTTTAATCCTTATGGAATCGTTTAAGCTTTATTTTCAAACAATTTTTAATTAATTACCTCTACTCTATAAATTGTGTATCTACTTTTAAATAATAATTGATAACTTTTCCCTACTCCTCCGATTTAAACTTTAAACAGCTATATACATAAACGGTAAGTCTGATATTAGTGTTATGCATATCAAAATGTCTAGAAAAATATATTCTATTCGAATCTGTGTTCAAAAAAGGGGATGGGGTTCCCAATTGAAAAACTAAAGTATATTCTTATTTAAGTTATATGAATTAAGGGTAAAAAATATAAAATGGTTTTAAAATAAAAATTGTATGGTTCTACAATGATTAAAAAAATAGAAATCAAATTCACTTAAAATTTTCCGAAAAAACAATTGGTTCATGATAAACAAATCACTCTGTATAAATTAATGTTCTCTTTCTCTACACCGTCGTAGCGAGTTATTTATGAATTTTGAACTAAATTGTTTTTTCTTGGAGGGATTGAGACCCGGGAACCTCCCCACCCGAAAATACGCCACTGACTACATAACTATATAGATAAGTGTATATAATAATATTGTATAATATAATATTGTTATTATAATATTGTATAATATAATAATATAATGTTTAATTTTTCCCAATTCAAGCGCTGTAATTATTATAACATGTAGTTGTATACCTAGTACCTACCTAACCCTAATACAAATATCGTTTTTTTCGCATAGACGTATATTTATATAAGCTATTAACACCTGTCACCGCCTCCCGGTATGTCATCTATATCAGGTGTTCTCAAACTGTGGTACGCTATAAGCAACATTGTACGTGCTGTAGTATTGTAGTGTTTTACTATCTTATCATTTTGAAATAAATGTATTGTAATTTTGAATAGTTTAGTTTTTTGTTACAAGTGATACTTGAAAGATCCATATTACACATGAGAGGTAGGCGAAAAATAAGTTTGAAAACTTCAGAGCTATGTGATGGGTACTTTTTTTCCGTTTGAAATCACTGAAAAGCGTTGGAGGATCTGTGTTAACATTACTACTTCATTACTGCTATCGTTTATTCTAAATTTATAAATTAATAGAGAAGTAGTTAATTTACTGAATTCAAACAGTTAACAAAAATACATATGTGATGGTGAGCTGGTAGGTCCCGTATTATGTCTCCTTACATAAACCTTAATTGCTAACTTAAACCTAATTCCCCTGAGCCATAGTCTTCTCAGCTCGGTTTGTGGAACCAGCCGACCTAGAGACTCATTCTGCCCTTCTTCTTAGTAACCCTGTTGACAGAACTCACTGGTCTGGAGTCCGGTTCGGGATATCATTTTGCATCACAGCGATAATCGCAACCGCCAGAACGAGGTGAAGTGCCCAAATCTGTACATCAGCAGAAATCCAAACATAGGCGTGCGCAGACTCGACAGAAGTTCGGGTTGTACCCGAAACAAATTTATTCATTAGGTGAATCCTATCCCCAATCAACTTATATTACCTTTTAATACTAGATAATAGAAAATAATAATTAATTCTATACACTATCTTTAAATTAGTTTTCATAATTATATTAATTTCGTGATTAAATATCATACACTTCAAAAAAGTAAAAGTAAAAATTAGTTTGTAATCTCCAATCGATAATTATAATCTATAAATAAATAACTTGGATAATATTACAATCAAGTCAGTATATTTGGTAATACAGTCGTAAAAGATAAGAACGAAATTGACAGTAAAGTAAAAATGTATGAACTAAATTTTAAATTAAGGAAAACAAAAGTGATAGCAATTTTACAAAATATAAAATTTGTACCTACTTTTGTTATATGTCATCATAATAACAAAAAAAATGTTTATATACAATTTTTGGGTAGTGCCCAGGCACACACGGCAGGCCTATGAAGCCAAATGTCTACCACCTCTGAATCTCGGAACCACTTCGTGGCGATGAGGCGAGGTAGGTGTACTCTGGCCTAGCTGGTCATATAGAGGAGTAAGGCAATGGGTCAGCGATTGGCCCGGTCCTCGATCTCTCTTGTCCTCTTGTTTTGCTCCTTGTGGCTTAGAATATCCTCTACTATGGTGAAGAAGGATTGAATATCGCGAGTGGAAGTGGACAAGAGCTGGTTGTGCCTGCAGGAGTGATCCAACTCTCCGATGGGCCATGAAGGTCCTGGATATAACTGGGAGTGTGATGTTTCTGCCATCTACGAACGCTCTGACTACAAGACGAGATGATGTGATGAGTTTTATCGATTGAAATTTATATAGACGGTATGTGGATATCACTATGATTTTAAAAAATACCTTCGTTATTTTACTAAAACAATAAAACTTCACATTTTATAATACATTTTTATGGGTATTAGACAGTGGTGTAATAGCCAAAGAAAAATATCATTATGGAAGGGGATCAGAGGGGAGTGTTAATTTTTCAATCTTACAAACCTCGTACCTTTTAATTTGAAAAAAAAAAAATTAATTTCCATTGGCCCAATTGACGTTTAATTGTCTATATGGGATGATTTGTATCGATTTGCTGTATTATATGATTTGAAGGAACGCGTTACTTATAAAATAAAGGAACGAAGACCAGAAAAGAGTTTATATTTATGTGGAACATGAACGAAAATCTTCGTTACTATTAGATTCTGAGTGTAGCGAATTTATTGATTTTACAAAGATTATTAGTTTATTTTTTTCTTTTTTAAAAAGAACATTTTTTCTACCAAAAAGCTTACTCTGATGTATAATCCTTTACTGAAAGGAAATTTTCTTGAGGTGGAGTACCACCTCAAGAACATTTCCTTAAAGTATTAGAGAGGTCATTTTTTGATTTTCACAGGAGTTTTCTCAACAAATGTCAAAAACCCGGAAAAAACATGGGAAAAACGTAGGAAAACTGGGAAAATAAGCACAATATGAACAACAAAAATGATTAAAGAAAATATAATATAATGCCTATTTAATTATTTTATCATAATATATTGTTGAAAAGCATCACTATCAACTTAATTCTGCTCAGAATCGTTTTTTCGTTGGCAATAGTTTATCGTTGATTACAGGTATATACATTAAATTTCCTTCTGTATCCTACTTTCCCAACTTCCTATGTACAATAGTTGCTGCACCCACGTGTGAAGTATGTCTGTCTTTTTTTATTCAATTTTTTTATTCTCCGTAGGTACATTATCATATTAGTACAACTTAAAAGTAATTAACTACACAAGTAATGACTCACGAAAACTTTTAATAATATGTAGATTGTAGGCAGGTATATATATTTCCAAATAAAATATTAGAAGGTGCATTCAAATTAATAATATAAACAAATTAGTTAAGACTTTGTACTAGGTATTAATAACAAAAAAAAAAAAAAGATTAAACGAATGAGTTCATTTATCGCAGTAGAAACGATGAACGTGACGAATTCCTTTTTATAAGGAGCTTTTCCAACACTGGATGATTAATGTGGCAATTGAAAAATTGTTTGTAAGTAGATGTAATTTATTATCTTTTAATTTATGCTTGAGAGGATTGGAAGCGACAAGTTTCTGTCTTTGTCTTAAATACGTGAGATATAGTGATTTAGACGTGTTTTATTTCCAACGTACCGATTGATTTAATAAAGTGATAAAAATTCTGAAAGCAGATTTGAATTTGTCGTGAAGTCTACTTTAGATTGACTTTTATACTTTTTAAATTTATCTCTTTAAATTCTAAACAGAGTTATACTAATAAAAGAAAAATTGAAAAAATGGAATATTTTCATTTTTTGAGAAATTAAAATCAATAAAATGGGATAGGCGATCTCACGTAGACTTCAAGAAAAATTCAAATCTGCTTTCAGAATTCTTATCGCTTTTTACTAGATCAATCGGTACGATGGAAATAAAACACGTCTAAATTCCTATACCTCACGTGTGTAGGACAAAGACAGAAACTCGTCGCTTCCAATCTCCTTAATTAAGTAATTACTTAATTTATTATGTAGGTGTTACAAATCATACTAATAGTAAGTTAAGTAATACTGTTTACCTAGTACTTGTTATAAAATCGGTCTAGATGAAGAATATGCGATAAACTATTGACACATTTATAATATTATAAACAATATAATATGACAAACGATAAACGTAGTTTATCTGTAGATAACTATGATTACTATGCTACACAATTACAGTAGTTATACAAGTCATAGTCAAGGTTTATAGACTATGGTTTGTGGCACAGAGTATATTATGTTTGTAGTCTGTAATTTATATACTAACAAATAGTTAAATAAATATTATGTGTTCAAATATAATAAAACTAATAAAATAAAGACACTATATAACATCCGATATAAAAATAAATAAACCTAGAAAATAATGACGTTTTATACTAGACAGTATTACAGTATACATATATGATTTAACTATAAACGGTTTGTCAAAATATTGAATATTCGAATCACAACCAGTTCGTCATCATGATAATATACGAGCATCCTATTTATTACCGTACACTCATATTTTGTTATTGGAAATTCCTGACCTACTACACAAGCAATAATCTATATTACTTATCTATATACTTATTAGTTGGTTCAATTAATATTAATTAGTATTTTGATTTTAAGTATCATTAATTTAATTACATAGGAATCTAATATAACAATAGTAATTGGATTGTCACAGTTTTTGGAAGAAAAATTTAATCCGCAGTAGGGGGAGTCCCCTCGGCCCAGTGCGCACGACTATGGTTAGGTTATGGTTAAGGGTAAATAGGGTAAATAGGGATACAAAACGAAAGGGCGATAAATTTGAATTTTGCCTGCCTATCACATTTTGTCTAGATTTTCAAATAAAATTGTGTTTATGTCAAAAAAGGGCCACATAATAATGAGGAAAAAACTGTGGGTCAGCTACATAGACCTTATATTAGTATAGTAGTATACTTAGTATAAGGTTCATGGTCAGTTGACCTCTCCAACCCTCTTTGGACTCACCTCTGCTGAAACCCATTATTGAATATATACCTACTTAATATTGTACCTAATAATAATATATAATTTTAATAGGTATATATTATTATTTATTGTTTTTTTATTGTATTTATTAGGTAATTTTGGTTAGGATTTGATGATTGGTGAATTGATCAAATGATTGATTGGTCAAATTGTTTGGGACACGTATGCGTAAATCCGCTGGCTAGAGAAACGGTTTCCGGCGGATGGTGCACACTGTTGGTGAACAAAATCAAAACAGAGACTCGATCGTTATCACAAAAAACGTCTCTTGTTATCAACTACCGAGTTCAAGTGACTGAAACTAGTAAAACTATTCGTAGTAAAGTTGTTCGTCTAGTACTCTAGTGTAGTTATCTATTGTTTGTCGACCGTTTTCATCGCTGTGTTTGCCGTTTTGCGTAGGTACCTACCTAAATCGCTAAGACCTGCTCGTTTTTTTGTCATTGCTCGTCGCCCTGTAGCCAGTTATTACGTCCTTCGGACTACTATTGGTGCGCATTCCTTGAACTCGATAAACGATTTCACTTCGGTCATGCTGTGAAGACAACGTTTTTCCATAACGGACAAAAGCTTAGCGTTGCCCCGAAAGTTTCTTCGGTATTGCCGTGTACGTTATAGTCGAATATGACGTGTTACAACAACCGCTGCCGTCATAGATGCGGTACGCTGTTGTTTTTCATTCTTGCGGCTGTATTGTTTGTCGTTCAAGTGACCGCCAGGATACACACGCTGCACATAGACGTAAGCCGATTCGATCGTTTGAAAATGTCGTATTGTCGTCGACTCGATAATGTACAAATGGACCATTGATTCATATTATTTTTGTTTTTTTTTTTTTTTTGCCCACAGAACGACGATCGACGTTATATAGCTTTGACCAGGTTCGGATTTTTTCAAGGAGGTATGCTGGAAGTCGAAATTAAAGATTTTCATCTTCCACTTGCCAATATAAATGAGACGGTAAGCCGATATTTACTGTCAAGTCCACATTAATTTCATATTATTATGTTAAAAACTTTTATCTATAGGTGGCATTTTTGTATTTTTGCTTTATTATTTGCTTTAGCACGGTTTGCTGCTCGAAAAGTCCATTTTTGAAGAAGGAAATCCTTACATTGATTCTCAACAAGAGATTTGCCCAATTGAACAAATCAATTTGTTCGACACTCGACCAAGTGCATCACTGGCTGTTTTCAAGTTTAATTTTCCGAAGATGATGTAAGTGGTGTTTTTTGGTGTTACTTTTCTTTCTTATTTGGTACATTTACTGTAAACTTTATAGCAATTAGTAAAAAATACCAATAATAAAATATATGCATTTCTTTGGGAAATATTTGGTACATAAATTGCATCAAAGTTACTATTGCTTAATAACATCATACCTACACATTATACTTAGCAAATATGCATACTTGTTTTGATGTCAGTAATAGGTAAAAAAAAATTGAATTAGTTTAACTTTACAATAATCACTAAGTTTTGTTTTTACTATTTCAATTTTTTAAATCTGACTTGAAGTTTTGAATGTATATACCGAGTTAGAGTATGAAAATAACTTTTGTAGTAAACCCATGTAGGTTTGTCTACAAATAATTTATTTTGTTGTGTTGTTATAAACACTTTACACTTGGAACCTATGTGAGCTTTATATTGTATGTGTCACGTAGGTCCTAACACCTGTAATACAATTTTTTCCTCTTTCCTTCTTTTCAACTGTCTGGAAGCATGCCGTGTCAGTACAGAATCTGTGTTCAGCTGTATACTAATATTAGATCTAATTTAACTCGGACCTCACAATAAGTTGTTTTAGGTTCAGTTCTTGCAGTTATACCTCCAGACTATTTAATCTGTCCTAAGTCATAAGTATATGTGTAATTAATCTTTTTTTTAAGCCACTAACCTCGTTAAACTACTGTCTACAATTATTTGTTTATGATCTTTTTGACCGGCAGATGTCAGTAAAGTCTGTCATCAAATTAATTTTACTTGATACTCCTTTAGTTTTTGTTTTTAAGTACAACCTAAAGATATAAATTAAATAACTATATAGGTATCTTGCATTCCAACTTCCTATCTATAATAATGTCACATCTGTCAGTCAAATCAACTTTTTTTTTTTCTTGGTTTTTAGTTTTTTCTTAACTTCCTAAAATGGGATTTAAACTATACTTGTGCCATAACAAATTACTTAAATTTTTTTTTTCATAATTAGTAAAGACTAGATATTCAAGTTGAAAACTTCTTAGGAACTCAACTCTTTTACCTACTTATTCTTTCGGTATTAATTATAAACAAATAAATATAAGGTTTACATTTGTGTTATTATTGTTCATTTATATCTTTGAAACATCTTTCTGTTGAAACAATTAAATTTGAGAGAGAATTTTAATGTAAATGATAAAATATTTATATTTATAGTCTTTATTTATTGTTTTTCTAAAGATAAGAAAAAAAAAAAATAGTGACAATTTAGGTGTTTCTTCTTTTGTATTTATTTACTAATCATGATGCAATATTTTTGTTTAGTGTTACAATTAGTTGTTCATCTACAATGGAGCCATTTTATTTATTAAGTGACATGACAGATTTTACTAATCAATTGTCAAGCAATTTTGAAAGTAATATGCAGATAAAAAAAAAATTATTTTTAATGCTATAGTGTAATAAAATTCTTTGACATTTTCAGGCACTCAAGTGACTTGTGTTGATAAGACTATTCCGATTTCGAAGGGGTCTCAATCAGATTATTTTAATATTAATGTAAGCCATTTTATATTATACTATGGAAAGTTGTAGAATGTAACATTTAATTTTAAATTTTTCCTTAAGTTTGTTGTTTATGTGAACACAAAATCCAATGAGGGATTGTATAATTTATATTATCATAATTGCCCGAATTATGCCACTATACCAAAGTCCAGGCGAAGTTTTAAAGTAATATTATAATTATTTATTTATTACATTAGAAAAAAAATCTGTTCTAATTACACTTTATATTTGTGATTTTTCCAGGTTGATATTAGCGAGTATAATGATAATGAAAATTACTTATCAGCTGGTGATATGCCATTGCCCTCACTATATTTTTCAATGTCCATTATTTATTTTTTTACTTGTGTTTTATGGATTTATTTTCTATGTAGAAGCACGTAAGTTAAATAAATTATTAATTTTATGCTAACAAAAGCTGTCATTGAAATATAGAAAAAAATATTACTTTCTTAAAGTCACAGAAAAAGTAAAATATCACTAAAAATTTAATTTAAAATGCTAATAGTATTTATTTAAATTACAGTGTATAAAATATACATATTTTTACAATTTTTTTTAAATATATATTGTAACCTATTTCAATGGCACTCAATATTTGAGTGTTGGTGTCTACATTTTATTTCCAACGATGGAATGATCTCTCAGTAACCAAAAATAAAATAAAAAAATAATTGGGTAGTAGAGTTTTTAATTTATTAAACTGTAAAAATTAATATTTTATTTCTCATCAAATAAAATTTGAAGTTGCAACAAACAGTTTACAAATCATATAGCTTTTTGATAAATATAAAAAAAATACAAAACTTTGAGTATCATTAAAATTTAAACTGATTCTTAGTTTTCGTGTTAAGACGTGAAGTTGCATTAAGATGTTGGTGCTATTTATTGATAGTTCACTTGAATTTAACATTTAAGTTCACAAAAAATACAATTTATTTTAACTATATTTTATATTTTGTCTAAAAACAACAATTATTATGTGATTATACTTGTATTTTTTTGTCATATTAGTTCACTACAAGTCTACAACTACTGCCCATATTTTAACTGAAGCAACTACTTCACTTAATATTTTGATTTGATAACTGCATTAATGTGCATATTAATATCATATTATCATATTATTAAGTATTTTAGTAGTATAACAGTATTTTAATTTTGTCTAATACTATTTTAGATTTTAATATTTTTTGAATTGTTTATTTTCACATTGAATATTTATTATTACCTATATGGGATGATTCATAAGCGTGCTCTTTCTATTTTTTTGGTTAAATTTTGCTTATTATTTAGTTTTTCAAATGAGAACTTTTATTAAAAATTTGTTAAATAGTTGGAGTATTAGTTTAAATAAATTTTGTTGTTAACATTTTTTATTTTCGTCAACCCGTTGCCGAAATATTCCACCTTTAAGTTAAGGTAGGAGGAGGTATGGAGCACTAATAAAATGCTGCATTCCATGCAGCAACACGAATGATAATCTACTTACATTTAAAAATTCCAAAAATCAGAATTAGATTATTAAATACACAATTTAACTAGAAAAATGGAGTGAGTACGCTAAATGAATCATTCTAAATATATACATATAAGTTATAAATATATTTTATTAAATATTCTTTTTCTTGTTCTGTCTTATTTTTGTATAATGGTTTTATATTTCATAGTATTAAAAAAATATGTTTGATTTCAGTTATCCTGTATATAAAATACACTTTTTAATGGCCTTGTTGGTGTTTTTAAAAGCAGCTACCTTATTTTTCCATGGTTTGAATTTCCATTTTATTGAAGTCCAAGGACAGGAGATTATCACGTGGGCTTTTGTTTACTACACATTTCATTTGTACGTAATAGGCACAATACAGTGTAGACCAGTTGTACTTATTTAATTGTATAAATTTGTTTTCTAGACTCAAAGGATCGGTTTTGTTCATTACAATCGTTCTTATTGGTACTGGTATGACTTTTGTCAAGCATGTATTATCTGATAAAGACAAGAACATTTTTATGATTGTAATACCATTACAGGTACGGGTTGATTTTATGAAAAAATGTATTTCTAAAGTTTTTTTAAAAAAAAACCCATTAACGTCTATTTTATATCCATAATATTAGGTATTGGCTAATGTAGCCTATGCTATTATTCAAGAATCTGAAGAAGGTGACTTACAGCACAACGCTTGGTTGGATTTGTTTTTACTTGTTGATTTCATGTGTTGTGCTGCTATACTGTTTCCTATTCTTTGGTAATGTAGCTATTATTATCTGGATATCAATGCCAATCTATTATGATTGTTTATATTTACAGGTCTATTCGTCACCTACAAGAAGCATCACAGACAGATGGTAAAGCGGCTATGAATTTACGTAAACTCAAATTGTTTCAACAGTTTTACGTTATGCTTGTTTCTTATATATATTTCACACGTATATTAATATATATGCTTAGAGTGAGTAAAAACTTTCTTTTGATAAATACAACTTGAAAATTGAATGTAATAATTATAATAAAAAAAAAATACAATTTTTTGAAATTGTTTACAGATGACAGTTCCATTTAATTTCCTATGGTTAAATGAATTCTCCAAAGAACTTGCAACATTTGTGTTTTTTATGATGACTGGATATAAATTTCGACCGACAATTGCTAATCCTTACTTCCAAGTGGCATCAGATGTCGATGATGATGACACAGATATTGTGTAAGAACCAATATTGTGTATTATATTATCTGGTTATCACTTGAATATTATTGTTAAATGGTGGTTGTTTTGTTGTTACAGTATAAGTCATTTTGGTTCGAGTGTAAATAATCGTGCCAGAAAGAAACCAGGCGGTAATGAAACAGCGGAAGATGAAATCTTACTCGTGGAAACGTCTTCGTGATATAGTATATATATTTCTGTGATACCAAGACTGATCCAATAATTGATCCATGAACCTTTGCCGTGCGTTCTAGTCTTCTAAAAGTAGACATTTCCTTTCTGTTGTACAAATTTGTTCTCAATTGCGCACAAAGTTTTGTTTGTTTGTTTATTTATTTATTTATTTATGAACTTTCTGAATTAAATGTAAGAAGATTACTGATATGTTACATCATTATCTGTAAAAAGTATAATGTGTTATTGACGTTTTGTTTTTTTAATTAAATTTAAAAGCTTTATGTATACGTTAAGTCTAAAAATTTGTTCCTTAGGTGTGTTTACTCTGTATTATAAATTAATTTATGAATTATTACCATTGTTAAATAATCAATAATTACTGCAATACTAAAAAAAAATATCAATAACATTAGAATATTATTTGATTATATAAATTAAAATTCAATGTTATAATATTTTTAATGGTGCTTAATCGAATTTAACCAAAAATAATAAATCTTTTGGTTGTTAATAAGACAAATACTTGAATAATGTATTTATCTCTTACAAATTATTAAAAACTTCTTGATTTACTTGAGGCTACGTGGATCTTTGTTCAAATTTTAACTTATCGAAATCCATAATCATTGTGTAAGTCAGTTTATCTTAAAAATTCTTTCTGGGAAAATAAATATTTATAGGTACACTTTAATTTTGACTATTTTTTAGTACTAGGTATATTAACTGTTGTACTTGTACTTACAATTGTACAAAAAGCATCTTTAGGCTAAAAATTGTTTATTACCAAACACAAGGTACAGCAAGAAATGTATTAGTTTTACTATTGATTTGTATTTTAGATTCCGAGCGGAATGTATTGTATTTACTATGATGTTAATTTGTTTATTTTTAATACTGTACAAAAATTCCACCAGAAATCTTGCTCCGATATTAATGTGCGGTTTTTCTGAAAGGAAATGTCCAAATGGTACTTTTGAAAGGTCATTTTTTTGATATTCCAAGTGGTTTTCATAACAACTGGGGAAAAAACGGGAAATGTATGAAAATAATGCTTTTATTTTTTTTTTCAATTTTGTTATTATTTGTTGTAATTCAGTTAAAAATATTCGTAGAGAAAATTTATATTTGCCTTTTATAGACATTTTTAAAAATGTTAAGCTATTTTTGAGCTATTTATAGACATTTAAATTTTGCGAGTTTTGTACATAATTATTATTCAGTAGGTACTGTGTGGTAAAAATGTTAGACTTACAAAAAAATACTTGAAAATTTAACAGCAGATTCATAAGAAGTCTTACTTTGTGGTTAAAAAAAAATTGAGTTTAATATAGTATTTTTTTTATATATGAATTTTAATTTCAAATTTTGAAGTGAGGTAAAAAATTATGCGGAACAAATCTAATTTTCAAATTTTGTATTGAACATACACATATTGCCGATATAGGAACAATGGTGAAGTTAAAATTGAGCAGACTGACTTAGTTTTGAAGTTATAGCTTTTTGAAGTTCTGACATGCGGATATTATATGTTGTATTATTTTTTTATATGTCTGTCGTAGTCTAAGCAATACTAATTAATTAGTTATAGCAATATTATTACCTTTTATGCTTTTTATTCGAATGATAATTGTGATTATGACTTTTAAAGTGCTCATTATTATTGTAATTATCATCATTATTTTAGATTCTGAGTGAAGCGAAAAAGCTTATGGTTTAACAAAGATGTTTTTATTTTTATTCACGGTTTTTCACGTTTGTTGAGAATCTTCTGGGGAAATAAAAAAATGACCTCTCTAAAGCGCCTCTGCAGTCAGATTTCTTTTTAAAAAAATGGCTCTCATTATAAATTTGAGCAAAATTGCTGGGAAAAAAGTTGTTCACAGGAAAAAAGAAGGCCGAAAAAATTCTAAATTCGTTTTTGAATATTTGGGCTCTTGCTTAAATTGTATTCGAATACCTACTATCTCTTAAAAGTATTTGAATATAAATACAAATATTGTAAAAAATATTCTAAATACTTTTTCTTTTCAATACAATTGATAAATGTCTTGAAAAATGTCCACTTTTAACAATTTACGAATAAACACTTATATACAATATGTTTATTGTTCATGAATATTTAATTTAAATCGGTTCAAGAATTTCAAATGTTTCACACTGGAATATTATTTAATAATATGATTGTACAGCATAGATAGTCAAATGGGTGTTAACTTTTCCATAGATACCCACACCGGTACACGGATGCCATTTTTTTTTGTCATCCGTGTTACTACGGAAACTCGTAGTTAAACAAAAATAATTAAATTTCCAAACTAAAATAACTCATAAGCCGAGTTTTAGGGGATAGTTCTGAACAGGGGATGAATTTCAATAGCTGCAAACCTTCGCCGGACAATGCGGAACATTTTGCGTAAAACCGCGTTAAAGTTATAACAGAGTTTGCCGATCAAAGGTTTTGTGCACGACGAAATCAATAAAATACAACGATAAACAATACAGTTATTTTAATTTTCAAGATTTATATTTCAAATGTCCATATTTACAAAAGTTCACATTCGTTTATTTATTTTGACACGGTAAACGAAAAATATTTAATATTAGCTCTGCGAATGTAACACCTCGACAAATAATACACGCAGGTAAATGCGATAATATATATTTTGTATTATAAAAGTAAAAAAAAAAAATATATATATATATATAATATATTATTATATACCTAGTTTTAATATATTATCAGAATACCTATATATAGTTAATAATTTCAAAAATATAATATGGCGGAAATCAATATTGGTACAAAAAAAAAAAAAAGTTTCATACAAAATAAGAGAAGTCGTCGTAATTGAAAACACAGTCTTTGCATTCGAGTAAAAAAAAAAAAAAAAAATAAATGGCAGGAATAAATATTTTTTAACTATTAATGATAACACGAAATTATACATAATATAATAATAATACCTACCGACTATACTTACAATAATACATTATCGTACAATTTTACAATGTTTTACAAAAAATAACCGAAAAAGGCAGACGCGGCAGACCCCCGAGTTACATAGGAAAATGCGTGTGACTCGCGCGATCTCCGGCGGTCCGACGCGGTTCAGTACCTAATTACCTAATAACTACTATACAGTCGTTTTTTTTTTTTTTCTTTTGCCACACACAAACATACACAATACATATTAGATAATTTACAATAGAATAAAAAAAAAAAAAATATATGTATAGTATTATAATAATAATATATCTCACGGTGGAAAAAAAAATTAAAAAAGAGTTAGTTTGAATTGTATTTACTGATACAATACATGCACATGTACATACGTGAATGTATATATTCATAATATATTGTGTAAGATACTGCGTAAAAAAAAAAAATAATAATAATAATAAACATAATACAAAGTGAGCAAAACGATAATATTATTATAACACATAATGATTGCACACGGGATATAAAAAATAAAAAAAAAATTTGATTTCGAGTACATATGGCAAGGCGTTTACGTTATTTTCACGCAGAGGTGTATACGATAATCTGTACTAATTATTTTAGACTATCGGTTTATTTCGCGTTTATAGAACATGACAAAAAAAAAAAAAAATATTAAAAAAAAAACCTTAACACTATATTCGGTAGTCAGTGCGCGTGTTATAATACCATGACATCGTCGTCATAATACTTAAAACGCGCACAATTATCACAATATCTATAAAAATATATAAAATGTATAAAAAAAAAAAAAAAAAAAAAAAAAAAAACTCTACCTTTGATTTTATCGCTGAACACCGTCCATTGCGGTGCGCTATATTTGAATCCGTAAAAATAATGCTAAAAATTATACTAATTTATTACATGGTAAAAAAGAAACCGGAGCGCAAAACTCAACGGCCGCCGAAAGGGTACTGTCGGTGTACGTATTATTATTATTGTTGTTTATTCGTTGGCTGCGTACTAATCGAAACACGTGTTCGTGCGCGGGAATTTCGCCCGCGCGCGCGGACGACCCTTTGGACGGCCGTGGCGTTTTGGCCACGTCGTAGTTTCCGCGCCGCGGCCCGTCAGAGCCTCAGTTCGGTCTCGGTGGTCTGGTGCCGCTGCCGGACGGACGTCGAGGCGGCCGAGTGGAGCGGCGATATGGACGGCGACCGGTTGGCCAGCGGCGACAGGGACGGCGAGAATGACGGCGACATGGCCACCGACTGACTAAATCCGCCCGGGTTGGACTCGTGGCTGATCGGGGACCGGGGCACGAGCAACATGGGCGGCGGGCCCTGATGGTGGTGGTGGTTGTGGTGATGGTGATGGTGCGAACCGGCCGACTGTCGGGACGACAGTGCCCTGGGCGCCATGTTCGTCAACAGCGGCGGTGGCGGGGGCGGCGCGCTCTTCTGCTGCTGTTGCTGCTGCTGCTGAGCGCCAGGAACCATTTTTTTGCCCGCGGCGCTTTTGGCGCCCGGCCCGCAAACGCCCGCACCGCCGCCGTTGCCGTTGCCACCGACGCCGCTGCCGTTGGCGGACGCGGCGCTGTTAGAACTCTTCACCGAGTTCGCGTCGTCCTTGAGTCGGGCGATCTCATTGAAAACGTGCGCCAGCGGCTGGTATTGCGGACCCCAGTCCAACAGGTAATCCCAGTTGTAGCTGCCGGTCAGCTCCTCTTCGCTGTGCACGATCGAGCTCAGCGAACCGACCATCGACGGCTGGGGTGGCGGGACCTTGGAACCCGAGTAGACGGCATTCGAGGACTTGCCGCCACCGCCGCCGCCGCCGCCGCCGTCATCATCGCCGCCGCCACCACCGCTGCCACCCGCTCCACTTCCCGCGACACCGCTACTTCCATTTTCGCCGCCGCCGCCACGTTCGCTGCCCACGTCGCTCAACTTGGCATAAATCATGTTGGTGATGTCACCGTCGGTCGCCTCATCCTCATCGTACATGTCGATGTTCTCCATCGGCCTCCGGCGGCGTCGTGATGACAGTCTGTTCTCCTCGGGCAGGTGTGGAGGCACTACGACCGTCTGCGCGTCCACAATGCCCAACCGGGCCAAGTACTCCTGTGTGTTGCGTGCTGTCACCTCAGATAGCTCCTCCGCGTTCTGTCGTTCGTTTATCATCCGGATTTCTTCGTCCTCAACGTCGTCCTCGGCTGAACCCCGGCCACTGGATCCCGACTTCTCCGAGCCTGAAAGGTCTGATGTGGTGGCCGCTCCTGAGTTGGTGCTGCTATTGTTCCGGTAAGTGGGTATTTCGTCGTATTTGGGCGGCGCGAACTGGCCTACCACTTGGCCGCCACCTACGCCCCGTATAGGTATCGTGTCGAAAGCGCCCGGGTCCACGTACGTGTTGTCCGTCCGCTGGTGTCCGCTCAGCTCGGGTTTGTTGATGTTTCGATGCTGTTTGTTTTTCAGGTGGAAGTAGAACATGATGCCACCCAGGAGCAGCGAAATCAGAAGCACTACGGACAGCACGCCGATGATCCAGTCCACCAGACTGCTAGTGGCCGACGCGGCCGCCGCGTTCTGACCGCCTGAGCTACTGCTGGCCAAGTTCAAGCCGGGTTGGGACAGCGGGTCGAACGATATTTCGACCACGCTCACGTTGGTCAGTGACCCTTGTTTCCCCGAACTAGCCGTTACCACCAGGCTAATGTCTTGGGCCACGTCGAAGTTGCTGTCGATCTTCTTTTTCACCACTATCGCCCCGGTTGTCCGGTTCACTTTGAAGTACGCGTTCTGAGTGGTCAAGTGGTACACCACCCGACCTTCGGGTCCTTTGTCTCTGTCTGTGGCCGACACGTGTCCAATCACGTAGCCCACTGGCAAGTCGACCGTGTTCACCATGAACTTGAACGTCCGCTCGATGAACTGGGGCGCAAACTCGTCTTTGCCTTCGATCTCGATTTTCACCCGGACTTTTGTGGTCTTGCCGCCCGTGTCGCTTGCGGTTATCGTGAATGTGTAACGATTCCTCGTCTCGTAATCAAACACTGCGTTTGTCGTCACCAGACCCGATGACTGGTCTATTTTGAACATTTTCCACGAGTCGTCCGCGCCCGAATAGCTGGCCGACGAAGCGATCGTGTAGTTAAGCTGCCCGAAATAGCCACGGTCCGCGTCGGTCGCTTTGGCTGTGAACACCAGAGCGCCGATCGGCTCGTTTTCGCCGACAAACTCCAGGTATTCCGAAACGGGGAACTTAGGGGCGTTGTCGTTTACGTCCTCCAACCGGATTTTCAGTAACTTTACCGTGGCCAGCGGGTAGTCCGGCATTTTGGCGCCGTCCCGGGCCTTGACCACCAGGTTGTGTTCGGAAACGTCCAGATCGCAGTCCAATGTAGACTTGACGAAAATCTCGCCGGTGTTTTTGTCAATGTTAAAGTAATTCCTGCTGTTGCCCGACGTTATTTCGTAAAAAATGTCGGAGTTCGGTGGCATATCCAGATCGTTGGCCGTCAGTCGGATTATCGAGTGGCCGACAGGCGTATTCTCCGGTAAAGACAGACTCTGTTGGAGGTTCGTCGTGAATTGAGGAGCGTTATCGTTAGCGTCTTCGATGATCACGTGCACGAAAACGTAAGAACTGTTGACGCTGTCCGTTATTTTCAGCGAATATATATCTCGAGTTTCACGGTCCAGATTCTTTTTCACGAAAAGTTCGCCAGTCGGACTTATGAGATCGAAGTTTTTCTCTTCGTCGCCTTCAACGATTTTGAATTGCGCCGTACCGTTGGTTGAGTAACCGGGCAACAATTTCAAAAACGATTCTCCCAAAAAGATATCTTCTCGAATCGATATTCTGTGGGGAAAAACAAATGTTAAAAATCAGTAAAAATTAGATGTAATTTCGCGGATTTCACGTATTGTTCAATGTCGCGAAACTATACTCGCCTAAATTCGTTTTGTGCGAATTTCACCGTGTTGGAATGCATTGTGTTGTGTATGTTGGCGCGAACCGAGACAACGGCCGATAGGGGTGGTGTTCCTTGGTCCGTGGCGGATACCAACAAATCGATGAAATCCTACACGCAAGACAAACGATAATGATAAGAATAAAACCATTCGGTAATGAAAAAAAAAAAAAAAAATGTTTATTTACCTTTTGTAGTAATTTCTGCTCGAATTTCAATCGGTTCGCGGTAACGACGCCCGTCTGCTGGTCGATTCTGAACCCGTTCATGTCGTTCACCAAAGCGTATTTTATCTGTCCGTTTGACCCGGAATCCGCGTCTCTCGCGACCACTTGCATGGACGATTCTCCGTAAACGTTTTCTGTACGGTACCAAAGAGCAAATAAAGATTAAAAACTCCGTATTGACGGCGACTATCGCTACCGAAACCACATACCAGTCATCGTGAACGTATAGTAAGGGCGGTCGAAAACCGGCGAGTTGTCGTTGTCGTCGGTCACCGTGACGGACAGTTCGGTGGACGCCGTGTGTTCCGAATCGGACACGATCACTCCCAAGCGGTACGCCCGGGTGTGTTCGTAGTCCAAACTGCCGATTAACGACACCCGTCCGCTGTACCTGTCCAGTGCGAACAGCTTGCGTTCGGTCTGTCCCACGGACGGCGCCCAAGAATACGTGAGCGTCGGGTACGTGTCCACGTCGTTGGCCACCACAGTCGTTATCATACTGCCGACTTCCAAACCTATACGGTTACAACAACAGGCGTCGTTATGCGTTAATATACGGCATGTAATTCGTGTGCCGTTGGGTAAACGCACTCGGTTATATTTACAAGGGATAAAGTCGTCACAAGACTTATATTGTACAAAGGGGAAGAAGAAAATACGCTAAATGGAATGTATCCACGTACCTTCTCTGACATTGATGGTGCTCTGCGGCGGAAAGGACGGCCGGTTGTCGTTGATGTCGATCACGATCACCCGGATGGTGGCCATGCCCGTCATCTGGGGCGTGCCCTCGTCGGTGGCTATGACGGTCAGCTTGTACGCGTCCCGGATTTCGCTGTCCAACACGATGTTTGTCTTGACTATGCCGGAGTCCGTGGGGTCGATGACGAACGCGTTGTCGTGATTGCCGTCCACCAGATGGTACGACAGCCTGGCGTTCTCGTTGTCGTCCGCGTCGGTGGCCGTCACCCTGATGACGAACGCCCCCTTGGAGCTGCCCTCGGCCACCGTGGCTGTGTATTCTCTCTGCGCGAACACCGGGCTGTTGTCGTTCTGGTCGGAAAGGTATATCCACACGTCCGCGTAGCCCCACATGATGACGGACGCGGCCGCGTCGGTCTGCGCGATGGCCACCAGGTGTATACCGGACCGGTGGGCCTCGTAGTCCAGGACCTCCGGCTTGCTCACGCGTATCGCGCCCGACTCCTCGTCAACGGAGAACAGGCCATCTTCGTTGTTTACCGGGGCCAATTTGTAGAGCACTTTTTGTTTACGGCCGTCGCTGCGATAAGCCGAAATCTATAAGACGAAACAAAGGATCAGAATATTATTATTATTATTATTATTATTATCGTCATCCGGGAAACGGGACGGTTGGAAATATTAAATATTTGTATACGTCCGGCGCGTTTACCTCGAGTACGTCGTCGCGCTGTTCCAGATTTTCCGGTATCGTCACGCGGTACGTGGAGTTTTTGAATCGCATAACGGGAATCCGGTCGAAGTCGTCGCCGATCTTGATCTCCAACAGGCCGGACGAGCTCTGTGGCGGGTTGCCTTTGTCAGTGGCGATCACCTCCAAATGGAACACTTGGCCGTCGTCTGAAGCCAGGCTGGACGAAGCCGTCACCACGCCCGTGTTGGGATTGATCCGGAACTTGTTGGCGGCCGCTTGGCCATCTTTGAACGAATACAGTACGTCCGCGTTAGAACCCTCGTCCTTGTCCACCGTGGACACCCGAACGATGTCCACGCCGGGCTGTACGTGCGACTGTATTTCGGCCGTGAACGGGTATTTCGTGAATATCGGCACGTTGTCGTTGACATCCAACACTTTG